ACAGCACAAGTCAACAGCACAAGTCAACAGCACAAGTCAACAGCACAAGTCAACAGCACAAGTCAACAGCACAAGTCAACAAACAGCAAAAGATTATCCTACATGCTCGCGGTGGCACCAACTCATCTCATGCAAGTCATGGAACGTGCCGGTCTGAACTTCTTCCTCATTTCAATATGTATGCCCCTTCCCTCTACAGAGCTTGAGCAGCGCATCATGTCGCATCATGTCGCATCATGTCGCTCCATGTCGCACCATGTCGCGGCATATCAAACACATCGAGTAAAAACTAAAACATGGAATGTTCGCACTCGTGACCAACCCCCTTGATGCATATGCGCCTGTACGAACCAGCCTGGCAGCTATTCATCTCTAGCCGTCATGTCGCGTAGCTTTAATAAAGGAGAAAAAGATAAAAAAAAAGAAGAAAATCTGGAGGTGAGAGAAATTCAATATGCTGCTTGGACATTCCGAGGGACGTCTCCTCTGTGTTCCAATGTATGCATGCCACCACCGTGTAGGTCTTGCGTCCTGTCAACCAACTACCGTGGAGGGAAAAATTCTATTGAGTTGCTGAAATGGCCTCTCTCAATCCGCTGCTGGCAGGAGCCTTTTGCCCCCTCCGCCCAAGTAGGGTGGCATTGTCGAGACTCAGCTCAAACGGTCCCTTGTTCTTCACCTGTTTCTTGGCAGCTGCGGCTACAGCAGGACTGTGTTGGCCGTAGCCTTTCTGTGCCGGTGCCGTGGCCTGCTGTCTTGCCTGTGCGGCGGCACTGAGAGTAGTGGTACGCAGCTTTTGTTCTACTGATGTCACATCAGCGGCGTGCGACTTGGGCAGCTTTGCGGGGATGTTCTGCTTTGTAGGATCGAAAGGTGCGCTCTCACCGTCCTCTTCGTCGTCATAATCTTCGTTGAGAGGATTCAAGCTGTTGACAGCCCCAGCCCCCCGGAAGCCCTGTGGGAAGTTCTTCCGTCGCTTGCCCTCCTCTTCTTGACGGTGGACGGCATAGCCGACATCAAACACCTCGCGTAGATTGACGGCACCAGGAGAGCGGAAATCTGCGCGCCTGCCTTCACCAGGCGAGTCGAGGTATCTCAAGTCTTGACGTTGATACAAGGGCGTCGCCAGAGGAGGCGCATCCGCCGCAGCTGTAGTCTCTTCCTGCGATTCTCGTATCCATGGATGGTTGAGGAATTGCTTAATGTCGTACCGCTTCTCCGGATCGACCGTGAGAAGATGCGAGACCAGGTCTTGTGCAGACTTTGAGATGTCATCCCACCACGGCGACAAGAACGTATACTGGCCTCGAGCAACCTTTTCGGTAAGAGTTTGAATGCTCTCGTCGTAAAAGGGAGGAAATCCACACAGAAGAGTGTAGAGAACACATCCCAGTGCCCACATGTCAACACTTTTGGAATACCTTTCATCCTTGACGATTTCAGGGGCAGTGTAGCCGACCGTGCCACACGGCGTCATGGTCTGGCTATCCCAGATAACTTTTGAGAGACCAAAATCGGCAATCTTTATCGTGCCAATGCCGCCGGCCCCGATACCGGGAATGAACTCACCCTCATCAGCCTTGTCCTCGTCTTCGGGACCTTTGGGCTTTGGGGTCTTCGTGGGAACGAATGCAGTCGGATAGAAGAGAAGATTTTCAGGCTTGATATCCCTGTTGATGACGTCAGCGAGAAGTGTGCTGGGGCTTAGATGACGAGTTGCTATGCTTACCGATGTACAACGCCGGCATCCTCATGCAAATACTCCAATGCCTTGGCAACCTGTACGATGACATGTCTAGAGAGATCCTCGCTAAAGTATGTGAGGCGGACGATTTGATGAAATAATTCTCCGCCGGGGCAGAGCTCGAGGATGATGAAATAATATTGACGAGATTCGTGAAAGTCGACAAGTTTGACGATATTGGGGTGATCTAATTGGCGCATAATTTGCACCTCTTTGAGAATATTTGCTCGCTATATGTCGACAACATGTCAGCCAGTGGCGTCAAAATGGCGAAACGACAAAGCAACAAACAATCATGCAAAAGAGATGACATAGCTGGACTTGCGCACCTCAACAGTTTTTGGCGTCTTTTTGAAATCGGGGTGGAGGTGATCGTTGCCCTAACCAGCGTTGGCAAAGAGCAAAAGTAAAAATCGAGGAGAATATGCCAAGGAGAGGATGACACAAAGATGGAAGGCAGAGTGCTGGTGAAGGTGGTAGGAGATTGACTGACCTGGCTTGAGTTCATTTCAAACTTACGCACGACTTTGATGGCAACTTCTTGCTGGTACTGTCCCTGGGTGTCTTTGGCTCGGTAGACGTTGCTGAAAGCACCGTCACCCATCTTCTCGATCAATTGCCATCTTTCAAGACCAGGATACCTGGGCAGCTTGCCCTTGCTTTCCCTCTCTTCAGCAACAATTCTCTCCAGCACAGTTGGATCGATGTCGGCCTTTCGGTCAGCAATGGCCTGTTTTTGCTTGTGGTGGTCGGCAGCAGCGCGGGCAGCAGCATCTCCAGCTTGAGCAGCAATGTTCTTGTTTGCCTTGGCGCCGACACCGACAGAATAGTCACCATGAGCGGCACCGGGGGCCGGGTGCAGAGGCTGATGATCCATGACGTTGGGGTCGCTCACAGCATAATGCCTCGCGTCTCTCGCGTGGACGGTGGAGGTATCTGTAGTGGCCTCGCCGTGTGGACTTTGTTGGTTGCGGGCCTGCTTGCCGTGCCTCAGGAAGTTTTTGAAGTTCTGTAGTTGAGCTAGTTAGCAGGGATCTCTGCGGCTGGACATGTGCGGACATGATTGCGCACGGCAGGACGAAACGCAGAATACAACGCACTTGCAGAGTGGCCATCTTGAGGAGACGGTATGGAAGTGAGAGGGGCGAGAGTAGTCGGGCGTAGAGAACGAAGAGGCGCTCCAGAACAGACAGACAGCAGAAAGGAGGATGGATGATGGACGAAAGCGTTCAACAAGCAAGCGAAAAGTAGCGATGGTAGTAGTGAAAAGCGACAAGGAAAACAAGAAAGAGCCGGCTTGCAGGGAGCAGTGGAGGTGGAGTGAGAGAGAGAGAGAGAGAGAGAGAGAGAGAGAGAGAGAGAAGAGTGGTAGTGTAGCAAAAAAACGAGGATGGACGACGATGACAGGATGGTGGTGCTAGCGGGGGGAGGAGGCTGTAGGCGTGTGTGTAGGCGTAGGTGGTTTGAGTTGGGTGGTGTGCAAGTGGGTGTGCGGGCGATGACGTCGGCGGATGGTGGAGGGAGATGAAATGACGACAGACGCGCACGAGGGGGGGGAATAGTGGGTAGTGGAGGCTGATTGCTGGCTTGCGAGGCGAGTAAGAAGATTAACGGGCAGCCCTGAGCCCTGGAGAGAGCCTGGGAGGAGGGGCAGTGTAGTAGTGGGCTGTAGTGGGCAGAGTAGGCAGAGAGGTAGGTAACGAGGCAGCGGAAACCGGGGAGGGATGACAGGGCGTGCTGCTGCTGGTGCTGCTGGCGCTGCTCCTGCTTGCTGATGGTCGCCCGGTCTGGCCAGACTTTTGGCTTCTTCTTCTTCTTTCCTAGGCAGCTTTGTGGGCTGCGGGCTTAGGGCTTTGAAAGCTCAGGGCGGGCTGCCTACCTGATGCTGCATCTGCAGTAATGCTCTTCTTTTTCCCCTCTGTATATCCGTGTGTGTGTATGTTTTGTGCAGCGTCGTACAAATGATGATAACAGTGATGATGGTGATGAGGATGATGATGATGAAATGAATGAATGCGATTGATTCACTGCAAGAATGACATGCCACAACAGTCCACACTGTGCTTACGTACCTCAAACATGGCGAACTTGCCGGGTTGTCGCCTTGAATGCTGCTGTTGTTGTGTGTGCTGCTGCTGGGATTGCCCTTTGCGTAATCCGCTCATGACTGACTGACTGACTGACTCCCTTGTCTCTTCTTCCAATCTCTTTTGCGCCGCCCTTCTTCACCTCCCACGTCGTTGTTCCTTGTTGGATGTTTGTGTAGGTATGTCACCAGTTGGGTTATGCTGATGCTGGGTGCTGGTGCTGGTGGCACTTTGCGTCCTCGTTTGAGCTTGATCGTGGAGCCCTCGATGGGACAATGGCCGTTGACTTGGTGACTGCTGGAGGTAGGCTGCAGCTATGCACTCTCGTCACCAGGTAGATACTGGCTGCATCACCCTTCAAACTGTGACGCAGCTTGTCCCTTCGTGCTGTCTCTGAGCGCGTCCGTCGTCCAAGGGCTCGTTTCGCGGTGATGGTAATAGCAGGCAGAGGGGATGTAGGGATAGGATATATGCGAAATCCATCCAGTAGAACAAAAGCGTAATTATAGAAACCACCGACACTGCGTCTGCTTCAAGTACTTTTCCTTTCCCACCTTGACTCGACACGAAAAAAAAAAGATCACAAATCCATGGAATTCGGCTTTTAGGCTTTTCATTTCAACCCTGTAGTGGCTGCTGGCCCACCAGCACACCAGCACACCAGCCTCACACAGCACAGGCAGGCAGAAGGGGGGCCCGCTTGGACGAAGACGCACGCCCTCATTCGTCAGTACCCCAACGCTGCCAATGCAAAGCAAGCCATCCACGCTTCTGACGCTGCATATTGGACCTTGGATTCTTGATTTGAGTGAATCCAACTGATCTGATCAAGATGGAGATGGACATTGTCATCCGTCATCACGACATTTACACACACTCTCTCTCTCTCTCTGTCTATCCTGCTGACTGCTCTGACTGCTGACTCCCGACTCTTTGCTAAGCATATACACACACAACATACACAGGTCACGAGTCATCATCATCATCATCATCATCATCATCATCGCCAGTCCCAGCTCGCCATCCATCTGCTGTCTGCTGAGGACCAAATCTTTTTTCTATTCTTACTCACGCACGTCAGTGCGCGCCTAGCGGTAGCGCACTGGCAGTACAGTATTAGCAGCACGTTGCAAAATAAACGTCATGTCATCCCATCTTTCCCTTTCTCCCAGGCCGGCCAGCCTGCAAGACCTTGGCTCTGTTCTGAGATTGCTGATCCACTTGCACTTGGACGTGCAAGGCCCACAAAAGCAAGGCAAGACGTCGACGTCAGCACACGATTGAATACATTGTGATTACCGTCGGAGCAATTGGTTGTGCTGCTGTTTGAACGGCAAAGACATGGATGGCATGCTGGTGCTTGAATTGAAGCAGGTATGATCTCTACGTTTTGACATATGCTGCGCCCATCGTCTGTCCGGCTTCATCGTCCTTACTTCCGCCGTCGGAACTGTGACCCGAGATAGCCAGCCGTTGCTTCTTTAGCGACGATCGGAGCATTGTATCGTCATTAGCCAGTATATATATATCCTAATACCGGGGCCCGCATAGCCGCGCACGCGAGATCGGGATCCATCACTAATTACAGCCTGCTTTGGGGGTTGGGTAAACTGCCGATCTCAGATATCAGCACACCTCTCGCACGCACACTCGAATCCCCACGCCTTCTTCAACCGCGTCATCCGCCCATTCCGGCTCAACGCCCGCTCCTCCCCACTGAGATAAGTAATGCACAGCTCGCTTCCAGCCTCGACGTCCCGCTCCGTCGTAAAGACCCACGTGCTGCCAACCCGCTGCTTCAGCACGTTCGGCGCACAGCTATGGTTGAAGTAGCTTGCCGACGGCCACACTCCGTATCCGAAGAACTCGGCGCCGTCGTCCTCGAGCGAGCGGATGCCGAAGCTGTTGTGCGAGTCGCGCGTCAGGACCGTCAGGACCGTCTCCGCCGTCGTCACCTCGAGTAGTTCCTCCGGCAGGACGGCGAGCAGATGCAGATAGGAATTGACATGGCTCCTCAGCTCCTCGGTGGAATTGTACGGTCGCGCGTTGGACGCAAGCGCGAGGACCGCCGACCACACCGCCGACGACCTATACCGGTGCAAGACGGCCGACAGCTGAAGCGGCAGCGTATCCGCCGACACAGGATTCGAGATAGCTTGCTGGACAGCCTTCCGGTGCATCTTCGTCGACATGCCCGTTCGCGCCTCCCGGACGAGCAGAGCTTGATTCCTCACTCCATGCCAGGCAGCCTTGATCTCCGCGCCGCCCGGCCTCGCCGCATCCGCATCCACCAGCTCAGCATCCTCCCTCGACCTCGCCCTGACAAGCCGCTCCACGGCCGCCCAAGCCCGCAGCGTCACCCCGTCCTGGCTCTTCCACGCCTGCTCGCACGCAGGCGTGCAGAAGGCGAAGCCACGGAGTGCGTCCCGCTGCTTCAGGTTCTTGCCCCGGTCGTACGCGAAGCAGAGCGCACATACCTCGCGTCGGTACTCGCGCTGGATGACGTGGGCGGTCAGATCGTTGGCTGTGAAGACGTGTGTGCCTGCCGGTATGTCGCACGTCGCGAAGACGCCTCTCCCGGCGCTTTCGGACTTGGCTACTGCGAAATAGGGTGACGTGGGCGCGCCTGGCGGTGGGTCCATGGCCTTGACGGGCGGATTTGCAGTAAAGAGAGATTGAAGTCTATAGAGAGAGAGTGTGTGTGTGGGTTTGCTGTTATTCGTGGTGATGAATAGTGACACTCGCTCTATATCAAAGACGTATAAAGACGCTCAATAGGAAATTGCTAGGTTTGGACATGAAAGCCATGCCTGACATGTGAATTGTGGGTGCGACTCCGTGACGAAAACCCAGGAAAGTGCGTTGGAAGTGAAGTGGAAAGTGGCAATACGGTAATTAATGGGTAGAAAGATTCGATCCCGTCAGAAGGGTACCAGTCAAAGTACTTATTTTGTCACGCTCGGCTATGAAGGAGGAAAGCTCGATGGAGCGGTGTGCCGTTGAGGTCCAATTAGAACTGCTTTTTGATTCTCTAGCTTGTCCGTTCTCCTTAGCTTCCTTCCTTCCTCCGGTCCGCATCCGAAGATTGTTAAGAGCCATTATTACCTCGAATCGGAGAGTTTTACTACGCCGTATACACGAACTTATAGAAGAGTTAGGGTATCACACGTTACTGAATCTGTTTAGTTGCCTTATATATCTAAATGTCCTCTATACCATTCTAAAGTAGGCACTACTACTCTCTTCTCCAACGCCTAGCTAGAGACAAGAAGAACTCGCGTGCGGCAAAGAAAAAAAAAAGGGCAAAATATCAAAAGGAACTCTCTCTCGGGGAATCGAACCCCGGTCTCCCGCGAATCGGGTTGCGAACAACTTGACAAGCGGAAATCATAACCACTAGACCAAGAAAGACTTGTATGACGTCGGTCGCCAAGATTAGATTATACCTGGTTGTACATGGCTCTCAACTGAGATATGCAAGCTTGACCAATGAAACCCGGCTCTTGCTCTGTCTCCCTAACAGACCCTGGTCAGTCTGGACTTCGACACTAACAGCATCTCATTCTGGCATCCTCAGACCACCGAGTCATGCTATAGACGGTGCTGTTAGTCCTTCTTTCCTTCTTCGTCTCTCTTGTCTTTCTTGCCTTTTGCCCATTCATCGCACTACTCAGTGCTCTTGTGCGTCACCATGGCCGGCGACGAGGAGCCTCTCTTCTCCCAGCGACCCTCATCCGAACACACAAACGACCGCGACCTCGCGGAAGAAGATGCACTCCTCACCGGAGAGCGAACAGGCCGCTCAGCAGGCGTAAGAGGATGGAAATTCTGGCGAGAGGTTGGCCTCTTTGCATGGGCAGTCATCGCAACTGCGGCGGTGATCGTCCTGGGAGTAGTCTACCAGCGACACCAGCAGTCCGATTCGCCGCAAACAACCTTCACTGGGAAACGCAATTTGATATTCATGGTCAGCGACGGCATGGGTCCGACGAGCCTGACGTTGACAAGAGAGTATCTTCAGAACCAGAACAACCTGCCATGGGGAGCACAGCTGGAGATTGATAAGCACCTCATCGGACAATCTAGGACGAGATCAACGTCGAGCCTGGTGACCGACTCGGCCGCCGGAGCAACAGCATTCTCATGTGGCATAAAGAGCTATAACGGTGCGATCTCGGTCTTGCCAGACCATTCGCCCTGTGGATCAGTCATGGAAGCAGCCAAGAAAGCGGGATACACCACAGGTCTAGTCGTCACGACAAGAATCACAGATGCAACTCCCGCAGTCTTCGCCTCCCACGTCAACATGCGGGACGAAGAAGACCTCATCGCCACGCAGATGGTCGGAGAACATCCTCTCGGCCATGTCGTCGACCTCATGCTCGGCGGCGGACGCGCCCACTTCCTCCCCAACACAGTCCAAGGCTCCGCCCGCGCCGACGACCGCGACATCACCGAACTAGCAAAGAGCAAAGGCTACACATACATCTCGACGCGCGAAGAGTTTGACGCCCTCGACCACGGCGCAAGCCTCAACCTCCCCTTCCTCGGCCTCTTCGCCGACACCGACATCCCCTACGAAGTCGACCGCCGCACCCAAAACGCCACCTACCCAGCACTTCACGAAATGGCCACCACCGCCCTGCGCGCCCTCAGCGCCGCAACCGCACACTCAGACCACGGCTTCTTCATCATGATCGAAGGCAGCCGCATCGACCACGCCGGCCACGCAAACGACCCCGTCGCCCAAGTCCACGAAGTCCTCGCCTACGACGCCGCCATCTCCGCCGTCCTCGACTTCATCCACACCGAATCCACACCCACCCTCATGCTCAGCACCTCCGACCACGAAACCGGCGGCCTAGCCACCGCCCGCCAACTCCACCCTTCCTACCCAGACTACGCCTGGTTCCCAGGCGTCCTCGCCAACGCAAGCAAATCCGCCGAACGTCTCGGCCAAGAATACCACGCCCAGCTCTCCGACACCAACAACAACAACAACGACACCCTCAAAACATGGCTCACCCACGCCCTCGAACAAGACCTCGGCATCCACGACCACACCCCCACCGAACTCACCACCCTCCTCACCAGCCCCGCCACCGCCCCCTACACCTTCGCAGACATGGTCTCGCGCCGCGCCCAAACCGGCTGGTCCACGCACGGCCACTCGGGCGCCGACGTCAACATCTACGCCTCCGACCCGCGCGCCGCCGCCCCGCTCGTCGGAAACCACGAGAACAGCGAGGTCGGCCAGTTCCTCGCGGATTTTCTAGATGTTGATCTGGCGGAGGTGACGGAGGAGTTGCGCGAGAAGGCGGTTTTGTATACGCTTGGTTGGATGGGCAGGGTTCCTGGTGTGGGTGAGCGGTTGGATGGGCAGGATCATGTGGATCATTATTTGGGGGATTTTAGGAGGAGGGGTAGGAGGTGTGTTGGGGGTGTTGGGGGGTGATGGGTGATGGGTGATGGTGGGATTGCCTGTCATGTCGGCGTGCGTGTGTTCTGGGGAGGGGAGAGGGGAGTGTTGAATGGTTTGTTTGTTTGTTTGGGGCAGGCGTCTGAGGTATTGCCCGCGCGCGTGTGTTTGTTTTAGATAGTGGGTAATTTGGGCGTTCGAACGGTTGGGGGGCGGGGGGGGGGACATATCTTCTGCGAGACTTCAAGTGTGCTGAAAACAATGTACTACTACTAGCTATTAAAGGTCAAGCTGCCTCCTCTTGTGCAGGGCTATAATTTGTTTTAAACCATTAGATTATCTATCTTCTAATGTTGTTTGACAAAACTGTTGTTTCTGCAAACACCCCCATGCTTTTTGCTCTCTCTCTCTGTCTCTCTCTCTCTCTCTCTCTCTCTAGATAGATAGATAGATAGATACAAACGCCTGCGCCATGTCGTCCGGCTTGGCTTTTTTTCGCCAAGTCAGTGAGTCATTTATGCGTGTATGTATGTATGTATATACATGACTGCCAGGAAACCTGTGCCGGGCCGAAAGGGGGGTATTCACTCTACACAACGCCAAACTATACATATACACCCGGACACCATAGGTACAAAAGACGCCCCGCCAGCCCCCCTCCCCTCCAAACCCTCACGCAACACCCTCCTCCTTCTTCCTCAGCGCCTCCAGCTGCGCATCCACGCGCTCCTTCAACGCCGGCGTCATCAGCATGCCCTCCTCGGCCAACATCTTGTTCTTCTTCGGCCGGAGCCAGCGCTCAAAGTACTCGCAGTTACTCGCGCTCACGGGCCCGCCTTCCTCGCACAAGTTGAACACGGGGCATCGACTACATGGCGCGCGCGTATACCCGTTTCCTTGTGCGTTTCCGTGTCCGCTTCCGCTTCCGTAGTCTTCCATGTCCCATAGACTGCCGGACGGGGCTTGAGAGTCGCGCGGTAGGCCAAGTGCGGGTCGAGCGACGCGGTATGTTTCGTCGGACATGGCTTCTAGCTTGCCGTCGTAGACCATGGCGTCCAGGACCATTTGCAGGTCGTGCTTGGTGAGGGTGACGTTGTTGAGGACGCGCTTGTCGTTGAACTCCTTGAGCAGGCTGTCGGTGGTGTGGTAGTCGGAGTAGTCGGGCGGCATGGGCCGGACGATGGGGCGCGGGTCGGGCGGCTTGAACTTGCCGGTGCTCGTCGACGTGCCGCCGGGGTACGCTGCCGCCCACTCGTCGCGCGGGATGTGCTCCCAGGAAATGTCCCAGCTGCGGGCCTGGACGATGACGCGGATCATGTTGCTCATTTCGTAGATGAGGCCGGCGTCGAGCTCGCCGCCGTCGTAGAAGGCGCCGCCGGCGACGTCTTCGGCGGCAGAGAGGTGCCAGAGCATGTACATTTTCTTGGTTGGGGATTTGACGCTGACGATGAGCTTGATGAGCTTCTTGGACTCGAGGGACTTGATGGCTTTGTTGAGGACGTTGGTCTGCATGTTTGCGCGGGCCTTGAGCGTCTTGGTCCACAGGCCGGCCGTCGAGGAGTCTTCGATGTGTTGGTAGACGAGGTCTTCCATTTCGGCAGGGTTGGTGCGGAGGCTGGATTGGGGGGGTTCGTATCAGTCATACAGTTGGTACAGCTTCGCAGTCACAGTCAGGAAGAACATACCGCTTCGCAACATCCTCTGGTCGCAGCTTGAAGAGCACTTGGCCATCCTGGGATGTGTAGACTCTTACAAGGTGATTGTTGACCAGCCATTGCACGGCATTACCGGTCTCTGCTCTTGGAACTACATTGTAGCTTTCAAAGTCCTCTTGTGCGAAGAAATAGTCTGGATCGCGCTCCAAGTGCTCCTGGCACGCGCCGTAGAGCGCTTGACCCATGGCCTGACTGGCTTTCTCCTTTGCCATGTCCGCGGGGGACATTTTTGGCGCCATCTTTGGGGAAAGGCAGAATTGGGGGACGACGCTATCGTTCGATCATGGGGGTCCAGCTGTGACCGTCGAAAGGAATGGTGCGTGTTGTCGGCGAAGAAAAGGTTCAGAGCTGGAGTCAAAATTCAGAGCTGGCTGGGTAGATTTAGAGGTTGAAGTGGGGCCGTACCGGTGAAAGCTACCTGACTCTTGCAGCCTCAGGCATCAACACCTCATGATAAGCCCAGGCCTTGCTTAAATGACGTCTCAAATCAATATTACCGACCGTAGAATGCACTCTTGACAAGCTTGCCCATCACGAAGTATCAAACGCACTCACAGATGCATCAAAAACTGTTACAAATTCAACAGTATATTGTATCTGCATAGAACATTTCCATCCTCAATACAATACAAGCCTGCACACGAAAGATTCTCGTAACGCGCGACACTGCGCAGTCCAGATGCCCGCTAAAAAACGGCCAACAAACCTAGGCACCAAATACCACCGACATCATAGAGAGAAGCAATTGTGTTGCTGCCCGATAGATACCCCGTAACGCCTTGCAAATGATAAATCAAAAACATAGCCAGCGTGGTCGTGATAGACTTGAGAGTAATATGGCAGTATCAAAAAAAAGGTTATCTCGATATGCAATTGGCGGCTGTCTTTTTATGCGTATGATTCAGTTAGTTGCACGCCCCGCTGTCGTTCAGGCTCGCCGATGGGCCTTCTCGGGACGGAGCTGGAGCGCTCTCCGTCGCTGCGGTGGACTCCAGGCGGAGTGTGGATCGTTGCCTGCACAGGGGGTATCGTCTGCGAAGGATATGAGGTATCTTCTAGGTTATTGTTGGGCTCGTAGGGGCTGATAGCGCCGCGTTGAGGGTTCGAGAGTGTGTACTGGCGCGACAAGTCGTCGTATTCGTCTTCGGACGAGGACTCGTCATAATTATCGTGGCGAGGAGGAGCCTGTAGGAAGGGATTGCGGCCTGGAGGGACTTGCTGCGAGTATGTTGAGCTTTGAGTCTCTTCGCGGCGCGGTACTCCATAGCCAGGTGGTGCAGGTGGGTTGTACGGAGATTGGTTGTTGACTGCTCGTTGTCGTTGGGAGGCGGATATCTGTTCGCGAAACACGTTGCCTTGGTGCTCAGCGACACCGGTCGACGATCCGGATCCCCGGCGCTCCTCGTCCCTCACTTTTACGATGGGCTGCAGTGGTATAGAATCCTCGTGAACGAGTCTCTGTTCCGGAGCTAGGGGATCTTTGCCCCAGCTTCGGATGGGGTATGCCCGTCCTTTTCTCCACGTCTCAGATACTGGTGGAAAGTATTGCCGGTAAGATCCCCACGCAGTGAGCATCCCAAGCAGACTTCCTGTGATGACGTCGAACGGGTGGTGACGAGCGTCCATGATTCGCGAGCCAGCTATTAAAGCTGCAGCCAGGGTGGGAACCATGACGATAAACGTCTTCCAGACCTCGCCTTTGGAGTCTAATACGTGCATTTTCGCTGCCAAGTATATGGAAAGGTAGAACAGCCCGGCAAACGCAGCTAGATATGTTAGTGGCCGGTATCGTGCGTCTCAAGTCGTACTCACAGCTGCTGTGACCCGAAGGGAAGCTCTTGAAGCCATCGCGGAAGATGTATTGATCTTCCTGCGTGCAAATAGTATAGTTTGAGAGCAGTAGCGGGCCAGGATCCTCTGTAACAAGAGGTTTACATCGATCTATGAGGTCTGGCCTCGGCTTTCCAATCGCGTTCTTCAAGGCTCCAGTTATGGTGAAGGCGGCACCAACCGCAAGAGCGAGACCGAGCAGGCCGCAGTTGAACTCCCATAGCCTATCCTTGAACCTGTATCGCCCCGTGAGCATTCTCCTCATCCCCGACTTGGGCGCAGTCGGTATCGCGTGCGAAAACAGGCCATCGATGACCAGAGTGTAGACTGCGATCACGGCGGCTGGAAACCCAACGACCAGCACGATGAGCAGCGGGACTGGCACTCGCTCCTTGACGGCATATGTATAATGTAGTGTGTAGTTCTTCAGAGAGAACTGCTGGTGGTAGGGCTCGATCTTATCGATTGCGTAGAAAGCGCCAATGAGGACTCTGGATTTATGGTCAGGCAACTTGAAAGGCTGGAATAGGAAGTTGGTCGCGTGCTAGAGACTTACATTATTATCAAGTAGTCGAGGACATATCTACAGGACGGTATAGAGTCAGAAAAGAAAGTCTGTCAAAGCTTGGTTGGGGGGGAGAAGTACGAGAATATGACCCTCTTTGGCAGCCTCTTCTTGGAAAATGGCAGCTTCTGATTGCCTGCGAACCGATCCATGGTGAAGTGGGGAGCTCTCTAAAGCCGCGCTGCTCCAGAGCTTGAGGATGGACAAAGGGATCGTGAGAAGTTATATGCGAGAAGGTGTTTGAAAGAGAGCAAAGTCGGTGTTCAAAGTCAAATAGGGCGTGGAAGTAGGGCAGCGGCTGAGGTCGTTCGAATTGCCGCTTGTTGGTGGAGGATGATGCAGCGCTGACAGACTCTTGGTCGGGGATCCAGGATGAAATGAAGAAGAAGCCAGGAAACAGGACCGGCAACGAGACACGCAACCGGTAGATAATTGAGGGAATTCACACAGCTCAACCAGTAGAGATTAGCGCAACGCCGCAAAGAAAAGAAAAAAAGTAAAAAGGCAGTGAAATGGAATGGGAACAAGCGAACCCCCTGGCCGTTGCGTTGCCGTAGCCGTTGTCCTTCTTCTTCTCTCCGCGAGTCGAAGAAAAGCGGGCTACGAATGGCATCAGAGGGAGGTGGCAGATGGATCTACTTGATTTAATTACTACTATTACTTTACTAACACTAATCACTCCCTTTGGAGGCATAAACGAAGAAACAAGTCCACTATTACCGCCGGCCTGCACAGCCCACAACACCAGACAACAAAGACTCTCCACTCTGCGCAACCTGACTGGCCCGAATTCTGAAACTCCAAGTTTGGCTTCCCTAATTACAGCGGAAACGCGCGTATCCTCTTTGGCAGCACCATGACGAATTCACTTCGCCTCATCTCTGCGCAATAGACTACCGCTACATGATTTCATTGCTACTTTGCCCATTGATCGTCGCCGGCATTAATTAGTTGACATGTCTGTTCCCAATGGCTAGATCCTAGAACCATGAAGCGTCGGCGCGCGCCTGTCTGTGGCGGTGTGTGCGCTATTTTTGTATGTATGTAGTATGTAGCTGGCACACAGCGCTGGATGGCCAGTGTCCAAGTCACCAGCATTGTACATTGAGTCATCCGTTCGACACTGACAACAAGTGGTACATACACACTCTACTCACTTTCAACCCTACAACTTCTTCAGACGTCAAGATAATGTTTAAGGTTGGAAGTTGGCCCTTTCGGAACCCCTAACTGGCTTCATTCCCCGGCAACAAGTAGCAGTTTAGTGTGAACCACCCAGTCCCCACCAGCCCACGACCGTTGCTTCAGCCTCGAGAAGACGGGCTCTCTAATATCTGCATACACGCAATGTATTTCTAATATAATCATCCACTCTTGTATATACCATGATCTCTATCCTGTGGTAGTGCCCCATAGACATCTCCCCAAGAAAGCCATGTTCTCCTCCTCTATCCTCCCCACACCACCCCGCGCCCTCTACACAGCAGCCCTAGGCCTCACATCCCTCACCACCACCCTCCTCCTCCTCCGCCACATCTCCCTCCACGCATTCAAATCCCCCCCCTCAGCCGCCAAGCAATGGATCGATGGCCCCCGAAAAACCCTCTTACCACACCTGTCGCCGCAAGAGCAGAGGAAACTGGCCTATCCACCTGATGCGCTGCCAGGCGCACGTGACGTCGATACCCCTTTCGGCAGCATCAGAGTATACGAATGGGGGCCCGAGGACGGGGAGAAGGTGTTGTTCGTGCATGGGATAAGCACGCCGAGCATTGCGTTTGCGAATCTGGCGCCGAGGCTGGTGGATGGCGGGTATAGGGTTATGCTATTCGGTATGTATGGACAACCACTTTCTGCATCTCCCCCCCCCTATATATATACCCCCTTCTCCCCCCTCCACCACCTCTCAGCCATCATAATCATAATAACATCCCCGCCCCCCTCCGACAGACCTCTTCGGCCGCGGCTACACCGACGCCCCCCTCGCCCCCTACTCCGCCCTCCTCTACACCTCCCAGATCCACCTCGTCCTCGCCTCCTCCCCGCTCCCCTGGCTCGCCCCCTCATCCTCCTTCCACATCCTCGGATACTCCCTCGGCGGCGGCCTGGCCGCAAACTTCGCTGCCCATTTCCCCGCCCGCGTGCGCTCGCTCGTGGCCATTGCGCCGGCGGGTCTGCTGCGCTACACCGCCATGTCGTGGCGCACGCGCATCTTCTACGCGCCGGCGGTGCAGGCCGTCATGCCGAGATCGTGGCGGGACGGCGTTGTGAGGCGGATATTGTGGAGTGTGGGTGGTGTTGAGAGGGAGGAGGGGGGCGTTGTGGGTGCGGATGAGGTGGGCATGGCGGCGGGTACGGGGGATAGTGATGGTGAAGGGGGAGACACGGACGATGGAGTGAAGACGTATGAAGCTGGGCGAACGTGGACGGCGGCGGCGTGTAATCAGGCAGTGAACGAGAGTCTGGATACGCATGCGGGGCTGCCGATGGCGTTTGTGTCGAGTCTGCAGCATGCGCCCATCTACGGGCAGGAGGACGAGTGGCGGCGGATAGGGTGCCGGGTGCTGATGATACTGGGCGCGCGGGATCCGATCATCAGGCTGGCGGAGTATGGTCCGAGGTTTGAGCGGCTGTTTGGCGAGGAGCAGCGGAGGTTGGTTGTTTTGGATGCGGGTCACGAGGTGCCGATTAGTCATGGTAAGGAATGTGCGGAGGCCATCTTGGGTTTTTGGAAGGAGTTGGAGTAGAGGTGTGAGGGATGTGAGAGGTGGGTTTTTATGTGTGAATGGAGATGGGCATTATCCAGGAGCTTGCATAGAATTTGTTCGCTGAGATTGGACGCTTGGTATCATTTACATGGAAGATGGCTTGCTCATAGCTTTGCGCCGCCGGATTCTATCATCTTGAGATCGCTCTCCTCGAATGGGACATATCGTCCGTCCTTCATCCAATACATCCGATCGCCAGTCTTGGCTATCTGGTCGACTTGAATCCCTTGCTCGCGCAGCGTAGCCTTCTGCTGCTTGTTCGTTCCTGTAAGATCCATAGCGCGGGTAAAGCGCAGGAACAGCGGTACAGCGTACTTTGGGAGGTTCTTCGAAGCTTGCGAGGCAATTGCTGTGAGTATGCTTTCCGGGGGGACTGGCACCGGAGATGGTGAGGATGATGAGGTCGTCAGTGTAGCCGTAGACTCCTGGTCTTTGAGGATGATGGCTGCACAGCCAGCACGGCCGTCATGTTTGGGAACCAGAACGCCATATATGTTGGCCTCCGCCACACCAGGAGTAAGACCAACCACTTCGCCTACTTCGGCAGTACTGACATTTTCGCTGCGCCATCGGAACGTATCGCCGATGCGATCGACAAACCAGACGCGGCCTTCACTGTCTCGTCGGAGTAGATCCCCGGTGCTGAAATAGGCATCCCCTTTCACCAAGACATCTCGTAGGATCTTCTTGGAGGTAGCCTCCTTATTGCCAAAGTAGCCTTGGAATGTACTCTTAATATCCTTCTCATCCAAGCGATAAAGAAGCTCTCCTGGCTCGTTTTCATCGACTGGGATGCAGAACCCAGTCTTAGCGTCACGTATAGCGGAATTGGTCTCGTGGTCGAATTTGACAGTGGTGGAGCCTCCAGCCATCAATTTTCGGATGATCAACCCAGATCTGCCAACAGCTCCACGTGCAAAGTCGTTCTTACTGCGATTCATCATAAGGCCGGGTCCTTCGGTCGCAGCATAGAACTCGCATACCATAGGTATAGCGAATCGTTTCTGAAAGACTGGCCAGACATCAGGACGAAGGCCATTGCCATATACCAGACGGACGTTATGCTCAGTGTCTGTCGGCAGTTCGGGGGCAGATAAAAGATATCGAAGCGTCTCTCCTACGTATTGAACCATTGTCGCTTTCGAAGACTGGACTTCCGACCAAAATGTCCGCACGCTGAAGCGTTTTCCTAGAGAAAGAGTTGCACCAGTCTGTAAAGCTGCGCCCATTGCCATTACGCTCGCTGAGCTGTGATATAGAGGCATGCACTGTCCTCTGCGTTAGCTATGTTTGAAAGAACAGTGACAAGTCGAACTTACTGTGTATATGATATCGGTCTTATAGGCAGGTAACATGCTAGCTGTGAATAGCGAACCCATTCCGATCTTGTGCCAGCTGACCACAGCAGGTTTCGGCAAGCCAGTCGTCCCACTCGTGTAGATCAACATGGCCATATCGGCTTGAGTTGCTCCTGCGCGAACTTCATCCGGATCCCTCCATCCTTCGGCACTCGATAATATCTGGTCCTCTGTCGCTCGGTCCAAAATCACCACCTTGACTGAGCCGCCATCGTCTCTGAAGGACTCATTACTGAAGTTCTGCCTCACTTCTTCTGTGAGCTTCTCTTGTACTTCAGGATCGACGATGATCAGACGAGCTGTGCTAGCTTTAACGCTGTGGAGCAAAGGTATCCCGGTCAGGTTGTAGTTGATGAGCGCAGGCCTCGCCCCCAGGTTCCATAGGGCAAACATCAGAAAGATCATAGTATCGCCGTTCGTAAAGTCAAGCGCTACAATATCGTCCTTCTTCACACCCATATCTTCCTTGAGCCAACGCGCGTACCTCAGCACGCACATGTATGATTCCTTGTACGTCCATGTCTTGCCCGAAAAGACCAGGAACGGATGATCGGCCTCTTTCTTGTTATTCGCACGGTCTTCGAGATCGTAGAACATGCTCATGCGATCGCGCCGGAGCCGCAAGCGCATACGAATCCCGCTTGATATAAGTGCGGATAGGACATGGAAGTCTGCAGTAAGGCCATATTTGCCATTAAGATACGCGAGTGACGCAGTCGCTAGAGGAAGAGCTATTGGGAGGCTCAGAGATCCCAGAAGACCTAGACAGCGTAAGCTCTCAATCTAGTGGAGAAGACGTCTAAATAGCAATACGTACCAGCCATGATGTTCCGTACGTGTTTTGTTTCGTAAAAGGGGCCTCAGTGTGCGTTGCAGCTCATTGGAGCTCGGAAGATGAAGCTTCAGGATAGGTATATGGTCTTAATCCTCAGCTATAATGTGGCATGATTCGGCGCGATACACCCGGAAGTGAATCAAGCGGACTGATAAAGTGCATTTTTCGGACAGCCCTAATGCCTCGGCTCGGTGACTGTTGTATCTAACGCCAACCGACATCGAGGGCAACAAGAACAATAAGGGCTTCATCCGGTGCGCGTGGATTGGCGGGTTTGGATGGCGACGGTCTGGTTTGCATGCGCGGCAGCGAGCCCGGTCGCCTCTAACAAGGCAAAGATGCATAAGACGTCCGAGCGACCTATTATACGAATGACATGAATCAACGAAGACGTGGATTCCCCGCAGTGTTGCAGACGCCAACGCCCAGACCAGAACGCCCAGAGCGCCCCGAGTAGCACGTTCTGCTCACGTTGCGCTATGCCGTGTCAGGTCATGTTATTGGCTGGAGGCCTCCTACACTACAGTCCAGTGTATCATGAATGTCCGACGTCTGCTTAGGGGCAGTCAGCAGCCTTCTTAATTAGTCATTACAATGGTCGTGACGACAACTTCCAAGTATCGGGTCAATATCAGCAGGCATAGATCGTGCCGTGAGATCGGAGACATTCCACTCATTTCAAGTTCTAAGCCCGGAAAAATCCTGCTTCAAACATCTAGCTATGAAGGACACACATTCTATCTATGTTCTGCGTGCTTGTGGCGAGTGTGTCTCTGACAAGGCCCGGTAAACCAAAGCGATACGTCTTTCCAAGTATCTTATCTCCAAGTTATGGTAGTTTTGTATTCAGGTACTTGATCAAGTGACACAACACCTACCCCTCTGATGAAGGCAGATGCTTCCTTTCCAAAGGGCGTAGATTAGAATTAACAGGCTCTCCGGCTGACCAGATTCACAAGTTGCGTTCTTCGCTGATAGAATGCGGCGACAATGCCAGCCTTCTCTACGAGCTGGCAAACACCACAGCAGGATACACAGCACAGGACCGACTGCAGTCGGATGCCTTCAGAGCTTCGTGCCCAAACTACCTGAAGGACGCCAAGTCGAGAAACCATTCTGATGTTTGATCGACGGTCTCGCAATCAATTGGCGGTGGAGTGAGGACAGAGACGGGTCACAGGAGACTCGGATTGCCCTGTTCTGTTCAGCCACTCGGCGGGGCATTTCCCCTCACCCCTAGAAGTAAGTAGCAGCCCAAAAGGGTGTCGGAGAATGGGAGAGGAAGGACATTAGCAGGGAGTTGTGCTTATGATGAGTGTTGTTGGACTGTGGCGATGCTGAGGAATGGACGAGGATGAGAATGCGGATTTCCAAGTTGATGAGTAGACATGCACCTGTATCATGTCTAGTAGGACCGAGTGTGCTAACCTGGAAGGCAATTAATAGTGTGTCCGTGATTAAAACGCGAGGGTGAGGCGACGCGAACGCGCTCCGACCAGGCCGTGGAGCTCTCTGCTAATTGGGCGAATCTGCAACTCCACACAGCTAAACGTTACCCTACACTGCTCACTTTGATTCATGGACCTCCATTCCTATTACCACCCTACCACTCTTTCACTCTTTTACTCTGCATTGTTCCTTCTCCACCTCATCCACGCCCCTCCTCGCTCTTACACTTCTGAATAGCCACTTTATATACCTTTCTGTTGACACCACCGCCCTTCAACGAGAGCCTCATCCGCCAACATGAAGGCCTCTCCTCTCCTCGTTTCCTGGCACAATGAAAACGCTGCCGTTTACTCTGCACACTTCGAGCCCAATGGAAAGGGTCGGTTGGCCACTGCTGGCGGTGATAATAACGTCCGAGTAAGTCTCAATGCTACCCTTCTCACTCGACTCTGCAGAAAGCTGATGCAAAAAAACAGCTCTGGAAGATTGATGGAGCAGGAGAGGAGCGTAAAGTCACCTACCTCTCGACCCTTATGAAACATACACAAGCTGTAAATGTCGTAAGATGGAGTCCAAGAGGTATGAATCACCAGATAATCCTGCTGTGAAGACGAGTTAATGGTCAATACAGGCGAGATGCTGGGCAGTGCTGGTGACGATGGTAACGTCCTGCTGTGGGTTCCTTCTGAGACCCATAGCCATCAGAGCTTTGGAGAAGACAGTTCGGAAGACAAAGAAACATGGAGGGTAAAACACATGTGTCGATCGACTGGTACTGAGATTTACGACATGGCTTGGTCGCCTGACGGGCAGTTCTTCATCACTGGCAGCACCGACAATGTCGTGAGAATATACAATGCCCATACAGGTCAGTCACTTACTTGGAGACAGAAATCTAAGCTAACACGCCGTAGCTACCATCGTCAGGCAGATTGCCGAGCATAACCACTATGTGCAAGGTGTTGCTTGGGATCCTCTCAACGAGTTTGTTGCTACGCAGTCCTCCGACCGATCCGTCCACATATATACTCTTAAATCAAAGGATGGCCAGTTCTCACTCAGCCAACACAACAAAGTCACCAAGATGGATTTGCCTGCGAGACGTATCTCCTCCACGAGTCCAGCACCTCCGGAGTTCACAAGCAGGGCAGCAGCACATTTCGTAGCTGAGAGCTCTGGTGTCGCCATTGGATCACCAGTTCCATCCGCGCCCGGAACGCCCAGTTCGCTCGCTCTTCCAATGAATCCTCCCCCTACATCGCACAGTCGAAGGTCGTCTTTCGGATCTTCCCCGTCCATACGGAGATCGGCTTCACCCGCTCCCTCGCTCCCACTACCAGCGGTAATGCCTTCTGCATCTCCTAGTGTACACGCTGGACTTGGTGTCAGGAATGCTGCTCTCTACCAGAACGAGACATTGACGTCTTTCTTTCGGCGGCTTACCTTTGCTCCCGATGGTAGCTTGCTGTTGACCCCTGCAGGACAATATAAGACTCTTCATCCCACCTTGCAAGACTCAGCAAAGACATCCGAAGACATCATCAATACCGTGTACATCTACACCCGTGCAGGCCTCAACAAGCCTCCAATCGCGTACCTGCCAGGACATAAAAAACCATCAATCGCCGTTCGATGTTCTCCCATCTACTACACACTCCGATCCGGCGCAACAGCAACTAAACAAATCACAATCGATACTTCTTCTGCAGAAGATGAGATTTCAGCGTTACCAGAGCCTGCCTTACCGCCCAAAGCACCGACACCCTCTTCAGCCATGGAGCCACCTCCACTTAGCAGCGCTACCTCACCCTCACCTTCGGCGAGTATGACAGCTTCCTCTCCTAAACCGTCTGAACCAGAACCTCCTGTATCATCCACTTCTGCCGGGCCGCAGAGCGCCTTCAACCTCCCGTACCGAATGGTATATGCAGTAGCAACGCAGGACGCAGTTCACGTATACGACACGCAGCAAATGAAGCCTCTGTGCGTCGTTAGCAATCTCCATTTCGCAACCTTCACCGATTTAACCTGGTAAGCAACTCTTTTACGTAGATTCAGCACCTTACTTACATGAACTACAGGTCGAATGACGGCTTGACCTTGCTGATGACCTCGTCGGATGGATTCTGCTCATGTCTCACCTTCTCTTCTGGTGAGCTTGGACAAGTATACCACGGAACGACTCATATCACTCCGGCGACTAAGCAGATACCGACCTCTATCAATACTGCAGCTTCGTCTGCTCACTCAACTCCTGTACCAACCCCAACAACAACGAGTGCAGCTATGACGAAACAGCCTTCGCAGCCCGGTTTCGCGGCATCGCCATCCTCTTTCGCGTCTGCTAGACCTGCTAGTCCTGCTCGGTCAATGTCCACTTCCTCTGTTGGGACGCAGGCGTCAAGCTTTGCTCCATCAGATGCACAGGGAATCAGTTTATCTCACGCTACCCCATCTATTGGACAAATTCCTACGGTTGCGGCTGCGGCCTCTGGGGCAATATCTGGGGTGCCTATGTGGACACCTCCAATGACTCCGAGTCATGGTCAGGGCACTCACAGTGCATCGAGCTCAATTAGCGGCGCTGTCACAGCGCCGGGGAGACGAGAGAGTGAGTCGGAGAAAGAGGACGGCAAGGACTCTCGGAAGAGAGAGGCTGAACCAGAGATAGAAGAGAGCCAAACGAAGAAGAGGCGAGTAGCCCCGACTTTGGTAAATTTGGATACGAATAAGTGACGAAGCATTTGCGCTTCGCTCTTTTATCGGTCGCACCCATCTCCAGGGTCTGTACTATTAATGCAGCGTTTATCGACGGCGTACAGCGTGGAGTTATTTGGTGTTTCAAAGGACATGCAGGACAATGCTTCGTCCTAGGGCATTACCAGTGGGAACGCCGAAGGATGAAATTTATTGACTTTGAAGATGAGGCATGTCTATACTGTCAAAGTCTTAGCGGCAGCGGTTATGTACTTGCTACGGACGGAAGATAATACCCGAAAACCTTGATGCATTTCGCCATGACACCTGTCCTACCATTTGCGCCTCTGAACGTCTTGACCTCTTTCGTATGCGACATGTAACAGCAGTTCGGATCGTGAAGCCAAGCTTGAGGATAGTGCACGTGCTCCTAGGACGGGTTGACAACGTCCCCAGCGCTCGGCGCTTGTCTCTAAATGGCCAGCACAGAACGGCGTTCAAAGGATGATGACGATGATGTCGCATCCATGCAAGCACTAACGATCACACGAGGTTTGGAAAGGTTGCAACTCGATGTGCAATCGGCGCCAATCACAGCGGGTGATCTTATACGAAAGCATACTAATGCCGACAACACGACCACCAGTCGCCTTGTCCTTGGTGGGGCCGTGGACCGAAAAAGCTCGTAGCGGAAGAAGGAACTGGTGCACTTATAAGGCAATGACATGACTGTGGTTGCGCGCCGGCTACTTACCCTTTTGTGCTTCATCCCCAATCTTTCAGTCTGAACGACTTGGGATCTAAGAGCTGGGACAGCTAGGATTTCAAGGCTCACGTGCGCATGGAAAGTTGAGATACGCCATGTCAGACGCGGAGAACACCCTCAAGAATGGAGAGATCGATCCATTTCGGCGTCCGGCGGAGCTGAGCGACGACGGCGATGTCAACTCTACGCACAAGGAGGATGTTTTGTCGCTGGAGCATACAGACCCGGTTCTGCATGCTAAAATGCATCTCATCAACAACGTAAGACTTGGACTGGCCTGGATGTGTCTCTGATCCTGAGACTCTACAGGCGATTGACGAGATCGGCTTCACCGGCTATCAGACGAAGCTGTTCATCTTGAACGGCTTTGGGTATGTTCAACGAGTTCATGTATCATCTTTGTACAGCATCTAATAAGAAGTCAAGCTACGCTGTCGACTCGCTCGTTCTACTGATACAGTCTGTCATCGCCAGCAAAGCCGCTCTTGAGTTCCATCCATCATATGACACTGCCTTAACCATCGCAGCCTACTGTGGTATGCTTGCTGGTGCGCTTTTTTGGGGCATGAGTGCCGATATAATCGGACGCAAATTCGCATTCAACTTCTCCTTGATCTTCTGCTCGGTGTTTGCTATAGTGGCGGGTGCTTCACCAAGCTGGCCTGTTCTTGGGACCTTTATTGCACTGTGCAGCTTTGGTGCAGGTGGAAACCTTGTAAGCATCATGTCTACCATATTCTGGTTTATTGAATGTGCTAATGAGCGACTATATCAGGTCCTTGATACAGCAGTCTTCTTGGAGTATCTTCCTAGTAAGCAACAGTGGCTCTTGACGCTGATGGCCGCATGGTGGGGTTAGTACTGATATATTCAATCTTCTTTCGACATGTGCTGACCTTTCCGAGGCGTTGGCCAGCTCATCGCAGGCCTCTTTGCGTGGGCGTTCATCCCGAACTTCAGTTGTCAGGATCCCACAATCTTCCCTGACGCCGCTCCTTGCACGCGCGGCATCAACTGGGGTTGGCGCTACGTCTGGTTCGCCTCTGGTGCTCTTGTGTTCGTCATGTCCATTGCGCGTGTCTCTGTCATCCGTCTCAAGGAAACTCCAAAGTACCTTATCGGCGAAGGCAAAGACGCCGAAGTTGTCGAGACCCTCCAAGAGATCGCTACAAAGTACAATCGCCCCTGTAGCCTAACCCTCGCGAGCCTTGAAGCCTGTGGCATCATAGACTCACAGGTTCGTCGTAACTCCGTCGCGCACGCAAGCAAACGAGCCTCGCTCGCAGAGATCGGCCTCCACCTTCGTGGTCTCTTTACAACACGCCGTATCGGCACCTCCACCGCCATGATATGGTTCTCCTGGACGCTCATCGGTCTGGCATATCCATTGTACACCGTCCTTCTCCCGAAATATCTCGAGTCGCGCGGTGCGGCTGTGGGCACGACGTCCGAGTATATTCAGTGGCGGAATTACGCTATCATCAACATGTGCGGCATCTTCGGGCCTATTCCAGCTGGCTTCATGTGTGAGACTAGGCTTGGTCGAAAGTATACCATGGTCATTGGAGCGCTCACCACGATGGTGTTTCTATTCGCGTACACGCAAGTTCGTACCGCAGCCCAGAACCTGGGATTCAATTGTGCTATCAACTTCTGTCTGAATATTTACTACGGAACTTTGTATGCGTACACGCCCGAAGTGCTACCGTCTGCTCATCGCGGGACCGGGAACGGATTTGCGGTGGGTTTCAATCGCGTTATGGGAATATTGAGTGCAATCATTGCGGAGGAAGCAGATGTGAGTATTGCCGACACGGTGCTTCAAAGTCTGAGAGCTGACTTGAATGTAGCCGAGAACCGCAGTGCCGATCTATATATGCGCCGCGCTTTACGTTGTCATGGCTCTCGTTGCGGCGCTGTTTCCCTTTGAGCCAAGAGGTTCTCGGAGTAGCTAGTTGCTGGTATATCAATCATTTTGTCCCCAGAACGGATAGACTTGCACGTAATGCGAAGCACTGTATGAGTCTGACAGACACGAATTACCGTATCCACGTGGAGATTCCGAGTAAATGCCAAGCCTCCAAAAGTGTCAACCTAAGTCCGCGTCAGTCTAGCTAATTAGGTCATATTGAAATGTGTCTGCCTACGAATTTCAACATCAACACAAAACTTCATCTACAAGGCTTACGTATACTTCTGGCGTCACCGGTACCTGGAATTATTGAAAGGACTTGTTGAAAGGTGTATGCCTATATGTCGTCGAAATCCACCTTACATCGTTCTGCTTCACTAGTCTTTTCGTCAATCCGTCACGTCTGAGCGTACAGAAGATCGGTCAACTCAACATGCTTCAGCAGCTTCCAGCAGAGATCCAGATCCAGATTACCTTACCACTTGGATCTGAAGACCTCGCCAATGTCCGGCTATGCTGTCATTCACTCAACAAAGCTGCTCGGATTCGCTACTACGAGTCCATCCGCCTCGAACTCTCACATTCCTCATCTGCAACCTATCTGTTGCGCATACTAGATAATGCTGTAACGAACCTGTTTGCACGCAATCCAGCCCTGCCACCGCTCATCAAGCACGTCTCTCTTGACGGATTCTCCGTCTTCCAACGCCTCCGCACTATCGAACATGAACGCAAACGCACCGTCCCCCGAGCCCAGCTTCTCGACCCCGTCCTCAAACAAGTCTACCACGAATCCAAAGTCGCCGCATTACAAACCGCAATCGCCCGATTCCTCGCCCAACTCTCAAACCTCCAATCTCTCCACGCCAAACCCGCCCTCATCTTCACCCCCTTCTGGTCTCTCCCCATCGAACCCTTCACCGCCCTCCGCTCCCTCACCTACCTCTCCCCCAAACTCCTCGAACACGGTTCCGTCCCCCTCCCTCTCACCCCCTCCCTCCTCACCGCCCTCTCCCTCCTCCCAACCCTCTCCTCCCTCACCCTCGCCGGCCGCGACTACGCCCCACCACCACCCTCATGGCCCCCCAGCACAACCCCCCAGCTCCGCGCCCTCCAAACCCTCCATCTCCAAAACGTACACATCCGCGAATCCACCCTCGCCCTCATCCTCGCCACCACCCCATCCCTACACTCCCTCTCCCTCCTCCTCGCAATGCACGCTGACCCCGACCCCTCCGAGTCCCGCAGCCCCTTCCTCGACGCCCCTGCTCTGCGCTCCGCTCTCACCAGTCTTCCATCCCCGCTTCTCCTCTCCTACCTCGCGCTCCAGGTCGATTGGTGGACGACCAGCGACGTGGACGTGCGCTTCGGCGGCGGCTGGGAGGCGGGCCGCGTCGTGTCTGGCACTGACGATAACAACACCAACAACGCCAACAACGCCAACAACGACACCGTCGACTGGGGCATCCGCGGCGCCCTCGGCTCATTGTCGTTCCTGCGTAACCTGCGCTGCTTGCGCGTTGCGCCCCCGGTGCTGTTCGGCTGGGGTGGAGTGCCGCTGCTAGACGACGTGGTTCCTGCTGGGGTGGAGGAGGTTGTGTTTGGGGAGGACATGTGTAACTGGGATTGGGGCGGGCATGCATATCGGTGGGCGGTGACGGGGCCGGATGATGAGGAAGGCATTGGGAGGGGGTTTGGGCGGGCGGTGGGGCGGTGGTTGGATGGGGGGCAGCCTTTGGGGTTGAGGAGGGTTGTGTTTTTGTGTGGGTCTGGGTCTGGTGATGGTGGTGGTGGTGGTAGAGCGGTGACGCCGGAGAAGCAAGCTGAGTGCGATCGTGCTGCGCAGGAGATTCGAGAGATGAGGGTTGGCTCCGGGAGAGAGGTGGATGTTTTGGTGGTGGTGGCGGGTGGGTATCCGGGGTTGGATTGAGGTCTGCTCTCGCTGTTGCGTGCTTGGCCCTATCTTATCCGTCTTTTAATCGTGATACGACGATCGAGATCGTCACTCGTTTGTTGGTGCTGGGAGAATCCGCATGGTTTTCGCATACCTACTACCTACCGATAGGATAGGAGAGGAGGAGTGTGATCTAGCTTAGATGACTAGGGGGTTATATAACTGGGGATACGTGCTTAGAGGTCTTCCTGTGGTACCTTGGTCTCTATATCTAGAAATTTTACAAGGGGGTTTCATTCTAATAGAGATATTGTTATGTATGTTCTTTATTCACTATGATCTAATAGTAGTTGAGTAGAATGATATGGATATATACGTGATACGCTATACTCTATATCTTATAACAGCTAAGCAGTATACCATCTACCCGTGCTATGTACGTCGGAGATACCCTCTTTCATAGTTTTATAGAGTTTCTTATACTTACTAATAGAGATGTATATTATTTAGAGTTATAGTATAATTAGAATAAAGGGTAAGAAGAGTAAGAAAAGAGGAACTAACTATATACTTAAGTCTAAAAGTAGAATATAATATTCTTATTGTTTTTTTCTTTAGTATATAGTAGTATTAGTAGTAGACTTACTCTAAGCTGTTATCTAATATAGATAATAATAACTCTAGAAGGTTTTAGAAGGGCTATTTCGATATAGTTATAGTCTTAAATATCTGGTACAATTTTTGAAGATAGAACGTGGAGGTAGAAGAAATATTCTAAATATTGTACTTATACTAGTTCACTAGTTATGTATCACACAAGTCTTCGCTCTATATACGATACATGTCTCAATAACTAAACCTCCACTCCACCCTCTCGTCGCCCTCAATCTTTCTTCGGCCCTCGACCTCGCCCCTATTCACATCAGCATCCCCCGCCCCATCTGCCGCCGCCAACCTCTCCTTCCGCGCATTCTCACGCACCAACACGCTCCTCAACACAGCCACAACCACGACATTCGCCACCAGATACCCGAGCGCAAATCCGTGTCCGAGCAGATACCGCGGCATAGTCGCGGGGCGATACAGCTGCGTACCCAGCACAGCGCCCAAATTGCCAATGCTGATCTGCATGGCCGTCGCCGTGGCGCGCTTCGTCTGCCCGCTGACGTTGAGGGCAGGCCACGAGAGGCCCAGCGCCACGGACGGGTATATGCCTGCGGCGGCGAGGAAGGTGCCTGCGTATGAGAGCGCGGGCCGGTGGCGTGGGTCTGGGTTCGCGAGGAGGAGGATGTAGCCGAGGGCGCCGAGAGAGGAGGTGCAGATTATGAAGACGGCGCGGGTTTGAAGGCGTTCGGAGAGGATGGCGAGGAGGAGGGTGAGGATGGTGGCGAGGGCGTAGGGGGGTACGGTGAGGAGTTGGGCTGTGGCGGCGGTGTAGCCGAGGGCGGTGATGATGCTGGGCTAAGGAGGGAGGACGGGTTAGTAGATAGGTTGGGTGCGAGGGAGGTGAGGAGGGAGACATACTAGGAAGAGAGAGAGGGTGTATAGCGGGAGGCTGAGGGTGTGGAAGACTAGGCCGTAGAGCCAGCACTTTGGATCGCGTAGGGCGTTGCGCACGCTGGCCCAGTCGAACGCCTCGTCTTCTGTAGCATCACTGTCCTCTCGTAGACGCTGGACGACAAATGTTCGTTCGGCGGGTGTTAGAAAGTCACTCGTACCTGGATAGTTGCTGACGAAGAGATATGCAAACGAGGCGACGACGACAGTCAGGAGGCCTTCGAGGATGAAGATCCAGCGCCAGCCGGCAAGCCCACCTACGCCGCGCATGAAGCCGATTCCGTAGGCCAGGATGCCGCCAAAGGCACCTGCCAGACTGGCCATGCTGAAGAAAAGTGCTACACGGTACTGGCGCTCGTTGCGCTTGAACCACATGCTGAAGTAGTACACGACGCCTGGAAAAAGGCCTGATTCGGCGACACCGAGAAAGAAGCGCACGGCGAAGAAGCCCTTGAGGTTCTGCGTGATGCCCATGAGCGTGGCCACGACCCCCCACAGGAGTGTCAACGTAGGGAGCCAGAATTTGGGCGTAGTTCGTTTCAGGATGATATTGCAGGGGATTTCAAAGACAACATAACCGATGAAGTAAAGTGTAAGAGATGTAAGGTATTGATTTCCAGCTGCGCAGGTGTTAATATATCGTCAGGACCATTCTGTCATATAATTGCGTGTACGTACTCATGCCTAGATCAGTAGTGAGACCCTCGAGCCTCGCATTGCCAACATTGCTGCGGTCGAGAAAAGAGAGGAGGTACAGTACGGCAACTGCAGGCAAGAGATGGATGTCAATCTTGCGGAGCAGTCGCTTCTCGTCAATATTGGTATCGAATGCTTCAATATCAGAGTCTGTGCCTGGCGAACCGGAATTCAGCGTGGTATCTTTTGCATCGCCTAGTCCCTGCGATCCTAGCTCTTGCTTCTCTGCTGATGCCATACCAGCTAATCAGCTGGCTTGTCTAGAAAGAAGTATGAGATCAAACGTGCTAATCCTTGAAAGTCTGAGCAATATATATATGAAGAGATATTTAGATATCCCAGGATGACCTGCCTCACTGACTGGCGTGTCTATAGCATCACCAAGGAGAGACAGATGGACACAAGGAGGTTATAGCTGCTCGCATGGCAGCCACGCGCAATACATGCCAACATTTACGTCGTCGGCCTGGGCATGATCCTGGGTGGAGGATTGATGTAATATTGTGCCATGACAGTGGCTTGATTGTAGCAGAGTATGTAAGACGAAACATTACATTCGACAGTATCGCGAGTTAGACACCATGGCTGGGCGGCAGTCCAAAAGAAGTAATTCGTTTCAACGATGACGTTTGGGGCGTCACTGTAAGCTGTTCCTGTGCAGTAATGTAAGCTGTTACCGAGCACACGCCTTAACTAGTGTAGATGTCGTGATTTAGTGATCGGCAACGGCATCTTGAAACTTCTTGGCTCCATCTGAGCCAGAAATATTGGTGTCTAGAGCCAAAGTAAGTGAGAATACATAATGCTGGCATGCGACTGTGAAGAGAGTGAGGTGGCAACTGGATGTTGAACACGTTCATGTCAAGTGAGGACAGATGAAGATGCATGGAGATCTGAGAATCACATAGTGCGATTGCGTCCAGCACGTGACTGTCTGCCAGCTCACGTGAAGACATTCTTCCCATCTATGTCCCATACGCCGTCTACAAATAACATTGATGCAATCGGATCAAACGCGGCTTCATCACCCGCCGATAGAAGCCCTGAAACTAGAAGCGAAGAGCAACAAATGCCGAAAGCGCTCAAGGTGAAGCATGCCTGCAACGAGAACAAATCGTAATCGGCCACGCCCATTACACATTACGACCAAGCACGGTAACTGGCTCAGAATAGATCCGTCATAGCACCGCGACTAGCATCTCCAACCAAGGCTGCGTATTTCGCCAAAGTTCCACGAGTTACGGCCGGTTTTGGTGCTGTCCAAGACTTGAGGCGGTTGGCAACCTCCTCATCAGAGACGTTCATGCTAAGAGAGTTAGTGACGGCGTCGATGGTGATTATATCACCGTCCTGGACGACCGCCAAAGGTCCTCCGACTGCTGCCTCTGGTACGATATGACCGACAATGAAGCCGTGACTTGCGCCAGAATATCGTCCATCGGTGATCAAGGCTACGTTGGTGAGTTTCGCTCCCATGAGAATAGCGCTAGCCTTGAGCTGCTCTGGCATACCGGGTCCACCCTGTATAGATCAGTAGAAGTTTTTGTCATGGGAAGTTAAAAAGCCGACCTTGGGACCCTCGTATCTCACAACAAGCACCAGGTTCTCTCCCCTGGGAATTTCGCCACGATTCAGAGCTTGATTCAACTGCCACTCCTTGTCGAAAACACGAGCCTTGCCGGTAAAGGTCATACCTTCTTTACCAGTAAGCTTAGCGACAGCGCCACCAGGAGCTAGGTTGCCTCGCAAGATCTCAATATGACCTGTAGCTTTTATGGGATTGTCCAGTGAGCGAATGATCTCCTGTCCTTGCTTAAGTGATGGCCAGGTTGCAACGTTTTCCGCCAATGTCTTGCCAGTCACAGTTGGGATACCACCGTCTAGCAGTTCGGCAGCAATGAGCAGCTTCAGCACAGATGGAATGCCTCCAATCTCATAAAGATCAGCCATCACGTGCTTGCCACTAGGTGCGAGATCTGCGATAAACGGTATCTTGTTGGATACGCGCTGGAAGTCATCGAGGGTGAGGTCTACACCAGCAGTCCCAGCCATAGCGAGGTAATGCAGCACTCCGTTAGTAGAACCACCGAGAGCCATCATCAGGACCATGGCGTTCTCAAAAGAACGTTTTGTGAGCAAGTCTCGGGGTCGAATATTCTTCTCGAGACACACGCGAATTGCCTCGGCAGCCTTCTGGCATTCTCTCATTTTCTGAGGCGACTCGGCAGGTGTGCTTGATGAACCGGGCAGGCAAAGGCCCATGGCCTCAATACCGCTGGCCATGGTGTTGGCAGTGTACATTCCTCCGCAAGCTCCCACACCTGGACACGCGTGTTGCTCAATGTCAGTCATAACTTGACTTGCCGATACGTTGGGATCCTTGCTCGTGAGAGTGTTGTAGAGGTAAGCACCAGAAGCTTCATAGCATGTCGTGATGTTGATACGCTTCTTGAGAGTATTGCTGTAGCCGGGCATGATGGTGCCGCCATAGATCATGATAGATGGGCGATCATGACGGGCAAAGGCAATGATAGTACCCGGCATGTTCTTGTCACAACCAGGAATAGCAATGCAGGCATCGTGATGCTGAGCACACGTGACGGTTTCTAACAAAAATCAGTTGTAGCTCATCGACGACGTATAATAAGCTTGGGCTTACCTATGCTGTCGGCGATGATTTCTCGAGATTGGAGAGAGAATCGCATTCCTAGGTTGACGTCAATGTTGAGCAACATGTCCCGTATCGGACGTACTCACCCTCCCCACCCATGGTTATACCATCAGATACTGGAAACCGGTTTTAGTTGACGAAGAAGTCGACACTCAGAGGTCGGACTTACCTCCGATGGTGTTGTACTGCCATCCTATCATACCAAGCTTTTGGACTGCCTGTTTGGTCGTCTTTCCCAGCTCCAACACTACAGTTGTAAGTGATTGCGGTCATGGTCCGTAGAATAGATACCACCCACAATGCGTGCTGAGCAATCATGTCAGCTTACGATTGGTGTGGGATGTGGGATGCATGGAATGCTGAAAGTACTCACTTGCAAGGATTCCCCTCCCACCAAACACTAGCCACACCTACGTGCGGCGCATTTTTCATGGCATTTTCGTCAGACACACCTGCGGCGTACAACATGGCCTTGACGGAGAGTAAGTGCTAGCGCATGTGTACTGCAAACGAATAGAAGAATACCTGAGCTCCAGGAAAGTCATGGTCGTTGGTGAGAGTGGAAGAATGGCGGTTCAGTACGGGTTTACCATCACGGACAGCATCTGCTGGACGAGCGGGGAAGTCAAGATATCTTGCCTCACCCGGCGCACGCGGTATAGACTCTTTCTCAAGATTATGGGGGTCCATTATGAGGAGGGCAGCTTGTCCTGGCCAGAAGAGCGAGATGAGTGGGTGGGATGTCAAAGAACAAGAAAGCTAGGAGCGGCTAGGAAGGGTATGTAGTAGTAGTACGTCTGGCGGAAGGTGAAGCTGCAAAGGCTAAGTAAGGTGAGCTGGTGCTCGGAAGATGATAAGAGGCTGCTGCCATGGATGAATGTCAATGTAGAGGCATGGGAGCCATGGGAAGATGGTAACGGGATCCGGGCCTAAGTGATTGGCACCTATTGTGCAGCCGTTCATAAGCCGATCAAAGCATGCCCCAGGTGATGTATGGTAGGGTACGAGTCGGTACCTTGACTTCCATGAGCCAGCCCCACAGCTATCAATGCCCACGACACACTGCTCATGTGAGAGAAAGGCCGCAAGTGGAGGAGGGGAGAGAAGGTGAGGAGATTGGATTTGCGTGGTAACAACAGACAAAGGCCCGTTTTCCATTACCTTTTTCGTCTTCAATATTTGCTTACGTTGGCGCGAGCACCGTCCCAGACATCCAGACTCGGTGCGATTTGAAGAGGGGATCACCTCAAGGAGAAGTGAGCAGAGCTACGTCACGTCAACGCAGAGTAAAGCATAAGAAAAACTCAAACTCCCGAACTGCAGCTTCATGGCTGGCGTCGAGCGTGCCGGGTGCAGCGTGTTGCGTCGAGCCCACCCCCGCTATTCTATCCATCCGTTGGCGACGGGCAGCGGTTAGTGGGCAACGGTCGACGGGCGACGGGAGTGCCAAATGCACTACGAGTAGCAAATAACGTCGATATAGCAACATTAATGTTGGCTCGAGAGCAGATTGAATGATGATGCGGTGTAGTGTGTGTGGTAGGCGGTTGCAAGAGGGGACACCACCAACTTGCTTTTCTTGCTTCTCCCCCCCGCTGCTTCATCCAATCCATACCCGCATGCATGGCGGCGCACTTTTGCCTGTACAGCGTACTTGACCGCAAACTGGCCCTCGACCTCGAGCTCGACCTTCGGTAATATTAGGTCTGGCATCCGTGCAGCGCGGAGACATACCTATGGCCTGGACCATCAAAATAACCGGCTCTTGAACATGTCGAACAAACTCCATGCGAGGCCTGACAGTGCCCAAGCCACCTATGGTCGTGGTCGTCGTAGTCGAGATGCATGCAACAAGATGGATTGAGAAGGTTAAGCGCATCTGTGGCTAGACATGCACGTTGCCGTGTTCCGCTTTCTGTTGATCACTCGCCGTCTTCTCCACGCCTGTGGCTGTCTATATCCAGAGGAGACCCGAACTGGTAACAGATGCTATTCTCTGCCGGTTAGCTCCAGGCCAAAAGGAGCGAAAGGAGACTTGGAAGTAGCCGTATTCTGTTGTTGAAGCCATGAGCCAGCACTATGATTGGAGCGTCGCCCGAAGATGACGAATGAGGAGCGACGCAGGCCTTTCCAGAGCTGTGAAAACGTCCGCCCGGTATAATCACGGTATTGCGGCTGAGGACATGTGCCTGAGGTACCACTCTGTTGTGTTGAATCTTCGAAGCCTGTGCTGGAGTATATAGGCAAGTGGAAAGTCGAGCGATCGAAACCACATGCTGGTACTGTTTCTGGAGCCGGAGCTGGAGCTGGAGTGCATTCAAAACTTCATGATATTGACTGGGGAGTAGGCAAGTCGGCCTGACTCGGAGAGTCAGATGAAACGGAGCATTGACATGGAGAAAGTAATGAGGAACACAAGAGCTGGACTTTATATGCCGTGCAACCTCACACAATTACTAGTATTATTATATACGCAGGGTTATAATTCCATTCCTCCTGCCTATGTTGGACAACAGATCACAGGTGGAATGAATCCGAAACCTTGGACGCGAAGCAAAAGCCACAATGCAAACAAACCGCGCAGTCTTACCGAGGTGTGTGATGGAAGAAAATTATATAGAGCCTGAGGCTATAATTAGCCTGAGGCCATAATTCAGGCACCTTGATGACTTTACAGACATCCAAATATCCAGGCATTCAGGCATTCAGGCATCCAGGCAGCCAGGCAGACCATGGATGACGAGCAGCTGCAGCCACGCCGCAACGTGCATCGTCATCGCGATCGAGCGACACAACCAAAACACGACACAAAACACTCTCAACAAAGAGATTATCACAGCGTCTGCAATAAAGATGTCCTCTTCAGTCGCCTGCTACAATCCATAATTCGCCGCTGCCCGTCTCTCAACATTTTATGCTAAACTTCCGCTGCTCCTACTCGACCCGCGCCATTTGACTTTCCCGGTCTCTCGACAGCTTCTTTCGTTCGCTACATTCTTCAACAACTGCTTTGGTCAACAACTGACGGGAACAAGCAAAACGAATTACCCTACACCATCTTCTTTAATCCTTGAACCTTCTTAGCCGTTTTTCTTCTTCCAGCCTTCCAAGAAACCACACCTCACAGCAAGCTGACCACCAACGGATCGGCTCGACAGCGCCATCCCCCCCCCGTTCGTTCCAGGTACCACGTTGGCACGTGTACGCCTTTCGACGAATCGCATCCACTGCCATCTTCTTGTCGCGAACCCGCCTACGATAACCTTCCTTTATCCGCCTTTACCACAACGCCGTGCTGCCACGATTGATGTGTATGGAGGCCAACTCGCGCTTTGATCATGACACTCTGACCACCGTCGCCGTCTTGCTATTTCTTTTCTCCGTCTCTGTACACGCCCTCCCGGACTTCCCCAAACCTTTCTTCTCAAGCCACCCTAATGTAACTCACCGCTCTCAACTCCCTGGCTCAGCTGTAGCTCTCTTAAGAGCTCGCCTTCTGTCACTCTGCCAGCGTCCTTTGCTATTCCTGTCCTCATTTTCTTCCACAAACCCTGTATTATTTTGGAGCATGGTCACATCCGCAACTGTTCTTGGTGCTCTCCCTTGTGTCTGGATTCTACGGAAACAGTTCCATCGAAAGCAGATTGGTCCATCATCTATTCATTCAGAGAAGGATGTGTCTGATACAGCAGGCCTGGGTATGTCACTTTCGTATCTTCCTCCATCATCGTAGAACAATGTCCATTCTGGTACATGCAGGGGCCTCATCTGCACGTCAAACCCCCTTGTTATCCACATGGTCCCAATAGCATGGTCGCCTTGTTAGCCATAGTTGCATTCGGAGCTAGCGTATCGTCATACGAAACTAATCAGATGATATACAGACGCCTTGTCGAGTGATCCAGGACTGTTAAGGAAGCACAGCGAATTTAAATCGTATGCTACCGAACGCTACACATATCCATCCATCAGGACCTTCTACCGACCACATCCTCAAGGGAGCAAATTACCTACAAAGCCAACACCGCTACCTTTACTCGTCTTCATCCATGGTCTTGGTGGATCTGTTGCGCAATTTCATCCCATCCTTGTCAGTCTCGTCAATGTTGCCCCATGTCTGGCCATTGATCTACCAGGCTGCGGTCTTTCAGAATTCCAGCCAAATGCGTGGGATGCATACACGACCGACTCTCTAGTACGCTTGCTGTCTGTAGCCATTGAGGCTCATCGCGATGCTGCTTCTGATCAAGAAGTAATTCTGATCGGTCACAGCATGGGATGCTCTCTTGCTGCCCTGTTAGCCTCTACTACCTCTCAGTATCACCATTTGTTATCCGTTCACGTGAATGGGGTCATCGCCATCTGCCCCTCAGCAATTCCTCCTGGACCGGAAGATGTAAAAAGGTTCAAGATTGGCTTGAGTATACCTGGCTTTTTGTTTGACATGTGGAGAAAGTATGATCGGCGTGGAGGGACTGAGAGCGGGAGTGTGGCACGCTTTGTTGGTGCAGGTGCCGAGGAAGAGACGAAGAAGCTACAAGTGCGGTTCAATGAGCAGAGCAAGACACCAGTATTTCGACGAATGGCCAGGGGATGCCTACCCGATTACTCGTCAGGCACTGCGAAAGGAGGTTTGCCAGGCAGAGAGGTCTGGTCGGGCATCAGAGTGCCTATGTTCCTAGCGGCTGGAGAAAACGATCATGTCACGCCTCCTGACAATCTCAAGGCCATTGCCGAATATCTAGGCAAGGCCCCGACTGTGTCCGAGGAGAAGTCGGTGATGATTCCTGACGAACTTGCATCAGTAGATGTGCCTGCTACGAGAAAAGACTCGAAGATCCTGAGCAATAGCCCGAGACTCAACGGGTCAATCACTCCTTCAGATGGAACACTCGCTTCTACAACTGACCAGGCGGACTTTGCTGATATGTCAAAAATCATCTCGCGATCCGTACTGAAAAGCACGATTCTCCCGGCTCCAGCTTCTCATGCACTCCTTTACGCACCATCTCATTCTCGAATATTGGCTGGATTAATTCAGAGCTTCCTTGCCGACCACATAGACAAGCGATTGTCTCTAGGTTGGCAATTGCAGTACTTGACGACCGAAGGCAAATGGGACGTCAAAAACTTGGAGAAATGGAAAGCAGTCGCACCTGTGTCTGCCCCCATAGCAGGTGTCTTTCGCGCAATGAAGACACTGCGCGAAGTCGACGGAGAGCACTGCCCCAAGGTGTTCGTCGATAAGTGGGCTGGGAAGATAAAGGCCATAGTTGACATCTCCCACGAGAGTCCTGTCTATGACCCCAAAGGTCTTGAGGCTGGTGGTATCGTGTATCACAAGTTTCCTACTGTATCCAAATTACCACCTCAAGTCGATGAAGTCAAAAGCTTCATCACGCTCATAGACCAAATCCGGTCAACTTCTTCTGATTCTTCGAGTATTATCGCAAACGATGCATTGATTGGCGTTCACTGTCACTATGGTAAGTACCGGACATCGATAGACTGTGCTTTACTAACGACTGCGACAGGCTTTAATCGTACTGGGTTCTTCGTTGTGTGTTATCTAGTTGAGCGTCTTGGGTACAAACTTCAGGATGCAATTGACGAGTTTCGGATCTGTAGACCCCCTGGCATTCGTCATGACCACTTTATTGATACTCTTCATGTCCGGTACTGTGTTGGTCTGAGGAGGGCACCGACTTTGTAACATTCCTGTCTTATTACTAATCATGACGGCGCTTGGGTACTTTTATCACTATACCCAGATTATTTGTTCACTTCCTTTATTTAAATATGCCAACTGACATATTCACAATCATCGTGCACAAAGCCTTGTGCAAGCACAAATGTAGGCGGCACTACTTCGGCATCCACTGACCTTCTACCCCAAGCTCCACCACTCCCGCAAAACATCAACAGCTCCTCCGCAGCCACTAGGTAGCTTCCTCATCATATATCCACCCCACCTCACAACCCTCAATCTTCCACTCGAATCAGACACCCAATCTCTCACCGCCCACAATGGCCGATTCCACATCCATGGACATTGACGCCCCGACCGATGCGCCCGCAGACAACGTCCCCCAATCCAAACCCATAGCCGCCAGCGAGACACGCACACAAGCAGGCGCCGTAGCCGTGCGCTCAATCGAGGGCTGGATCATTATGGTGACGAATGTCCACGAGGAGGCATCCGAGGAGGATCTGACAGAGCTCTTTGGAGAGTACGGCGAAATCCAGAACCTACACCTGAATCTGGATCGCAGGACGGGTTACGTCAAGGTATGTTATGTCTTTTGTTGTCTTTCCTTTTCAGCTTTCGAAATATATCTACATGTCTAGCTTGCTGGCATAGAGATTCTTGTCGATCGAGTCCCGGCGTGCGACACACGGAGAAACGAAGATTTAGGTACTGATGGTGCGGCATGCGTGTGTAGGGCTATGTACTTATCGAGTACCCCACCCTCGACGAGGCGAAAGACGCCATCAAGGGCGCAAACGGCACGAAGCTGCTCGATCAAACTATCAGCGTCGACTATGCGTTCGTGCGTCCGCCGCCCGCGAAAGCAGGGCAGAATGCGAACAGGGGAGGGCGCGGTGCTGGTGGCGCGAGGGGTGGTGGACGGAACCGCAGCAGGAGTCCGGGAGCGGAGCGCGAGGAGCGGGACGAGTAGAATGAGGATTGGGTTGGTTCATGAGGCTGAGACTACTCGAGGAAAGCCGAAAAGAAAGAGCTGCGCATTTATAGACACTCCAAGGCGATTGCAAGGCTGAGGTATGGAAAGTCCTGAAGAGCAGGATTCGGTCGTGCGTGCCGCAATTCACGACCGGCTAGGAAAAAGGTGGAGGGGAGAAATGCGAGAGACAAGACGAGAAGAGAAGACATAGCTTGCCAGTCCGTCCGCACATGACGGGCTGGCCCAATGACATTCATCACGTAAGTCAGAGAATCGAGTAGGACCCATACAGCAAACGCTCTACTCCTCTCTTATGTCCAGACATATCACTGACACGAGCACCCAGACTCCCCACATTATCCCATTCCGCCCTCTTGAAAATCATTGACCAAATATATAACAGTTGACTTTGCTCCTCGAGACCGTTCCGCGGTAACGAGCGCAACCATGCTGAGAATCTCGACGAAGCGCGTGCGTACTTCATCATCGTCATCCTCTTCATCATCAGTAGCAGCAGCAGCATCAAGGACCTCACAGATGCAAGCAACATTGCACATCTCCAGGAGCAATGGCCTTGGCAATAACAGCATACCATGAGCGACAGTATCCAAAGAAGACGCAAAACAGCCACACAGAAACATATCACCGGCGGCAGGAATATGGTTTTGCCTCTCCTTAACGAACGTTCCAGATAACCACAAGAGGACGTGTGTATGTATGTATGTATGTGTCAGCGACCGCTTCCACAACAGAGAGCGATCATCGCCGGAACCCGGACTCGGAACCCAGCAATAGAAACAGCTACATTCTCGTTTCTTCTGTAGAATAAGGGCAAAACACACATTTAGCCAAGTGAGGCTACTGTCGTCTGTCCGCAGCAACAGTCAAGATTGTTCATTAGGTTGAATCATGTTCCCAGCGCCGAGCCGGTGCACTTATAGTTCCCCTGACAATGTGTATATGTTTACATTGCATAACAAAATATCGCATCTCATATTCCACTCCCACCTCCATCTCCATCTGACAGCTCATAACACAAGCACTACATACCCCAAGTCGTCCACATAACCTATATATATCATACATATCTTTCCAAAAAAAAAAAGAAGAAAGAAAAAAACACTTCATCATAGCGTCCCCCGACTCCCACCAACCCAACGTATATATACTCATCGTCTAAAGAAAACCCTCAGAACCCTTTTTTTACAACAATAATGAAAAAAAGAAGTCCTGCCCAAAAGTGGGTGGGTGGTATCTTTCTCTCCGCAGACGCAGAGAGGGAGGGAGGAGGTAAAATATAATAGAAGACAGTTATATCCATCCCACAGAGATTTATGCGCGCGCGCACGCACGCATGCACGCCAGATCGATCGATCGAATGAATCACCCGCTCTCTATATAAGTGTATGCCGTTCCCCCGTTCCACCCCCAAAAAAAAGAACACTCCAGAAAACCCCTTCTTTTTCTCGCGCCGATAGATAAGCTCATATGTCGTAGCGCCTTTACATGCCGCGACAAAACAGCGCAAGCAGGACCAACACCGACAACAACACCAACACCAACACCAGTACTACCAATCACCAATCACCAATCACCGCCCACCACCCCTCCACCTCCCCTCCGTAACCGTCTCAAACCGCACCCCTCTGCCCCTCCTCTCCACCCCGCCCGACTCAAGCCACCTAGCCAGATTCTTACACTGACTGACGTCGAAAAACTCCAGCTCCATGCACCCATCCAGGACATGCTCGACGCCCATGCCCGTGACGCGCACGCAGCCGCGGACGGAGAGATGGCGGAGCTGGGTGAGGTGCAGCGCGACGGTGGCGAGCGAGTGGTCCGAGACGGCGGAGCCGCAAAAGGCCATGTTGAGGTGGGTGAGGTTCTGGCAGCCGAGGGCGAGGACTTCGGTTGCTGTGTCGGAGAGGGCGCAGCAGAAGGACTGGGGTGGTTAGTGATTAGGTTTGGGGAGGGACGGGGGGGGTTTCAAGGGGAAAAAGGGGAAGGGTGATATGAATTGACGTACCAGGTCGAGTTCTCGCAGCTGCTTGGCTGCGTTGGTGAGGTAGACGATGGCGTTGTCGGTCAGGTAGGTGCAGTCTGCGAGGCATAGTCTGGAGAGCTTTGGGAATGCGTGGCCGCTCCATTGGTGGAAGCCGTTGTCGGTGATTGTCGTGCAGCGTGTGAGGTCCATTGATTCTATGCGTTTGGAGGCGTGGATGGCAATGTGTGCCATGGAGCGGTCCGTGATGTGCTTGCAGTATGACAGTGTGAGACGCTTCAACTTGGGACAGCCGATCACGGTCCCGGGTGGGAGTTGTTGCACTGGTTGTTGCTGTTGTTGGGGATGATGTTTGCCTCTCCGCTGGTTGGCATGCGCTTGAGCCTGCGCCTGTTCTTGTTGCTGTTGCTGCTGAAAGACCGCTGGGGGTATGTTTGGGACTACCCAACCAACGACTCTTGCCAGAAGGTTATCGCCGACTTTTCTGCAGTTGCTGAGGTCTATCTCTTCCAGTCCCTTTGCTTTGCTGACCATGTCAAGAACGGCCTGCCCGGTAATGTCCCAAACGCTCTTCATCTTCCACACCTTCACATTCTCTCCACAAGATGCCGCTAATGTTGCAAAGCCCTCGTCTGATATATGAAAGCAATTGCTGAGATCTACAACACGCGGCCTGTTTCCAACAAATGGACATATAGATGTAGTCAACACCGAGTCCGTGATTCGACGGTTATATTTGGCCAAATCAAGATAATGTAAGACGTCTGACGAGGAAAGAATTCTTAGCCAATGCAGGGAGACTAGGCGTAATCTCATGAGTTCATGTAACTCTAGATACTGAAAGATGCTAGTAAGAATGCTGTCGGGTAGTATACCCTTTCCAAATCGACTCGAGCGTCGCTTTAGTCTCGATCTCGGTCGCGGAGGGTGTAATCTGACACCAGTCTCTGGCTGTTGTGCGCGTCGCCCCTCCTTGGGACTCGGTGATGCTGGCGTTTCAGCGAGAGCTGATTGCGACGCAACTGGACTCGCTGGCGTTGGAGGAGCAAGTGAGTTTCGCCGTGATCTTGAGCGCATGTTGTCCAGGTCCGGATTCAGGAATGGATCTGGATCAAATGGCTCCATCATGTCACGAGATTTGCTAGGTGTTACGGGGGCTTCCATTGCGGCGTCACTGAATGTTACAAATGGCACGCTGTTCTTCCTTGGTGTTCGTGGACCTTGGTCGCCAATTTCAAGTTCATCAATTGCGATCGTGTTCTCCACCACATCTGACATGGTTACGTCGGGTTCTGAAGCAGTCTGTAGTCTTTGCTTGGCCACTGATTCTACCTGTTGTCGGATATCAGGCGAGCATTGCCGCCACAGATCGTTAAGAACATTGTCGCTGATCATTAAGCATTCGACCGAAGTCACCGATCGTACAGTGGCGGTCCGGCTTGGTGATAATGACAGGCTTGTGACTTCACCAAAGTACTGACCTGCCCTTAAACGCGCCTTGACATGCCGTGTTATCGGCAGTTGTTGGTCTGGATCCAACTGTACCGACTCGCTGGCTATCGGTGTCCTCTCTGCTACGACCTCGACTTCTCCTTTTACAATAAAGTATACATCACGGTCTGTTGAGCCCTGTTTGACAATCTCATGGAAAGGCGGGAACGAACGAGGTTGAGCGCGAATGCCTAGGAAATGGAGAATTTCAGGGGGCAGTCGCGAAAATAGTGGAAGCTCTTTCAGCAGCGGCCGTATGGAGACAGTTCCTGTAGCCAAAGCGCTGGATGACGACGTTTCTACCAGGCTGGGGCTAGGCGACTTTCGTTTCTTGTACATATTCACGACTTCACCCTCGAACAACATGCCGGCCTCACCCATTTCCACGTCGCCATCTACCCGATCTCTTGGCCGTTTCGTGCTCCGAATCAGTCCCTGAGCAGGTACTGGTGGAGGCGCACGCAGCTTGTTCTCCTTCTTCTTCTTTTCAAGATATGCCAGACGTTCGTTCGCCTCATCACGTATAGCTCTTTCAACCTCTGGATAGACTGGTAGCTCTTTCTTCAGGTCTTCCTTATTCAGTCGCACAACCAGGCACCGCATATTCGCAATGATTGTAGCTGTGCGCGGTATGTCCATAAGAATACCAATCTCGCCAAAGAATGAGCCTGGCTTCAGCTCGGCGTACGTACTTTCGCCATCTCTTGAAGTGACCCTGACTGAGCCCCGCACGAGCCAGTACATTGCCTTCGCATCATCACCCTCGGTCAGGATATAGTCGTGTGGTGAGTAGACCTGCGGTCGAAGGTGTGTCCCAATAGCTTGGAGGAAGGAGTCTGGCGCTTGCTGGAACAGAGGAAAAGAGCGCAGGCGATCAAGCAGGTCTAGAGGCAGACCTTGTATGGTAGACGCCGTGAGAGGAGAAGGTCGGATCGGTCGACTCGGGTTGGTTTCAGAGTCATAGGCTCGGATCAGAGTCAGTGGATCAGGAAAAGAGGCGCCATTGACTCTGGAAGCGTGAATTGTCGGACCGCCGCCTGGTCTATTATAGCGACGCATGTCGCAGCCACCACAGAGGAGTTCTGAGCAGCGTGATCGTGACGATGTGGGAAGTCCAGAGGCGCGTGTTGGTATGAGTGGGGCTGCGGGCCGGTCAGGGTCGAGGGAAGAACAGTGGGTTTGAGGGCGGCAAGAAAGAGGTTGGATGATGTTGGTCTAACAGGAAGCGTAAGACATGTCTGAGTGTTTGTCGTGATACAGAAGAGGAGAAGTCAGAGGGAGAAATTGTTTGGTCGCGAGTCGGAGTAGGCGTCTTGCTGGTGTCAGTGGAGGAGCGGGACGGAGGAAGCTTCCGGGGACGGCGTAGAGACGATCGTTTCGCGCGGGTGGGGAGAAATTGAGGTGGAGAATGACGCAGAACGGGCGGTGTAGACTGACGAAGTGAGTTTGTACTGAGTTGATCGCAAAGACAATGAGAAGATGGCGAGTGTGGCATGCGTGGTATGTGAGGGTGTGTGTCGAGACGGCAGAGAAGCCAAGTCGAATTGATATAGAGTACGAGTTCCAGGCCCTCGAGGGTCAGTGAGTTTTTACTGGGATGAGCAAGCAAAATCGGGATTGGCGAGAGTTGTGGATGAAGTGAGTGCTCAATGGTGCTGATGGGAGTGTGGTCAATTGAGAGGAGGGGGGGGGGGATGTGTGTGAGCGAGTGAGTGAGTAAGTGTGTGTGTGGGTATGTGTGTGAGTGTTCTGGTAGGGTACTGTACGTACTGGAGGGGGAATTGGAGGGGGAGGAAGAATTGCCTTGCGGGCGGTGGGCGGTGGTGGTGGTGGGGTCAAGACGCCCCCGGGCAGCTTTTGACGCCGGGATGATCTGGCGAGTTTGGCGGTGTTTGGGGCCACAGTCCGGCTCTTTCGTCGCTGGGCTAAACGCGCCGTCGAAGCCCGCACAGATCAATTCCGTCCTTCTTTTCTGCTTCTACAGACCTTCGAGAAGCCTCAGCCCACATGGATGGAAGGACTGTTGCTTGATGGGCGGAATGAATGGCCAGGAAAGGAAATCTAGAGACGTGGGAAGCGAGTGGCTGGACAGTCGGTTGGCTGATGGCCCAGATGCTTGTCTACATAGTACATAATGTCTCATCTGCAGGATGGATATCATGGTACATTCACAGCAGCATCAACAGTGTCCGCCTCTCGTCCAACGCAATGCTCTCCCATTTTTTTCCTTCTCTCATTACCGCAAGCGGCACAGCATAAGAAGGTCTTCTATGCACAAATGAGATATGACACTTGTTCCTGTTTCATCCCCATGTAGCAGCGACCTGCAGCCTGCATGCAGCCTGGACAAAGCATCCAAGGGCTGTCTACCATACTCCGTAGTATGTAGGACATACATGGGAACTACCATATTCGGGCCTTTCTTGCGTGGTCCTGTCAATGTGTACTTCTTGGTATTCTCCTATCAAGCGTCTTAGCATTTCTTATTAGTCTTGGACGTGAGCTACGTACCCATCCATTCGCAGACCCGCTTCTATCCTATCTTCACAGCACAACAGCCACCCATAAATCCCTTTCGTCATGCCCCGAGGGATCCATCGAAATAAGCAAACATGCATGGCGAAGTCATTAGTAGTGTCGTTCTTCGCACGTAGATGTCTTTTCTTTTTCGGAGGTAGCTGCCCCCCTCTCAAGGCTAGACGATGAGACCATCTGCGTGGCCTGTCTTCCTCGCTTATGGATCGTGCTTAAGCCTCTACATCACCTCATCCACTCATACGCTCGGCAGGTCAAGCGGGCCTGGCGGTCGAGCCACTTTTTACTGATCTGTGTCAGGGTTGGTGGTGATGGGCCGCGCTATATTTAGTCTGCGACAAAGATATCTATCGGCCCGGCAAGCACACACGGGAATAATGATACTATAATATACTGTTTACCTGGTCCTGTTGCTGCTCGCGTGACCATTATTAGACAATCGTCTGCACTGTAAAACACCTCTTGTTTGCTCTTATGCGATTAGCACTGGTTCTGGCAGATTTTATGCCCCTCCCCTTCCGCCCCCCCCCTTTCTTTTTACCCATCAGCCCTCTTTCGACACTCTCTTAGTCTCATCAGCCCTCTTTCGACACTCTCTTAGTCTCATCAGCCTACTGGAGCAAACTTTCTAGTACATTGTGATCTTGTAGCCGACGTAACACGGCTGCCGATGTGAGCCTTACCACAAATTGGAGATATCGTTGTAAACAATCGTTATTCTGCCAGTGTACAACAAACATCTCACGTCTGAGACTGCCGAATATGTCTAACCCCTGTCACAATCTCATATTTGTAGTTATAAATATATATACGTGAAGCACCTACGGCTTTCCCTCATATCTTGGATATCCAGGCTTCTTTGGCTCCCAGCACTTCAGCCACTTATCCAACGCCGAAGTAAAGTATCCCCGACTCGTCGCTGCTAGGGGCGTCGTCTTAAAGTCATAGCAATGCTGAGCATTCGCCAAAGTATACCCAAACAGCGTGTCCTCACTCGTCGCCACATTGCACTCCGGGATATTCTGCGTGACTTCAAGGTGTGGCGCAAAGTCCTCAGTACTGAGTGGCGAGAGCGTCCCCCAGGGGTCATACTGACCGCCGGACCAGTACACGTTCGAGGGTCTCATTTTCCAGCCGCCAAAGAATTGATTGGTCTTGTCCGTCTCGGGCTCCTTTGGTATTCCGGAGGGAAATTGACGGTGGCATATGTCCATCTGGTGCTGCAGACTGTTCCACTTTGATACAATCTGCCTCTCTCCGAGATTGGCAGATTGGAGAAAACCCCACTGAGTACAGTATTGGTATATCCAACTTATATTCACAGGGTTACTGAAGCGATGATTAAGGTTGCAGTCTGGAGTTCCAGACTTCTTGGGCACTGGTCCTTCACAGTTGCTGGTCATAAGGTCGTTGACCATCCTGACGAAGATTGGCCAGGAAGCCCATCGGTCGACGGTGAACTCAGGGCCCTTGGACGCCGCCCACCCTTCTGCCGGAGCGGTCTTGTTCGTTGCTGGATCGGTGCTAATGTGCGTACACAAAGAGTGAAGGCCCTTATCCATACCACGCAGATGCCAGAAGGCGGTTGGTATCGTTAGTGCCTCTCCAAACGAGGGATTGGGATTCTTCTCGGCGCCACGACCGAGGAACTTCTGCTTCAGCGCGGCAGCCTTCTCTTCGTCTTCCATTTCCTTGTCCATGTACATGATAGCTGCATGGATGTCGGCAGTACAGTTGCTGTACCCGTACGCATTCATGCCATGATAGATCGTGTCGTAGAAGAATGACATGTCGACTGAGGCCTGGACAGGAGCCGAAGACGCGTATGACGCTACGATCGTTTCCGGGTATAGCTTTCTCATAAACGCAGCCCTCATGCCTGCATAGCTTCCTCCGATAAAGACCCATGGAGCGCCATTGGGCGTAAAGTCGACATTGGGATAGTTCTTCCGCGAGAATTGATCAGCAAACGCTTTCACATCGGCAAGTGCTTGTTCCGTGGTTAGAAACTTGAAAGCTAATGATTCGGTCAGAACGTCTTGTAAAGCCCGAAATGACCGGCATAACTCACCTTCAGGGGGAGTGTCGAGATTGATCTCAACCGGTGTCGAGTTTCCATAGAACCTGTGCTCCCATAAGATTCCAATACCACCGTAGGCTTCCACCATCTGATTGAAAAAGTGGGTCGAATTCTGCAAATATTCGAGCACGGCAGGCTCAGCGTCTCCCTCACCAAAATCGTAGACGAAGACCGGTCTAGCGGCACCCGGCTTATAACCCGACTCAGTGACCCAGAAGCGGTTCTTGAAGGTACCAGCGTTGGTACCAAAATGGTTCAGTGGGAGCTCGACGTACTCGGGAGTAATGGTTTTGTTGTCAGCAGCAGCGATGCCCATAGACTTGACCTCTGCGGTCTCTTGATCCAAGGGCGAACCGTCCGGATTAAGATCGTAGTCGGCCAGATACCGAAACATGTTCGGATTTATGCCTCCGAGCGCATTGCTTCCAGTACCGAACAACGTGACGCCCAGCATGGCCGCGACAGCAGCTCTCTTCACGAGTATCGCCATGCTGAGTGTCTCGAGGAGTTTTGAGAAAGAGGACGCCGACATAGAGGCACAACCAGGGCACACAATTGACTTTATATTCCCCACGAACAGGACGGTATCTATGCTGAGTCGCTCGCGCCCGACAGTAGGGCCGACATAGCGTCACCTTCCCCTATTCTTCCATGAACATGTGTTGCAATTCGCCATAAAGTGGAGCTCTGCCACTCGTAGGAGTCTGGTCATTTGCACCAGTTTCCTCTGATCTTGTTTCCCTTGATCGAATTAGGGAGGTCTGTAAGTGACGCTAAGGCCGACTAGAGGTATGTCACCACATCACCGGTCCAGGAACCGTCGTCGGTAGAAGTTTTGGTGACTATGTTCAATCCTCATCTGCTATCAGAGACAGGCTTTTCATTCGATAAGTGGGTTATGTAAACTGTCAGTACTATGTTCAATTCTTCACCTACAGTGATTAGAGACAGACTTCTCACTTAATAAGTGGGTTATGTAAGCCATCAGGGAAACCCCTGTTACTTGTACAAGGTTGATTCCAGTTACCATAATATACGCCAAACTACCGGAGATCCTTATATATATTGAGATAAATGCGTAGGATCCTAATTGTGATAAGGTGCCAAACCAAGCCATGTAAGCTCAAATTGCATATTCGTGGTCACTTTGATGGCACTGGTGATCTAATGTAAGTCTGTAAAAGGTTACAGTATTCGTAGTATGTTCGACAAGTCACTTGGTTCTGGACGCTCTTGGCCCATCGTTACAGCTGCGTCATGATACCAAGAACGCCAATCGACCGCAATAATCGTACCTGCAGTCCAGCGCAAGGGCCGTGTTCATGCCCCAAAGCTTATCTGTACGCCGTGGAGCAACATCTGACAACTCCAGCATCATGAAGCTTGCTGGTTTATCCAGAGAAGGATTCTTCCAATTTCTTCATTTTTCGTCCTTGAATACCCACCTACCCCCTTCCCTCATAGCCTCCCTCCATCTCTCTTCAACTATCGCCTGATCTCTCTTACGTGCCTCTTCTCCTCTCCTGTCAAGCTCTTGAGTGGAAGGGAAGTCCGTATCCCAGTACCCAGGCGGGCTCGATCGTCTCTCGTGTTGTTGTCGATGCTTTCCATGCTGATTCGCCAGCAGCTGTGCCCGTGCGCTGAGCAGCATCTCTGCGCGATAGTCCATTGTCATGTCGTGTCGGTACGCATCTCCGAGGTAGTGACGCAACAGGCGCTCTTCCTCCTCCTGGGAACTCTTGGAAGCATCTTGAGAAGCCTCGAAAAGGCTTCGTGGGAGCTTGGGCTGCACTCCTGCTTCAACGAGCGCTCTGAATGCCTTTCCACAGCAGCTCGGCTTTGTACATCCTGGGAGACAGCGACGGGATTCACTATCGCGCACTGTGTCGGAAAAAGCAAAGTCAAGTCCTTCATTTGTCTTTGGGTTCAGCCTGAAATCGGATGCAGAAAGTTCAGAAAGTGGCCGAGAGCGCAGTGGGCGCTTAGCAGAATGAGTTGTCGTCGAAGTCTGTTCACCTTTGTATCGCCTGGTAGTCAAAGGAGTGACAGGCTGAGGAGAGGCTGGTGTTTCTGTTTTCGTGGATGGCTGCGCTGTGTTATTATGATTAATCAGCCGTATACGAGAGCGTGGCTTTGCTGTTGATGCTGGCCTTGAAATCGTAGGTGACTTCAGATGATCCGGCTTCTGGCTTGCAAGCAATGCATCGAGACGTTTTTGAGCTTCGCAGTCGCCTCTTGCAGATGGCTCCTCTTCTGCCCACGACCCCTTAGTCTGTGGTCGAAATCGCTCTTCGCCATCTTCACACAGAATGTGCACGTGGTAGCCGCTCTGGTCTTGAATACCTTCTTGAATACCCGAGTTTTTGCGTGTTGGTCGACCATGCTCTATATTCGGACTGACTTCACTTAAAGGGCCACGAAAGTTCCGAGGGCTATGCTGGGTAGAGAATGGGAGCCGCCGGGTGCCTCCCATGGACCTAGGCTCACTATTCGATCTATCCTCGGCCTTGATAGAGGAATTCTCAGGCGAGGAGCTACCCTCCCCCCGAGCCTCCGTTTTTTGCGGCTCAGTAATCACGTCTCTCGGGAGACTGTTAGAACGTTGTTGACGAAGATTGTTCATCGCTGTAGCTCGGAAGGATGGCAGCTGAGAGATCCGCAGTAACTCCAGTCGTCGTCTCTTTCGGGGGGTACTGATATCCTGTACTGCTTCATCCAGATCGAGGGTGTCCATGCGGGTCAAGGTCTGTTGAGCGGCCACGATGCTGGGGGGACTACTAGGCTCGTCTTTGATACGAATAGGCGATGGTTGAGCTAAGGACCTCCTAGTCTTTCTTGGAGTGCTTCTCTTCCGCTTCACGGGTCTCTCAAAGACGAATTCGGGAATGTCGTGGTCCCTATCACCCACAAGTAAGTCTTGTGCCGGGAGTGGTTCCTCTATGTTCTCGTCTTGAGTCGTTGTCGTCTGACTAGACCCCAATTGATCGATAGCCAAGTACCTTTCGCCTCGGCGAGTAGAGCCTTGCAAGTCTTCGAGCGGCATCGGTTTTGAAGTTTGGAATAGATTGCCCCTGATAATACCACCCCCCCTGGAGGCTGACGGGGTCAGTGAAGACTGCAAATGGGTACTGGCTTGCGGTCGATACTCATTAGGCAATGCCTCAGTTTTTATGCTGAGAGCTAGTTCCTTCTCTCTTATTCTTTGTTCGCGCTTCTTCAACGCGAGATCCTTCTTCATAATCCACGTTTGCCAATCTCGAATGCTTTCCTTGGCCTTTTCGCGGTTCTGGCGAGACATTTCAGATGACTTCAGTATATCATTGTATTTGTTCCTATGTTCGTTGTACTTTTGTGATAGATGCTGCCAGTCCGAGTATGGAACATAGAGGTTCTCGAACCTTGTGCCTGGCGTAGCCTCTTCTGGTGTGTCCGTTCTGGCGGGTGTCCCTGTAGATGTTCGTACAGCCGAGGTACTGCTGAGGGCAGCGATCTTCTGCTTGAGAGCCTCATTTTCCGCTGTCAACGTAGATACCTTGTTTTCGAGGGTATTGACGACTTGCGCATGTTCATGGGCTTCGTTGCTGGGCAGCTTCGACAATTTACGCTTGATGGTTTGATGAAAGTCGACAACGTGCTGGTTAATTGCTGAGCTGAGGAGATCGCATTGCTCCTCAAGCCACCAGACATCATTTTCCATGACTGCTGCACAACAGACAAAGCTCAAAAGCTTGCATGCCGCTTTAAATCTGAAATGTCGCGAAGGTGGCGGCACTAAACGCGTGAGGCGTAGGACGCGTTAAGGTGGGGTTGTCACGAAATCATGTGGCCCGCTAATTCTGTATCACGTGGAAGTCTATTTGAGCACCTACTGCAGGATCCACGAAGGTGCTCAATGAAGTGTGGGCAATCCAACCTCTTCCTCCGTGGGCCACTAAATTTTCCCTTAGCCACACGAATATACTGTCCATGCCAAAGCGCTCTCACCATGGCACTCAAGATCTGGAGCAGCCCTCGAAACGGCGTCGCCTGGCTGGCGCAAGGTTAGATCGGTTGTCCGACCTCAGTGATGAACTGCTCTTGAGGATCCTTTCATTCCTTTCTACCGGCACTCTCGTTCTTTGCCGGAGGTTAGAGGAGAACATTTCTCTCAGCTGAATATGACTGATAGTAATCTAGAGTATCCACCCGACTTAAGGCAGTCGCTACGGACTCGCAACTCTGGAAAGCCGCATACTACAACCGTTTCGTTCGTCCCCGTGCATTGCGGCTACCAGGCATCAGCGATTCGGCTAAGCACCTACTGTTCTCTTCCAAGAGTTCAAAATGGTTGGACGAGGAGTACCTAGTACGTCGGGGGGAGACTCTCGACTGGATGAAACAATACAAGTTGAGACATAACTGGACGCGAGGCAGCTGTGCTGTAAGCGAGATCTCTATATCAGACTTGCCACCGGCGCCGCCTCTTCTACTACGATACCACAACGGAATAGTCTTCACTCTCGACTCGTCAGACGGACTTCGCGCCTGGTCCTCCAAAGAGAGACGTGAACTGCTTGCTACATCTGTAATTGAACCTCACACCAAGGATGATCTACCTACGTCGATGGCGGTCGATGAGTCTAATGACCCCCAGTTTGCTAATCAAGACATACGCATCAGTATAGGATTTCATGACGGCAGATTTTGTATCTACAGCTTCCAACCAGACGTTAGACGCTTTGCCCGGATGTATGAGCATGCGAGGTCGTCCATCGGCCGCCTCTCGGCTATGACACTACGCTGGCCATACCTAACCACTATGTCAGAAACGCGTCAGTTGTCTATATACAAATTTGCCGAGGTGCTGGGATCCTCTCGAGAATACTCGCAACTTGCGCCCCCAAGACTTCTAAGTTCATTGAAATCTCATACCACCTCCAAGCCCCTGTCACTATCGATGAAGATTACACATCACGCTGTTGTGGCTTCTATTGCCTATACCTTGCCTACCTACTTCTCAGGATACTCAGTCGGTATCCAAGAGGTGCGTCTCTCGCTAGATGGAGACATTGTCGAGTCACGGCTGGCCACAGCCGACCACGGTGTCTTTCAGCCTTTACATGCACACCCGCAGGCCGTTGGAGAATCGAGTACTAGCCCGAACGGCACGAACGCTCGGGATTTTGGTAGCTTCTCGACGCCGACTTCGCTTTCGTATACACATCCGTATCTTCTGGTGGCTCATCCTGACAACACTCTTACTCTTTATCTGGTTACGTCATCTCTAGAAAAGCTCGCTATTAGCCCTGGCAGTCGCCTTTGGGGCCATACGTCATCTGTATCTGGAGCCCACGTTGGTGGCCGCGGCCGAGCTGTGTCTGTCAGCTGTCGAGGAGGCGAAATGCGAGTTTGGGAGCTTGAGGGAGGCGTGTCTTCGCTCGGTAATCGCAAACGTCTATTGAATGGCGAGTTGAGTATCCGTGTTAAGACGGATCGTGATCTTGTTCAAACCAACCAGAATTCACTCGAAAGTACAGAGTCTGACCGCGGCTTTGGCCTGGGGCTGTCATGGGCTGATAGGGTTGAAGATTCGTCAGTGACGCGAGGTTGGGTGGGATTCGACGATGAAAACGTGGTAGTGCTTAAAGAGCTGGCTGAAGGCGCGCAAGCCCTGGTTGTGTATGACTTTACCTAGTGCTACTGGTTGTCTCTTGAAAGTGAGTATATACTGATCCAACCCGTCTGGCATAAGCACCACATGGCCCTGGGTACCGGTACATGGGTCTCGCTGGAGAGGCTGCAGCCATTGTCCACTGTTTTTTGCAAATTCGATTGTGGTCGGAATGCGAAGCGGATCTGGACGCCGACAGCACACAAGACTAACGAACACAACAATGCGCGACTCAGTTCCTGCACCTGGCCAGGATAACAATTGGCCACCAGGATTCCGGCAATTTACGCGGATGCAGCAACAGTTCAGAGGTAGAAGCGGGCCTGTCGTAAAGGTGGAACTATGGACCCACTGGAACGCCGAACACCGTCTAACCAGATTTGGCCGTGCACAAAAGTGAACTAGTGCGCGACTTCTCGCGTAGGAAAACCTGGCACCTGATCCTGAATCTCGTCCTGCATCTCTCTGGCTTGCCACTACTTGCTTTTCTCCCTCTACATCTCTCACCGACGACATATACTTTCGTCGCTTAGCCACTTTTACCAATCCGCACGGCCGCAAGTTCAAGGTATTAAAGTCTCTCAGCTCGCACTGTAGGCGGAACATACCGTCTGACAATTTTGACAGTTCCCGCTAAGTTTCTCTTAGTCGCACACACGCACACACCTCGCACTTCCCAATTCCATATTCAAAATGGATTATCAACCTGCTTCTGGTGGTGCCCCGGGCAGCCGAGGATGTTACAACTGTGAGTTTCAATCTTCCATGACTCTATACCTTTTCACGAAACACAATTAACATATCGTCTGCAGGTGGAGATACCACCCATCAAGCTCGCGACTGTCCGACCAAGGGAAACCCAACGTGTTATAATTGCGGACTCAAAGGTCACGTTTCGAGGGAATGCTCGGGTCCTCAACAGGAACGGACCTGCTATCGTTGCGGTCAAGCTGGTCATCAGTTACGCGAATGTCCCAGCAGTGAAGGTGCTCCACCACCACCCCGAGGCGGCGGCGGCAGCGGCGGTCAAGAGTGCTATAAGTGTGGCACTGTTGGCCATATCGCGAGAAATTGCACTGAGGGAGGTTCCTACAGCGGTGGTTATGGTGGTGGCTACGGAGGTAGTGCCGGTGGTTATGGAGGCGGCCAGCAGCGCCAGACCACGTGCTACTCGTGTGGCGGCTATGGGCACATGTCGAGGGATTGCACCCAAGGCCAAAAATGCTACAACTGTAAGATCTGTTTCCTGTGGCCGTTCATGTCTAATACGAATAGGTGGTGAGGTTGGACACTTGAGTCGAGACTGCCCGACCGAGACCTCGAATGAGCGCGTTTGTTACCGATGCAAACAGCCTGGTCACGTCCAGGCACAATGCCCAAGCAATTGAGCCCAAGAAAGGATATCTCTGACGATGATTGAACGGCGGACATACCACGCTCGGTCAATTCGAACACGCGAACCTCAGCAAACGGTATTGTCAGCTCATATCGCCCAGCGTCTTCGGTCAGCGATTGGATAGGCAGAATTCTGCCAGTTTCCTTATGAAATGATGCCTTGCATGGGTTCACACGACGACCGGTGACACTTTACCAAGACAGTAATGCTAGGTTTCGAGATGCGATGTAGTTCGGAACGCTAACGATGGCGTTGATGCTACCAAAGGTTCTGTGTTCCTCATACGGCGTGTAAATGGGCAGGCATGCGGATGCGGCACGAGAAGCATTGTGGCTTTACCTACTGCTTGGCTTTCCTCGAGCTCTCTTATCGTAACAGACTCGCCTTGGCGACTCCCGATAGCAACAATACGATATATTAAATTTGTGAAATTTGTGTCCACTTGATTGAAACGTCTTGAAATACCATCAGCCCTATAATGATCCTAACCGTATCATATGAAGCCCTGGATCGCTCATCAGAGGATGTTTGACGTCTACCCCACTCTAGACCCCACCAAAACGTAACAAACACGTCTATTGACACCGCTAGATGCACAAGTACCGCAAAACACGTATTCTTGAAGTCATTACCTGTTCCACCATTCAAGTCTCCGAGATGTACTATTTCGTGTACCCTGATCCATGGAGCTTTGAAATACCCCGCGCTCTGCCAAAACTTGCGTCAGCGTCTGCGTCAGCGTGTAAGTTGCAGCAGTGATGTGCATGTCCCCCAAGACGCTAGCAAACTGACAGCCGTCGATCTAGGTAAAGGTCCGATCCGTGGCGTATATTGCTTATTCAGTTATTAATCTACACGAACGAGGAGTGTTAGTGGTTTGATGCCCACTCCACCCAGGGTGTACCAACCACCAAGTTCTGAATTGATGTTAATATATATGCCTGGTGGGCGGGATTGCCAGGGTGGGAAATAGGATGTTTCTAGATTGGGTGGTAGATGTTACACATATCAAATAAGCACACATTAATAACCGTATTTTCGTAAACTTGACGATTGTTTAGATTTTAGGTGTTGGGAATGCCAGCGACGGCATTGAATATGTGAAGCTATGTGTACAAAATCAAGGAATAGGGTATTGGGAGACCCAATCTCGAATCCCGGCCTCGGCGAAACGACGTCTAATAAAGATGCCCTTCAAATGCGACTTTTTGACCGGCGGGCGCATGTGTGTATGATCGCTAACGCTGTTTCGTGCAGTGCGGCGTGTGGTACTCGTAAAAACTCCAGAATTTGGCCAAACCCCATAAGCGTTGCTCCGTAGTCGTCATGTGAACTCCGCTAACATTTCGGTAATCACTCCTCTTATATCATTTGAACCCCCTTGTCCACCAATATTGCCTCCAATATTACAGTTGCAAATATTCCGCCGATCATGCGGTTCCAGCTTCAGCTGACGCACCGCCTTGAGGGAATCCACGTCCTCGTCCCCTTGGGGCACCACGACCTCTATACCCTCTACCACGTCCACGTCCACGATAGCCACCACGGTAACCATCAACACTGCCTTGGCCGAAAGTCTCGAGGTTTTTCTTTCGTTCTTCACTGCGGAACTCTGAGCCGCCGAATCTTTGGTCCTTGGCTTCTTCGCGATCGCGATGTTCAGAGGATATATTATCGAAGAATGAAGTAGACTTGTTATATGTGGCAGTTGTAGCCGAAGGTATCACCACGTCAGAATCATTGCTTGGCTCATTGAGGCCTCGATCTGGTTCGTCGAGATTTTTACCAGGAATGTTTTCACCCATGGGAGAGCCACCGGCGATTGCTTCTTTAACAAGATCTAGTTTGTTGAATTTGGCATTGGAAGTCTCAAAGTCGAAATCTGTTGTCGGCACTTCTACCTTTGCAACAGGTTGGCTTTGGTGGCCGCCCCGACCTCGCCCACGGCCTCGTCCGGTGACAAAGCCACCTGTACCCGGTTGCCGCGAATGACGTATCTTGTCATCAGCACGCATATCTGCAACCTTTCGTGCAAGATTGTCGATAGCTGCTGTATCAGCTTCTGCCTTAGGCTGCCCTGGCTTTGGTAATTTAGCCATTGCAGCAGCTACAGCAGCGGTAGCTGCTTGAGTCGCGTTTTGAAATTGCTGAGAGTTTCCAGGTTTTCCTTGGGCCGGAGTGGGCGGAACTGTGGTTTTCGGAGCCTGTACAGCAATTTGTGCCGCTGCTTTTGGATTGGGGCTTGTCAATGGGACGGCGGGTATGATACGCGCGCTTTTTGGACCCACTGGGGCTTTTTTGAGAGCGGTCGGTGCAGTCTTTGTAGCAGCACCAGCATTGACTTTGGGGGCAGCGAGAGCAGCAGCCACATCAGGTTTCGATTCGACGGGCGGAGTAGGGGCTTGCGCTTTGTGGGCTGCAGGATCAGGAGCGGTGGTTGAACGCTCCGTGGACTGGCTATCCTTTTGTTTGGGAGCAGCATCTACCTCCGCAGCATTAGATTTGTCGTCCTTTTCCGTGGATGCTCCAGCAAGAGCTTGTGTGCCCTTCGGACCTTGCGGAGGTTGCTGATCTGGCGGGCCTTGCTGGTTGTTAGGAGGCATAGGACTAGGCGGAAATAGGCCTTGGCCACGAAAGCCTTGGCTAGGGGGACCAGGCCAGCCATGCGGTGGTCCATATGGAGGCATTTGCGGGTACCCATTGTACCCATTAAAGCCAGGGGGGCCTGGAACTCCCGCAGGACCACCCGGAAATCCACCTTGGGGACCAAACCCTCTGCCACCATATGGTGGTGGGTATTGGCCCCATTGTGGCGGGTATTGTCCTCCAGATCCAGGCCCAAAATCCTGAGGTGGTTGCTGACGCTGGCTCTGATTTTGCTGATTGTGTTGGGAGGTAGATGGGCGAGCGGCCTATAGCGAGATGACATGTTAGCATTAATTTCAACAGTATGGAGCAACTTGAAATGTGTGCTTGCGACGAAGATCAGAAGGAAGGCAACGGAAGTTTCCACATGGTTTTGCGCTCTCGGTAGTATAATGGTTTACATCCGAAAATATTTCATCATAGTGCACTAAATTAGTGAAAGAAAGTAGACTTACATTTAATATGGCAGGGTCATTCGGGACTTGAGGCGGTGGAGGTTTCGTCTCTTTGGGAGCCTCGTCAATCCTAAGGTCCTTCACATCGCTACCACGGAATACAATGTATTCGTAGACATTGTCTGAAGGTGGAATCTCGTCCTCGTTTCCACGGCGACCTTCGGTACCGAAGGACTTGACATTTTCGAGCGCGACAGTTGAGCTCTCCGAATTGATTTCATGAAGAACACCAGAATAGCTGATGGATTGTTAAGGTGGCTGCGTACGCAAATGTACAGCAGTTGCGCTCACCGGATATCGCTTTTGGAGATGAGGGTAATGCGAGCTCTGGTATTTTCCATTAGCTCACAAGAATTTGTAAATATGTAGCTGCACTAACCCTATGTACTCCGACATTGTGGAGCGATATGAAGCTGATGTGAATAACTATTGTGAGGCGGAGGGAGATGTGGATGGAAAGTAGGATCGAGGGGAGCGAGAATGTGTGTAGAGGATGTGAGAGTAGGAAGACAAGCGAAACAAAGCTGAAGTGTGTTGGAAGCTCCTTTGCGGTCCGAAGTGCTTCCGTCTTGGCAATGGCTCCCATGGAACAACACAAACCTCCAGTGAATATGTTCAAGCTTGAATGAAAGCCTTGGTCTCCGAGTATAATTGATCGAGTCATGAATTCCACTACAGAAGCCATATTTCATCCTGATACCCCCGAGATGTTCTCCCGGGTCGAGCAATACCCTTGGGATGAAGATGAGGAGTTCCAGGGCGGACTCACAGCCATTTTAGGGTCAAGCAGTAGTCCAGAGCAAGCAGCGGAGCTCACTCTTCGGGCCCGTTGCTTCTATTTCTCTAGGTACAAAGCAGAGATTCTGTGCTCGTACATCTCATCTAACTTCCACCCATAGAAAATTTAGCATACCTGTTGATTTTGATGCTTACAAGCGCTACCGCGAATCAGCCAATCTACCTATCCCGAACGGCGTCTTCGTGTCCCAAGCAGATTCGGTTCCATGTAATTCATCCACTCCAACTCCAAACATGGAAGGGGCGAATGGGTCGACGCAACCTGACGCACCCTATCCTACATCCTTTGCTGAGATCGTAGAATTGATCACGTCTGGGAAACCAATCCCCGGAATCAAAGATATACCCCCTACAGTGCTTGAGGGACAGGGAACACAAGCTGTGAAACCAAGGCGTAAGAAGCCCTGGGAGAAAGATGACCTATCTCCTCCTCCAGCAATGACTTCAGAAGCCACTCAAGAGCTCTGACAGGAAAATGGCGATCCTCATGAGACGATCAACGAACGTGTGTATACTCAGAAGTTTCGGAGGGTCACAATGCCCGCCCCAGCATCAACGGCATACAGTCTCGCATCTGTTACCGGCATGGTGTATGTTCGGATACCCAGTTTCTCCTCCAGAACTGTGCCATGATCAAACTGATCTTCGAAGACACGTGGCTCATCTAGATTATACATCCGATTCGTCACAATACGCCAGCACTTGAAGAGTGTCTAAAACAGTGGTATCTGTCGCAATATCAACTCTAATCCCTGTTTCTACCGGGCTTTAATGCTTGTTTAATTCCACCCGATCACCCCTTCCGCAAGGACCTTGCCCCTCCATCCCATCGCTCCGTTGCCTTCCACAAGCGCCATCCGCCGTCCCACGACTCCTTTTCCACCAACACCCAGTTGCAGCGCCTCCGGCAGCGCCATACTATTCCGCCTATCCAATCGTACTGGAAATGTATACAGTGGCTGTGTATGTCTCGCATGATGCGGCACTGAGAGGTCGCCGTCGTGGCTGATATAGTCAGCTTCATTTCCAATTCCAACCTTGAATTGAGAAACAGAATGAAAAGAGTACAGGCGACTTTATAAGGATTCACGCAGACAAGCATGCAGGAGGGTGAAGAGGGAGCCTACTGTATCACTAGCCAGCAGTCATGGAGGGACTCGGTCGACGGCGTGCGAAATGTAGCGCAGGTCTGAGGAGGGGCGGATAGGTCGGTGGTGTTGGTGAATAAGATATCGTAGGAGGTGCTGCTGCTGCTGGATGTGGGCGTCCGTAGGGTTGCGATTGTGCCGCCTTGCGAGGGGCGCCCGATGCCGTTACACATTGTTGTTAGTGGCTATTTGAGTGCGCAGGAAATAAGCAGGCCGGTATGATGTTTGATAGCTGTGGATTGAGTCGGAAGAAAGGACAGTTTCGCGTGGGATGATATGCTGTTGGAGTCCTGGAATATAAGTTTGTGTTGCGAGGAAGGACCATGTATTATGTATTATGGTAATGGTCGTGTAGAAGTGTTATAGAAATGTTACACTGCATTGCGTACCGAGGTGGAGATGCTTTAGTACCCTGATGAGCACGATTGCGGAGGATATATAGGGAATGCAGCTTGTGAACGTCACGGTCGTTGCAGATGAAGGGCTTGGCAAGTGAGCATGTTTGCGGGGGTTAGCGTTGGATGCACTCAGACGGGCAGTTGCAATGCTTTGGGACCAAGGGCAGCTATAGCCTATGTGGCTGCTTTGTGGGGTCTTATGGATGATTTTGGCCTCATAGAGTCATACAAACTTCCTTATGTTTTCATGTTTCGCCTCCACGACTGAGTGGATGCCCAGTTAATTGTTTACATTGAGGCCTTGAGAACCTTGAAGGCATCGCCCTGCTTACCGAGATATCTCTCTTCGGCTGTCTTCCAGTTGATGATATTCCAGATGTTGTCGACATATGCAGCCTTGCCGTTCAGGTACTATAGCCCAATTAGTAAGCATGTCTCTCAAAAGTACTACCATTGATCTTACCTGAAGATAGTAGGCATGCTCCCACATGTCCACACCAAAAATGGGGACCTCGCCCTTTCCAACAATAGGATCTTGGTCCTTTGTCGTTACAATCGTGAGCCGGTCGTCCTTCGTTGCGCCTTCAACCTTGACAAGCCAACCCCATCCACTACCCTGGATGCCCAGCAGTGCGGCCTTGAAGGCCTCACGGAACGCCGCCTCGTCACCCCAAGTCTGCTTGATAGCCTCAGTGAGCTTTGGAGCCGATGACGGCTTTGCTTCAGCTGAGGAGGCGGGTGCGAGGTTCTGCCAGAACAGCGAGTGGTTAATGTGGCCGCCACCATGAAACTTGATCAGAGGCTGGAGAGCAATTTGACCAGGAACGTCGCCGGCAGCACTTGCGGTAGCGAGATTCGAGAGCGCAGCATTAAGGCTCGTTATGTAGGTGTTGTGGTGCTTGCTGTGATGGAGCTCCATGATCTGGGCGGAAATGTGTGGTTCGAGCGCCTTTCGAGACGTCAACTACGCGACTTGCACCATGAACCGACCCAAACTTACATTGTATTCGTAGCCTAGAGGCGGCAAGCTGTACGTATGTGGTTTATAAGCCATTGCTGCGTATACTGTATCGTCGGACTCGTGAAAGGCTTCGTATGCTTCGTTGTGATCAGACGCAAAAGCTGAATGCGGGGCAAGAAGCAGGACGAGGCCAAGGACGACCGTAATTGTCAGCAGAGGCATTCGCGATGAAGTCACATGTTTGCGGGGCATCTGCATCTTGTTAATAATGTTTTTTTGGCAGTGTCTTCCTCTGGATGCGCGGGATTGAGCACATTCATGGCCACGCTTGGCGTCGGTTCCTCGATGACAAATGCTGTCCAATCAACGACAGCGATGTTTTCGATGTGTTGATATATTGATCTCCAGCCATTACAGGGCCAGTATCCCTTTCTTCCTCTGGTGTCTATTGCTATACTAACGTCTATATCGATGTAGATTAGCTGTTTGACCTGTGACCAGAAGCAAAGGAAGTAACAGCTGTAAATCTGCCAGTAGCTGCTTGCCCTTTTGAGACCTACCGATTATATCCATCTCTTACCTTAAAGGTACGGTCCAGTGATACTCGAGCCCTCCCATTGTCGATTAAACCAGGAACCGAATTGTTGTTGGTATTATGATGTGACTTAATTCGGCGTCTCAATATTGCAAGTAATTACGATAGAAACTCACTTAAGCCTTATATGCTAGTCCAAATAAGGCAGGGATTGGGTCGCAAATGATATCATCCGATTGGTGGCAGAAGCTTTGCTGCTATCCTGTGTTTCAGCGTAGTCTTCTGAACATCACGCATGTACGCTACTTACAGAAAAGCTCAGTCATTCATTTTCGCAGTAGTACTATATAACACGCACGTGAGTTGCGTAAAACAATGCCAGGTAAGTTCTTGCAAATGTATATGTATATCTAGAGCTTAAATGAGTTTCAGGGATATACTAGACTCTGAAGTCCGCAAACATCAAGCAACATCAAAATGAATGAATGCAAAGATGAGCTGCATGAATGCATGTTTTAGAAACACGGGTCTTGTGACAGTGATGAAAGAGCTCAGGATTCCTCAATCAGTAATGGGTTTCATCAGTCCTCTTTCCAAAACCTTGATTAGGGTATCTCCAAAAAAAAACCTACCTTATTACTACCATACATGCTTGTGCACAAAAGTCAGTTCTCGCTATTAAATTGGCTACCTTGGACTGGGCCAATTGGCCATGTAGACACATCAACCTTCATCTGAGGCCGCTCTAATGAGCCCGTTTCGCTATCATACCGTCCATAGCGGCCTCCGAAGCACTTAAGTGATGTGTAATTAGCAATGAACTTTGTCATCCCTGTTGCTGGTATTCTTGGTGGAGTCGCTGATTCAGCTGGAGCATTTTTGATGGTGAACGCATTCTTCGAAGCATCAGGGACTGGGCTGTTTGCAGACATTCCCGTAGTCTTCGCGTTCTTCGATGCCGACGAATGACTCGATGGACGAGACCTAGCTAACAGCTCTTTGCGAATCCCTTGGTACCTGACAGTAGACGACTCTTTCGACACAGTAGGACCAGATTTCGTGTTCGTGAGGCCGCAGACAGACTTAGTCGGAACTATTCCACGAGTTGTCTGAAGCCCGACATTGGACACTTTCTTCGTTGCAATAGATTTCGAGTGGTCGGCGAGATGATGCTCATGATCTTTCATAGTTAATGTCTCTTTACTTGGTCCTAGTGAGTGCGTGAAAAGACCTTCAGCGCGAATTTCATTGGGTTTTTTGATAGATTCGTCTTGCTCATTTCTCGGGATAGACTTTGTCGATGTGTCTTCGCGAGTGTTATCAATGTCGGCAATCAGCCTATTGTTTAAGCGTCCTGGGTCACACTTGATGCCATGCTCTTCGACATCTATTCTGGCGCTATCTGGCTCCCAGTTCTTATGAATGGATGCCAGTATTTGCGCACATTGGGCTAGAGCTACTGACGACGTAGGCACGGAAGATTTTCCAAACAGCTCGACTCCCTTCATATGTAACGAACTCGTCGCGCCAGGCTCTCCGATATTTGCTGAAACAAAACTCAGCTTCGCAGGTTTTAAGGTGGTTACAGCATGTATTGCAGAGTTTTCATTTGGATTGCTCTGATCATCAACACACGCTGGTTCCTCCTCTCTAACTATTGCTGTGCTTTGGATTGATCCTGTGCCGTGAGCACCGCACGAATAATCAAATCCGCGCATCTCTGCGAGCGATCTGGAAGGGGTGGCAAGCGTGCCTGTCTTCGGCTTGCACTTCAATCGCTTGATTTTAATTGTACGGACGCGTTTTGGTGTATTGCCATCCAGGGTCACCGGGAAATCTAACGGCCGCTTGGACGAGATTACGATATCTGCTCCCGTTTCGCGTGTTTGTGTCGTTTCAGGTGACAGAGCAACTTTCCTATTTTCTATCGCTGTAGGACCGTCAGGCTTCTGATATGTACACGGACCAACGTTAGTCGAAGCGGAGTTCCCTGAGGACTGTTGTTTGTTATCTGTGGCTGAGCTGCTCCCAGGTACTTGAGCCACAGGCTTCTCCGGCGCTTTCCCTTGGGGTGTCACACCCACTTGAACCTGGGCTTCCGCTTCAGGAGCAGCTGGTGATGAGGGTGCGAAAGCGCTTTCCACAGCAACGATACTGCCGATATCCATACCCTCTTCTTCAGGCAGGCGTCTGCCTTCTCCAATTTCTTGTCTAGCAACGCGGTCATCATGTGTACTGTTCAAGGTAAGCTCGCACTTTGATGGGCTTGCTTGTACGGCACTGCTATCCGGCGGAAGATCATCAGGTGAGCGGCGTCTCGGCTGCGAAGGAGACGGAGTCCAGGGATAAACTTCGTCTGATGTATCAGAGCTCGGCGGTGAGGCCCCGTTTGTTTGCTCATTCTCTGTAGATGACTCAGAACCTGAACGTACAGGACTGCTATTGGATTGATCCCGACCAATTTGCCGGTGCCAAAGTGACGTAGAAGTTTCGAGGTCAGTGGAGTGACAACTACCAACCATCTGACGACGCTGTAGGTCACTGATAATGGAATGTGGAACGTTATATGCTGGATATGAGTTTGACGGCAGCCATGCTACTCATAATGTTAGTAATATGCTCTATTTGATACGAGAAGAATGCGCGACTTACACTCCTCCTTGGCCAAGATCGCAGCCTGATCTTTCGGTATTCGGCACAGTTGCCTCATAGATATAGAGTTACTCACCCCGAACCATTCTCTAAAGAATATGTTTTCGTTTCCCTTATCATATCCGATAGATTCTGTTTGAGGCATCGTGTGTCTCGGACGAGTATTGTGGTAGTGACTGCTAATCGCGCGTGATTCAATGTCTTGCTGGACTGATTCTTGGTTTCCCGGTGGGCTCTGGCTCTGGAGAGGAGAATACTGTAGCTCTTCGTGTATATCCGAATGGTCAATTGAAGGAACTATGGAGCCGATGTCCCCCGAAGGAGGGACATGGGTATCCGTGGTGACATTGTTGGTCGTAAGTTCTGATGAGTCGACGTTGATCGGACGGTCTCGGGCTGAAAAGGGGGCAGGATCATCATAAAATACCATAACATCATCATTGTTTACCACATTGGCGCTATAAATGTTTTCGACTTGGGCTTGATCACTTCCTGACTCTTGCTCTCGTATGCCAACGACCTCATCGGTGGTGGACAGGGGTTGCCGGAAGAGGTTACCACTAGAGAATCCAGACGTCTCGTCCACATCGATCTGGGATGCCAATTCCTCCTCACTGTTTACGTCGTCAAAACTCATCACGTAGTTCGCGAATACATTGAAGTCTTCTGTATGTCGACCGTACTGAAGTGATGTACCCGATGAACTTGGTGAAAGTTGAACTCGAGATGGTCGTACGTCGAATTCTATTAAGTCACACCTCGCGAGCCCAGCGTAGACATTAACGACCCTTCCTTCTCCTCTTTGGAAACCCTGAATGGCCTCGTTGCGACCAAGGTAAACAACCTTTTCTAACTCTTGGACGACCGGATGGTTGCCTATCAATTGTATCGGACGGTGTTGGATCAAATGGGGCGGCGGAAAGGTAGTCGTGTAATCTGCACGGTGTACATCCAGTCTAATTCCAAACTTGTGCTCTGCATCCCACGAAACGACAATATCGAACTCCAGCAAGAAGCAATGAGAGCCTATCTTAGGATTAGACAGAGTGCGGTGTCCGTTGAATGTTGCACGAATGCTATGCTTGGAGTCGTATAGCACCCTTTCGGCAACACGATTTGGTTTAGACCGGTTGGACTCTGAGCACTACAGAAAAATAGTAGTCAGGCCACTGTTTATATCGCTGCAGACAAGAAGCTCACCAGATCAATCACTGCGAGCGGAAAGGGCTGGCGGTGCTGCCGGGCTTGAGCTTCCCAATGTACAGGGCCAGTGAATATTTCACTGAGCTCGACCCTCACACATGCAAGGAGCCAATGGTTGCCTCCGTTGCTTGAGTCGGACATCGGACATGTTCAGCTTGCGGGTCCCATCCAGATAGATAGAGCACCTGGCAGGCGGGGTTATTCTGACGCGTTCTGACGCGTTTCGTCGTGATCTGTCGCGTCCGAAAGGGTGGGCAATATCCAAAAAAAAAAAAGCTGTATTATAGAGAATCAGAACATATGTACAGCTGTATACAAGTGTTTACGCGACTGTCCTATCAAAAGTGACACAGTAATCCATAGATCTGCTATAGCTACGACAATCGATAAGAACGCCACGGACACAGCCACTAACACCTGAGACGGAGCGTCATCAGTTTTAGGTATTAAGGTTCAACCAGAGAACTTCACTCCATGCTCACTCTTCTTGTTACAACGTCCTGCCATTGTATTCACAATCACTTTGCCACATTCCATGACTTGCCGGCGGCTTTCCAGGGCGTCAGGGCCTTCTCTTGTACAGTGCCAGCGCTCTCGCTATCGACCCTCATCTTTCGCTGGCATTCCTTCATACCAAGTGTCAACATTTAATAACATTATAGGGAAGCGCATCGATCTTTCACCATCGGAGACCTCACTACCCGATGCTCCGCTGTCTGAAGTTTCAAGATGACTTCTCAAGATACACCGAATGCCTCGAGCCCATCGAGTTCGTCCATTCGCCTACCACTGGATCCACTGGCACGGCGGTCACGAAGGAGCTCGCTAGTGTCTATATCGTCGACCAAGGGACGCGTTGATAAGGAAACAATGAATATGGCCCTAGACCAGATCCATAGTTCTGCTTCAAGATCTGAGACGCTCACTACCTTCGATCAATTTGCTTCTCCGCCCTCATCTTCACAAGGTTATGATACCAAGTCAATAGCAGGGGACATCGTGCATGGTGGCTTGAGTGGACTTTACGACCGGTTCAGAGCTTCTGTAGAAAATGCTAAAGAAGCATTTGGGACAGCATCACCAGTATTACTCCAAGAGAACGCAGATACACATTCTACACACAGCCTGTGGACTAAAACTCTCCCCAAACATGTTCGGACATCCTCCAGCAAATCGCATCCGTCTTCTACCGCTGCTTCTACATCGTCTTCGAAACTGAGCTCTCCACTAGGCACTACCTTTACAGAGCCTGTACCGCCAATTGCGAGCAACCCCGATAAGTCAAATGTAATGGCCACTGTGGCTAGGACTGGTTCAGTAACGTCTCGATCTCCTTTGGTCCTCCAAGGAAAGTCAAAGCCATCTATAGCCACAAGTACAGTCGAGTCACTTGATATTATACCTGCACAATCTGAGGCAAAAGAGACCAAAAGTCCCTCGTATGCCCCAGTAGCACCGAAACCCTGTGTAGATGCAGCTGCTAAAGATACCGTGCGTAGTAAGCTATCTCGAGATGAACAGAGGTCTATCAGGATGCCCGTAGCAGAGAGCAGCAGAAGGACATCCAAGCCATCCGCAGACTTTCAAAACCACGATGCTGACAGTAGCGATAACGAGATAGTTCTTGTAGATGAAAAAGGTGATATTGAGATGGCGAAGGCAGATGAAGATGCTCTGATGAAAGATCAGGGTACAGTTTCCGGTACGAGATCAAATCATCAGGCTTCTTTTAATGTAGCAAATGCGTCTTCAGCTACTGGAACTATAAGCAGGGCAACAGCAGCATCGACACCGACTCCCTCTAGACCTCCTCTTCTTCAGATCAGCCAATCCCATCTGCCGGGCTATCGGCCGTCAAGAGCATCTTCGTCCGATGGTGGGTTGAGCTCTAGCACAGTCGTTGCATCCAAACCACCGCCCCTCTATATCGCTGAGGAGCCGAATTATATCAATAACAATTCCACCACTGATAACTTACCTAACAATGTGTTCTCACAGATGAGACGTAAAGTATTGTCGAAAGAATTCTGGATGAGAGACGAGAACGCTAAAGATTGTTTCTACTGTGGAGATCCATTCAGCACGTTCCGTCGAAAACATCATTGTCGTATGTGACCTCACACTCTGACTCATTTGTTTCTAGCTAAATCACTATCCTTAGGTACCTGTGGTCAAATATTCGACTCTAAATGTACTTCTCTTGTGTCAGGCCGGCTCTTTGGACAAGGGGGCACACTAAGAGTTTGTAAACCATGCGAGGCAATCATATATGGCAACGAAGACGATTCATCAGACTTTTCCGAAGATGCTGATGGAAGCTCATTGTACGACGCTGATGATGTAGGTCAAGCCCACACTGTGCGCCACCCTGCAACCGTTCGCGAGGGGGAGCCCATGAAAATCGGCACCCCGACTATTAGCATTCCTATGTCTCGTAAGGCCGGAGAGGGAAAACGGCGATCTGCCGTCATCGAGTTAGACAGATCGCCGACACTTGCCAGACCGAGCTCATCTCGATCTTTGAGGTCACTCAGTGGAAGGCCACGGTCTTCTACCGGGCACAAAAGGCACACATCGAAGAATCAGCACATGCGGAATGTACGCTATGATGATCGCGCCCCATTTCATAGACACGCGATTAATGACTTCGATGACCGCCTACGACTGCCAGCGTTTCACCACGACAATATTATTGATCCAGATTTAGCACCTTTCATGTCGGACGAGGAGTCTAGTGAAGATGAACAAGTCAGTATCTTTGCAACACTCAGTGGCCATGGGCATAGTCGACATGATGGTGACAGAAACCAGCCCTCCAACATACTTACTGGAAGTCGCAAGCTCAGATCCAGAGGTGGTGACAAAGGCTTTGGAGGGTCGCAGAGCATATACTCACGAGATCCTGACAATGCAAGCATCACGAGTCGGCACCTGAATCGCCACTCAAGGCGACGAAATATTAGCGTCAGCAGCAACGTGAACCTTAAAACGTCACCTAAGCGTATAAAGAGCAGTGGGCTATTGCGCAATCTAGCTATTGGATTTGGCTCTGGTCTCGGACAGTCTTCATCTGGGCTTCAGGTCCCGACAAATGTCGGTGGATCCAAAATGATTCGGAGCTCATCAATGAGAGGCCGTGATGCACCGATTGTCGAATTAAACGCTGCAAGTCTACAGCACGTCCGCCGTCTACTACGTCAGCTACTTCAAGATGGATCTATACCTCATTCTTCCGGGTGGGAACGGGCGCTTATGCCTATCCTCTTACAGTGCACGGACGATGTGAATCCAGACGTCCAACAGAATGATGATATCGATATTAGGCATTACATCAAGCTAAAGAAAATCCCTGGTGGCAAACCAGGCGATACGTCCTATGTCTCAGGCGTTGTTTTCTCAAAGAATCTAGCATTGAAGAGTATGGCGCGAAGTATCCCTAACCCACGAATTATTATCGTTACGTTCGCTATCGAATACGCTCGACATCAGCAACACTTCATGAGTCTTGAGCCTGTCATCGCTCAGGAGCGAGAGTATCTGCGAAACCTAGTCAATCGCATTGCTGCTCTCCAACCACACGTGTTACTGGTCCAGAGGAATGTTGCTGGCTTGGCCTTGGAGTTTCTCGAAGAAGCCAGAATCGCCGTTGCCTATAATGTTAAGCCTTCTGTCTTGAACGCAGTATCGAGATGCACTCGAGCTCGCATGATATCTTCAGTCGACAAGCTTGCAGGGGACCCTGCCCACCTTGGTCATTGCGCCAGCTTCGACATCAAGACTTACCGACATGGTGGTATTAAGAAGACATATACTTACCTGTCCGGTTGTCAGCGTGAGCTAGGTTGCACCATTGTGCTTCGAGGCGCTAGTGTGGCTACCCTACGAACGCTCAAGAAGATCACAGAGTTCATGTGCTACGTTGTCTACAATCTCAAGCTCGAGACATGCCTAATGCGAGATGAATGTGTGCTCATACCATCTTCTGTAGACGGCGACACTCTGTCTTCGAGGCAAAAATTTGCGAAAAAGGTAGCAAATGTTGCAGATAGTGGGTCATTCCCTCCCCATGATGTGGTTGCTCGGGCAAGCCATCAGATCCAGATGGATCGGGAGAAAGAAAGTGCGCAAAAGACTACCTACGCCGATATTACGGACGGAGATATCATTGATAGCCGTCAAGCAGACCATGTCGTAGACACTACCTCAAAGAACGAGAACTTGGTATCAGAAAAGAGTAATGAGTACCCAGACGATATTCCCATGCCCTCATTCTACGGTGAGATGGTAGAAAAACATAAAACCAAGATACTATCAGCCTCGCCCTTCGTAACCTTCATGCAGCCATATCTTCTCACGCAATCTCGAGAGCAGGAAAGGAGACTGGCGTACTTGAAGAAGTTGCGGGACCAATACACCCCTTCAGACGAAAAAGAAACCGCCGAGCAGACGACATCTTTCGAACTTGTTCAACCCGAAATGGTCCACGACGTTCCAGAAAAGGCCTCCAGACAAGTTCGCGACTTCTTACACGCCGTCCATAACGCCGAATATGAGAAGGCAATGCATAACTACAACACACAGCGGCGACAATGGGAAGCATATCTTTCTGGTAATATGGAACTCTTTGATCCGTTCAATCACCAAAGAATCGCTGTACTTTATAGTGCGGTGAATTCTGTGACCTCCACACCATGCTTTGGGCCCGAGATCATTGCCTTGGGGTTCTACAACGAGCATGACCTAGAGGATGGCTTCATGCCTGACTGCTCCTTAGGTCAATATATCGAGGATTTATGTCATGGTGGGAACAACATCTGCGAATCAGCAGGGTGCGATCGGAAGATGTTCGATCATCATCGGCAGTACGTTCACGGCGAAGGTCAATTGAGCGTCTTCGTACAAAAACATGCCACCAAGATTCGTGGACTACAAAACACAGTTCTCATGTGGAGTGTCTGCCGGATTTGTCAACAAGAAACTCAACCATTTCCGATGTCCGACAATACGTGGAAGTATTCATTTGCGAAATATCTGGAGCTCACGTTTTGGAGCAGCCAGCTGCAACCACGAGCGGACAGCGCCGACGCTTGCACACATGATATCCACAAAGATCATGTGCGGTACTTCGGACTCAACAATGTGGCCCTGAGGTTTCAATATGACAAGGTACAACTGTACGAAGTCATTGTACCAAGACCCATAGTGACATGGAAGGTTGACAGTGATCTGCGCCTAAAGAATGAGCAGTTTGCAAGGATCGAAGAGCGTCTGGACAAGTTTTACGCTTCGATCAAGACCCGACTGAAAGGCATACATATTGATAGTATTGTGCCCGAGAAGTATGAAGCCTGCAAAGCCGAGCTCGAGAAACTCACAAAGAGAGCGAATGATGAACAAGACTGGTTAAAAAAGAAGCTTCAAGATAAGTACATGAGTTCACGATACTATGAGATCGTTCCACTCAATCGAGCCGTCAGAGCCATCGTGGAAAAGGTCTTTGCATGGGACGATGCGTTCGTGGAGTTTGAGCGCCAATTTTTTCCTTCGGAGAAAGATATTAGAAGACTGGCAGCATTGCAGCTTAAGAAGATGTTTTTGGAACGTGATGAGTCCGTTGGATCACTTACTTCAGTCGAAGAGGATCCCGAAGACACTTCTACGGAAGGCAGTATCACCACTAATGAAAAAGCTGATCTAATGTCTTTGACGCCTATGCCATCCCAGATGTCACCCGAGAAGGCCCGAGACATGCTCACTTTGGTGGTTGAGGAGGACCACAATAAGGAGTCGGAAAAACCAATAACCCCTCATGATAATGCTATCAGCAAGAACCATACGTCTAACTCAAATACTGAACCAGCAGTCACGGCCGCACAGAGTGACGTTCGTCATCTAAACTTAGCCCTACCATCGAAGGAACCAGAGTCGATAGATGATATTACCCCACGACCAAGCCCAGCAATATTTACTGGAGACCCACCAATTTTAGAAATGGGTCACGGAGAGGGAAATAATGAGCAACAAAGTTCGTCCGAAGAGACAATTCCCATGTATGAATCAAGGATACCACGACCTGTCGAAGTTACGAAAAAGACAAGACCAGCAGTCTTGAGTCGTGCCAGTTCGCAGCCAGGGGTACTTTCCTCCTTGAATAGTTTGGCCGCCGGCGGAAGTTCGAGTACCACCAGCGGTAGCCTACATAGAATCGACCCCACCAAGCCCAGTCTTACAGAATCAGCTAAAGCATTAGAGAAACGAGTTTCCGATCGACTGGGTCTAACCTTCAAGGGGTCGAAGTCTTCGTCAATGATTCCGCGCTCAATCCCCAGTAAAAGAGATTCTCGAGTGTCGACTCTGGCAAAACACTTCGAGCAGCTGAGCCGTGAGTTTGAAAAAGAACGTCTGCGCGAACGACGACAACGGGCCGAAAAGTTTCGACAAGCACGAACGTATCAATTAGCATCTTCGAAACCAGTCGTAGAGGTTTATCGTAACGTGCATGAAGCTGTTCAGGTGCAAGACCCATCAGAGGAGGACCTACGGTCTTCATCATCCCATCAACGCGAAAGTACTGATGCTAGTACTCTGGGTGAAAGCGGAATGACAGAAGCAACTGAAACTACTACCGGTACACAGTCACCAGATAATGATCAACGACCAGTCAGTGCTGAAGATTCCCCGGCTGGGTCAAGGAATGACGGCATCGATGGGGTTAGTCAGACCGATGATGTCGAGGGCGAGGGGAGTGATGCGGAAGTGGGTAATCTTGATGATATGGGCAACCCATCCTCACTCGACGAGTCACAAATCTTGTCTCCAACAGAAGCTAACCTGGAATTACTTCCAAAACACGAAAAAACCTCTCTCATGAAAATGCTCACAAGCTTTTGGTCAGAGCGATCAGCCAGTGGTTGGGCACCTCTTGAGTACCCATTTTCAACAACTGAGCATGTTTGGGAGGATTCCGATATCATTGTGCGCGAAGATGAGCCCAGCTCGATAATTGCTTTGGCTCTTTCGAGTCCGGATTACATGGCAAAACTCCAAAGCTTTCGTGCGTCTAATACTGCGGCAACAGATGCGGATGCAGCCACTGGACTCCCGATTGATGACGATGTCTCTATCGAGCGTAATCTTCTACATCAGGCGAATACAAACATTCGCTACAGCTTCACGAACAGGGGTGTAAGAGCTCAGTGCAAAATCTTCTACGCTCAATCCTTTGATGCACTGCGGCGGAAATGTGGTGTTGCAGACAGGTTCGTAGAATCCCTTTCAAGATGTTTGAAGTGGGACTCCAAGGGTGGTAAGAGCAAGTCCCTTTTTCTGAGGACTCTTGATGATCGTTTTATTCTCAAATCACTTTCGGCCATCGAAGTTAATGCTTTCTTCCGCTTCGCTCCCAATTACTTCGCCTTCACGCATCAAAATTTGTTCAAAGGCCTTCCCACCGTTATCGCGAAGATGTTCGGCCTTTTTCAGGTTCAGATCAAGACGTCTACAGGTCGCGATTTTGATATGTTCATGCTAGTCATGGAGAACCTCTTCTATGACCGTGAACCCAACCGTCGCTTCGATCTCAAAGGCTCGATGCGGAACCGCAAAATCCAATCGACGGGCGAGCGAGATGAAGTCCTCCTCGACGAAAATCTCGTCGACATAATTTATTCCGAAACTCCTATCTTCGTACGCGAACATACCAAGAAGTTACTCAAAGCCTCGGTATGGAACGACACGCTATTCCTCAGCAAGCAGAACGTCATGGACTACTCACTTATGGCAGGCTTCGATGACACGCGCCGCGAGATTGTCGTCGGCATCATCGACTGCATCCGCACGTATACCTGGGACAAGAAGCTGGAGACGTGGATCAAGGACCGCGGCAAGAACAAACCGACCATCACGTCACCAAAGGACTATCGGAATCGCTTCAGGATTGCCATGGCAAAATATATCTTACAGGCGCCCAATTGCTGGCATCAATTTACTGTGCAGCAGATACAAAGGAAGCCACTAAGGTTAGAGCCGAAGAGTAATATGGATGGGGCAGCGCAGGTGTTACAGACGCATCATTCGGACCGGGAGCAGCAGGAGAAGCTTGAGAATGTCTCGGAGGGACAATTGGAAGCAGCAGTGTGAGAGTTGCATAGAAGTCGCGAGGCTGGGCTATTGACCTTACTAGAAGTGGTGGATATATCCAAAGGTATATGATAAGAAGGATTATCACAGTATAATATATGTAGACGAACATGAATACTTCGTGGACAAGTTGTGATGTATCAAGACCAAGCTGGGAAATCCCTTTGTAAAGAGACCTTCCATTCTCCAAGAATATCAGTGTGAGCTAATATGCCTGGGGCGCATAAATCTCCACTGTTAGTCCTTCACTGCCCTCAGGAACTCACAATGTGCATCACAGATTCTTCCTCTCCATTACACGCACCCTCTACTTGATGACTTCTGAAGCACATGGACGCCGTCCTGTGTTGAACCCGCGGCAGCCATGGTGTACCAGTAAAGCGCGCTTTCCAGCAGGAATCTCCTCTACTTCGTACCCTCGATCCCTATATATGATATAATCATATAGTCATAGGTCTACACATCACTTTAGTAGATATCGCAAAGCCACACGCCAGGACTTCGTTATTTTACGCCCAACCCAAGTAGCGTTCTCATTCTGCTAGCAGAACACGTAGAATCGATTGACCAATCTTAGTGAGACGCCATCCAAGCTGCAACATGTGCTTGTCGAAGCTAAGCTTGATATTCATCTTTCACTGTCTTCGCCACTTTCTATGACTATCTTCAAAGTTCATCCACCGCATCTTTTTCGTAGTGTCGTGAAGTGGGCAATCTTGGGACACTGTAATTTTCAGCCATCAGGGGCTTCCTTCCACTTCCAAGTCTGTGCTGTGTCAGTATCCGGCACGATCGGACTTTGACATCTCTACTCGCTCTGGTCTACGGCTGCTCCTTAGAGTTCTTCATAAGCTCGCTCCAACCCATCTAAAGAGATCAATTCTCTACTGCTCAATGCATTTACGGTTTCTCTTACAGACTCCCTGTCATGCCAGCTCGTGTGGTTTCAGTCCGTCCCTTGTCACTATGACCTATCACGGCCGATAGATGCTCCAAGCAAAGTCGATACTTGCGACGGCTCAAGGCTCCAGTCCCGGAGGTTCAGTAAGTCAAGCAGCCCTGTGCAGACTCTCATCAGAGAATCGTGTCATTGATTCTGTCCCCGAGTTTTGCTTGGCGTCTGCCTTGGCTCTGGGATCTTACGAGATGAAGCAGATAGAGAGGCGGGTCTTGCATCTGAAAACGAGGACGTACTTTGGAGAGTGATTATGTGAGATAATACTGACTCACTATACATATGTTTACTGTTTCAGGGCAGATCAATATTCGAAGGCAAGGGAGAGAGAAAAGCCCAAATTAGCTATTCGAAAGCCCATACCTCTTGCGGACGAAAATTGCCCCTTTCTCAGCCTGCGGGAAGCGCAAGGGTCCTTTCCTCCTCCTTATTATTATCAACAATTCAAGCGGCTAATTATTGGATTACCTCAGTGTCAATTACTTGCTTAATGTTGAGATATCTGTGCCCACGTGTTTATCAATTACAGAAATCTTCAATCGAGATACTAGGTTTCACACACAGCCTTGTACTCTGGGGAAGGGCACATGGATACGGCATTTAATCGTACCATTCCAGCACAATGTTAGCCTAAACCGTGATATGGGTAATAGATGGTGTACCTGCATAATAGGGCGGGACATGTCTGCCTTATGGTAGGGGTGCGTTTGGGGAGCCTCATATAGACCACAGCAACTCATGGTCACACGGTTGTGTATGCGATGATCTGCATGGTACGTATTACGAGACCCTCGAGTAGCATTGGTGCGCCGTATTCTGGATCTAGCTAAGTTTTAAAAACACTTAAAATCAGCTGCTATTGACCACCAGGTGGTTAAATAATAAAATTGATAATACTGTAGACTAAATCTAGTGAGGCTGATGACAGCTCGACAGTGCAAACGATATTCTCCAATCTGGTCATGCCAAATTCATATACCGTTACTATATGCCGCCCAGCAGCCGCGAGGCTGAATGTCATGCTCTAAGTCCCGATGTCGTGATTCAATCCAAAGTTCGCCTTCCCATGCACGCTATTTCAAACAATGACAGCTTAGGAAAAGTCCTAACACAAGTACGAAGCCAACGATGTTACCAGAAAAGAAAAAGAAAGTGGGCCCTGAATATATTGCCTGCAGTCCGCACAACGACCAAAGTCACCGGACCGGGGCCATGCTTCGTGCTTTGGAGCACGAGCAGATAGGCATTCGATGACACACTTAGTAGTAGCCCGAGTTGGTCGACGTTCTGGGCTCATCGTTACTACCACCGTACGTGATGACGGTGTCTGGCCCTTTGCCGTAGCCGCGAGCAGACGGCTTGGTCGACATCTTGTTGGACGGCGAGGAGTAGTAACCGGATTGGGTAGAGGCGTAAGATCCTGAGTGACATGTAAGTCATCTGGTATCACTGTCTGGGAGCGGTGGCAACTTACGGGAAGATGATTGTGTCTGGGTGCTGTAGTACCCCTTGGTGTTGGACGTGTATCCGGTGACCATTGTATCTGGTGGCTTGAGAGGAGAGAATCTGATTTGAGTATTGTGTAGGCAACGATGAGGCGTGGGCAATTGCTGTTACTGAGTGTGGTGATTCAGTTTCAGAGGTGTCAATTCAGAGTTAGAACAGGTGAGTTGTATGGTCAGCTGTGCAATGAGTCTTAGAATGGACGAGTATGAAGATGGAAATGGAAAAGAAAAGCGAGACATCTTGGACATATAAAAGGCCTGTCCTATGAGCACTTGATCGGTGTGCTCCCTGAGGCACCAGTATCCTCCGAGAGGCCTTCATACACTCTATGACTGAATTGACAGATTCGGCCTCAGGGTTGAGGCAGTGTTTGATAATTGCCTAGCCCAGGCAAGGCACCAGCCAGACGATTGGATGGACTGAGTGATCGCGTGGTCTGTACGCTAGACCGGAATTTCTTATGCCAGGAAGAGTCATCATGTTCAAGTCACGACGGAGTATTTGCAGTACATCGATAAGGTGACGCGCGCTGGGAAACGTCGTATACGGGGTGAGGGAGGGCGTAGGGCGTTCTAGGATAGTGACGGACAGACAATGCAAGGCACGCAGGTAACGATTGAATGTCTATGAGTGTTTAGCCAGGCTGCAAGTACGTATAGAGGCAAGCTCAGAAGGCAGAAAAGATCATTTCAGACGTCAATGTATGACCTAGACCCCATTGAGGCGGTGCCTGGCCAGGCAGACACAGGGTCTGAGTCGACGACCAGTCTGGTCCGGTCAATCAGGGATGAGTCGTAGAGCATATCGGAGCACGCCGAAGGACGAGATGCAGCGCAAGGTATAACTTCAAGCGGTACGCGCAGTCGACTCGCCCTCCATGAGGGTGTATGTGATCGTGAGACGAAAGAGTCGAGATGTGTTGATGAAGCCTTTGAGCGTTGACAGGAAAGAAAGTCACCGGCGCCCCGCTAACCAAGTTTAGTTAGGCATCCACCCTCTGCGCCAGATTATTATGTTCACTTGAGCCGCTTTTATCATGTCTCTCTGGTCACCTCTTTCGACATTCAAGTGTTTGCCTGCACCACCGTTAACCCGATCTGGACAGCCTGCCTAGTTGTCCACGCGCCGCGAGGCATATATTGCCAGAGATAGTAGCTTGACCGGCAACCGTCAACTGTTGTACAGGACAGGATGAATTCCAGGTGATCGGACACTCCGAACCAATAACATATAGTCTGGTCACGCTTCCTTGACGTATTTGTGCGAACATATGTTAACAATAATTACAAACGAGATTATAATTAGCCTTTATTCCGACAGTATTCTTCTTCTTCACAACATCAGATACTTAGCAGGCCGACTTCCTTTGTGCTTCAGCCTGTCTTAAGAATCCCCCAGGTGTCGATGTACCAATCTCACATGACTTCCTATAGTGTGCTTCTCCTCCATCTCCTCCCGCAGAATTTTCACTTGCTTCTGTATCTCCTTCCACAGCACCAAATCATCAAGGTCGTTACCCTTTCGAGATGCATGGTTCTTCTGCGCTGCTGCGATTGACAACAATGCCGCCACAAACGCTTCTTGGATGTAGGCAAAACTGAAATCGTCTGTGATTTTAGCAATCGCTACACATAGCTTGTCAGGATAGTCGATGTCTTCATTATCTGCCAGTTTATGCTGCCAGAATTCGCAATATTTCACTCGTTGGTCGAAGTTAGGGTCAGCAAAATAGAATTTTCTATCAAATCTGCTTGGTCGTTTCTAAATATTCAATACTCAGCAAGACACATGAAGAGCTATGGGTTCAACTCACGCTGATCCCTGGATCCAGTCTATCAAGGTGGTTTGTTGAGCCAATCATCATGATACCATCGTTCTTCTTGAGGCCATCAACTTCATTCAAAAAGTAGCTTCGCACACGGTCATCCACGATCGAGTCAAGGTCTTCAAACACTAGATAGCATGGTGCTTCTTGTCTGGCTTTCGTGAATATTTGAGATAGAGAGTATTCCGGCCCGGCGAAGCTGCTCAGCGTTCTCACGTATAGAGTTGATACTCGCTCCTTGCGGTTGAATAACGTACGCATCATGGCTTTGATGCTACCGAGGTTAGTAATCGAAGACAAGGTGGACATATGTATGTACCTAATAGTCTTTCCGTTGCCCGGAGGACCGTAATATATCGTTCCTCGTTTCCACGGAACCCTCAGCTTGTCGTACGTTTCTCTTGAATCAAAGAAGTTTTCCACATCTGCAAGAAGCTCCTTCTTCATGTTCGAGTCCAAGATCACGTCGTCCCATGAAGCTTTCTGGAAACTGTTGTAGAGCTCTTTACTCTTTTGCCAAAAGCCTTGGTCGAATACCCATACCTATGATGCCTGTTAGTGGCGTGATTGGTCCGCTTAAAGGAAGGAATCAGCCATACCTGATCATGTAGCTGCGATGCATATGTACCAGCGGCTTTGATCAAATCATCTGCGGCTTGATTTGAAGCCGACAAGATGTAAAAGTTCGCGATGTCTGGATACGATGCACCCCCGTCACGTCCATGGATCAGATAGACAATGAACTCATGGCTTTGCCACTTATACAGGAATTTGCCAAATTTCACATCGACGACCAAAGTGCCTGAACCGCCGTCCAACCGACGTGCAGGTGGGGCGTATACTCGCCATGTCCACGATTCAGAGTCGTCTACAGGTGTTACAGAGGCGTGTCCTGCAGAGGCCTGTCATGGTCAATCAAGTGCCTCCAGACGAGATCTATGTGACTTACGTAAACGAATAGATCTACGTTTGATGCCGGTGTCACTGTCAGTCTCAGCTCCGGGTATTCCTTGCGCAAAGCCTCGACTATGACGATGTCCGTATTGATACGCTGAGCACTGGAATGTTGTAGGTATTCCCTCGATACCTCATCGCCTCCGGCTCGTATCTCTAGATTAGATGCTCCTGTCATGTCGTGGACGATTCGTAAGCTTGAACGAATTGGAGCGGGGTGAGTGTAACTTTAGCCACCTGTTGGACGCGAATCTTTGATGACTATGCCAGTACGCTTGTAAGGAATAAATCTTTGAGCGATTATCTAACTACTTGATGTCCGATTGCTGATGGTATCATGTGTGTAAATTAGCTGCCTGTTCATTCGAGGGTCACGGCGGACGTATTGGCTCCACTACTACTCAGCTTGAGCTTTGACTTGTGGAGAATCGATCGATAGACAGATAGTTACCCGATTCGGACGTCACGTGCTGTCTAAATACAGAATGTATGCAAAGTACAGATCGTTGTCGATTTTATCACAGTTCCCGCTCTGTTTCAACAAAGTGCGAAGTGCGACCAGTCTGATCCAGCTCGATCCGGTATAAATGCCACTTGTTTCTCGAATCTGCATCCTTCCATTTGGAAATGCTCTCTGCGACGCCCTGCTTGGATACTTTCCATTCTCCTTTCTCCACAAGGGACACCCATGATTGCAATATTGAATGCAAAGAGACATGTTGCCAGTCTCCAAACGGATTAAAACCCGGTTGGTAGAGATCTGCGTGTCTATCTTCAAATTTCATAGGCGGATCCTTATTGCCAATTTTCTCCCCTGAAACCGAGCCGTCCGTTAACCGCATGTTACCTTTACTACCAATCCCAAATGGTAGGACTAGGCGGCACACAGTCTCAAGAGGCTGTGCACCCCAACGATAGCCATCAAAATAAAGTCCTGCTGCGTAGGTAGATTTAGAAAATTGCCACAGCGGAGTCCAGCTGCCAACAGGACTTCCTGGCAAAGCGAGCTCTGACGCTTGTAGCAAAGGGATAGGCCAAAGATCAGTTCCCGATGACCCGCGGTCGTGGCTGAATTTCTTCGCGTCCTGGGAGAATGGTTGCTTGATAAAATCTCCCGCACTCACTAAACGCATCCCAGGCGCGAGGTATTCCACTTTCGGTTTCCGGGCCTGTGATAAGAAGTCGCGCGCGAATCCGGGAGGAATCTCTGCAGAATTCAGAGTCGCTTCATCGTAAATACCATACTGTGCTCCCTGTGTAGTACTCAAGTCTATTCGGTCTTCAATGGCCTGAACAAGTTGTTCCCAACTAGTCAGACACATTTCAAGTAGACCTTTAGAGTAAGGCAGCATCACCCAGGGCCTATGGCGATTATAATCGACAGTCCATTCGTGATCCGTGTTCACCAGACCAGCAGGAATATCGGGAGGCGAGTCGGCCTCGTCTGATATAGCAACAATTTGGCCATTCTCGATCATTGTATGCCAATTGGAAAGCATATCCTCAAGAGGATACCAGAGTTGTCGTCCATTAAAAGCAATATGGCGCTCTTGAACGTCTGTCACATATATAGCATCATTACTGTGGAGATCATAGCTGCTATATGTGAGCTGGAAGTTGTTCCAAACATTTGTGCAACCCTTACAGAACTCCCTCGTATAAATCATCGTTATGGATCGTGGTCGCGTATATGGTGATGAAACGCGGATTGTCGTGTTGCAGCCCAAGTCCATCAACATTGATATAAGATGGTTCACGCATGCCTTTAGGAGACATTAAACCACACACGAGGTAAAAGAGGTGGTGCTCGCGATGATTGCGAGTACCGTAGTCGAACGGGATTACGATGGCGAGCTTGAGAAATTTCGCAAAGGTAGGCGATCTCTTCGCAATATCTGCCGCTTTTTGATCGTTACCATATACATCCCACCACGTCGTGGCTGGAAGTGGTTCTTCGTATCCTGCCGCTTCCCATCCTATCTGTGCAAGCTTATTGTGCAGCTCTGCACAGCGCTCAAAATCCATGGGATTTCCCTCGCTTAGAGGCCGTTCGTTGATGTTTCGTTTGCCAGAGAGACGATTTGCATCTTTTTTTACCGAATGTATCCAGAGAGCGAGGCAAATAAACAAGCTCAACTTCCAGATCAATGGATGTAGCATCGACAAGGTCGTAGGCCGTGCTAGAGTAGTTAGTATCTACTTGAAGAGCCGGTGTCGTTTAAATTAGAGTAGAGAACGTGCTTAAATACAGAAACGGACGGCATTGTCGCTATAGGTCTCCCATGCGAAGCCCCTGTGGCGTTTGTAAGTTCGTTGGAAGTATTCGATTGGACCAATTGGAGCTAGACTGTATTAACCGCGCCAAGAAATATTCAATTGAAAGCTACTAAGTAAGGCACCAGAGGCTGTCGATACGCGACGCGTCGACTCGAGGACGCGATAGCCAGCCCAACAATGGTGGTGACGCTCAATGAGCGTCTGCCTTGTCGAACTTCACAGATACGACAGTTGAAAAATCTCTTCTCAGTACTATACACCTCTGTTAGGCGGAATGTATTACTAACCATAGTTCAGCCATCATACCCAGCTCCGTCGGTCCTCGTAGCCTACGGATTAGAATGCACAGGGAAAACGTCTGTTGTAAAAGGTGCTCTCGAGGATGGCCAAACGCCCCATGCCTTCATTGTTTCGCGAGAATGTATAACTGGTCGTCATATGCTAGAGCAGACCGTAACTGCCTGCATTTATGCCGTTGAAGCTACAACACATACCAAGATCGATCGGGCGCTGTACAGTCGATGCGAGAACATAAGCGCGCTGGTTGTCCATCTACAGCAGTTATTGCAGAATGTACCTCACATGACACTTGTCTTTGACGGGGTAGACAAGCAAAGGGAATCACCGCCCACATTGCTACCTGCTTTGTCAAGGATGACAGAGTTCGTAAGTCTGCTGCGATCTAGAATACCGTTTTCGGTTCTGACTATGCGAAGGTTCCGAAGCTCAGCGTCATCTTCATCGTGAGCGTTCCGAAACCTCGATTTCTCCACACCGTCGGAATACCGCATGTTCATTTCCCGCCCTATACAAAGGATGAGACAATACGTATCCTTTCGAATCGGGATAGCGGCGATCTGCTAGAATTCTCGGAGGAAAGATCCCACAAATGTAGTAGCGAAGACGTTTTGACATTATGGACACGGTTTTTGACGGTTCTTTGGGACTCGCTAGGTAAAGGAGCTGCAAGAGACTTGGGCAGTTTCACTGTTCTCGCAGAAAAGCTATGGAAACCTTTTACAGAGCCAGTGTTGGATGGCACCTATGGGCCAAGGGATTTTTCTAGAATCATGGTCTCCCGCCGAGGCCTGTTTCAAAACGAAGACATTCTCATTGACAGCATCATTCCAAAAGCAACAGAAGAAAGATCAACGGTTACCTCCAAATGTAAGAAAACTACATTGTTATTTTCAACATACTAACGAACGGCACAGTATCGCACGCACTGCCCTATTACTCGAAGTATTTACTATGCGCCGCCTACCTAGCGTCTTTTAATCCTGCACGATCGGACGCTATACATTTCATGAAAAGCACAGATAAACGACGAAGAAAGAAAGGCGGTGCTACATCGGGACGGATTGCGAAGAACCGAAAAATCGCACGACATCTACTTTCGCCCTCACTTTTTGCTCTCGATCGGTTGCTCGCTATCTTACACTCCATCATACCACATACTATCCCTCAAACCGCAGATATATATACACAGGTCGCGACCCTTGCTTCACTCAGGCTTTTATTGCGCTCAGGGGCGTCTAGCGGTGACGTTCTCGACCCGGCGTGTAAATGGCGGGTCAACTTTGGGCTGGACTATGTCATGACTCTGGGGCGTACAGTAGGTTTTGAGCTGTCTGATTATCTTGCAAGCGCAGATTGAAGTCAGTTACGGCACCCGACTTGGTCACCCCTGGATTGAGACGGACAGCCCGGCCATGACTTCCTTCCCAGATGGTCATTGCACGTATGGCCTGCTTGGAACCACGATATGATCGCCTCGATGAACACTTGTGGACTACCGTCCATGGCTATGTATCTCCGGACTGGACTTTTGGCCTCCAAGAGGCGCTTAGCTTGTCCTCGCGTCGCTGTACCGTTCACTAGACTCCATATGTGCACTTCAGCCGAAACAAGCTACTTAGCTACGGAGGTGAGAACTGGCCTTGGACTCATCTTCTACGAGCGCCTACAAGTCTCATATCAACTTCTTTCGGTTGATCTGACGAGAACAGGATATGAAGCGATCCCGGGCGGTCATGAGCAGGAGTAATAATATCGTATCTTCGAGGACGAAGGGATACATAGCACAGCAAATGCAGAAGGGTTGTGGAAAAGACATTCTGGAAATAGCATACAATTTGCCCGGGCATCCAGACCCTCCTTCGTTGTGCTCAACTCAGATATCCCCTAATCCCTAAATTGACCCTGCCCCGTGTACCTCCACTTGGAAACATATGCCGCCGTCTTGCCCTCTCCCCCGTTGCTAGTCGCATATACACCCAAAAGAGTGCCAGTGAATCCATAGCTAACAATCTCGTTGTTCAAATTCGCGAAAGTCTGCATCTCACTCTGTGCATCTGCAGGCCCAGCTGAAAAAGTGTAGTGCGTCAAATTGTACGCCTTGATCTCCAGCTTCAGTGGCTGCGACTGCCACGCCAAAGGCAAGGGCACTGTGAAGGCCTCCGGAACAGGCTTGCTCGAAATAGCATAAAATGAAAGACTCAACACGGGTTCCATTGGATTCGATGATTGGAGAAGCGTTACGCCGAGTCTGATGTGGTGGTTCTGTGTTAGGAATGCTGTGATGCCGGCTTCCTCGTTGACTGTCTTGGGCACATAGTCAAGAATAACGCTGTATGTGAATAGAGTGTGTGTTTGACGGCGGCCGACAAATGTTTGTGGTGTAGCTGCAGAGGCTCCGTCGAGGCCAGTCAGGTTTAACTTTGAAGGGGTGAGTTGGAGTATGTTTGGATGGTCGGTTGGAGATATGACATAGGCACTTGGTTCTGGAAAGCGCCAATGAAGGAAGTGAACTGGTAGTACGCTTCCAGCGGTGAAATTGATTCTGTCACTGGCATCGCAAAGTGGACTACCACAATTAGTAGAGCGTTCTGTTAACGAAGGCGTACGCACCCTGTTCCTTTGATTTCCACATCCTTCGTTGGTAGAACCCGGGTCTCGATCGCTCCCGTAGCATTCGAGAAGACTGGGAACTTACCCTCATCCCATGTCACTGGGACCATGATAGTCTCGCGCCCCATAGGGTAGTTCTCATACTTCGGACCCGATCTCGTAGATAGAGCGACACCCCACCAGTTCTCCGACTTGTCTTGAAAGAGGTCTGCATGGCCAACTGTTTGAACTATATTGTGATGTTTCAGTAGGGGTTCAGTACTAGGAGCACATTAACGAAACAACATACAGTATTGTGTTGTATTCGCATTTGTCAAAAGAGGATTCGTGGTGTCGCCTTCATAGGGACCCATGATGTCCTTAGACCTCGCCATGGTTACCATGTGATTCACACCAGTTCCCCCTAGATTCGGTCAGTATATGAGAGATATGAGGGCTCACTCTATGACTTGAAGTACCTTCTGCAGCAAGCAGATAATACCAACCATCTCTCTGGTAGATGTGAGGCCCCTCAACAGCCTAGACATTTAGCATGAGCTTTGAGTGAATGTGACCAACAAAGGTACACATACTATGCCACCAGTCCCTAACCATATTTCCTGGAACTCACCACCAAGTTCTCCGGTAGTAAGATCGATTGTGGTTTGTCGTATTCCCGCTCTACCGCAGTGAGTATAAGATCCTCCAGGGGCAAGATGGATGCTTACTTGATCCTATGATAATGAGATCCTGTCACATACACCTTCCCATTTTCATGCCAGAATAAAGATGTATCGTATCCCTGGAAGGGGAAATGGATCCCTTCTGTCCATGACGCTGGGTCAAAGGGGTCTTTGGCGCTGATTATAAACTGTGGAAACATCAGACAGTCCTTTGAAGTGCTATTTCTAAAACCGAACATACGTTGTCCCATTTCGCTGGATCAGCAATTGCTTTGTTGTCGAACACGTTAGTCGTGATTATGTAAAACAATCCATCATGGTAACGGAGGGTAGGTGCCCAAACACCACTGGTCGATCCGTTTGTATGAGCGAGACCAGGGAGCTGCTCTGGTCGATTCAGAGCGTTGCCTGGCTCCGATCCTTTAGTAGAATCTCTGATCTATTTGGACAGGTTCTTACCGATCAACTTCCAGTTCTGTAAGTCTTTGCTTGCATGTATTGGCACTCCAGGAAAAGCGTTGAAGCTAGAAGATGCACAAAAGAATGTATTATCCCATTCGGGCACAAAGATACAACTAGGGTCAGGGTAGAAACCAGGAATGATCGGGTTATAGAGCATTGCTTCAGATATCTCTCCGATAGCTCGCGAGAAAGTTCAGGTGGTCATGAGATACAACAACAGTTGCACTGTAAGATCGAACACCGTAAGTATTTAAGCTATCATGATGCAAGATACACTGGTCAAAGAACTACTGTTCGATTTCCGCCGCAGGAAAATTCAACCGAGGCCGACGTCATTTCGCGTCAATGTGAGCCTGAGATCAGGCTACGTTGGTCTTATTTATGATCACCTGGACTCGATCTTCAAGGTTGCAACTGACCTTGACGAGGTCAAGGTTATAGTGCAAGTAAGATTTCAGGCTGAATTCGAAGCGACATTAGTAGTGAGTGATCCTGGTACTTTATGCAATGGCCAATGTTCGTTGCGAACAACTAGATTTTATGCTCCATATTCCACATTTAGAGCTTCAATTCTATAGTACTCGCTGCCAATGTGTTATGTATAAGCTGTGGCTCCCTTACCCACTATGAAACAGTACATTCCGGTGTATTGAAGATTGCAGTAGAGTCTTACAGTTTTAGACTGCTCATGGGATTGCTGTTCTTCGTATGAGACTAGTACATGTGCCAGACTCGTGCTGTACTCACGCATAGCCATGTGCCTTGATCCATTCTCGAATGATTGGCAGATCACGTTCCTTGTACTTGGCGTTACCCTTGATGGTATCGCTGATGACGCTGACACCCCGGTCGAAACCCCTCTGATCCTTGCCACCGAAGAAGGAAGACATCTCTTTCTCAATCTCATAATTGGCAAATTTGTTCAGGGATGTGCGAAGGAATCGTTCAAGTACAACCATATTATCGCTCAAAGTTGAGTAGATCTTACTATCCCAATTGTCGCGGATGTACTCCCACACCGCAGCACGAGTCTTCGCGTTAGCACCGAGGGACATGCCTCCACTGTGCACGTCTTGAACTGCCACTGCGGGCGAAAAGAGGAAATCCAGGTAGTCTTTCGCAAGCTCAGGAGTTTGTACTCTACCCATCGCAGATAGACATACGTCTTTACCATCAATCGACGTTGTTGTAGCATAGTCTGACCTTACTGCTTCGTAGGCTTCCTTACCACCCTCAGTGACAGCGATCCGGTACACAGCGCTTCGTAGAGACGGGTGTATAGCAGACTTATCGCCGCTGGTGTAGGCATTAAACTGACGTTTAGCTTCTTCCGCAACACTGTGGTCAAAGTTATCCATCTTTGCTCTAGTAGTGATCGTAGATAGAACCTACCCCTCGTGTCCGACCAGGCCAGCTGTGGCTATGAGCAGAGCACGAAGCCGTCCAGTCAGATAGTCTTCCCCAGTTTTGAACTCCCAGCCGACCTTGTCTGTGATTGGACTGATGAGGGTCAAGGTAAATCGCCGAAGACCCTTACTGACTTCGTCGTCTTCAGAGAAGATTGATCGAATGTTACCCAGTCTAGTCAATATCTCAAGCCATACCCTTAGACGGTGTCAGGGATAATTTCTTCGTTGCCACCGCAAATACTCACAGGTAGTTCTCTTCGTCCCTGAAGTTCTCCACAAGCGCCAATAGAGCAGGTGTAGTTCCAAGACCTGAAGCTGCCAAGGCAGCTGCATCACCAATCAGGCCAATCTTGTCTTCGTCTGTAAGCTTGTCCTTTGCCTCGCCAATCTTTACAAGTCGTTCCGGGGGATAGTTGACCCTGTAAAAGCCGTTCTGGTTTGCGTTGAGCTTGTAAAAGCTGTCGTCAATATCTCTAATGGTGTTCTCACGCGTCGTGAGGGCACCTGCGTTAGCATCCATAGCTTTTGGTCCAGTCTTCAAGCCCAATGGAATCCACCAGATCGTCTCATCTTCCTCAGGCTTGACGTCACCACTGAATAAGAAACGACCCTGCTTAACGCTTATTTGACCCGGCTCCTCAGCGACCGTCAGGACAGGGAAACCCATCTTTCGAATCCAGATGTCCATGAATGTGTTGACATCTTGGCCAGAGGCTTTGCTCAGAGCGGACCAAAGATCATTGGTAGTAGCGTTGCCGTATTTATGCTTCTGTAGGTAATCTCCCACCCCTTTTAAAAAAACATCTTGCGACAAATGTGAACTCAGCATGCGTATGACTGAGCTACCTTTGAGATAACTGATCGAGTCAAATATCTGATCGACTTCAAGTGCATCCTTAACAGCGACTTCGATGGGGTGAGATGTCCGTAGTGAATCCAATTGGAATGCTGTTTGAACCGCCTCAGCCTATTACTTGTTAGTATTGATATTTGATGTTACCTTTGGTCATTGAACGTACGACAAACTGACTCCAGACGTTCCAGTCTACTTCGATTAACTTGGGTCTCGTATAGAATCTGGAGTCCTTACCAGGATGAAGGTAGTCAGTGGCAACCCAACCAACCCATGTCGCAAAACCTTCGTTCAGCCAGAGCTATCCAGTATCAGCAGCCATGGCATGCAGTTTTCGGGGGATAAATCACCTCGCTCCACCAGTCCATAGTCACCAAGTTACCGAACCACTGGTGAGCAAGTTCGTGCGCTACTACATAGGCTACTCGGTTTCTGAACCTCGCGTCGGAGGTCTTTTCGTCGAACAATACAGCGGTAGTCCTAGAGAGGTCGTGAGTATAGAGACTAAGTACACCTACTATTGACGATAGTGGTTATACTGGGAGTAATGTACCTGTACGTGATCAAGCCCCAGTTCTCCATCGCACCGTGAGACTAGACAACCCCGGTCAGTCAGCACTCATGGAATCGAATAGGGAATACATATAATTGCCTGTTATAGACAACTGATCAGCGAAGAGAGGGGCTGTTACTGCACGTTTGTATCTACTTACAAATTCGTGAACTGCTAGCAGATCAACTTTAGGGAGTGGATATTCGATACCGAAGATCTGCAAAACGGTAAGCCCAGCTCACGCATTACATCTTTGGTGTACCTACTTCAGAAAAGTAATCCACGATTTGATGTGCATGTTCGAGGGCAAATCGGCCCTGCTCTTTGAGACCTTTGGTAGTGTACACTCGGACCGGAAGGCTCTTTCCATCATATTTCCGCCGAGTGAAATCCTCCACATACTCAAAATCACCAATCGCCCAGGCTACTAGATATGTGCTGACGATTGGGGTTCGCTCGAAGGAGACAATCTTGAAATTAGACTTAGAGGATTTTTTGACCTCCTTTTCAGGCATGTTGCTCAAGGCGACGAGATCTTCTGGTACTTCGAGCTCTACATCGAACGTAGCCTTCAAGTTGGGTTCGTCGAAGCAAGGGAACGCTCGTCGCGCATCGCATGATTCAAATTGAGTACTGAACATGTAATGATACTCATCGTCGCGCGCCACCGATTGAGCAGCTGGTACAGTTGGCTTATAACGGGAGCGGTAAAAGCCTGCCATGGACTATCGCAGGTATCAGCAAAGACATTTGTGCTAGGAAAGGGTGACTGACCTGATTCATCGTGCCCTGGAACTTAATCACAATTTGTGCATTATGTGTAGGCGATAGGTCCTCGTCGAATGATACAATCGCTCGCTGTCTTGGTGCATCATAGGATATGTTCGAAGCCTTGTGCAAGTCTTCAGTCTTGGTGATCTTCACCTCGGCCTCATGTATCTTCAATTGATGAGTGTTCAAAACTATCTCCTTGGTTGACTTCAATATTTTGACGTCGATTGAAACTTGTCCCTCATAGCTAAATGCACCACCATGCTCAAGGTCATATAGGGAAAGGGAGTAATGAATTGGTTTGATGCTACATCGCAGATTAGCAAGACTAAACATGGGGTTTCCGGATCACACCAATGGCATCGAAGTAAATTTAACCCCGGGCATGATTTAGTCAATCTTTCCCACAACGCAAAGTCAAGGGAGCTGATGTATGGGGTTGTCTGGTCTACTGGAGATTCTCTTGATCTGACGAGCAAACATGTCGAAGACTCATTAGGATCTACTGTGCACCTGATCGTGTTTCTTCTCACAAGGGGACACTTGATCGACCAAAGGGAACGAAAGGCGAAAGACGAAAGCAGAGAAACGCAACTTACTTGTCAGGCAGCACATCACGGTCAGTGGCCATGTTTGCGAGTGATAGATCGTAAAATAGACAGTGCTTGTGCTTGATTGTGTATCGGAAATGGTGGGGGAACTTCAAGCTCTTGAAGCTTCAGAGAAGTTGCCCCGCAACACCGTTTTGTTCGCGTACGTAAGTCGGTCAAATCCGTGTCCGTAATCAAAGAGCGGCACGCGGTGATCAAAAGAGGAAGGAATGAAGCAATCCGGATCAATGCTTATGGAATACCCACACAATCCCATTAGGTACAATTACTTTACTACGCTTTAGCGTCACAGATGGGTATAGACACAACAGACACAACAGGCACGATGCTTTCGTTTGCCCAATACACGCTGATGGTTTTTGCATTCACTGTCTGTATTTCGACTTTAGTGTCTCGCACATCCTCAGTCTTGGATCTCCTGCCTCTACCTGCCTCTACGTTCCACTGTGATATACTGGGATTATACGGAGCCGGCTTTGACTGGAAACAAAGGCTATTCTTGCTCATTTTCGATTTGCATGGCTAGAGCGTCCTATGTGTGTAGACCTGTCAAAGTTAATTGTGCGGGTCGGCACGATATTTACTGAGCTCGAATCTCCTATCTATACATCTTACATATATTGAGCTTTTGGAGTAATTACAGGCAGGGTATATAAACATTTCAGACCCACTCTTTCGGGGACTTCAGTATACTAAGGAGCCTCTCCTCTCGGCTTCCCTTTTCAGGCTCGTGCATGTACTGCCAGCGCGCTGTGAGCGGTAAACTCATCAAGATGCTCTCGATTCGCGCTCCGGGTGTCTCAAGGCCAAACTTTGTCCCTCGGTCATGAACAAGATTGAACTCCACGTATCGTCCGCGGCGTAATTGTTGCCAGGCTTTTTCATGCTCCGTATATGGCATGTCTTTCCGCTTTTCGATGATCGGTATGTACCCTGGCAGGAATGAACCAAGACAGTCTTGCGCAAAAGCGAATAACTGCTCCTGATCCTTCTCTTGTTCGTCAAGATCATCGAAGAAGATACCGCCTATACCACGAGACTCGCCGCCTCTATGTTTATTGTTGAAATACTCATCGCACCATTTCTTGAATCTTGGATAGTAGTTCTTGTCGTGTTTGTCGCATGCATCCTTAATCGTTTTGTGGAAATGTATAGCATCCTCATCGAAAAGATATGCAGGCGTCAAATCACAACCACCTCCGAACCACCACGCATTTGTCTTGCCATCTGGGCCAGCTGTTTCAAAATAACGATAGTTGAGATGCACCGTTGGTGCCATGGGATTGTGCGGATGGAGAACCATGCTGATACCGGCAGCAAAGAATTCCATGGACTCGACATCTGGGTCCAGTGCTGGGTGGTTTACACGCATTTTTGCTATTGCACCTCTTCCCAATGAGCCGTATACTACGGAAGTATTGACACCGGCCTTTTCAAAAACATTGCCGTCTTGCAGCACACAAGTAATACCACCACCACCCGCTGGTCGTTGCCATGTATCTTGGAGAAACTTTTTCCCATCCACCTTTTCGAGCTCTGCTACGATCTTTTGTTGGTTTTCTTTTATGAATGCTTCCATACGCAGGCGCATTGGTGAGCTATCGGTCACCCCTGATTCCCGTTTTGCGAGAGCATCTCGTTCGGCGATACTAGGGGCCTCCATCGCAGGGCTATTTCCAGGTATCAATGTAAGCTTCCGTGGGTTAGCAGTGATAACGTTCTGGCAAGACAAGGTACGCACGATGACACAGGCAGCAAGTCCTATCAGAGGCAAACTCAGAGCCGTCCCGGATGTTGACAAACCTGAGAATCCATGGAGCGCATGACCACTAGTAGGACCCATATGCTGCGATGAGTTCGAAAAAGGTCTTGTCCTTTGGCGTCCTGATCTAATGGAGGCTTTCGAGGTGCCATTCTTCGCCCTGATAGTAAGGGCCGGTAGCGACTTGAATAGCCGCACTGACGACATCGCGGTGAGATAGGACATGAAGAGGCACAATAGAAATGGGAATGTATCGTCAGGTCATTGTTGAAATAGTACAGGGATGTACGGACATCAACGTCGTTGCGAAGCTTCCAGTCAAGTGGGTACGGAAATGCTCTAGGTTGGGGAAAGCTACCTCCTAGGTGCCGGGCCCCGGGTTAGCCCCGAGGTCAACGGCTTGCCCGGATCCTGAATAGGCATTAAGGTAGGTATAGGCCACAAGCCATAATTCCGTACCTGCAGAAGGCCGTCTCGCAGGGCCCGAGATTGAAACGTCTTGATATCTTGACTCGTTAAGTCACCATCAGAGGTGGTGACCAGGCCTCGAGGTTCGCAGTTGAGGAGGGGCTCACTCATCTACGTCATCAGGTATATGTGAGAACAAATGTCACGAGCTGATTCCGGAGCCCAAAGTATTGCCGCAGGACAGGGCTCGGAACATGAAGCGTGAGAACACTGCAAAGAGTGACTATACCCGTTTGTGCCCTGTGAAGCGTCAAGCTGGACGGGCATGGCGCGCAGTTGCAATGGCGCGCAGTTGCGAAGGCGCTCAGCAGCCTAGGTGAGTCGAGTCATCAGTGCAGGTGCTCCTATTTACAAGACACTCGTCTGAGTAGAGTGAACAAGAAGGACGAGACCGCATGACTAGGATGGTTTGTGCGTCAAGTGTATAAATGGTCAGCGACCGCGTTCCTGTCTGACATTTCTGTCGCGCTTTTGTCACATTATTATCCGTTATAGCTCTGTCACCCGCAAAAGCTCCACAGCCTCCCTCTTAAGCCAAACCTGACGCAAGCGCCACCACTTCTAGCTCGCGCTGACCAGTCCACCGCCCACTTCACATCTCGCCCCGCCTCCGCAAGCTGCTGCCTTCACCGCACCCTTCCTCCTACATCTACCCACCGATACCCTATCTCAACCACTAACTATCACTCTCTACCGGAACTAGAAATCTACATACCTTTCCTTCAACATGCGATCAAAGTTCAAGGACGAGCATCCCTTCGAGAAGCGTAAGGCCGAAGCTGAGCGCATCCGCCAGAAGTACAACGACCGCATTCCGGTCATTTGCGAGAAGGTCGAGAAGTCTGACATTGCGACCATCGACAAGAAGAAATACCTCGTACCATCAGATCTCACAGTTGGACAGTTCGTCTACGTGATTCGCAAGCGCATCAAGCTCTCACCAGAGAAGGCCATCTTCATCTTCGTGGATGAAGTCTTACCACCCACAGCCGCACTCATGAGCAGCATATATGAGGAACATAAGGACGAAGATGGATTCCTCTACATCACGTACGTTCTTTTATCCACATGTTTTGCGTTACTAGCTAATATGGCATCATAGATACTCCGGCGAGAACACATTCGGCGAAGCTCTATAACCGCCTACCTCCCTTGCGAGCGGGCAACCTGTCGTGATTTGGGCGTTCGGACATATGAATATTGTTATCGGCCATAGCACAGAAACTGGGTATTAGGAGTGACGCACAGCTGCACTGAGGAACAGATGGCTATACGAACTAAACCCAAGTGTCCGTTGGAACGTCATGCGTCGCACTTGGAGGCCAGCGTTCCTGATGGGTTGGTCTTGATTACTTATGGTTACCTGGTCTCTTTATCGTTCATAATCTAAACTTGATTCCTCGACATGATTATTCATTAGAGATCTGTACGCTTAGTGACCCAGCCAACACCACAATAGCTTTTGCAGGGCTTGATTCCATCGATGACGCCTGCAGAAGTTTTTCAGGATGCTTCATAGTGTGTAAAGGTTTTATCTGGTAAATCTTTGCCGCTTTCTTGAGTTTGCTATTACTCCGTGTTGGACAGTCACCGAGGCAGTCCCGTGATACTAGGATCAGATGGTCAAATAGTCATATCGGTCAAGTGATATACTCAAGTGCTCTCGGAAGTCCTTCAGCATATTACTAAGATATGCTTAAGTTACTAATTCTAGTTTCACGTAGCATCTCTCACTTGGTAATAGAACGGTTTATTTGATGCCTGCTGCTGAGGATACTCATGAGCCAAATTAGGTCTAGTTCGATCGATACCTTCTTGAGTCTAGCTTACCTAATCCGTCGGCCTGAGAGCTCCATGTCCAGGCATGCACTCCATAGCGCATCTCTTAACTATATACCACAGGCACGATGGCATACAGGTATTTGATCTCAAAGTATGCTCGATCTCACTGGGTCCTTTATAAGCATAGTTCTAATCGCAAACAGGACCATAGACCCCATCTTTGCCGTCGGAGTCGGCGTCGGAGCGACATTGACAAGAATACGACGTGACGAAAAGGCCAACGAGCGCGAGTGGCCTGAAACTTGGGCAGTCTTCGAACGGAGATTGCGTCTGGCATTTGGGCAAGAGGAGAAGCAGTTGGAGCAATGATGCACGCCAAATTCCGACACGACGCCTGGTGAAATCTTTCGTATGGGGAGGCACGGAGTGCACAAGCGGCGGATCCCATCACAACCAGGCAACTGAGAAATACGACGGCTTCGAGAATACAGTCTACCACTCAGCAAATATCGAATTGCTTCACTCATCGATATCATCTTGCTGCAATGCCTTTATGGGCTCTTTCTGCGCTGTACAAGGCAAGCTTCCTAAGCAAGATTGATTTTCGAGTCGGCAAGCACTACTCCACCACTGAGGTTAAACGGAATCGTCCTTTGCAACATGGGCCATTGCAAAACTACAATATCCGTGTATTGCATACTCTATAGTCGATGAACTCAATATCGCGGCCTCTTCCCATGGTCCCTTCCGCCAATAGCCCGATAACTGACCGCGCCCAGACCCCGAACCGGTCAGGTCTGTATAGTAATGGCATCCAGCTCATTGGGCTACAGAAGGAGCACGTGATAGACGTATGATGCAAGTTGAACGTGTTGCGATGCTGCGGGCCTCACGCAGGAAGAACCGAGTCCTTCAGATGACCGAGCGACAGGATTACACTACAGCATATTACTATTAGCTATAGATAGCTATGCTCAACTATACATGCCTACAAACCTACTATGGTAGAAATCATCGCATATATTTGGAAACAATAGCTCGCCGTACCTTACCGCTGTAGCGCGACCGCACGACGATCATTCATCGTATTTATTAAATATTATGACTAAGCCAAAAGCTTGAAGCTTCTTCCATGATGAAGCTATCCGCGGACGCAAAATTGCAATCCGTATTCCCGACTCTCCCTCTCTCCTCGTCTCCTCCACTCAAGATTCATAGATTGTATGCGACGCGTCGCCAGACTTGCTACGGTCCCCTTCATCATCCTCCCGCCCCGCACCCCGCAATCTCTACCCCTCCTATCTCAGATTTTGGACAGAATAGTTGGTCGCAAGCTCAATGTCAGCATGGCGACTCAAGGCGCGTCCAGAAGTCCTATAGTAGACGAGAGTTTGCGACTGGTCAATACACTAGACAAGAGTCGAAGCCCATATGTGAGTAACGTCAAGAGCTGCAAAGTTACTCTCAGAGTAATTTCCTACATATCTTATGCTCACGATGTTCTTAAACAGGTTCGCGGACACATGCACAATCCTGTAGCATGGCAGATGTGGACTCCAGAAACACTAGCGCTAGCAAAGCAGACAAACCGCCTACTATTCGTGAGCATTGGATATGCGGCATGTCATTGTAAAGCATGCACGCGCCCATAGCCGCCTTTTTCTGACATCACTACAGGGTGCCATGTAATGGAGCGCGAGTCCTTTGAGAATCAGGAGGTTGCCAACATCCTAAATAGCTCGTTCATACCTGTCAAGATCGATCGCGAAGAGAGACCCGACATCGACCGCATATATATGAATTATGTTCAAGCTACGCAAGGATCAGGCGGATGGCCCTTGAATGTCTTTATTACACCGAATCTTGAACCCATCTTTGGCGGCACATACTTTCCTGGTCCAGGTTCAGCATCCCCTACCACTGGAAACGTCGGATTCCTAGACATTCTTGAGAAGATTGGTGACATATGGCGCAATCAGCAGCAGCGCTGTCTAGATTCGGCAAAAGAAATTACAGCCCAGCTCAAAGCATTTGCAGAGGAAGGAACCGTAAGTAGGACTGGAGGACCTGATGATGCAGCTGATGGTCTGGATCTTGAGCTGCTGGATGACTCCTATGAACACTACAAGAAGAAATATGACCAAATCCATGCTGGGTTCGGTGGAGCACCGAAGTTCCCCACGCCTGTCAATCTTTCCTTCCTCCTTCGACTCGGCCAGTTTCCACAGGCCGTGGAAGACGTCGTTGGTCCTGAAGACGTAAAGAAGGCACAAGAGATGGTCATTCGGACCATAAAGAACATGACTCGAGGCGGAATTCACGACCAGGTGGGAAATGGATTTGCGCGATACTCCGTAACACGAGACTGGAGCCTGCCACATTTCGAGAAGATGTATGTGCAAAGGCCTCACATTTTAAACACAGATTAGGAGCTAACGATACTTGTTCAGGCTGTACGACCAAGCTCAACTCCTGCCCGTATATCTTGACGCTTATATCTTGACTGAAGACCCCGAGCTCCTTAGTACTGTAATAGACATTGCAACCTATCTCACTACTCAACCAATGCATTCAACTACTGGAGGTTTTTTTTCTGCAGAAGATGCAGATTCCTTCTATAGACCAACAGACAAGGAAAAGCGAGAAGGTGCTTTCTATGTTTGGTCCCTCAAGGAATTTCGAGATATTCTCGGAGGCCGCGACGGCGATATTTGTGCTCGTTACTACAACGTTCAGGCAGATGGCAATGTGAGCCCCGAGCATGATGCTCACGATGAGCTCCTCAGCCAGAACGTCTTAGCAATTTCGTGCAGCCCGGAAACGCTGTCCAAGGAATTCGGCCTCTCCGTTGAAGACATCATCCAGACCATCAACACTGGCCGTGACAAACTACTCGCCCATCGAAACGCCGAACGCCCTCGTCCGGCCCTCGACGACAAGATCGTAGTCGCTTGGAATGGTCTCGCCATCGGCGCACTCGCTCGGACCGGCGCCGTTCTTCAACCTCTCGATGCCACCAAAGCATCCACATATCTAACCGCAGCAACATCCGCCGCCGCCTTCATTAAAAAAGAACTCTTCGACCCGTCCACCAGCACCATGAAGCGCGTGTACCGTGAAGGACCCGGCGACGCTCCCGCATTCGCTGACGACTACGCCTTTCTCATCTCCGGCCTACTCGATCTATACGAATCAACTTTTGACGACAGCCATCTCGCATGGGCGGATGTGCTGCAGCGCACGCAGTTGGATCACTTTTGGGACGACAAGAGCTTCGGATTCTACTCCACAGCCGCAAGTGCAACGGACTTGTTACTACGGCTCAAGGACGGGCTGGACAACGCGGAGCCGTCCACGAATGGCGTCAGCGCAACGAATCTGTATCGTTTGTCGTCGCTGCTGAATTCAGACAGGTATGCAACACTGGCGAGGCAGACGTGCGAGGCATTTGAGGCAGAGATCATGCAGCATCCGTTCTTGTTCTCGAGTATGATGCCGAGCATTGTGGCGGGCAAACTGGGCGTGCGGAGCGTGGTTGTGTGCGGAGAGGGTGCGGATGTAGATGACGTGGTGGCGAAGTGGAGGAATCGCGTCGGTGGCATTGGCAGTCTTGTGCGGTTGACAAAGGACAAGGGTCAGTGGTTGAGGGGGCAGAACGAGCTGCTCAAGCATATGGATCCGGAGAAGAAGAGAGTTATGGTGTGCGAAGCGGGTGCGTGTAGGGAGGATCTGGATCTTGGAGATCTAGAAAGAGTCGTGCGGGATTTGAGGTGATGTACTACGCGCATATGATGAATTGTTCATTAGGTGTCTAGGGGGGCTGGGTGGCATGGATGATATCCGTTAGGCATCGTAGAGGACCCTCATATTTACTATGCTGAATTTTGCTTCATTGAGTGTGTAGTATTTAATCGTTTGCCGCTCCATACCTAATGAGCTGAAATTCCCTCCTGTACGCTCGAAACATGTTCCTGGATCGGAACATACCTGTGAGCCAAGCTACTGATATGTGACGCACAGTATATGATACGCCTGAGTATATCAAAAAGAAGACGCCTTGCTTGACAGAATAATAGGGCCTAAAGTCCATGCCTTACGCCGACCCATGCAACATATTCTATCAATCCTACAAATGCACCGACAATAACAGATCATGAAGCCAAACTCTTATCCCATCTAAACGGTTGCTGCCGAATGCAGGAAGCAACGTTGTCGTAGTATCTTATCTCATCAAGATAGTCCATCAACTGTACCAGAAGAGTCTGGTCATGTTCTTTGGCTTGGCCATCCCACTCTGGTATCTCAATCAGATTATAGGGTTCAGCAGCTGACTTCAGCGCCGAGTCATCAATCAGGATCGTATTCGTAGCGTCCCAGCGTCCACCGTTGGGATGATCTGGGTGATATATCTTGCTAGACTTGAAGTCGAAGATCCATGTCAGATGCTTGTATACTTGCACGTTAGAATTGTAGTGCTGCTGAGACAAACGGAGCTGCTTCCGAGACCATTTTGCTTCTAGTTTGTCGCGCTGCTCGTCTGTGAAGGCCAACGTACACATTGTCTCCACGTTCTCGGGCTTCGAGCTCGACCATACCATGACGTGGAAATTCGCAAAGACAAATTCCATGAATTTATCTAAGCCTGGGCGCAATTTCGATCGACTAGCGTCACGGTTCGGTCGGAATACGAGTGTTCCGTTGAGATCGAATACCAGTAGCATCTTTCGCGCTTCTTGACATGGCTTGGCCTCGCCGTTGGCCAAGTTAAGATATTCGGCCGTAGGGACCGGCCTGGGAATGAGCTCGCGTTTTGGTGAGCTAAGGCGTTTGAATGCAGGAGCTCTTCCTTGCTCAGAACCTGTTGAGGAGAAGTTGCGTGCCTGGGTCGACCTAAGACCAGCCATACTATTGAAGTCCTGTGTTGGACCCGTGAAGAGATTTGAAGAGGCACTGCCCGGCATGCCAAACGTTGATGGCATAGGCGGCATAAATTCCATTATTGGTGGCGTCCACGTAGGCTGTCCATAAGGGGTCGCTTGGGGAACATTGTTCATAGATAACTGCTGTTGATTCCAGGGTATTTGAGGAGATGGCTGCCATTGTTGAGGGCTGGTGCCGGACGGTGGCTGTGGTTGAGGCACCACTGTTGTAGCATTTGCGCCTGTCAAGAACCTACTAGGATTATCATGATTCCGTCGAAGTCCTTGACGATGCATTCCCCCTCGATAGTCTGACGGTCCATTTTCCATGTTTGCCTTCTGTGAAAGCTTCGCTCTGTTGGCTTCAATAGCAAGTCGTCCTTTCTCTTTTCGTTCACTCTTTGTGAGCTTCTTCTTCTTGATCTTCGCGCTGGAATCGTTTCCTTTTGCAGCCTCTCTTTCAGAACGTTGAGCAATGGGTCTTGCAGCTTTAGCGGCTTTGGGTTTCCGCTTCTTTCGCTTTGGCTGTTGTAATCTTCCGATATTGTTATCTTGGATCTCTGTGTCCCCGAGGGATGGCTTGTCCTGCAGTTCACTATCTCTACTTATACCGACCTGGGTTTGTTTCACTTTGCAATTTTCTTGCTGAGGTTTCAGATCTAGGTCTAGAGCTGAAAGTAAAGTGTCTCCAATAAATTCCGCGTCATTCGTCGAACACTGAGATATTGGTGATACCGGCGCGGCCTCGGAATGTGCGGGCCTGAGCTCTGGTTGGTTAATGGGTATGTCCGTGTTCAAGAGACCGGTAGGATCTTTTGAATTAAGCAGGTTCTTTGACCTGGTCATCTTTGGTGTCGTTAGTGAGTGGCGCCTTGAGTCTGCCTTGAGCAGGAAGTTACCGGTGAACAGTAGTGGCGCGCGACATGAAGCGTGACGCGGATTGGCGGCGCGATCTGCGGGCGGAGTGACCTACACCAGGTCCGTATGATAACAGGCAACATCTACCTGTTTAATACGCTCGAACACCACATACAGAACAAAGGTCAGATTCACTGTTGTTTCAATGTTGCGCCCTGATCCGAGGATTCGCCGCGGCGCCAACTTTTCAGGTGGGGAAAACTTGTAGATTGCATGAGCTACCTAGATAGGCGAAATAACCAAGAACATCATGGTTCTCTCCAAGAAACTCAGCCGCTCAATTAAGCCTCGCACGGCTGAGGAATACGACAGTGATCCGCACTCATCAGAGCTCGATGTGTCATCACCCTCCATCCTAGATACCGGAGAAGACAGAGAGGGTAGCTTCTCCGCATCTGAGGCAGGAAGCGACTTGACTAACACGGAAGAGGAAGATGAGGACAATGCTGGACAAGATGACGAAGCGGATGAAGACGCTCAAGAACGGCTGAGCAAGGTTTCTTTCGGCTCTCTGGCGAAAGCTCAGGCTGCTCTATTTAAGGATCAGCAGAGCAGTCGTAAACGTAAGAGGGGTGCGGAGTCATCGGGGCAACAAGAGGACAAGCTATTGGCACTACGGAAGAGACTTCTCGAGCTTAAGTCGATGAAATCAGGGAAAGAGCTTCAGCCACTGCAGGTATCAGCGAAGCAACGAAGGCGCAAGGACGAGCCTGACACCTCGGACGACTCGCAAGATTCTGACGATGAGGATGAGGATGGGAATGACGATCCACGAAAGCGATCATCTAAACACGCACCAGCGATTCAATCGAGCAAGAAGCCTGTCACACGGAGGCGTACCGTTCTAGAGACTCACAAACGCGTTTCTCGAGATCCGCGCTTCGACCCACTCTCCGGACCGCCAAAGAGTAGTGATTCTCTTTCCCGAAAGTACGCATTTCTCAAAGATTATCGTGCAGACGAAATCGCTGAGCTCAAGAACGCACAGAAGAAAAGCAAGGATGCCACATATAAGGAGGACCTGAAGAAACAGATCACATCTATGGAGAATCGCGCTAAAGCACAAGCGGCCAAGGACAAAGAACAGGAGGTCAAGCGTGAACACCGCAAGAAAGAAAAGGAAGCGATTGAGCACGGCAAGAAGCCATTCTACCTCAAGCGTTCCGAGATTAAGCAGCAAGCCCTCGTTGAGAAGTACAACAGCATGAACGCCAAGTCGCGGGACAAGTTGATGCAAAGACGACGAAAGAAGCTTGCCGGCAAGGAGAAGAAACAGATGCCACGAGCCCGACGAACAATGTAAATTTCATCGACAGGCACACATGTTTTACCAATTACACGCTGTTGGATGGCCTCGATGGGGCCAGAATACATGACAGACACTACTACTCTGACGACGATGACGATGATAATCCCAATATGATTGCGTGCCCATATGGCACTGCTGTAGATCATAATCTTGCATCCGCAAGCAATGTAGCAAACCCTTACCATACACACATATACCAGAGCCGCAAGCGCTACATGATATCACGGGCATCAACCCAGGAATGAATATATGCCGCGCCCCCCCAGTCTCGCCTACCCTCGACGTCGTCGAATCGCCCGCGACGCCCCGTGCGTATCAGCTACATACGTACATAATACATCCATATTGCCCGCAACCGAGCACAAGCAAGAGCCAGCAAGCGTTAGCGAGACCCTGCATATATGATTATCGCCTCAACCTGGGACTTATCCTCACATTTACCCTGCCTGGCTTGAACCCCCTTGATACCACCAGCCTATACAAAACCCACATATACACACACCCATAACGTTATCAGTCATATGAACAGATACGACCACCTCCCCCCCCTCGTTCGTTTGCGACAAAAAAACGAAATATCTGAAACACACGACGTTTGTTCTGAAACAAACTGACTGGGGGCAGCAGCGGCTGCAGCAGGGGGGGCATAAATACCTACTACCTACTTACCTACCAAACAACCCCTCCTCCTCCTCCAACCCAACCCCAAACGTCGCTTATCCACCACCCCTCCTTCCTTCCCTTTCCCTGCTTCATTCATTCATTCGCTCCAAGCGGATTCCCATCCATGCGTGCTTGTTCAACAACGGTGGTCGGATCAGGTGCCCAATCTTTCAAAACAATGACCCCCGCTCAGCTTCCCCTGATGATCGCGAAACCGTCTTTACCTGGATATCTATATCTACCAAGTCGAGTGGGGACTTGCTAAGTTTGCTTTGTTAATGTTTTGCGATTCGGTGAAATGTGTGTGTGTGTGTGTGTATTTGAAAAAGAAACATCCATCCATGATGCGGGGTCGCCGGTTCGTTTCGTCTAGCATATATATACCCACCCACCCCAGGAAAAGAAGAAGAAGAAATTACATTTGTGATACAACAAGACACGGCTTCTCTATATATCCCGTGCGGATGAAGTGTGGTATGGTATTTTCTGATTAGCCAAGAGAAAGCACCCCACTTCATCATGATTCTACAAACCCGTCCAACTATTCATCCATTTGAAATCAAACCGTACTAGTGATTCGAGAGGGAGAAATACACGAAACATACGATCCTTCCTTTCTCGCCGACACTCAGGACCCTTCTTTCAGTCAACATGCATAAACAGATACAAAGACAGACAGACAGACACATAAAAAACAAACAGAAGCCCCGAGATCCAGCGGTGATGAGGAGGAGGAGGAGGGGTAAACACGAAGACGATGAAACGCCGTCTCGTGAACAATCCTCCCTCCTCTTCGATGTGTGATTGGATTGTGGCTGTTTCGCAGTTGATTCATGAGGGGTCCCCCAGGGATTCACAATACGAGACATACAAACACACACAAACAATCCACGTATACATACGTCCCGTCTGAGATCCCCGTCCCTTTCCTTAATTACCCTTTCCAGCGAACTGACCGACCCAGGCTGGACTTTGACAGACGAAGGCGAGTCAGGGTATGATGTCACATGAGTGAGCAATGATGCATGTATCATGTATCATGTACAGTATCATGTACACTATACGTAGGTACGTATAGTGGGCGGAAAAATGGATATATATCACGAGTCAGTCCTACAAGCGATTTAAGGCGCGAGAGTAATTAAAGAGAATGATTTTTCGATTGAAAAGCTTTGGGGAATAACAGTTGCTGCCGATATTTTGTTTTTTCTGTCTCTCCCGTCGTGATTGTTGTTCCCCCTTCCAAAACCGCCCGCGCCCCCCGGTGCGCCGTAGTTTACAACTGCGTACTTTTACGGGTGGGATGCATGCTAATCATGAGGCCGACCGCAGCAAGTACGAGGTCGACGCGCCTCGACCTGACAGCACGACGCTGAAGCGCCTGGAGATATCACCCTATTATATGGTCCATGCTTCGTGTAAATAAAGATCGGACTTTCCTTGCATTGCGAAATCCTAGCATGCAATCAGTACTCGTCTAGACAAGTCACCTAACCACCCAACCTCCAACTAGATTTTCCCTCCTGCTCCTGTTCCTGCTTCTGCTCCTGCTCCCACAGGTCGTGAAGCCCGCGTGTCTACTACTGCTGGGTTTGTTGCGCTTCTAATCTGGAAGCTTTTCTTCTCATTCAAACACATAGCACAGGTGGTGAAGCTTAAATCCACCCCAAATGTGTGAATCGAGTGAAGTAACGGGACCCAGTAATGAAGCACCCCGAGCCGCCTGCGCGGCAAATCTTGCAAGGGACTCATATCCAAATATGGCAAGTGGAACGGTGGCAGGTATCTTGAACGAGCAATTGACGCGTGACCAACACCGAAACAGCCGTTCCAAGAGAGTGGTGCGTGTATTGCTGTGCCACACCCACGCCGCACACTGAGTCAGAAGAGCGCTAATCGGACCAAATAGAGTAACAAGATGAAGACGCAAAACAACCTTTAAACCAAGCAGATGAGATGGGACTCGAAAGGGATGCTTTTGGAGTGCCGTTTACCGATCATCCAAAATTTTAGACAATACATATAAGGGTATAAGCCAGCGGTCTGGAAGCGGGAAAATGTCAAAACAGTATTGAGATGCGCAGTGACGTAAATTAAAAACCATGTCGCCTCAAGACACCAGCCAAAGTCCTCGTAGTCAATACTGCCACCAAGTCGTTCACCTTTGCGTCTCGTGAACGTAACAGGGAGGCATGAAAGCCTCCCGTAAGGGCTGCATAAGAGTAGCACTAACCCTAACAGGATATATGTATGCGACCGATTGGCAGGCCATGATTCATGAGTGCATCAGATCCCACGCACGAGCGCAAAGCTGAATGAATTCTTCTTTCTTCTTGCGTTGCGTCTCTGGAGAGTCGCGGCCTTCGCCGAATGGTCCAGATCTTCGCGGTTCGGCTTGACGGCCAAGTGGTGGAGATCCAGCGTCACGTTCGTACTCATCGCGGCCTCGTCGTCTTGCACTGCTAGTGCGATGTAATTCTGAAGAAGGAACTGCGCCGGGATGATAATTAGCGCTTCCGTGCTGAGGCATCGGGGAGGGTGGCGTGGGAGGCTGGTGACCACCGTAGTGCACGATCTTGGGCATGAGATCTTCTCGACCTCCCGATAGGGATGCAACGGCTTCTTCGGCGGATTTGTACTCACGTGGTCGGCTGGTGGGAGGAGGCTGTTGGGATTGTTGCTGGCTTGGAGGGAAACCAGGAGAAGGTAAAGGCGGTTGGTTGTTGGAGTTTGAGGAATGGCCAGGGCTGTGGTTGGAGTGGCGGCCGATGCCTTCGGCGGCAAAGACGTCTGAAATGGGAGGTAAACGGTTACTGGTCTGCGTAGCTGGGACGTGGTGGATATGTGAGGTGTGAGACAAGCTTGAAGGAGCATTGGCAACTTGTCTAGGCATGGGCTGACCTGGCTGAGGACGCAGGCCAGTAAACGTCTGGTGAAGAGGCGCCGATTGGATGACACGCTCATTCGCAAATTGCTGGTGCGATGGTGCATTGATTGATAGACCTGGGGGTGGGCCTTTGCGTCTGGATGTCCCTGGTGTCTTTGCAGCAGACCTGAAAGAGTTGTAATCTTGCCTGGAGCCCTCGGCAGGATCTGCAGGTGTCTTTCCGGCATTCTTCTGCCGTGCCTCAATAATCTTTCTCTGATTTTCTCGCACATCAATGCTACGCTGCAGCTGTTCTCTCATACTAGGATCTTGCGTGTGAAAACCTGGAGAGAGACATGCAAGGCCGACATCCTGTATAGCAAGCCCAGCACTCTCTTTCGCAGTCATAGGACCCCTGGCAGTCAATGTAGTCTGGCCAATTGGACCGTTATTGGCTAGTTCGAGGCGACGAGGACGATGACGGCCGGTCGGAATTTCGGGGGAGGTGGGTTCTTTCTTTACCGAGATCTTGGCTGGTGGAGCGCGAAGCCTACGGGATCTTCTGTGAGCAGCTGAACGGGGTGAAGGTTGAGAAGAGTAAGAATCAGAAGGATGTAAAGTAATAGACATACGAATTCGGGGAGCGCCTAGGCTCCATCCCTCTTTGTGACGCGCCATCACTGGAGTGTGGAGAGTTATGGGCGCTCGTCTGAGAGGGTTTTGAAGGAGTGGTAGCAGGATGGAGCGGAGCTATGGTACTATATGATCTCGATGTCTCTGTAGTAGACGATGATGAGGTGTGAGCAGCAGTGCTGGGCGGGGCAGCAACGGCGGTGGACATTGTGTTTCGAAAATGTTTGAGGGAGCGATGCTACACTATATGCTATGTCGTGGAAGCGTTTGAGGGTAATGAAGGCGCAACGCAGGACTTTCAGGTCGTCAATGGATGTGTAAATGCCAGGCTTAGGGGGGCTGGTGGAACGACAATTCGCCAACAGAGCAAACTGGTGACTGAAAAGGTGGAATTCCGTATTATAGATGGCAGAGACACAGCGAGTCTGTACAGACTTGTAGTGTAGAAGTGAGATGCGAACAGAGCGAAGATGGAAAGTGGTTGCGGGATAAACGAGGCACGGACGACGGTGAAGAGAGTATGACAGGCTTCAGGGAGCCCAGGATGAAGAAGAAGACGATGAAGATTAACGGAAGCAGGCGACAACGATGTTGTCGACGAACAGACCGGCCTGGGGGTGTGAGATGAAGCGTGAAGCAGTTGAAGGTAAAGGACAATTTAGAGGCTTTTTGGAGTCTCGGGGTCTTTTTGGGGGGGAACGAGGGAAGGGAAGCCTGGTAGGGAAGGGGGGGGAAGGGGGGTGGTGCCTGTCCTGTTGCAGCAGCGCTGGCTTTAGGGTCCCAGTGTGAGGAGTGCCAGGAGTGCCAGGAGTAGCCAGGAGTAGCCAGGAGTAGCCAGGTCTGCCCCCAAGTCCCAGTCCCAGTCCCAGTCCCAGTCCCAGTCCCAGTCCCAGTCCCAGTCCCAGTCCCAGTCCCCAGTCCACACTCTTCACCACAAAGGAAAAGGCCCTCACTTTTACAACTCCCCCCCCCTGGCTCGCCTTCTATCGCAAAGGCTGACCGTTCCATTCTATCCAGTATCCAGACAGCGAATCAGCTGCCAACAGAGCCCGCTCCTTTCTAGGCGCGACACTGGTTTGTATCAAATGCGCCCTCCCAATCGTCCAACGGTCGAGACCGACCTGGCCACTTCTCTCACCCTTCTGCTGCCAATGTCTCGAGCTAAGAACTAATATGTAGTGGCTATCCTGTACTGTGGCTATGCCAGAGCCAGCTCCTCTGCCTTCTGGGAGTGTGTGTGTCTTACCGTTTGCCCATCTATAATCGGACGCATCATTCGCTCGTCATGCGTTGCTGCACCAATATTCATGTCATGGACCGAGCTACAGTGGGGTCGTCGAGACAGACATCGACAGGGGCCAAAGTAAAATGCTAAGGAAAAGGATAAAAAAAGGGATCAGGATAGGCAAACCCAAAACGAACGGCAACGGCTGGGATGAGCAGAGAGAGATTGGCACCAAGACGGCGACCAGGCCTGCGAAGTTGTGCGACAGCCGAAGCTGATGCTGATGCTGATGACACACTTTGGCTGCATCATGCTTGTAGCCAATCCCCAATCCCAAATCGCCTCAGCTACGATCTTCAACGCTCAAATGCTGCTGCCCTTCGGCAAGAAACAACAACGGGGCCGTCAGTCATGCACACAGCGCACTCTGGCCGTTGCTCTTCTGTCGCAGCATGCTGTTTCGGATACCAACATGTTGTCTGCGTCGTCACTGATGCCGCATGCCAAATTACCCGTAGTACATCCGACACACTGCTTGCCGCGATATGTTTCTGCGGGCTTTCTTACAGATGTTGTATGTATGTATGTGTTAGATAAATGTCTTATCCGTGCTGATTATTTACTGGCTCGAGGAGATTGCTTCCCTGGAGACAATTATGAGAAACAAGACAAGAAGACAAGACGGGTCGGGACTATAATATTGGTGGAGGACTACCTTAACCTAACGATGCACCGGCCTTGCCCTGCCGTCGCCCCAATAAATGTCGCGGCCAATAATACATCAGCACAGGAAACCCAAAGTGGCCCTGAATGTTTCACTTGACTGACAATGGCATTGCTCCCGCCAGTTTGACATTTGTCGCTGCTCATATACATAACAGAAGTCAGAGAAGTTGAAAAGTCGGATCAGGAGAGGCTTGACAACCCCCTCTTCCGTAACAGTAGCATCGGCATAGTTGAGGGCTACTGACGGTCATCAGGTATCATCATATCATGGGTAGATGGTTATCGAGGCTTTGTGCGCTACGGACCACCACCAGGTCCACAGCAGTCATGTTCGGACAATATAAAAAGCGTGTGGATCCACCTATATTGCCATAGCGCGGACGCAAATACCGCAAATTCAAGAACCTTTCTGGGAATAGATACAAATTACATCCTTAGGTTTGTGTTGCTGTCTCTCTGCAAGGGTTACACGGTATTGATTCGTTGTCTAGCAGCCAGCGCTTGCTTCTTCGATTGCAATGTTGCACACTTCCCTGGGTGTAATAACCAACAAAGACAACATCCCTTGATACGGTTCCGCGCAGAATGTTTATCATTTGTTGTTATTGCCAGTCGTATCAATAAACTAGTCACCATCCATGTGGACGACGCGCTTGTGATTTCTTTAAGCAACCAATATCAGACTGGCTCAATATAATCTTATTGCTTTCTCGCATCACGGCTTTTCAGGTCGCTAAGCTGCGATACGCTCGATGATTCTCTTCGCGCCCTATACCACTAATTAATTACACTACATGCTGATGATGGCTGCTGGTAGGTCGTCCAGCCGCCATTCCCCAAGCAAGGCGTGACGGGTCTTGCATGCGTTTGCCCTACCCGCGCGCAATCGTCCACTGCATTCACCAACACGGCACAGTTTAATCACCTTTTCCTATTCAGGATAACACATTCATCGGTCGTCCAGTCGCTCAAAAAACCTGGCCACTGTTTGCGTGGATGCATCCTGTTTAGATGCATGTTCCATGTCTCAATTCTCGAACATTGCCTCATCATTTCTAGCCTCTCTTGTAGGGAGCAGTCTACACTCTCTACCCATGCATGCTTCTTGCTCCTGCTCCTGGCCCGGGCTCTGCAGAGTTCATTCGTGTCTCGTAAGCCTGGACGCTATATATACGATTCTGTACACTTTATTAGCTGATTGTAGTCGTAGCTTTTCCCTCATCAAGGATGTACGATCATGTAATATAACCTCACCAGGCCTCGGCAGCTCCCGTCCGCCATATCGGCACCGTCGATCCAGCCAGCCTGGCCTCAACAGTAGGAGCACTGTAGAAAGTGAGCACATTCCGAAGCCTCAAACCTGCCAGCATCCGTATTAGCATGCAGTGTGCGCAATTGTCATCGGGCTCGACAGGGCATGTCACATGGGATACAGTCCATCCATTGCCACATAAAGACGCTTCTTCCCAACAACGTCGCGCAAAGTCCTAGTCAGCGACGAGAAACACGACTCCCCGCATTGCCCATTTTGAGCTCAACATCCACCCCCTCGGATCAAGAAACCCATCTCGATCGGCACTCCTACCCGATAAAGCTCGCTCGAAAACTTGACGAGCTGCATCAACACTCCCTCGGACTCTCTTCTCACCTCCATCACAAATGATTTTTTGGGGATTCGATCGCACTTCTCGTCCCGTACGAACGAATGCTGCCAACGGCACAACTGCCTAATGCGTAGTCATCCTGCCGACTTTTTCTATCGTGACGTTCGTCTGTCTGTCTTGATTCGTGGATTGAACGGCTTCCGTGGTGTGCCCTACCTCACCTATCTTGCTACCTGCATCGGACTCACCAGGCTCTCGTAAACTGTACGGTAACGATCGACAGCGTGAACTGCAAGTGGAGTTTCTTACACTGGCTACTCAGCACCGCAGCCGATGGATGCATATTCCGTTGACAGTGATGGTATATGCAAGTCATGCGTTTTGAGCTGCGTCTACCTGACTCTGCCATACTCGAGACTAGTCAGTATGGGCCGATTAGGTATGGGAATTATCAGCCAGGATACTGACGCAGTTTAACATTGACTGCCCTTTTCAGAAGCGCTGAGTACCGGGGTTATATGACGTTCTGGGACTTTGCTGGTGGCGGCAACATACGCTTTTGGATTTGGCGCCCCAGGCCAGCCAGCCCCATTCCTTGTCTCTACACAATACACAGCGGGTTACCAAAGTGTTGGGAAAAGTAGACAAGGAGTCTTTATATCTTATTGCTTCCCAGGGTTCCCAAGATTCTATTGAATGCAGCCTGCCCACGCACGCTTGGCCTGATGCGAGCCATGCGATTGTGGGGAAGTCAACCACATTGCTGAGGGGAATGTGCTAGCTGGCGCATGCACATCTAATTTGTGATTTGAACACAAAGTTGCATAGCTTCTTCTCCAGGGCTCTTCTTAATATGTCAAATCAGCCCTGTACGTTTGTGTACGGGTCTATCCAAAGCTAAAAACGTGACTTGGATTTACACGTTCGTGGGTTGTCTCATCTTTCTATCCTTTTCTGTCTTGCTGGTCATCCTTTTCGTACCATTTTATTCCTTTCCTCTCCTTGTCGACAATCCATCTTCGCAAGTTTTCGCGCTGACTGTCATGTCGCTTCCCACTCGCTTCTTCTTATGCGTATCAAGCCCATTAGTCGAAGTCACCTACGTCATTCTCAGTTGAAATGAGCAGATGCTGAATATATGCGAGTCCTTCCCGTCTCGGGCACGTCTGTCTGGTTATACCCAATCTTGAAGCTGTGTATCACCTTGCACGGCAGCGATGCCATACTCCCGCACAGAAGCAGCAGCACAATAAAGGGGCTAGATAACTAGCTGTGTTACTGCCACGTCCCTAGTATGCCAACCGCATTGGCCTGCACTACTCAAGGTTACTGTCAACTTTCCACTAATTAGCCTGCGTGAAATCGGCTCCCAAACATGTTTAAGCGAGAAAGTCGAAGTAGGTGGTTTGCATTATGGGAAAGTATGAGCTACGAAGACGAATTACAAAGATTGAGAGAGGAACACACATGGTTACAACAACACATACCAAATACTTTTTTAAAAAAGAAAACCAGCGACCGCGCCAGAATTACCCCCAAAAAATCAAGCAGCAGCACAAAGATTTTTTTACTCGGCATGTCCATTCACAAGTCCATTTGGCAATTCCTTGTTCAAAGCCTTCATATTGAACGCTTGCCCGTCTTCATCCTCCGCTTTCTCCTCCTCCTCCTGCTCCTCCTCCTCATTCTCCTCCTTGTTCTCCTCCTTCTTGAGCTCCTTCTCCTCTTTCTCCTGCTCCTTCTCCCCCTTCACGACCCCACCATCCCCCCTCCTCAAATCCGGCACATCCACCCCCTTAACCCCCCACCCCCGAACACACAAAAGCACCTCAACCCCCAACCCCCCATCCCTCCTCAACGCCCTCTCCCAATGCCCCGGCAGCCCGCCCACCTCCCCAAGCGCCAGCCCCCTCGCCACACACCCAACCACAAACCCCCTCATCGCATCCCCCGGCTCCGTACCCGCACACACATACTGCACCCGCCGCAAGCTCGGATACGTCCCGTTATCCGCATACCACGACCGCACGGCCTCGAGGGCTTGCACGGTGAGCGTCGGCATGCCCCATTTAGTGCCCATGAGGTAGAGGTCGAAGAGCGGGGTTAGGTCGGATTCGCTGCGTGGGTGCGGGATTGTGGCGCTGTAGAGCCAGGATGTGAGGGTTTGGAAGGCGGTGGTGTCGTCGGTGGGGAGGTAGAGGGTTTTTGTTGTTGAGGGGGGTGGGGAGGGGGGTTTGTCTTGGTCGTGGGTTGTGCTTGATGGGGTTTGAGAGCGAGGGGATTTGGAGGGTGTGGATGTGGAGGTGCGCTTGTGTGAGGTGTAGAAGGCGCGGCGGAAGAAGAGGGAGCGCGCGCAGAGGAGTTTCTCGTGTAGGATCCAGTGGGTTGAGAGGGGCCCGACGTAGATGTCGACCAGGTCGTGAGTTAGCAGTCTGTTTTGGGGTTAGTTTTGTTGGGCTGGATTTATGCTGCTGTGGATTGACAGAGGGACAGAGGGAGTGGGATACATACTCGTTCAGCGGCCGATCCGCCATCTTCGTGATCTCGGACAGAGACGCCATCGTAGCGGATAACTAACTAGGACGCAGATTCGAGGAATCAAGGAATCGGGATTTCGAAAGCTTTCGATGGGATAGCCGACACACTGCTCCTCGGAAGAAGCCTGACGCAGCAAGAAGAAGTGTGTAGAGCCTGACGACAACTCACAGCACCTTAACACTCGACGCAGGAAGATCAAAAATCAACACACGAGCACACACACGATCAATGTGGCGCACGCATACCCTCATATATCAATCACCGGAACACAGCGAGTGAGCGATGCAAGTATGACGACACACATACCATCTCTTCTTCTTCTTCCCCCTGCCTGCCTGCCTGCCTGCCTACCTGCCACTCTCCGACCGACCAGGATCCATGCCCCCAATTCCCTGCTTTGCACGACTACGACTCTGTCATGCCTATGCCTATGCGTGTCCTATGCGTAGCTGTCTATATGTATGTATGTATCCACACGGGCTGCGGCTGCGGCTGGGCTCGTCTTGTCTCACCCCGAAAATGTGCGTGTCAGCGGTACGACAGTCTTGCTTGATATGAAAAACAGGGAATGAGATGCGTCGTCATAAGACAGGGGGGACGTAATATATCGGGGTGGCGGCGCTGGGTTTACCGACCAATCAGCGAGGGACTTGATCCTGGGCTGTGGCTGTTGGAGCTGGTGAGCTGGAGCGGAGAAGGACCTCGAGGATCGAGACGGGATGTCGAGGGTGGATACTTGCAGGATTCTCGACAGGCTGCGCGGATAGAGAGATCGCGATGCGTGGTCATGAATGAGTAAGTGTGCTGCGTTGGCGTGCCCGGTTCTCTTCATACGTTGTGTATAGAGCGATTGCACGCCTGGACAGAAATGGAATATCACATTCCTTCTCTATGATATACAAATTATCTTTTCTTCAGTCTCTAGATCCGAATTACTGCCCAGATACTGCGTCGCATGTCTATTCCCATTCCCCACTCATGTCCCTCACTTGCGCCGCTTTGCATCCCCCTTCGCCTTGCCCGTGGCCACAGCCTCGCCCTCGCGCATACTGCTAACCTCCCCCTTGATCTCCGTCGTGCTGTCCGCATTCGGGCTCGCAACAAGCGGTTTTGCCGCCTTCTTCTCCTCCTCGTCCTCCTCATCACCACCCTGCCCAAACTCGTTGACGCGCGTATAATCAACCTTGTACTTCCACGATTGGTACAAGTACACAAAGAAGATGACGTCGTCGCGGAGTGTCGCGAGGCGGTGCAGCGTCGGCATTTTGATGGTAAAAGCAAACAGGTCGTCGATGAAGGTGTTGAGAAACTTGTACGTCATGGCGCGGGCGGGCATGTGCGCAACGGACTTGAGGCGGTAGTTGATGTACAGCGAGGGCACCATCATGAGGAAGCCGTACGCATAGACGCTGCCAACGAGGGTGGCGATGATGAACGAGTACCATGACTTGTGCGTGTCGTAGACGAGCGAGTAGCCAGCGTAGGCGAGAAGGAGTGGAACGGCGATGATGTAGAGATATTTGAATGCGATTTCATCGTATTCTTGCGTCTTCTTCTCCGTCTCGGAGAGCTTGTGCTTGTTTTCGAAGACAATCGAGTAGGGGATAAGGCTGTCTGGTGTTGGGCGTATTCGGACATTGACGGTCTTTGTGATCTTCCAGGCTTCGATGGCAATGCCCATACCTTGACCGAACAAGATCATCCAGGAGGTGTTCTCATTATTGTCCATGAGGTACAAGAAAATAACAGTTTGCATGAATACATTGGCGAGAATGGTTCTGAAGGATGTACCAACATTGTCTTTCTTGTTGCGCCAATGTGACACGTCACTCTTGAATGCAAGCATCTCAAAAATCATGTGGAAGATACTGACGATACCCGTTGTAGCCAGGAGATAGATGTTACTGTCAAGCAGGATGCGCTTGAACTCCTCAAACTCGGAACCGTCTCCAGTAGCAGGAGTCTGGCCGGCCGCAGACTTCGCCTGGGTCTGCTTCATGCCAGCATCGATAGAGGCCATGATTGAAAAGATCCAGTTACGCTGGTTTTGAAGGTCAATGTGAAGCGGAAGAGTCGTCACGGTAGAATTAAGCTCGGTCATATGGTCGCGCAACTGCCAGAAAGTATTGACAAACAGAATTGGGTAATACCATCCGTTCTGCCCACTGGCATCCCGCTGACCGGACCTCTCCTGTTGAATGAATCCTCGGACGGCGGGGTGCATTGCTGTGAATGACTGAGTGCCTGAGTCTGGAATAAAGGACATGGTGAAGTTGGGGTGATAGTATGAAGCATATGTCGGTGGTGCAGTCTTTTCTTCGGGGGTCTCTTCGGAGGTCTCATTACTGCCAGACAGCAGGCTGCGAGTCTTCCTGACCTTTTTCTTTGGCAGCATCTGTGTCAGGGGCCAGACAAAATTGTATGCATTCGCGAAGCTATAGTCTGCGGCCGAGGGATCGAGAGGCGAGCCAGACTTTGCAATGTAGAAGTGCGCGAAGAGAGTACCATTATTCTGAACCTCCTTGGGCACGTCAAAGGTAGTATCGAGAGTACGCGTATCACTGTAGTTGCCGTATCCAAATTCTCTCTCTTGCATGATCAAGGACCCTCTCGGCATGTTCTTCAACGGGGTCATGACAATCGACGGGGAGATGTATATGTCGATATCGAGCGGTATTCCAGCCTGCCATATCGGCGTGATCATATTCGGTATAGGGCTGTAATTGTCAAGACGCTGCTCCAGCGGGCGGTCTTCCCATGTCGTGATGGCACCAGGCTTTGCACCTGGTGTAGCCGGAGCAGTGGTCGTCTGGCCTCCGCCTCCGACGAAGTATCTTATACCGAGCTGGATGAGGAGAAAGATGCCGATATTCCTGATGATCCCTTGGTACCACTGTCACCGCACAGTTAGTAAACATTCTTCCCGATTCGGGCTATTAGCAACGTACGCTCCCACCCTCCTCACGCTGCGCACCCGCTTGCTGCTGCTGCTGCTGTGGCGGCATCGTGCAGTATTAGGAGATCGTCTAGAAAAGGAACGAAAAGAACGCAGCGAATATGGTCAACGAAAGGTGAAGAACAGCCGGGTTGTGGAAAGAAGATCCAAGAATGCAGATCTAGCAGGGCTTGGCTGGCTGGAAATCCGGAAACACGCCAATGCGAGCACGCCAGCGCGCCCGCGATGTTGCGCCGGCCCAGAGCGCCTGGTGGCTGTGGCACTTCTGATTGGTGCCAGCGAGCTCAATCGAGTATGCCGTCATGTACAGTAGCCTCACGAGAGCGAGAGCGAGCTTGCGTTTCTGTAATGACTCGTTCTATTGAATGTTTGCGGATCGCTCATTGACTGATGCCCTGTTCGCCCTTGTTACCATGGACAACAGATCCTTTGTGTGAATTCGCTGCTTTCACCATCCCCTAGCTAGTGACTTGAACCAACATTGACTTAAATCCCCCATCGTAGAACCAAATCCTCTAATTGAACATCTTTCCTTCTTCTCCAATACATCTCGCTACTGTAACACATCCAAAATGAACGAGCCTACCGCCCATGGCCATCAGTCTCTCTCCGAGCACCTGAACGGCACCAAAACCAACACCAGACCCGTTGTCTGCGTTTTGTGAGCCCTTCCCCCCCCCCCCCTCAGCCGCTATACGATCCCTAACCAAAACATAGCTGTGGCGCCAGCGACGGCACGACGGATGTCCATCTCAAAGCCGCCGAAGAGCTGGCTCACAAACTCCACGACGCTAATGCAAAGCTCGTCTACGGCGGCGGCAACACAGGCATCATGGGTATGGTTGCCCGCACCCTCGTCTCGCTCTCCGGCCCCGACAGTGTGCACGGTGTCATCCCCCACGAACTTGTCAAGCACGAGATGAAGAGGTCGAAGGGGGGCTTGGACGAGAATGTGGTGGGCCGAGTAACGAAAGTCAACTCTATGCATGAGCGCAAGGATATGATGGCCAAGGAGGTGGTTGCCGGAGGACCAGGCAGTGGATTTGTTGCGCTGAGCGGTGGGTTCGGGACCTTGGAGGAGCTGGCGGAAGTCACCACTTGGAACCAGTTGGGCATTCATGACCGACCTGTTGTGGTTTTCAATGTAGACGGTTACTGGGATGGACTGTTTCAGTGGCTGAGGACTGCGGTCAAGGCAGGCTTTGTGAATGAGGATAGTGCTCCGATCATGGCTGAGGCGAAGACTGCGGATGAGGCCATGAAGGCTCTACAGGGCTATGTATCTGCCAAGGGAAGGTTCGATCTTGACTGGGAGAAGAAATAAGACTGTGTTTCGTTGAATTTCATAAAGACAGATAGACACCCAGGCTGGTAATAGACTCATACACACTTGATCCAAGCTCAAAGAACTCTACTAAGATCGGTATTATGGCTCACAAAACAACCTTTGACCCTTGAGCCAGTCTTTGCTGTCATGTTATGGGTTCGCCATCAAACCCGCGCAGAGGACAAGGTGAACAAGTAGGTAGCAATAGAATTGATTAAAGCATGTGATTTGTCGTCAGAGCTATAAACGCTATGGACAATAAACGGCCTTAGCGAATCGAGGCGCTCAAGGCAAATCAAGGCATATACCTCAGGGTTCACGACGACTATACGCTCGAATACTTTTACTGTGCTACAGCAATGTTTGCCAGATGGGTGTGACTATCAATTGTGTCAACCCGCAATACATATATGCAATCTTGAGTCTCATGTAATCCAAATTGGCCATTATACATGCTACTGTTGCGATCGGACGCTCGATGCAAGAGCCGGCAGGATGCGCACCACCTTCCATGAAACTATCAAGTGGCCCGTTGACTCGACGGTATTAGCTGCTTCGCGTTGCTCAAAATCGTTCTAGATTAATATCGGTATGGGCATACGAGATGCTTCAACCGAAATTCGCCGGAAATCCTGGCAATTGGAAGCCAAAGCCAGGAACCGGTGGGGGCACTCCAATAGTATTAGGTTCTTGTCGTGGCGAAGCCGGACGTCGAGGGGCCTGTTGATGTTGTTGTGGCTGTGATTGTTGGAGATGATTATGTTGACTCTGCTGGCGATCCTGGTTCCTACCTCGTGCATTGTCATTGTTATGATGCTTTCCACGGTTCCCTCCGCGATTCCCTCCGAAGTTGCCGCGACCGCGATTGTTATTGTTGTTCATGTTTCCTGCATGTTCGGGTCCCATGCGACGGCTGATGGCCTTCGATGAAACGCCAGCCCCAATTTCAATGTCAGGCTCTTCTATCACCAGGCCACTTTCAATTGGTGCTCCACCGGTGCCCCCATTCTCCGCGGTAACAACCCATTTCCGATCCGCTTCCGTCAAGGCGTCAATCGGGATCACGCTCACTCCAGTCGTATAGTCGCTACATTCACGCGGTCCAAAGCCTACGCCCCAACGAGTCTGTTATAATTGTTTAGCATTTTTCTTGGCGCGCTACTCAGGACTACAATCTCACCGAGCGGACCCGTTCGTCCTGAAGGGTCTCCATGCCACGCTTGGCAGCTACAGCATCATTGCGCCAGTACATTTTGACGAAGGCGTGTCGCTTATCCTTGTTGACCACGCAAGTCTGTACAGCACCGAACTGGCCAAATATTTTTCGAAGATCGTCTTCAGATGCACTAGAGGAGGTTAGTGATTTGTCGTTACTCGTTCCCAAGAATAGACGCACGCTACACCACCGACGAATAATGTCCTGCTGAGGACTGTAAGGCTTAATTAGTACGAGCGAGGTCGACCAGCGATGACAACGGGACAAACCTCGAATGGTACCACTACGAAGAGAAGGATCGAACTCAACGTTTCTCTGGGAGCTCCGAGATCCATCATTGCTACTCGGACCGCCTTCTGGGCGCCGTTGGGCTGGTGGGCTACGTTGCCTATACTCATTTCCACGGGCACGACCTGCCCTTTCCCCTCGACTACCATCATGGCCCGCATTACCAGATTCTGCTGATTGCGACGGATCATACGTCCCATATGTTGGAGACTCTCGACGGTTATATGGACTAGCCCGACGATTTCCGCGATCTGGTGACCGACTGCGATATCGCGACTGATACTCACGGGGATCTCCGTGTCCTATCTGCCTACTTTGGTCTTGACCGTTCGAGAAGTTATCAAGTTGCACATTGGATGTGGGTACTACGGATGAAGGTGCCGACGGGACCACCTGTTGCGATATGTGGGCCTGAGGCAGATATGCCTTCAACTGAAGAACTTGGCCGGCCTGCTCAGGAAAGCCTAATAATTTCAACAGTTCAGATGCTTGTTCAAGCTGCATTGTTCCACCCAGTGCGCCTTGAAGGACTTGCACGGCCATGGGATTGCTCGACAGATCTGACTGTGGTGGTTGTGATGGCTGCGCAGTTTGGGATACTACAGGATTTGTGTGCATATTACCCGAAGGGGCAAACGACAAAGCACCATTGTTTGCATGCCCTCCAAATCCATTACCCACTGTACCGTACGTGGCAAAGTTTTGTGCCGACGAAGCTACATTCTGCGGAATTACAGACTGAGTTGGAACACCAAGCGGCAGACTCGCTAGATTTGATTGTCCAGGTTGTGGAGGAGGAGTCTGTTGTTGGTTAGTTCCATTGGCTGGTCCTGGCTGCTTACCCAACGACGACAGCGCCGCAATAATACTGCTTGTGTCAATTGTTGTACTTGGAACAGATTGATCCTGAGGTGTGTACTGTGAGATCGGCCCAATAGATCCAGGAATATTTGATAATGGAATACTGGGAGTGGCAGGAGGGTTAAGCTTGCTCCGGAAGTCTTGGATAGTTGACTTTGGTAATACGGTGCTTTGGTCCCATATATCAACCAGCTTTTCGATTTTCTTCTGTTTAAAATTAGGTGAGTACGTGCTTGGTGTCCGATTTTCGGATGACTGGTTTGCATTGCGGTGACGAACCTTTTGATCTGGCGGATAGTGTGAGAGAAGCTCGCTCATCATCATGGGAATTATCTCCGTCATTTTATGTACGCCACTAGCAAAAGTGCCTTGAGGCGATGTTGGACCGACGAGTTTCTGTCCGCTTTGTGTGGCTCTTCCCATCCATTGTCTGGTCACGGAATCAACGACATATAGAACTCCAAGTTTATGTGTTACGGGTGCCTGTTTGAATTGAATGAAGATTTTCTGAACGACTGTCGCTTCGAGCTACGAGGTTATCAATATTAGCAACTGATTAGATATAAGGCTGGTGATGTAGACTCGAACCTGTATGTTTTCGACACAAAGTGTGGTGATCTCCTGAATCTTGGCTGGTGATGCCCCAGGTGGTTTCAATGTCTGTAAGTGTTGAAGAAGTCCGTCTAATGGTTCCACGGCCGACATGGCTGCTAGTTTCTACTGCGCGAAGTACGCTGCGATGGTCTTGCCTTTCAGTATGTACCAGATATAACAGAAAAAGAGAAGTGGATGACGTGGTTGTCGAAGGCACTTCTGCAATACCTGATAGCTCAGCTACTCCTCTGAAGAGGTCTAGTTCAACGATACGATGTACGACAGCAGGTGCAGTATTGACGGGATATCACAGAGCTGGACGATCTGCAAGATCTGAAGACTCTGTAGGTGGCGCAAATGTAAAGTATGAGCACCTAGGATCTTCCAAGATGCAATGATACTGAGTGCGCAAAGGTACTACGGGTTCTGGGAGTAGAAGAGCTGTAAAGAGAATTGTGCGCGCGAGAAAGTAGATTGCAAGTCGAGGTCAAATAGCACTCCGAGAAACGAAAGGTGGCGACAACGACAGGTTACAAAGCGGCGAGTCGCGAAGTAAATATATACCGAAATAGCAAGGGCAAGTGTGAGATATTGTTAAGATGTGAAGGTTCAGGTAAAGGGGAAGATTCTTGCGCGTGCGAGCACCTTGTGAGCAGCAAGAAGGAACAGCGGACAACCTGGACAGGACAGGAGTGGAGAGCAAGGAGGTTGGGACGACGCAGCGGGTGCTTGTGACGGGCCAGTCAGCAATAATTACCGTAATAATCTTGGAGAAAGATATTTGCTAAACTTTTAGCGCGCCCCAGCAGATTGATTCATTGAAATAACTGGATCAGAGCTTGATATTATGATTCGATGAATTATCAGCCTCGTGGTGCTGCAAGTCAGCGTCACCGTCTCCGAGTACCCTCTTATATTAAGATGTCAGTCAGTGCTAGGGCTGCAAGCCTTGTTGACAGCCTTTTGGTAGATGGTCGATTTGATGGTTGGGGAGCAACAGCTGTGAATTATGAATCGCACTTCGTATGTCTCGATGCGCGCTGACACGAATACACTGTCGTTCTGGATTGTTGCAAGCGGCAAGCCATATATAGAGCCATATATAGTATCTTCATTGTTTCTGTAGGATGGCGAACCCGAGTTGTAGACGGAGCACGCGTGGACCTCAATCATTCAACAATTCGGTCATGGCACACGTTGGCCCATGCTGCCCCGACGCCCGAGTTTGTCGGCCCCATCCATGCCAATGAGCTTAAGCCGCTTTCCCGTAGCTCTCTCACAACATAAACTTTTTCTTCACCCCTCCGTCAACGACGTCCATCCGATTCATTTACATTCGTCCAGTCATCGTCTTGTCTTTGTCTTTGAAATGGCTTCTTCACTTAGATTGAGTTCTAGTGCGCTCCGCAGCTCGGTATCTGCTTCGGCTGCTGCTCCGTGGCGCACCGCGGCATTCAACGGTGCCCGTTCATACTCTGCGAAAACCGCCGTAAGTACTCCGTCGCAATCAAGCAAGCAAACAACTCGCTAACGCTTGTATTCAGTCGCTCAAGGAGACATTCGCCGCGAAGGTCCCCGAAGAAATTGAAAAGATCAAATCGCTCAAGAAGTAGGACTGCCGCAAGCTACCCGTTATGCGACGAATATTCTAACAGAGACAAAAGGAATTACGGCAGCAAAGTCATCGGTGAAGTCACTCTTGACCAAGTGTACGGAGGTGCTCGCGGTATCAAGTCGCTCGTATGGGAGGTGAGCAAAAGAGTGTCGCTAGATGACGAAGCTTTGCTCAATCAGATAACAGGGTTCTGTACTCGATTCCGAGGAGGGTATCCGCTTTCGCGGCAAGACTGTAAGCCCATCGGCATTCAATTCTAGGCCTAGTTTCAGTCGCTGATTATCTCAGATTCCAGAATGCCAGGAACTGTTACCGAAGGCCCCTGGCGGCCAGGAGCCTTTGCCAGAAGGTAAGTTGTCTTGAGAGTGCATAATTGGTAGCAGCAAGATACTAAGTTGTGTAGGTCTTTTCTGGCTTCTCCTGACTGGTGAGGTCCCATCAGAACAGCAAGTACGCGATTTGTCTGCTGAATGGGCCGCTCGCTCGGACGTACCAAAGTTTATCGAAGAACTACTCGACCGCTGCCCGAGTGACCTCCACCCAATGGCTCAGTTCTCGCTCGCCGTAACGGCGCTCGAACACGAATCTGCTTTCGCCAAGGCATACGCTAAGGGCATCAAGAAGTCCGAATACTGGGAGCACACTTTTGAGGACTCCATGGATCTGATTGCGAAGTTACCCACCATTGCAGCCAAGATCTATCGTAATGTGTACAAGGATGGCAAGGTTGCAGCTATTGAAAAGGACAAGGATTACGGCTACAATCTGGCAAACCAGCTTGGATTCGCTGAGAACAAAGACTTTGTTGAGCTGATGAGACTCTACCTCACTATCCACTCTGATCATGAAGGTGGCAATGTCAGCGCACACACAACTCACTTGGTCGGAAGTGCTCTGAGCTCGCCAATGCTTTCCTTGGCTGCCGGTCTGAATGGTCTTGCTGGACCCCTCCACGGTCTTGCCAACCAGGAAGTTCTCAACTGGCTTACGGAGATGAAGAAGGCCGTCGGCAACGACTTGAGCGACCAGTCTATCAAGGATTACCTGTGGTCTACGCTCAAGCAAGGCCGTGTTGTGCCAGGTTATGGACACGCTGTTCTCCGCAAGACCGACCCACGTTACGTCTCACAGCGCGAGTTTGCGCAGAAGCACTTGCCTGACGACCCAATGTTCAAGTTGGTCAGCCAGGTCTACAAGATTGCTCCAGGTGTTCTTACTGAGCACGGGAAGACCAAGAATCCTTACCCTAACGTAGATGCCCACTCTGGTGTTCTCCTCCAGTACTATGGCCTGACCGAGCAGAACTTTTACACTGTACTCTTCGGTGTCTCTCGCGCTCTTGGTGTCCTCCCTCAACTAATCATTGACCGTGCCGTCGGTGCGCCAATCGAACGTCCCAAGTCTTTCTCCACTGAGGCATGGGCCAAGCTTGTCGGCGCGAAGCTATAATTAGATATAACGGCGCGAAGACCAATTAGGGAGATGCATTTAGACAGCGATTGGGGAAGTATGATAGACTGAAGAGCGCGCTTTCAAGAATCTGTTTCGTTTTATACCAGGGATAGAACGATGGTTGTAGGGTGGTGTAAGATCGCTTTGTGCTTTTTGGTTCTCTTCGTCAATATGTATTCCCGACTAGCGTTAAGTGTATCATCACCCTATTTCAAGCAGCTTCTCATCTCAATATTATGTCTGTACCGCTACCTAACGCTGTTGATGCGGTGACTCGTATACTTTAAACGCAATGAGGTTCTTGGTCCGGAGAGAAAAACGCAGTCGTAGCAAACAAGTGCCTGACTAATTATCCACAACGCCCATTTACTCTATCAGGCATGCCAGTCACACAATCTACTTGCCACCAAACAAGACAGAACAACGCAGACACCACTCAATAGCTTATAACACAGTCTGCAATAGAACACTTCCAGCAAGAAAGCCTTCTTGACTGGTTCAAGGTCGATGAAAAGTCTTTCTCACCCATGGGTGCATATCGCGACATGCATCCATTCCAATAAGGTATGCTCGATAAAAGTGCAGAGAGCTGCAACACTTGGAGCTTGGCACTTCAAGCGGACGAAGTGCAAGGTTTTGGGGGGCAAGGAAGGGCTGGTTATGTTATGTGCCGGCGAGGAGATAACTACCTGAACTCTTGCATCGCATCAACCTGTTCGAATCTGACACGCGCAACCGCTGCGCTGCAGAGGAGAGGACACTTTCGCGCTCTACTTGAACATTTGACCTATTCGTACACGTCGGCTTCGTCCAACCACCCCCCAGCTTTGCACAGCACAAGCTGACGGTAGCGGTGACGCGACACTTTTCCGAGGCTGTGTCGAAGGCAAAGACTGCGAGAACGCACGTTTCACCTCGACGACAACGTAACTGATCAAAAGTCCCCTTATGGACAGCCAAGAGCTGCCCAGAATTCGAACGAGTCTGATTCGAGCTTGAAAGGAAAGAATGGTTCTTGGCTGTGTTCGGGGTTTTAGGCACGGGCGTTACTGGTTTGCACGCTAATACCTGAGTACTCGAAGATTCCCATCACGCCGCGCCGGTCGCTCCAGGATCCGAGGCGGGATTTCGATATCGCACGCTGCAAGTCAATCGCATGTGCAGCACTTGGTGTCATGTCGACCGTGATGCCGTTGTTGAGGACATTTTCTTTAGAGAAGCGCTCAGTGATGGGCATTCGTACCAGGCCAAGATTTTAAGTCTTTCAAAGAGGGCCCAAACAGGACGCAAAGACATGGCAAAAGCAAGTTTCATCTGAAACAGGTTACGCAGGCTGTGCAGTCATACATTTATGTCCCTCAATTATGGAGTAGTTGCAAATCCAAGCGCTGCAGCGCTGAGCATGCTGGGGCTTGGCAAAAGAAAGCTCCGCGCATAGGACGGTGATGCTGCAGATTGACCAACTTGCAGCTACTCGAAGTCGCATGCCGACATCACCTTCTGACTGCCATTATGCAAGTCAAGCGGACCATGCAACCGGCGATCCTGCTGTTCCTACCACTTTGGAGAGACGTCTAAGAATTAGGAGCCCATGGAGAGCCAACAGATGCCCACAGCATTAGACCCTCTCCGTCTCAGGGCGTCAGGAGTCGGGCTCTTCTGGTGAGGCAAAAGGAGGGTGGTGGGTGTACGTCGGAGTCTCTTGGCATTCACTTTGAGTTCCGCGCCATCTTTCCAGAATATCTCCCTACGCTGATCTTGTGCACGCACACTTTGTGAACAGGGTGGTTGCTTGCTGTTTGTTCTGGCATATAACTGCCGGAATCCTCCCTCCATCTCGAGTCCTTTCTTGATATAAACTATCAACTCACGCTTCTTCTACCATACTCCTTCAAACATTACTTGCTTGTAATACCACTTTTGTTCTATTTGTATCTGTACAAAAGTCATACACTGCTTCTCACAAACCACATCTTCCACCTCTCACGCATTACATCGGTTCGTCGCCCTATACGAAGGTCCACTTCTCACATATATTACTACACACATTTGAACCTAAGCCGTTCAACGTCACAATGTCGTCTCGCAGTCTATCTACAACGAGTTCTGCTGCGTCCACTGTATCCTCGACACGTTCGCATTACCTCCATCCATCCGCATGCAACACCCTCCGCTGTCCGGGTAAATGCAAACGCTCTCTCGCCAAAGACACATTCACCAGTCCCAGTCTCAGATCTCAACCGACCCTAGAGGCTCTGCGCTACATGGACTACACTTACGAGTCCGAAGTGGACGACGAGGAGGACGAACTCTCACGCTACAACACCCAACACTCCTTTGGCTCTGTCATCGTCGACCACGACAAACTCACCGCTCGCAGCCGCAAGAAGGGCGACAATTGTAAGCTCGTCAAGCTCACAGGCTGGTTCTATCGCGCCACCGGTAAAGTCGCCCGATGAATGGATCCATTCTCCGTCAACTGCTCTGTAAAATGTCACACAGAGCCATTCTACGAAGCACAAAGCAATTCAAGGCTCGCTGCACGCATCACATACACAAAGCAAGCACGGCCAAGCCCGTCCGGTAACGAAGCGCCTGGCGGAAGCAAGCCGGAAGCCTGTAGAGGACGAGAGGCTGGGCGTGGGTCGTACAACAAGCGTTTGTGGCGCTATTGTCGATCATGGAGTCATCGTATGATAGATAAGATTTCTATCGTAACCTGCTCGAGCTGAAGGCCAGCAGGGAGAGGAGGGGAAGGCATGGAGACCCGCGTATGGGCTCTTAGGTGACTACCACATACTCATTCATACACTTCACACAATGTGTCATGATCGCCCTTTTCGTTTGTAATGGGAGAAAGGATGGTCGAGGACGATCACCAAAAGGATTCCACAGCGATTTAGCATAGGTGGGGGATGACACCCACACTCGCATCTGATAGAACTCAATCATCTACTAGCGTTTTTTTATCACTTAGCAAGCAAAGCAAGCAAATCAATTTTCAAACCAAATTGTGCCATGTTCAAACTGTAACTAATACTGGTCTACTCTGCACATGCAAAACCCATACCTGTCCCATCCCGCTCACATCGCACCGCCAAGTTTCTCCTTCATACGTCCGTATCCCATCCCTCACCAAGCATTCCAAGCCCACTACCACCTTGGCACAGTCTCACATCAAATGTGGGCCGTGTCCGATGCACGTCCAATCAGAGCTATTCATATACCAGAATGCCAGTCTCGGCGGCGCGGGCCGCGAATAGTTTGGCGTGTGATTGCGCCAAGAGCGGGACTTGGCGATGGCTCTTTCTTCTCTCTCCCGGGCTGCCCCGGCGTGGACAGGGGGGGCCTGGGCGCATGTCTTGGCGAGGCAATCTCCTGCATTCTCCTGCCCGGGGTTGGAGGGTGAGAGGTTGTCTGGCCTGTGTGTAGCCAGCATCACGGTCCGTGTAATTGATGGAGGTAAAGTCTTCTGCTAGCTGGCTAGCGGTGCCAAGATCGTTGCGTGATATCGAGTGATGTGTCTGGCACACATCCCATCACTGCAACCTCCAATAGTCTCTGTAGCTCCGGGTGTCTCCTCGTCTCGCGCAGCACAAGATGCCAGAATGGCCGCGGTTCATCCATGGCTGGACGATGACACGGTGGAGAAAGACCTGGGCTAGAGGGGCTTGGCGCGAGGCGTGCGAAATACGAATTGTGTGCGCTGGGACACGGAGAGTTTTTCTTTGTCCCGCGAAGCATGTGGTATGTTGTTGTTGTTGTGCTGTGCGGCTTATGGCTGCTAGGACCGGCACCGCTAGATACCTTCCTCTACGCATCATTACGGTGTTACTTCATGATCAGCAGCAGCGCTCGCACTGATGATCAAGCCTGTTTTACATGCCACTTCACCAAGTCTCCAATGCGGACTGACCAGAACATGCAGGCGTATTACCTTCTGAATATAGATCAGGATGTCACAGGTCACACTTAGCACTTAGCAACATCTCACACCTCCTTGAGAACCTTGCGCCTCGAAAATAACGCAGCCTTCTTTTCTTTTTCTGTCTCCGCCCAGGCTCTCGGCAAGTCTCTTGCCATAACCAGTGAACTGCAGTTCGTCGCTGTAAGCTCCGACAGGATCCAACGGGCTTGTATCTTGTCGGGATACAGGTCTTGGCACCTGCCCTGCATCTTATCAGTGGGTAAAGGCCAGCGCAGCAGTTGACCTGTCGATATCTATCTGGCAATTCACTGCGTGCGCACAGAAGTGAAATGCCGATGATTACGGCCTTGACAGGGACTTCTGGGGAAGGTTGGAAGAATGACGCCGGAGTGGCGCTGGAAGGGGCCGAGTTGTACCCTGCGTTCTGTGGTTCGCTGATGTGGCCTCCTAGAGAATCAAGCGGAGGTGTTTGTGAACTTGCGGCTCCTCGATAGGTGCTTTTAGTATATGATGTCATTATTCGCTGCTGATGGCAAGCAACCGAGTTGTGAGTTCGAGTATTACTATTGCCCAGTCGGAACGAGACACGTGCGATGTGTCAGGCTTGGCGAGGTGCTGATCTTGACGACGTTTACAATTGATAAGTTTTTGTATAGGACTCCCGAGTTGCTCATGGATTATGAATATTTCATTTGGACTCTTGCCTGCGACCGAGCTTCCTGCTATCAAACTGTCAGTGACTTGCTGAACAAAAGACTTGGTCGGCGACTCCTTGCTAAGAATGGCTTTGTACATTGCTTTCTATAGAACTTCTTTCTCCAGCACTTCTACGTGGGGTTCCACCTGCGGACCATATCAGAATGCGACCAGCGTGTCATGCCGCTCACCGCGTTAGCATGCTCTCCCTGCCTGGACCAGTTCCTATGTACGTGATCGGTACATCGACCTCTTTTTCGATGAATTCGATGTAGTTTCTCGCATTTTCTGGTAGTTCTGCGTAGGACTTGACGCCGACGGTAGAGGTCTTCCAGCCTGGAAGCGTCTTATACTCAACCTCAACTTCAGCGAGCGTATGGAGATCTGCTGGGAACGACTCCAATGGCTGACCGTTATGCTTGTAGCCGACAGCTATCTTCAATTCACTGAAATCGTCCAATATCTGATAATACGTCAATGGGAAGTTTCAGATTTGTCGGTCAGAGTACCTACGTCAAGCTTTGTAATGTTCAATGATGTGTATTGGTTGACTTCATGAGAGTATCTCACCAACACGAGATCGAGCCTAGTACATGATAAGCATTTGAAAATTGGTAGAGAAATGGTATGGTAGCAACTTACCAACCACAACGACGCTTTCTTCCTGTCGTAACACCGAATTCGCGCCCGACGTTCTGCATTGCCTCTCCAACTTCGTTGAGTTGCTCTGTTGGGAACGGTCCGCTACCCTATTCATCCTATCAGCATAGATTAAACGAGCCTTGGTTGGAAGAGACACTGACAACGCGAGTAGTGTAGGCTTTAACAACACCGATAACGTCTTTAATGGAATTCCACCCCAGAGTGAGGCCTGTGATAACTCCACCGATGCCAGTGTCTGTTCATGTCAATATGGGACGCTCTCCGGGCATACTAAGACTTACTGCTTGATGTCACATAGGGGTAAGTTCCGTAATCCTAGTTTTCACTTAGCGCTGTCACCCATAAGCCGAGTTGGGAGCTGCTCACAATATCAAGCATCACGGCATTAGCACCCTCCACAAGGATGCTAGCTTTCTGATCCTTGACAGACTTCAAGAATGGAATCTGATCAATCACGAATTCCTGTAAACTTTCCCGGTAGGTTCTGAAGCGCGCAATCTCCTCTTCTACATCGTACTGAAGCAGCTCACCGAAACGTTTCTTGTATCCGTCCGCGAGGCGTCGTATCTTATCTTCGACGTCTATGTGAAATATGTCGCAGATACGGATGCCACCTCTTGTTGCTTTCGAACTGTATGTTGGGCCAATGCCCTTCTTGGTGGTTCCGATCAAACCCTTACCCAGCTCTGCCTCTTCCAATCCATCGACCTTTTGGTGCAGATCCAGCACCACATGCGCACGATCGCTGATATATATCCTGTCCTTAGTATCCAGGTTGTTCTTACGGAGGGCTTCGAGCTCGCTATCCAAAAATCAATATCGTGTGTTAGGATGTGGGACGCTTGAGGGCCATACTTGAAGAACGAAGGGATGTGAACGACAGTACCACTAGTTCCGGTCAGAATATATCAGAGGTTTCAGTTGTTGTTGCTGCTAACGCATACGTACCTCCCGATCAGGTTGATACAGCCCGGATTCACCAAGCCAGAAGGCAATATGTGGAAGTCATACGTGACTCCGTTGGCAACAATAGTGTGTCCTGCATTATTACCACCAGCAGCTCGGCAGCATACTGAAGCTTTTGAGCACAAGATGTCGGCAAGCTTGCCTTTGCCTTCGTCGCCCCACTGGGCGCCGAGAACAACCGTCACCACTCTTTTACTTGGGTCTATTGTCGACGACATAATTTGTGAGTCCCTTCTTGGTCGCAAGAATCACAGTATCAATGATGTCGTATATAAGGCGACAACGTGTGCGCGAAGGTTGAGTGATGACAACCAAGGATGGGGAGTTGCGCCAATTAAGAATCTCGTATTGACTCAATCCGAAGCTGTCGCAGACGTCAATACCCAAATTTAGCGGTACAGCCCGTTGATACACGCCGTAAGGACGCACCTTGATGCCAATCACCTACGAAGGGAAAATCCAATACAAATCGTCCTGGGCACGAATCCCAAATGAGAGGATCCTGGAATCGCCAGGTGAAAAAACAAACGGCCAGAAATAGGCCACCTCGCGCAAGTGAAGCAAATTTACGGATGCCCCACGCCATAGTCGGCCTCCGCCGCTCCCCCGCCATGCAAGTCAGTGGCGCTAATCGCCGCGTTCGGCTCTCAAGGCTAGCCAATTAAAATGGTCAGATTTCTTTTACATCTGTTGCATTGTTGCATGAGATTGGCAGTAATGAATATCCATCCACATAGTACATATTCAACGCCCTCGGAGTACTGTGGACAGTTGGCTATATCAGAACTAGGTCCTCTGGCCCTCAGAAACCGTGTTCGCTAACATTGGCCACCCATGATCCCTGTTGACCACCATGGTAAACAGTCTGCCAAGATATATTGATCTATTGCAGTATCCTCTGCAGTGCCTACGCTCTTCTCGTCAACAATCAAGCTGGTCAACAACTCCTCAACGACTGCCAATTTATTCTTTGTCCCATGATTCTTGATCATATTCTCGTCACTTACTTACTTCGTCTCGCAGATGTCTAGGATGCTATCAGAAACATCGTCAGTCCTCGCTTTGGCAACAACGTTGTCCTCCTCGCTATGAGCGACGAGGTACTCGGTGTTAGAGATTCAACTTCTGTTTTCTTTCCCCACTGAACCGCGTGTAATCTTCGGCTGGTCTTGTGCCGGTCTAGTTTCTGATACTGAGTTGTTCGATTTCGTCCTGATTAGGTAGGTGCTATGTTCGAGGTTATCATATCTGGTGAGTATCTCGAATGCCAAGTATGAAGGGGTAGATAAAGGGTGAGATAGAAGCCTGACAGTTGAAACTCTGAGCCGCGGAAGCAAACAAGATGATCGATACGGATATAAGAAATATGCGTGGCCGAGAGAACAGTGGCTTCTAAACGTGTTACTGAGAGCACAGAAATCAAGTCGCGAAGTAGTAAAGGACTAACATTTCGTTCTATCGTTAGATGTTATTAAATGGAAGTGAGCTCTTGATGGGTTAAGAGTCTTAGAGTCTTCTCGTATGATATTCGGATGAGCATATGAGAGAGTTCAACTTTAAAGGAAATAATTCATGTACGAATAAGGCAGTCACATATGTGGTCTCCATGTGTCGCTCAACACTTCTTATAGATGTGTGACATTGGGCCGCTAGGCATATCGTAACCTTGGTACGCAAAGACTACAGTGAGCTGATAACGGTAGCTTGCCTGGAAATTGAAAAGAACTATAGGCCCTCAGGATATCGTTCTTGTCCATAGGTCATACGTCCAGGAGTTGATAGGTTATTCTCAGTTGAGCTTAATACAATAAGGATGTAGCGCCGTATCACTTCTCATGGCCAAAATGTACGAGTAGCCCAGGACTACGTGATTGCAAATTGTAACCCTAGTCTTGGTCATTAAGTAGACTGTGGTCCTTGTCAATCACAAGAACAGAAAATGCACACTTCTTAAGGTTGGCTGTCGAAATTTGGCCAACTTTTTTTAAACATATATCGATGTGGTAGGATCAGCCCAGCGTGGTTGAATCCATGACAGCTTAGAGCCAACCATAGATGCACAATTAGATATTACCGACATGCCAGACTCTAGTGGTTAGTAGAAAACACCTGTTTCATGTAGCTATACAATGGATCCTACGACCTCGATCCCGAACTTCAGACAACCTCACAGCTTCCGCGCAAGTATCAACGGTCTATGAGGCCACGTGAAGAGAAGAGCACCCCGAAATGCGGCATCGAAGAATTCCAGCATATCGAACTACGGAGCAAAGACTTTGAGTACGTTAAAAAATCCCATCTATTGCGATTCTGTCCTTCATAGCACATAGCCAAAGGAATCCGAGTCAATTGATGATAGGCGTCGGTGGTGGAAAGACCTCGAGAATATCGAGAATATTGGTCCACTAGACCTAGATGTTGAATGGATCCATGGCATGTACCTTGAGCTAGAGAGGATGAGGACGGAATATGGAGTCAGAATTGAGTGTGAACTTAGAACGATCACTGAACCAGAGTTCTCGTGAGCCTAGATAACCATAGTTAGACACTGGCAAAAAGAGGTCAGAAATAAATTTATCTCCTGTGGTATACTCTGCAGAATAAAAGAATCGAGCGCATTTCAATACGACGCCAAATTTTCAACTTCCACTTTTTTTTATCTGTCGAATAAAATAAATAACAAATACAATCACAACCCATAATGGCTTCCACTTCGGATCACCACCGCGATCTCACCTGGGAGGACATTAAGGACCGACTGCCCGGTATTATATGCAAGAAGGAGCAGGCAGCCTCAATGAAAGGCCATCATTTGAGCTATTCCAGAGTCCGAGAACTATTCGAAGAGGCTCATAAGATATTCATTTCGCTCAAAGGAGAAGGTTATCAAGGAGATCACCTGGTCAACTTGTGGACTCTTGAAATCAATATGAAGGTCATATGTTACAAGCCCGAAATACTACAGATAGTTTGGGAGGAACCAGAATTCGATGAAGCACTGGGCTATTGGCAGAAGCATCATTTCCAGGCTCGAGCGACGTATAGATGGACGCATCTACAGTCGTGGGAGCCAGTCAGGAAGGACCTCCGTAAGCAGAAGCGCATCAGCAAGTTGCGTGTTTGGTTGACAGGGCTTCATACCGATAGCGAGGTGAAAAAGGGCAGCGAGATGGTACGTGTTGACTCTGGAGTAAGCACTTGATCGAAAAACTGGCCAACTGTGAGTAAAGCAATTCTACACGGTTTGACCAAAAGAAAATCGATACTGATGTCTACAGACTGCATTTTTGCTCTACAATACGCACTTGAACCAGGCTTCGGATCTCTGCATTTTAAGGGGTTGTGTGCGAACGAGAAATGAAATTTTGGCATGCGGCGTGAGGTTTGGACGATGGCGGTGTATGGAAGATCAATTTACAGCTAGAATGGATACTGCTATTATACAAGTTGATCCATGCCCAGTCTGAGGGCCAAGTTCACCACCTTACGTCTGCACCTTTTAGTGCCTTGTTAGCGGAGCCGAGCTGCTCGCTTTCCTGGTCCGGGAGCCTCAACAAACACCGAGTAGCGTTTATGCGTCACGTGTAGAAGATACAATGGCCTCGAGTAGCTATATTTTCCGACTCTACCCCTTGAAATAGTAGTATCCTGAGACATTACAACATTTACAAGATACTCTGCACTTTCATAGACACAGTCCGATATCGGGCTAGTTGGTCGTATCAGACGGGGGCCAGGCGAGACTTAATTGTCGCGAACCAAGCTCTTTGTCGGAGGCCGGTTCGGGTATAGACGCCGCTCACACGGACAAGACCGCAGCTCTACTCTCAACGCTTTCATTGCACGACAACTCCACTCTTGCACGGACATTTGTCTCCCCTTTCCATATAAATCTATTACCGCGCACCTTGCGGAGCATTTTCGATCCATAACCTCGTCCTCCCTGCGAAGAAGCAACCGACTCCCTTGGTCAGGGCCCCTTACTCCTCCAATAACTTCCTGAGATGTCTGGTCCTCCAGCGACAATTGGCGGTGTCACCGCACCGCCAGCTCAACCATTGGAGAAGAAGCCAATCAAGTTCAGTAATCTGCTGCGTAAGTGATTCTATAACTATCTGATGAGATGGCTCGGAGCTGACCCAACGTGCTGCAGTTGGAGCTGGTCTGAACATGTTCGAGGTCACGACGCTGGGTCAGGTAACGATCACCGACCAACAGAAGACAAACAAAGCTGATGGTGAACCTATAGCCCTTGGAGGTGACAAAGACCACAATGGCTGCCAACAGAGGTGATGGCTTCGCTGGAGCTATTGGCAGGATATGGGGCCGCGGCGGCGTTCTGGGATGTGAGTAGACGGAAACACCAGATCAATGTAGGAACATCGTATCTGACAATTGTGCCTCCTCTAGTCTATCAAGGTCTCATCCCCTGGGCCTGGATCGAAGCCTCTACTAAGGGTGCTGTCCTCATCTTTGTCGCTTCCGAAGCCGAATACTACGCAAAGTCATTCGGTGCGAACAACTTTGGCGCTGGTATCAGCGGTGGTATGATTGGTGGTTTGGCGCAAGCTTACGCAACGATGGGATTCTGTACCTGTATGAAGACCGTCGAAATCACCAAGCATAAGGTCGCTGCTGCCGGAAAGAAGCCTCCAGGTACGCTTGAGACTTTTATGGGCATCTACCGCGCAGAGGGTATCCGCGGCATCAACAAAGGTGTCAACGCTGTCGCTGTGCGCCAGGTCACTAACTGGGGTTCTCGATTTGGTCTATCGCGTATCGCAGAGGACGGCATCCGGAAAGTTGGCGGCAAGGAAGACGGCGTGAAGCTCAGTACTCCCGAGAAGATCATCGCCAGTGCTCTTGGTGGAGGTCTTAGTGCCTGGAATCAGCCCATTGAGGTCGTCCGCGTAGAGATGCAGAGTAAGAAGGACGATCCGAACCGTCCCAAGAAGCTGGGTGTGGGATCTGCCTTCAAGTACATCTATCAACAAAACGGTATCAAGGGCTTATACCGCGGCGTCACTCCTAGAATCGCTCTTGGCGTTTGGCAGACAGTTTGTATGGTCGCTTTGGGTGACATGTGAGTTACTGAAGAGAGACTTTCTAAAGTGCAATTACTAACAATGTGATAGTGCCAAGGAAGCTGTCGAGAAGCTCACTGGAGAGACCGTTACTGCGAAACACTAGAAAGCGCAGGAGGTCAAATCTAGGTATTTGGAGGATGAAAGCTCTTCGTCATACGAACGTTAACTTTGGAACATGTCTGTAGTTCTCTACAGAGAGGTTTTGTTTTACTATGATTGCTTGAATTTGGAACCAGATAGACCATGAGCGGAAGCCTTTCCAGGTTTTCAGAATAATTCATGTATAGATTTCACGGCGTTTTTATCTCGCTTCGTCCCGGTGCATGCTATCCATCCCCTACACTTATGTCTCAGCGCTGAGGGTGTTGTTCGTGTCTTGAACCAGTCTTGACTTGTAAGTTTATGGACAGTTGGTCGACCGGTGATGTGGGATTACTCTATTTGTGGCTATTGTTGTAGCCCAGATGTTCTCCTGAGTCAGTCTGTCGAGCAGTTTGCTAGTACAGCGCTCGTCATACAAGCGATCCTGGACTAGACTCTTTCGCCTTATCTTTGTTCTCTACACCATCCAGCTTGCCTTGTTTTACTTCCTCAACCTCATTCGGTTCGTTAACATCATCGGCATCCTCCTCTCCTTCGTTATCATCGAGCCTTTTCGCCGCGTCCAATTGACGATACTTCCTTCTCCTCTTTTTTGTCGCACTACTCTTCTTCTTCGCCTCCTTTGCAGCCTTCTTTGCCGTGCGCGCCTCGCTTCCCAGCTGCAATTCCTCAATGCGCTCTGCCAACCGGCGCCGCGCAATCTTGCGATTCTGGCTACGCGACCGCGTCTCTTGGCATTTGACAATCAGCCCTGTTGGGTGATGCAGAATCTGGACTGCTGAGTTGGTCTTGTTGATTTTCTGGCCGCCTGGACCACTGCCTTTCAGAAAGTTTTCAGTTATGTCGGTGTCGAGAATTGGGGGAAGCGGGCCAGGGAGACTTTTGAGGAGCGCTGGAGACGTGGAGAATTGGCGGTTGGGGATTACATTGCGTACATAGTGAAGAAGGGTCCGTGGGCGGAGTACAGCGCGCATTGTCTGGTCATCGCATAGTTGTTAGTGGAGGTTAAGCAATCAGAACTCTAGCTATAGAAGTAGAAGTAATATAAATGACGAAACTAGCTAATAGCGCAGAGGCGCTATTAAATCCCTGACCGCGCCCACCGCTCAGGGCAGCTCCGCCGCCCAGTCTACGGGTGCGTCTCCGCCTGAAATTTCCCAAGACTCCGAGAGCGTCAGGAGTCAGAAGCAACAACACGGAACACGCTTCTTCACACTCGCGCGAACAGTCTTTACATACTCACTCCGTCTCAAGACTATCCACGCACCCAGAACAATGGCTTCTCAATCATCCTCCCAATCGCTCCCACGCACCATGGTCGACCTCAGCTCTACGGCAACGCTTGTGCTCCTCTTCTGTGCCTCTCTCGTGCTTCTCAGCGCAATCCTCAGCCCGAAACCGCTGCTGCGCTGGTTGCAGCGCAAGCGCTACCAGTATGAGGTGACATTCAGCTTGTACATGCTGACGCCGACGGAGAAGTTTATATTTAGTGCGTGAACTCGCTCTCCTATACCCTCTCTTCCTTCGCTCTTATGGTCTCGATCGCGAAGTTTTGAACCCTCATCTACCACTATATTTCCTTCTGGCGCGGCAAGACTTGTGTGAGCTGGTGCTAATTTGTGAATCAGACTCCTTTCTATTCCTCTTTCTCAGCATGATCATTATCGCCGCCTCCCTCTACCTGCCCGAACACATCACCACCATTGCGCATCGCGTGTTCTACTACTTAGCCGGTGACGAGCATTCGAGTCTCAAGACTGTAGCTGCGGTGCAGCCAGTCAAGCAGGTTATGGAACATACCGTAGCAACGAGTGCGGGTGAGATTGCAGGTGGACTCATGGGAAATGGTCGAGCGGTCATGGAGGCGTGATAAAGAGGCCGGAGATAATGAGAGGATGATTGGCATAGTGTCTTGGAGATTTCTACAGAGAGACTGCATTGGGCGGCGTTTGGGACTTCCTCGAGGTCAAGGCATATTATCGTTCAGAACTGAGACTCAGAAAGCTTTCTGGGAAACCATAATATCATGAGCGCTAACTCGATATCATAAAAACTTTTGTAACTCTAGATATGTCAGGTGCATGCTACCGTCTTTTGATCATCCTTGCAAATAACCTGTCATTCGAATGACCAATGAGGTAGGTATTTTCACACTCAGAACATAACTCTCTCCGGGTAATTATGGAACGTGTTTCGTTTGATTCATGCTCGAAGACTCGTTTGATGTATATATATATATATATATATATATATGCTGAAGCATGTCTTTATGGTATCATCTAGATCGTAAATGCCGCGATTCGTGCAAAACTTTGAAAATCAGCCCCATCAATGGTGACATGTATATACCGCTCGCTGCTTCACGCGAAATAGGGAGGCGAGTGTCTGATACCGCCAATTTAACCGCCTCTTTAAGTCCTTCTCGTCATCGATCCCTAATCCAAATCCATGCCTAGACTCTCATCTCGCTCACGTGCCCTATCTATAACATCGTGGTCGAATATTCTATCTGCAACTCTCTCCAACGCATCAGTGGAGTAGCTCCCACAATGGACCACGGTTCCGGAACCAAAGGTATGAATAAGGTTGTCTTTGAGGGTCTGCCCGCGGTACTTTTCCTTCGGATCTTCTGTCACGAGGACCAGTATAACAGGTAGATGGAACATGTCGCCTTCATCGTCCATGATAGTTCGATTGACAGCTTTTGCAAAGGCCACCTGCTCCTCCAGATTCGATCCTTTGCACTTCACAGCACCGCCATTATCGTAGATGACGGACTTAGCAGAACCCCCGGCATCGCATACAACAACGACGACAGCATGAGCTTCTCGAAGCCGTGTCAAGTGCTCATGTGTCATCTCGTGAACGTACGGCACATGTCTGATTCGGCTGTGATGTTTCGAAAGAGCTCGGCCAAGGGGTTCAAATGGGTCTCTCCCAGGTTGGTATAAAGGTGCCACAGCTGGGGTGAAGAGAACGATATTCTCCTCCTTAAGAAGCATGTGGACACGATAAAGTAGATCGTCGTTCTTGTGGATGAATACGATGGTTAGACTCTCATTTGCCGATGGTTGGGATATGGTCAGATCTGAGCGGGGGGAAGGGTCCTCGCTCGTGAGGAGGGATGAAATGCTGAGGAGACCTGACGAGCGTGGTGGTCCGTGATCCGAACTCTTCCCCGACATTGATATATAAACCTCGATTGACGAGATAGGGACTGAGTGCCCAGGTAGGCCGGGGATCCTAGTTGCTTGGCACACTACCATGCGGCTGTATGCAGTCGTCCGCCGATGACTTGTAGAAGAAAGTGCATGCAGGATCTTGACTTTGGCAGACTGGAGAGTATTGTGGGGACATGTAATCGTCACAACGCTGACGACGTCTAGTCCGAACTGCAACTGGACCCAGAACCGAGACAATCCAAATAAGGAAAGCCGACTGGGAGAAGGATCCAATGAAATAGGAGTAGCAGCTGTTCCTGTTCCCCGGGGCTACGACAGGACGACACAGATAGCGGTGTCACGATGATATGCGCCCAATGGACATGGTTAATGAAAGAATAGCAGGGTAGGAGACAGGATGTAGGAGTGAAGGTCAAAATACGACAGTACTTGAACCATCTTGCTGTGTGGCAGATACATCTAGTGCGGGAAGTCGTTACACTAAATGCTTTGATCTTGCCTGAGCTTGACGGGAAAGAGGGAAAGGTGCATGAAGTCGAGATCGAATCGTTCAGCGCGACCATCTCTCAGTGTAAGACATTGTGGGCCGAGCCCTGCAAGGATGAGACTGATGTGTTGTATCTCGGGTGTCCGAATCATGGCATTCGCTGGCCTGGAGCGAGCTTCATGAGAAGGACCGAATACAACATCGATGGTGTATCGAGAATGGTAGGCAGGTCTTACTGAAGGCAGCCTCATGGTGTTTGAAATCTGCAAAGACTGTCAGCTCGACGGTGATCAAGTCCTGCGGTCCCGCCAGACCAAGTGAGGGGAGTGATATAGGGCGCTTAGATGCATGATTACGGTTCGCCATGAAGACGGACATATTAACAACGAAGACGTTGGCAGATCAGTCTCGCTTAAACTAAGCTTCATGAAGGTGTGCGTAGTGCTCAAGCTGGACCACGCGGCAAGCATTATGCGGAATGGCTATTGCTGTCATTGGCTGATGAGAGTTGAGTTTTGGACGTCACAAAAGTGATGGCTAACGGCAGTAGTTTGTGCAACAAGAAAGTTGAGGGCATCCATGCTGTTTATGGGCTCTTGCTGTAGCTGTACAGGGTCGCTCGGTATCGGGCGAGCGAGGCCGGCAGAGGATTTGGAGCTGTAGGACGGACTCCAGGCACGCCCAAAGGACATCATCATTGCTCTCATCACATCGGCATCTTCTGCACGTGCAAGGATGAAGGATGAGGATATAGTCTGTACGATGCCATCCATACCAAGGTCCGGAGTTAAAGGCACTACGCCGCTCTCACCGGCTTGTGTGGTGGTGGATTCCAGGCAGAAACAAGACAGCAAACAAATTGCCTTACGCAGTGTATGTGGAGGGCGGTGGATGCACGAAGGGGTAGTGTCTCAATTAAAGAAAGGAAAAACAGGTGCATGCCTCGAATGGCATTAGTAGTGATGATGGAGGAAGTAAGTGAAGAGAAGTGTCTGGTGTAAGTGAGGTTAGAAGTGCGCTTGGGAAATCTGATACATGTTCAGCCTTGGCGCTCATAGTCGCGTCGTTACAGGGACACACATACATATACATGCACACATCACGCGACTTCTGCAGCCAAATGTTTCCATAAAACTAATACACGTGTCATAAAGCTATAGTCATATTGGAGTTCTGCCATGGACGATTCAGGTATGTTTGCGTCGACGCTAGAGTGCCACAATCTAACATTTCTGCGTCAGATGAAGAGACCAATGTTGCTGATCTCTTGAGACGCTTGCGTCACTGTAAGCTTTCATTTCAGGAACAGAATAATGGAATTTGATTTAATCTATGAAAGTATCAGAGACACCTGCAAAGCAACGTGCTGTCAAAGCCTCCGTCTCGATCAACCAACTTTGCGACTATGCTTTCAGAAAAGGTCTCGATTCTGCCTCATTACAGGCCATTCTGAACATTGTTTCAGTCAAATCGGAGTTAGATCAGACTTCTGTCATGAACCTTGTCAAGAATCTGTATCCTAAAGAAAGGATACCCTCTGCTGTCGTTACCAAAGCCGTCAGTGCACTTGGACAAGGAAAGAATAAACCCTCAACAGCCACTCAATCAGCTCTCTTGAAATGGCTGTTCACCGTGTACGATGTTCTGGACGATACCCTGATTCTCTCTCGATTGTATGCGATCCTCTTCAATCTACTCGACATGGTATCTCTAAGGTGAAACACTATGACTGTATGTGCCACGTTCGTTGCCTAAAGTTTCAGCAGGACTCCTTTGTGCCACTTGTTGTGCCTTATATCACGAAGACGACATGTTCGTCCTTTCCGAATACAGTACTTGTGGGTGTTTCACCGAAAAATTGGACATGACGGTTATTGACATTTCATAGATACGAACTTTGCCGCATCGTCGGCAACGAACCTGCGGTGTTAAGATTACTCAGTGTCTATAAGGACTACTACCCTGACATTATCATTAGCAGCGCCAATCCAGGCCGTGGCTCTTTGCCACCAGTATGTGAGCGCCTAAACTATGTATCACTTCAGCTGACGTGGAAAGCAACCGGACGCAACCTGGACAAAGCGGTTACAAGCTATTTCGCATCAGCCATCTCAGAGTGACGTTGGCCTGAACAGCAGAAATGGCTTTAAGGTGTATCGGACGCGGACCCGTACTCCCCGCTTACATCTACTGCCAGAAGTACACACATCGCGTGCATCGGAGGTTGTTCAGCTATTGCTCTCATTAATGCCACATACGCTGACTTTAGCAGTCGTCCGTTACATTAGAAGAGATTGAAGGTCCTCAGGATTTTGTCGACAAAATCGAACGAATAGAGTTACCGAACCAATTGGTCTCATCACTGCAAGATTCTCTATTGCAGAAACTCTTATTCCTGAATCCCCTGCCAGAAGCTACAATGCGACTCGAATTCTGGCTTGCGAGTTATCTTGAAGAAGAACTCTCTCTGGCGAGGAATCACTTATCACCATCGCCACAGTTCCCAGAGCTACTGCAAGGTATACTTGCCTATAGTCAAGCTCAACACGTAAGACTCTTCGCCTTTAAAGCATTTCGATTCCTCTAACATTGATGTAGTCACTCATATCCATCGTCGAAGTCTTTCTGGCGCAATATCTTCCTATCTGGGACGGGCAATCCAATTATGACGCCCTCTGCGCCATAATAGCTTTCGTAGACCGCCATCCTCACGATAGTATGTCAGCAAACCATGTGGCTGAAAGTAGCTAACGCCACACAGAACTACATTCAACCTATTTTGCATGGTTAGAGAGGCCTCACATCTTGAATACTGGGCGCCTGCTATCAAAATTGCTCCTACTCTATAGCAAAATTGCCCAGAGATGGATTCTACAACAAGATACCAGCACGCAAGCTCGGACTGGCAAATCAAAATCGCCTAAAGAGGTTAGCGAGCTTCTAGATTACGCCAACCTGTTCATACACAATATCATATCTATGCAGCCGACTTCTACTATGATACACTCGGCTATCCTGACCTTCTACGAGAGTTTTTCTTTTTCGGCGACACAGTCTGACAACACCTCGAGCGTTCATACACCCATTGTTCTTCCCTCCGAGCAAGTCGTTAACCATCTTCTATTCAATTCTTCTCTCAGCGATGTGTCACGCTTGTGTGGCATTCTTGCAAGATGCAAACGTCAATTCGAGTCTCTTAAGAATACAATCTCCGATTACTATCCTAGTCCTTACACAAATCGATTCAACGGACATCTTATGGATATCTGCAATTTGATTTGGCGCTCACGGGCACTGAACGGCACAGATACCAACGCATCAGGCTGTCTCTGCCCTCCGGCGACGATGTCGGCCCTGATGAGATACTTGCCAGATATGGACAACATTTATAATCTTGCCGGAAGCTTCGGCATCACACAAAATTACCTTTTCTGTGCAGTCTCTATGGCCACCTTCACTGAGCTTGAAGATGCCGCAGAAATTGACGGTGCAGATCTCAAGACTCGTCATGCAGGACCTGTATCGCCGCGCTCCCTGACCCTGCTCGAAAAGAATGGAGGGCTCGTGATATCCTGGACCAAGTCTCGAGTGGAGGTGCTTTCTGCGCTCGAGGCGAAGGGATTAGATGGTGTAAAGGATCTCATGTTTTCTACCATGATGAAACTGAAAGACGCAACTTGAGATATCTGCGGTAGGACTTTCAAACCCAAAGCGAGTGCTCCCATTGCTTTTTCACTCGTTTTACCTCCTGTCACGTGCGGCTTTCGCTTAGCGCTGCAGGTGTAATCTAGATGGCTGCACCTCCCTCTCGACTGGCAGCAATTAGGGCCATTAACAACAACACATTGTGGCTCCCAAGAACTACAACACAAAATGAACAGCCAATGGAGCAATTCGCAGTGTCTCTGAGACCGACTGGTGCGGAATCTGGTGCTGACCGGGTATGAAACTTCAACTCTGCTCAGTGCTTATATTATCGCCCGAAAGCTGAACTGACGACCTGAAAGTTCGGCTCTAGGTCCGCTCCATTTCCTCCAGTCCATTTAGCTAGCTAATCGATCCAGAGAGCATTCTCAACATCCGGACTTCGCCATCAAACAGTGGAGATGTAACCTAACGGCACTCTCACATTCTTCCAATCTATTTTTCGTTGCGTGTGGTCACACAATCCATGTCTTTGACCCTCCCTATCTAAGTCAGCGCCTAGCAAAGATACCATTATCTATCATTCGTTTGCCACAATATTTCGCTGACGGCCGATCTGGCTACATCGATCCAGATCATCCTCATTCGATTAATCGAATACTCGTGAGCTTTCTGGGAAATCAAGAGATCTTGCTGGCGACCTGCGATGACGGAGATACTGTTGTTTACTACCTGTCAGCCATCGAGAAAATCATTCTGAGGGACGTAAATTTTCAACTCCCTGAAGACGTGAATAACTATCCTCAACCAAAGACTTTCTTTCATCACAATTCGGGATGCAGCGCTTGGGGCATAGCTGTCCATCGTGAAGCTCGACGGCTTGCGATCTCAGCTAATACACATGAGGTAACGGTCATATCTTTCGCTCTAAGTTCCCCAAGCGAAGATATCTCTAAAACAACCAGCACGGGGTGAGCATAATACCTTGTTATGTTAGATATCTTTCTGACATGACCTTAGAGACGGTCATGAGCAAAACTTATCTCTCGATCAATCATATCAATCAGATCAGTCAGACCAGTCAGATCAACCAGATCATACGTTCACCTACCTTAGGGCGCCAAACAACGTGCCACATGTTGCGTTTTGTGATGAAGACCCGAGCGGCCGATGGATCATGTTCGGTGACATTTCTGGCAACTATCACATTTACGAACTTCGCTCAAACGACTCCACACCTGAGACTTGCAACGTTATTCGATTCTGCTCGGGTCCCAATGTGCAAGCTTGTCTCTGTGAAGACCGCTTTTCACATTCCGTATGGGGCACGTTCTGGCTAGATCGACGTAGTTTCCGAACCGTTCCCACTGTTCTCGATCGTTTGCCCGATCAAGCAAATGATGTCGTTAGGCCTTTGTTACGTGAACGTTTGATTGAACTAATACCGCCACGAAGAATAGCGGATACAAGTGATGTATTTCACAAGTACTCGAGTAACTATCGCGATATGCGTAGAATGCGGCTACTTCCTCCTCAGCCGTTGCTGCACATTCAACAGGGCCCTGAACAGAGCCAGTATGATGAGGAGGAGGAGGAGGGAGAGGAGGAATCGAATTTACAGGAAAATCAGGAACACCAAGATCATCAGGATCCGGGATCGGATTCGCAATGGGATGATGAGGAAGAAACTGACGAGGATCTTGCTGAAGTAATACTCGGACATACTCAATTTCTTGAAGACCACGTAAGTCTGTTTACTGGGGAATCAGTTAAAGGGTACACGCGCCTCATCACGTAAGTCCATTCCTGCCTCACGGGCCACTTAGGAGCCTTTCTAAATGACAGTGGGCTACAGAGATGGGCTGTCGAGGGAATCCCAGCACATCCCAAGCCCAATCATGATCATTACCGGTCATGACATCTTCCTCGCTCGATGGAATTATGCAATGGGCTATCACGCACCTCTGAAACAGAAAGTTTTTTACAACAACGAGCTGCATCACTTCTCTCGAACCCAAATGGATCGAATGAATCTTCACGCCACAATTCCTGAGCTCGGAGTTGTGGTGGTCGCGTCCCAGAAAGGCCGCGCAATCGTACTATCTCTTATACAGTCATTTGAGAATGAAGCAGAAGCCCAACTGGGCACCCCTTTCTACGGAATGACGGCAGATCACATTCTACCATTGGCATCACAGGAAGAAGATGGACTTCGCCCGTTAGTACCTCTGGCCGGCATTGCTGCGAACCCGATTGCAGAACGCGACGACCTGCCCAGTGACGGGCAGCTTAGGAGATGGCGCCTGATATTGACTTACGTGGATTTCACCATATTGTCATATGAATTGAGCAGGCCGAGGATAGAGACTGAAGTGGATGTGGAATCGTTAGTTGTCTAAATACCCTTATGAAACGTATCGAATAGCATTTGTGCACATGAAACAAGTTTAGGCTTCTGCCCTACCATGCGCGATGTTGATTTACCGTGATCCTGTTGGAGGACCTTGATTTCGGTACCGGGCACTCCGGGGTTGATGTCATCTAGATGGTAAAGAGGGCTGATATTTGAGTATATACTTAGCATTTTTCAGTAGTGCCAAGCTCTAACAAATAATCCGAGGACTAGCAGTCTATACAGATCTAGGCTTCCCGATGGGCGCGGTCCTCTTTGGCAATTGGTGATGTAATTCGTCTGGGCCAATGCCACATCCTGATGTTGTGTTCCTGACAAAGAGCTGATCCATTTCCGCATATTGGAACACCACGCTCTCAACGCAGTACTGCTGCTAGCCAGTTATATACATGCGGTTATAGACTTCGTTGTATGCCCAATAGACGCCGAGTCAGGCTTCACAAGTCCGAGTCCGTTGCGCTTCGTCTCGTGCTGTAAAGCTGAACCCCCAAAACGCCGTCCAATGCAAGACATCCACGCCCCAATCAGGTATATATGCTCGTCATAACCCCCCCTCTCCCTCGCAACTGTCATGTCCCCTCTCACGCCCACGTCCCATTATCTACAACCGCACCACCACATCCAAGCACGGTACGCGCCACTCCTTTCTTGTCACGACGTTCCGCACCCACTCGCCAATCCACGTCGCGCCCTTGCCTTCCCCGCCCGTGCCTGCTCCTCCTCCTGCCGTCAACCTGCCCCTGACGCCCTCTGTCACATGGCGCACCAGCGCAGACGCATCCTCAACATATGACGTGTTCGAGCTGTTCGATGCGGGGGCCAGGACTGTGGATGCCGAGAAGGACGGCGCGAACCAGTCTGTGCTGAAGTCGAAGAGCGCGAGAACGAGGACGCCGAGCAGGAGGGAGCAATAGACGCAGGGCCGGTTGAGGAGGTATGTGGTGACGACAAAAAGGATGAGATATATCGGGGATGCGTTGGAGCTGGGGTATAGAGGTTAGCTGGGGAAGACGTGTGATGATGATAGTAATATACATACACGGAGAGGAAGAACAGTATTGGTATCCAGCTCCGCAGGCAAAACATGTTGGGTTCAGATTTGTAGGTTGAGTGTATTGTATGTTGTAAGGACTCCAGAGGGCTCGGAAAGACGGGGACGCGACGACCGAGGGTGAGGATTGCGAATCGCGGAGAGCGCGGAGGTGAGAAACGGATTTATGGGCGGCAACGTGGTGTTGAGGATAAGCGTGGAGGCACGTCAGGTTCGTGACAGTCGTGCTGTCGGGGGAGCGAGTGCAGAGACTGAAAAAAGTAGTTGAATATGAACAATGTATGTAACTGCAGAAGTCCAGTTCGCACAGGAAGTAATAATACGATGACGGAAAGGATGGACCTGATGAGCAGTCGCATCATCCATCGGCGCTTCGCTTGGCAAGTCCGGTTGATCTTCGGCCAGGGTCTGTTACTATTTTAAGAATGCTTCTAACTAATAGGCATTGGGCGTGCATACAGAAAAGCGCTAGAAATGTCATCGCGAGAAGACTATAAAGAGCGTGCTGCGTTCGATAAATTCCTCGAAGCCAATAATTAGAAATGCAATCATGTAACATCGATTAACTTAATAATTCGAGCTATGCTAAGCTACAAGCATAGGCCTGCTGTTGGAGGCCATCTGCGCCTCCACTATATTGGTCCACGTTTCAGAACCAGATCGTCATATGCTTCTTTAGCAACACGCAAGCTTGGCGTTGTACGATACCATACCAATGCAAATGCCAATTATGCAGCGCCTATGCTAAATCGCTGAACAAAAGAGGACGAATTCATGCCCAAACCATGTTTAGAGCGGTGGACTTTCTGGACGGTCGATCCATAGCGACTGATAATAATTGATCAGATCATCCACCTCTCCATGGACCCCGACCGCACTTTTGTCCCATGACTGATCATAATCGTAACGTCGCTGACTGAAGTCTATACTGACTTTGGAAGCTCCTTCTCTCTTTAGATTGTATCCCAGTGCGTCGAGAGACCATTCCACATCGCAACGAGGACAGGACATAAAGTCACTTGGCTGAGATACGAAGGCTGTGTCTCCGCACCGAAAACAAGAGAAGTCACAACGCTCACAGAGAATACCGGCTTTTCCATTCTCCTGTTCCACAAGTTTGTTTTTCATCTCGACGTTGGCACGTGGCCTTGCTGGTGCACCACACTCAGAACACTTTGCAAGACCGGAAAGGAGAGTACTTGTGTCACCTTGACTAGCATGTCGCAGATCGATTGGTATTCTATCTCTCCACCTAGAAGAGTCGCCAAATTCTTCACTCGTCAAGGGTACAGCGTCACGACATGCAGGGATGTTACAAGGCGTACTGGTCTTATGTGCCAGCTGCCTCTGAAACATTTCGGCTTGCGTTCGAAGCGCTGGGGCGTCTTCGGAAGTATCAAGCAGATTCGTCTGGGTGTATGCCGGTCCCTGCACCGCTTGCCGGACGGGAAATCCCCCTAGAGGTCGGATGACTATCGTCTGCTTCTTGATCATATCCCTGGCTGCAGCAATACCCGAGTCCGGTTCCGGGGCCCCAGCTGGCATCATCGAAGGTGCGTTGATGATGCCAAATGTTCCGATATCATCCTGCGTGTAGTCTTCTTTCAATGCCTCGAGCACGGTGATGGTACCGTTGACTTCCCCTAACAGTAATTTGTCTTTATCAGCAGTAAACGCTCCGCACATGATTCCCGACTTCATCGTTACCGCTTTCTTGACAAAAACCTGTTCAACTGGCTGTGTGATGTCCCATACCCGGACGACTCCGTCCGAGGCTCCCGAGTAAAGACGCTCACGGGTAGGGCCCCACGATAGAAATCTGACACCCTCGTCGACATCTTCCCGAGGTTGATCGGCAGAACGTTCCAATAGAGGCTTGTCATGCTTCATGCGGTAAAGAATAGAGTCCGGCCTCCGAATATCCCATACATAGACGGTCCCGTCCGTACAGCCCGACGCAATGTAATTGTCATCATACGGGCAGAAGACGACGTCGTTGATATCCTTAGCATAGCTATTCTCTAGCTCATGACTCCAGCTGAAGGAAGCGGCTGCCTGGTTGAAGTCGTAGATTCGGACTTCAGATCGTGTAGCCCTATTCGCGCTCGAGCCCTTCTTGTGACCAACAGCGAAGCGCCCGTAACGTCTTGGTGACCAAGAACAATCAAGTGTATCTCGTACATTTGCGATAACCTTGACCGCACTTCCAGAGATGACATCCCAGACGCAAATTTGACCACCGGTTGTGCCATCTTCGTCTTCGGCATGCGAAGCGAACCCCGCTAGGAGGAGATCGCCGTACAGAGATTCGAATTTTAAGGACGATGGTCGTAGATCCATCTTGGGTTTCTCTATGGCTCGTGGAGAAGCAAAGCTGTATTTGACCAAACTTTCACTTGACGGTTGATCAGTATGCTGGATGACTTTGATGGATTTAGCAGTGCGGTGGCTTCCCGTGGCAACAAGGTTTTCACGAGGATGCCGTGCAATCAGGTCGATCCTCTCCTTAGCTTCCATGATCAGCTGGCACGGATGTGCATCTTTGGCGTGAACGTCCCAAATCCGGAACTTTTTGTCATACCCAGAAGAGTACATCCACTTTCCATTTGCGGAGAAATCGAGTCCTGAGATTGTAGAAAAGAGCCTCGGATCCTGGGAGGCATACATGGCGTGGGTAGAATTTGCTCCTTGCTCGGTCCTCTGTCTCAAGGTATGGTGATCAGGAAGTTCTCGCAGTGTTTTGTGCTCCATGCTTCCAAGAAGGAGATTTAGAGGCCGGTTATACTGCATTGATGAAGGATCCGAGGTACAAACGGCTCCAGCGGCGAAGTAGGTACCCTCCGGGTCCCATGCCACTACATTCACATCACTTCCAAGCCCAGTGAAAGATGTCGTGACGCTCAACGTATCAACCGCGAGATTTCTGACCCCTTTCGTTAACACACTGGTAGGGGGCATAATGTTCCTTCGGCCAACGTGGCCTAGCTCGCGCTGTCGCACGAACGAGCGAAGCCTGTTGATTGTCACAGCCGGTTTCTGGATAATCGAAAGTCTTTCAACAGTTGGAGAGTAGTTGTAAAGGTTGTCGCGAAGGTCTCGAAGACAGCACTCTATCGATCGCGTTGTTCGACTTCGTAGGGACGGGTCCTTCTTAACCTTGTGAACAAGTGAGCAGATAACGTCGTCAGCTACGCCGCGAAGGCTACGGCTTAGACGGAGTATCCTTGCAGTCTTCAGATTTCCTGAGTACGAACATAGCTCAGCCACACCGTTCTCAAGAGCTTTGAGTTCATCGTCGTAAAAATCTTCGTGCAAGGTATCACTACTCCAAGGACTCTCGGCGGATCTTTTGCGCGACCTGCGAACAACTTGTCGTTCATCGTGCGGCAGATAAGGTCGATAGACAGTCTGAACTACAGCTTCTGTGTGATGACCAGTAACGACCGTCGGGTCTGGTAGATCGTTCGTGCGTGTTGGAAGATAACCAAATTTCCCACATTTGCTCATCCGCATTCCTGGGACAGACACTAAAGTCAGGTCCGGGTCGTAGTCGCAGTTTGCGTCGCAATCGCAGTCCTGGTCATGACATTTGGACCGCACATGATTTGTGGGGTTGAGGTCCATGCGCCTATGAGTATGAACAGGTATAGAATCAATTATATCGATATCAATCTCTTCCCCAGACCAATCGGGTGCGTCTGCTTGCATAGCATCCACGACGACTGGTGCTTCAATTTGTCTGAGGCGCTTTGGACGCGCAATGCTAGCCTGTGGCATTTCCGTTTGCCGCAACGTTTCGTAGCTATCTATCTCAGTTTCTTTGTCCGTTGGCAATTGCTCCTTTGTCCTCTTGGGTCGCCGATCACGGGTCTCATTGACGTAATTCTCAACTTGCGGGCCCTCTGAAATAGTTTTCAGTAGCTCAGCGCTCTTGTACTTTAGTTCTTTGCAGTATTTGCTCTGCAGAGTTCCAAATGTTCGAAAGGGGAAATATTTTTGGATTTCAGACCATCTGAAGCCTTTCACTTCTTTGAGATACACAATGTTCACACAGTCTTCGCGTGTAAATTTGTCTCGATATTCTGCGATTGGAATTACCCGCTCCATCGATACATTACGTGTTGCCTGTGGAACCGGATTACCAATAGAAGGTATTACTGTTCTGTGATTGAGTCGCGAAGAATTGCTACGATTGAGCTCTGGTTTATGCAACGTAAGTCCTTGACTGACCTGCTCCCTCATCAGGCTCTTAACATTCAAGTTGAGTGGAGTTCGAGACTCAAGTCGAGATGAAGGTGCCCTCGAAGGCTCCACGTTCTCTGTTACATTGCGATTACTAGGAAATCTGGCTGTAACCGGGTCTAGGATGCGGAGATCATCTTGGTGTGTGGCATTATTAGGCCCAGAGGACCTGTACGAATTCAAGTGATGCATTCTCTTTGGCACAGGCTCATTATCCGCAGCTTCCATCGAAGCTCGTTTTCGAGATAGCCCATCGTTTCTACTTCCGAATCGACCGGTATGTGCTGTGAGAGGATCTAATGTAGGCTGGGCATCCGCAGAAGGAGACTTGCTGCGTGTCACGTCCGTCCGGACATTGAACATCTTTAGTAGATCTTCGCTCGTTGGCGAAGTAGGTGAAGACATCGAGGACTCCCTGAGTTCGCTACTGTCATTGTTCGAATTTATAGAAACTTCGCTTTCCGTCTCAATGCATGAACGTGACCGGTACGACACTGGACCGCGCTTGGCAGTTTGTTTAGACAGCGGTACCGAGTTTTCCGGACTTGCTACTTGTCGGCCGTCTAACAGAACTGCAGGTGAAAGCTGCTCCTTTTTATACACCTGAAATGCCAGATCACTCGTCCGTCGAGCCTCATTTCCTGGTGGACTTATAAGACTCGTCGAGGTAACCCTTCTCTTCACTGAGTGATCTACCGGGTTCTTAGCGTGAGGTCCTGCCGTTTGACGCGCGGAAGATGAGTATGGTGATTGGGAGTGTGCGTTAGAGCCCGTAGGATTCTTCGAACTTTTACTCGTTGTGGTGGGCTCGTGCTTGTTTGACTTATACGCGGTTTGGCGTGGAGGAGAGACAGGGGTGTGAATGGATACCCGATTTGGAGGCTTCGAGGCTCGAGAAGGGGTGATAAGCACTCCTTCGCGCGCTATGGAAGTGGTTGTCGTCTGTTCGTCGGGAACTGAGGTCAAGTCGATTCTCACAGTGCTTTAGGACCTTGTCAGTGACGCGTACAGAAACTCACGCGTCACACACGTTGCGTGTGTGAAAGGAAAGCCTTACTTTGCCATGAAGGGCAACAACGTCCCATGGGATTGGATATCGTAGTTCTGTGCCGCATGTGTTGTGGTCGCTGGCAAAGTTTGAAGGGTTTTTAGGTGAAGTTTGATTACCAGTTATAAAGTGAGGTTACTGTTTAGAGATGTGGCGGGGCTATGGTGCGCCACACGAGCACAGATCCATAGGATTACTACAAAGTGAATTCTGTAGATAAGGAGTACCTTACAAATTCGCCTAGAATTGTGACTATACTTAATATATAGATAACACCACATATCTTTTGGTGATAAAATAGTAGTAGTATGAGCTCAGGCCTGAGTAATATGGCCTGAGGTGTGTACAAACCTAGAGCTGTACTGGTTAGGCCGTACGCCTCTACAGTGCCTCAATTGCATACTTAACATCATGTATCTAGTCTATATAACCCATGGGATACGTAGTTATAGACTGCACTACTACATGCTGGGAATGGTAAAACTCAGGAAGACTGGAACACACAATTAGACACTTATGTTTCCCGCCTGTCAAGAGAAGAAGTATTTGACAAGCGCTTAAAGTACGAGTATATACTATATACAATCCTTCATCACGCTGTTTTGATAGGGTCGTGCTCGCCGCTACTCTGCACAGGCGTCATACCTTTTACCACTGCTATCTCGCTTGGATCTACATCTATCGGGACCGGTGGCCCATCAAACGATTTTCGGCCATGGATGAAGTACCAAGCCATTGAGATAGCTGCAAAGCCAGCGAATACAACGCTTGCATAATTCATAGTTGCCGCTTCAACTGGGAGACTGACTGGCATGCAAAACAACACGATGGCAAGACTGATCCAGCATAGAGTGAAAACATTGATAGCGAAACCGAACTTGCCCAACGAGAATGTAGAATTCTTGACTGCCTTGCGCCCTCGTATAATGCTCACTAGAATTGGAAGACCGTAGGAAGTACTTAGGCAAATAGTTGCAACACCGGTGAACGAATTGAACGCGGCCGAAGAGCCAAAGTATATGAGTCCCAGGAGACAGTCTACTACGGTCGAAAGCACGAGACCCCAAAGTGGGATATCGAAACGTTTGTCGACCCGCTTCCAGAGGCCGTATCCAGGAATGGCTCCATCTCTAGCAAAAGCATAAGTGCATCGTGAAGCCGCCGTAAGAGCACCAGTTCCAGCAAAGAAGAGGATACCAAGAATGAGGAAGAGAAGACCGAAACCACCTGCGGCAGATCCAGTCACAGTCTTGAAAAGCAAACCGATTGGCTGACCATTGGCCACATCAAGGAGCATCTGAACATCGGGCAGTACGAACAGAATTGGAATGAGATATATAACTCCTGTCACACCAGCAGCGGCGACCGAAAGTACGATGGCCTTCGGGACTTCTCGTTGCGGGTTTTGAACGTCTTCGCACATGGAGCAGACCATTCCATATCCAGTAAGAGTATAGCCCGCTTGCAGTAGTCCTACGAAGAACGCCCACCCGGGAGGCCTGTAATGTATTAGCATCGGCCTTCAATCTTATGGCCTGTATGAAACTTACCATCCGCTCTTAGAAGCATCGTAATGAGTGAAAACAAACTTTCCGCTTCTCCGGGTATCGGCCATTGTTAGAAGTGTTATCATAATGATAATCACACTCGCCGCAGTCCAGTAGATACAGATCTTGTTGATAAGGTCCAGATATCTTGCTCCAAAAATGTTAACACACATACATATCAGCATTACGGCCCAGAACATGAGCACGGTCTGATATTGATTTGCCACAAAGTCTTCGTTCCATAGAGTTATGGCCGATAGAATGAGTTGCGCACCCGAGAAGTTAATGCTGGTCGTGACAGTCCAGTTGCCGACCAGAGTCAGCCAACCAGTAATCCAGGATGCAATAGGGGCCCATTCTTTGGTAGCAAGCATGGCACTCCAGTAATAAACACCTCCAGCAGTAGGATACACGGCGCAAATCTCAGCCAAGGATGCGGCGATACAGAGGGAGATCAATGAGACAATGACCCAGCCCCAAAGGATAGTGACAGATTGTCCGTCGGTTAGAGTGATATACATAGTCGTACTAAGTCCAAAAGGTACGGCCATGATTGCAAATGAGCTGTTGCGCACATGAGTGTTGGCCTGGTCCATTTTAAGATAGGTAAAACTTACAGTCCAAGGATACTCGTCATGCTCAAGGTTCGAGGCAATTCGGCAGAGTATCCCATTTTCGCCAAAGCAGCATCAGCTTGAGTATCGACAACACCTTTGTTGCCAACGGAGCTCTTTCTTGTGGCCATGTGGCCTAGGTCCTCGTGTGACGCCATGCTAATTGCCTGAACTGCCCGTAAAATTTAATACGTCTACTATCGCAACATAGATGGGCCAGGCTGTTCAGGGTCAGTCTGATTCTACTATCGCGTGCTTATTGTTTAGATCTTAATCGCGTCCTGCATGAGACGGTAGACCGCACATACCTCAGTAAAAACCGCGCAACAGATGGTAATGATTCTGGTTAAACTTCGAATCTTTTGTACGAGAATGGCGAGCACTAACAACGACGATCAACGCGCGACACTAAGGGATACATGTAGTCTTGAAAGAATTTGGTGATTCCGTCCAGGTGTTAGCTCCCGAGTCTCGACTCAAGCCCTACGCCTGGGCTCAGAGATAGCTGCGCCGGGCGAGCCACCAACCAGAGTGCGATCGCATTGGTACGGGCGTGGGATTGATACGAAGAGACGCCGGGAGTTGGAGTTAGCCTGCCTATGCTCATTTACCCGACCCCACAAAATGAAGATGGAGATGGCGCTGAGTCGGTAAGCCCGTTGGCTTGGCTTATCTGTGGCCGGCTTTTCAATCTCGTCCAACATGACTCCGCTGACTCGCCTAATTTGAGGCTGATGAGCGCTTCTTCTGACGCAAAGCTAGGGATTGACGTAATCAGGCTCTGTCAATCTAGTCTGACGTTCTCACGTTACGGGTATGGTCTGCTAGAGCCTCAAAGATCTCCTTGGCAGACTTGGCCCAGTCAGGTTAGGCTCTAGCTAATACTTTCCAGGTTTCGTACATGCTACATGCTTTTTTGCACAGTAACAGACATCTGAACCCGCATCATGATATGGGCGAAGAAAAGATTCTGCAAAATGCTCTGCCCAGCGACCCCGTGAGCATATTAGGCAGTCTTGGTTCGGTCCAAGTCAAAGATGGAACCTTACGCATGTTGAAAACACGTGCCGAAGTCAAAGCAAAATCAGAAACTTGTAAGTGCTCTGCAAAAAGTAAATGCCTTATATTCAGAAATCTGCAGTAGATGTCTATGCACTAGCCGTACCAGCGCAATACTCCAGTAGAATTCTAAAGTAAGCCACTATGACACTGTTGAACACAGTTTCGTTGATCATTCGGCAGCACGGTCAGAGCGGTCGTCCCTGATCTGAATACCATAGACATACAGCATATCAAGCGTGTTGCAAAATACGACTTCCTCACGATCCATGTGTTGAACAAGTTTAGCATGGCCTCTGGTTACAGCGACGCAAATGGGAACCAATTCGACACCCTCGAAAACATTCGATACATCGTCGTCTGCCCGGTATCATCGATTACAGAGGGAATATTGTCGAACGCCCTCTCATCACAGCCCCCGTTCTCCGATTCCGGATTCCCATTAGTCTTGGTTACTCTTCCAGTACCAGCATATGCTCCAACTTCCAGTGAGCAAGCAGACGAGTGGAGTGTCCAATACTGGCCAATATCTTACAAGAATACGAATCCTTATGGACCGCATCCCAGCATGGTACTCCACAACGAAGCCGAAATTGTCAAATCTTCTGGTGCTGCTCTCACACTGGCAGAGTGTGTCGCGAACGAAGCTTACGAGAATGGATCGAGCTTGCCAATTGGCTGCGTGATTGTAGATCGCACCGATAAAGTTGAAAAGGTCGTGGCTATAGCAGCTGATGCTCGCTGGCAAAGCCAGGGATCAAAGGAAGGTGCTGGTAACGTCATGGTGCATGCCGTCCAGCGAGCCATATCGCTGGTTGCGCAGAAACGGCTTCGAGCAGAGCAGCTCAAACAAGACGCTCTACACTCGAAACACGGCAGCTTAAGCCAAGAACAGCCGAGCTGTTCCAAAAACTCGAGCGTATTCCTGGACTATCCGATTGGAGACATCGAAAGACGTGTACACAGTCTCGACAACATCGCCGCTGGAGGATATCTCTGTACAGATTTAGACATCTACATTACGCATGAGCCATGTGTAATGTGCTCCATGGCGATTTTACACTCCCGTTTTCGCCGTATTGTCTTCCAGAGACGCATGCCTCTGACAGGAGGTATGATCGCCGACAGCGGTTTGAAGTACGGCATCTTCTGGAGACCGGCCGAACTGAATTGGAAAATGCTAGCTTGGATATGGGAGCCCATAGAAGTAGAAGACAACTCCTTGGATATAGCGGACCAATTTCATGTTTGATACTTGTACATTCTGCGTGAGCTCTGTTTGTAGCCAGCCTCGTGCATCGTGATGTAAAGGCGTGATAAAGAAGCAATAGATGCGGGAAAAGAGTATCCAGAACGACAATACGGCGTCAGGACTTACTATCGCCAAATCCGGAAAGAATCCAAAAACCGACGTTTACGAGGTGAGATCTGGACTCACTTCCTCCAGGATGACATCCGAAGTGGCACTGCCAGGAGACAACCAGTACTACGACTTGGCCATCCCCCCGAAAACCGTCAGAGAGCATGTGAACGAACACAGTTGTTTGCTTCAGTATATAAAGGCCTGTATAACAGAACATGCGAGGTTTAGTGACTCTTAGGACCAGGCTGGTAAAGTGTGAAGTGAATTCTAAGTGCCGAAGTTACCGCATGTCACGGACTCAACGGACACATCATCACGTTTCGGCTGCTGATTTCTGACCCAACCGTGCCTCTCGTGCTCAGATTGAGGAATCGAAGTGGAGAAATAATCATCCTAAAAGCTAAAATCATATGTGCGAGAGAATATCAGAGTTCTACACTCGCCTGCATAACACCAGGACGAGTGACAATGCACGCAAAATGAAAGTTGTCCCAGACTAAACCCGGGCTAGATCAGAAGACGTCCAACAAAAATCGCGAACAGAAACGCAAAACAAAAACTCATAACTCGAGGCTTGAACCGGGAGATACTTGAGAAACCAGACGAACTGAGTTTTTTTTCACGTTGTGGCACCACTAGACTATGGCTCCGAAGTGTGAGAACTGGAAGAACTCAAAGTTGGATCGTTTATAAAGGGTTGGGATGAAAGGGTGACTTTGTTTGACACGTACATTAGGGGGGGGGGGTGAGCTGAACAATGTGAAAATAGGTGACATTAGCCATTGTAGCTCGACTTTTTTTACACAGCTCTATGAACATGCGCATTTTTCAGCCTTATCTCCAAATAGTTTCGTCCCAGGTTGTCTCTCGAACGAGCCGTTTCTAATGTTGACTACTTCGGTTTTTTGCGACGTGGAAACTTCACTTCCTTATCTCCCTCCGCGTCGGCCCCTTTCCATGGTCATATGGTGGTAGGCATATCTGAACTTGTTGGTTTTCGTTCATGTCTCGAGAGCCGAGACACTCCTCCCTCTAACATGCATCACTCTCGATAAAGCTCATATTCCCTCAAAATTCTCTCGCCCAAGGATGCCCTTGTTCCTACCCTGTATCCATATGAGGTAACATATGCAGTGTCGCTCTCGAAGCTACTGTTTCCCGTCTACTACATACTACCATGAATTTCGGCATAGTCGCGCTCTTCGTTGTTGACTCAACACATGTCGTTCCCAGACTCTGCTTAGCACTTTACTGCTACTACACGCCTATCATCACTATGAATGAGAAGACCCAACGCGACTCCACGTCCTGTGTATATATGATACGATCAGGTGCGCGCTGGTGATTGGGCGAAAGGATCAGATGCTTAAACGTTTGTCATGATGCGGCGAAAGACAGTCGGATTCCTTCATCAGATACAAAGACTGTCACAACGCAAGATGTACAGCCTATTTACATCATTCAAAGTATCTCATCCATAAATTGAACAGCTTTTGCTTCTAAATATTCGATCTTGGACTCTATCCACTTTTTATGTCCGCACCATGTCCTCTCATCTTCTCCGTGTAGTGAGCCGTGAGATACTCATCAAGTGCGAGAACAACCCACAGAGCTCCCGTAGTTTCATAACCGATATGTTCTTGCTTAGTATAATTGTAACAAGCACACGTCGCTGTTCTTCTCACCCATACCGTGAGACAGAGGAACAGATAACAGTCCAGGAGCAGATTTTTAGAAAACGCACCATGGATCATAGAGCATTCACCTATGCATATGGAGGACGAGACACATCATTCCAAGATTAAGAATAAAGTATGAGGGCATATAGTATGTGACAAGTGTAGCACTTGCCAGAGTGCTGTTCGTGGCCGATCATTCACTCAGTGCCGGGCGGCTTACTTGTCTGGCCGAACAACCCGCCACGGTATTCCCTATTCACAACCGTGAAACCCTTGTTTTCAGTTCATCAACATACATTATTATCTCTGAGCTTGATACCCCAGTTACCCATCGACCTGACAAAACAACCACGGCAACTCGTGCTCACAACCCAAAATGTCGCCGCCCAATCTCTACCCCTACCACCACCAACGCCACCCTCCAGAGAAGTCCCAGATAATCTTCAGCATACCTGCTCGACCCGCATCTCCGATCCTGATCCTTCTCAGAAGCGTCATTGTCCTCGCCACACTCTATATCTACGTAATCCTCATCTGGGGCATCCTGCGCCACAGACGACTCGCAAGGATCCGAAACAGATCCCGAAGAAAGCGATCATGCACAAGCAAGAAGAATCACAACTTCCCGGTTTCTTCGCAGCAGGCGTCGAGGATTGAGGCTTGTGGAGGTAAAGGGGGGAGCAAGTGGGTCGAGCAAGTTTGACACACGGCGTCGACGAAACGCGAGGGACGGGCACAAATGGTCAGGGCTTAACAAGGGCATAAATGTACAGTTCTGAGAAATAAAAAGGCAATTCTTTGGGAGAGAGCCATCTCATCGTGGTATGCGATGAAGGCTTCAGAGATGTGCTTTGGGCAGTGTCGTAGCACGGGGAAAGAATATCCGAATTGCAGCCCTAGAGGTGGCAATTCCTGTTCAATACAAATCATGTATTTCCTATGAGATGTTGGTGATGTGGCATCCTTCCCAGCGTGACTTTCATGAAGGCAGATCGAAGCCGTGGAAGGTATATGCCGCAGGACCGGGGCTCAGGGGTGTCTTAGGGTTGGTGCTCATAAGCCGTGGATTGGTTGCAATGTTCCTGTGGGAATCATAAGCACAGTCTGTAATCGATTGGCCTCTAGGAGGTTGTTGGTGTACTGGTAGTGATAGTAGTATTTCACATAGTGGCCGGTTCAGGGATGATCGGTCTATATTGATAGTTCAGTGCGTAGCAACGTCTTAATGTCCACAAAATTACGTCTTGTCCATTCACAGGTGGTTAGTACAGCTGACAAGTGTGTTTACGGTGAACAGGGGCATATATGAGATAGACGGCCAATACGAGCCTGGAATGCCACGTCAAGGGCCACAGGATGCAGGTTATAGAGAGATGTGAGCAGAAGGCGAGGTCGTGGTGAGAGTATCACATGTGTTAGCTGCGGAAGGAGGGAATGTCTATATGCATACAATGTGCAGTGTCAGCGGAATGGGACGCAGAGTCTTGCTCGTGATCGTCCTCACATGGAACAACGTCTTGACCGCACACCTAGGTTTGCGAACTACGGACTGTCGAGACTCAAATGCACTTGGGACAATTCCTCCCAGAGCAACCTGCCACAGTTGACGAAAGTACAAGCAAAGTTTCCTGTTCTTCATGAAATCAATAGCGCACCAGGTAGTCAAAATTATGAACGGTATGGATTTAGCATTCTTTCGAGCTTATTTTAAGGGTAGAGAAACAGCTCTCCCAGAGACCAGATAAGACCTATTTGCCTTCATCTCGCCTCCAACATGCAATACCAGAAGAAACGGTGACTCCTTTTATTGTCGCTTAATATCTCTTGCCTTCTCTCAACACATCACTGTACTCCTCGAGCGGGCTGCGTGAGAGTTTGGTCTCTTTCCATAGGTTAGGAGTAAGGAAACCGTATGTGTTTGTGACCGCGACGAAGGTAGCCTTAAGGGTGTTCTCAAGCGTCTTGGTCGAACCGGAGGAGGCGGAGTAGGCGTCTTGGACACCAGCGAGCTGAAGCAGACGCTTGACGGCGGGTGAAGCGACGAGACCGGTACCACGAGGTGCAGGGATGAGCTGGTTCATGTTAGCATGCCGAATTGGCGCACAATGATATGTTGAGGCGGGTTGCTTACTCTGACGGTGACGGAACCACACTTGCCGGACTCCTTGGTTGGCAGAGAGTGTGGCTCACCAAGGTTGGTACCCCAGTAACCTCTTCGAATCGGGACGACAGCGAGCTTAGCGATGATGATAGCTGCGCGGATAGCAGTGGCAACTTCTTTGGATGTCTTGATACCAAGACCAATGTGGCCTTCGGAGTCACCGATAACAACGATGGCCTTAAAGCGGGTACGCTGACCAGCACGGGTTTGCTTCTGTACAGGCTTAATCTGTTCACGCAATTGAGTAAGCCAGCATTCAAATAATCATGTCCTTCAACCCATTGAACTTGATGGAGCATAGTTCGCGCTCTACATGCAACTCTGGCGTATAACAACATTTGACGTAGTCTTGACTGCCGGGTGCTGGAATATTGCTAGACTGTTCACGCACCTTCATGACCTCGTCCTTGAGCTTGGGGAGGAAGAAATCCACGATCTGGTACTCCTTGATGGGGAGACTGTGTAGGTAGATCTCCTCCATGCTCTTGATCTTGCCAGCCTTCACCAGACGGCCAAGCTTGGTAACCGGCTGCCATTCTTTCTCTTCAGACTTGCCTCCTCCGCGGCGACCACGGCCACGACCACGGCCACGGCCACGATCTCCACGTCCACGGTCTCCGAATCCTCCACGGGCTGGGGGTGCAGCGTCGGCCATATTCGCGATTTGTGATTTTGCTGGGTTGTCGAGGTGGGGCGCTGTGATCAGATGAAAGGTTAGTCAAACGCGCAGTCCTTTTTGAAACTTGTATGGTATAGTAGCTCTGAAGTGTTCGCTAGGTGAGTGTATCTTGAACGAATACTTACGTTCTCGAGTGCGCGCAGCAAGTTGGTCGTCGTCGTGCGATGAGCTTGACAGAACGATTTTCAGAACTTGAGTGGGCGGAATTCCGGCGGTCATAAGCGAGCCAATCACGTGCTAGGCTGTCTTCAACAACATGTGTTACACGTAGCGATTGCACGTTATTTACGTTTGGAAAAGATTGAGATAATGGAGTTTGAATGAGTATTGATGCGCCGTATTGGAACAGGTAAGTGTGCTCAAGATATTACTATTGTTTGCAACTTCTAGAGTAAAGCTTGGCATATTTGTTACCTCCAAACTTGTACACTAAACCACCGCTGATGAATAGATAAAAGAGGAACCCATATTGGACGCACGACAATGTGTGACCAAGTATCTACCGTATTGAACGCCGATGTGGAGATAGACAAAAAATGCCAAACAACTGCGCACATGAGGCACTAATTGCATCAGCGTACACTCCCCAACTCCTGGTGTGGAAATTTCGTAAATGACCCTCAGTTTGTCTAGTCGTCGTTTGAAGATGACGGAAGCCGAGGAACCTTTGATAACCACCAGTCCAGTTTCGTACGATATTCTGAAAGGTCTGTTGTCGTGCTGTTATCTGTTTCTGTTCTGTCTATCGACCTGTTGCGAGCTAAGTCTTCGAGAAGAGTTTCGGCAGATGACGTGATAACAACGGATCTCTTCCTTGGTCTAGCTACTCGGAATCGCGCGTTATCGTCTGGCACGCGCGACGTCTGTTCGAGAATTGTCTTCCGTAAATTTATCCTCTGTGGAGTCCCCCCGTGTTGATTGTAACGCTTAAGGGTGACTCGTGATGTAGTGCGCATTCTAGGTGAGTCTTTCGGGGGTTGCCTGAAGATGATGTTGCTGCCTTCCCTTGCGTCCCCGATATCCTGTCACACGGAAGGTTAGTAGCTTTGAGGATACTGGTTCGCCGGCTGTAGCGCGATGTTAGTGATATAATACATGGTGCCTTACAAGATCGCGTTGCTCGAAGTTGAATTCATGACTAGTTGAATCCAACACCGAGTCAACCGTCTCTGCGGACTTTGTACGTACTGGGCTGTTCAGCATGCTTTGACGTTTATTTCTCCCCTTCTTGATATGACTCTTTAATGCACTCGAATCGAGAGGCTTGAGGAGTTCAAAACTGCAGAGCAATTCTCCTGATACTGACATCACAGCCCCCCAATTATCGAATTCACCACAATACTGCTCAACGATGTTAGCCAAAGTCTTATCGATAGGAGAGATATGACATACGTTCGGCGCAGAGAATACAGTTACCAAGATGCGGTCGTTGAAGAACTCATAACCATCTTCAACGACCATGTGGGCACGACAGACGAGATCGAAATCGTGTCGCTGCAAAAACTCCATTATGACTTTTTTCCCAAAGCAGTAGCTAACACCTCTCTCGTTGCTCTCCCAATCGGTCTCCATATCAGCCGGATCACTCCACAACAGGTCGTTCAGTAGGCCATAATCCGGAACATCGGTTGGTCGGGCGATCTGTCGAATGTCGTCCATGTGAGACAAACTAGGGGACAGGCCTCCATGAACACAGAAAATCTTCCCGGCTACGATAGAGGCAATTGGCAAGCAATTGAAAGTATCGATAAAGGCTTTCCAGACTTTGACGGTGCATCTCCGCTTGCACTCGTCGTAGAAGCCGTAGACTCGAGTCACGTTAGCACATTCATGATTCCCTCGTAATAAGAAGAAGTTCTCCGGAAACTTGAGTTTGTAGCACAAGAGCAGTAGTATGGTCTCCAAGCTTTGTTTGCCGCGATCAACATAATCGCCAAGGAACAGATAATTCGAACTTGGTGGGAACCCGCACATTTCGAACATACGAATGAGATCGGTATATTGACCGTGCACGTCTCCTACTATCTTGACAGGTGCGTCAAGCTCTAACAAAGCAGGCTGCGATAGAAACATCTCGCGTGCAGCCGTACAGATAGCAAATATCTCAGCATTCTTCAGGCAGACTGTCTTCGTGACTTTTGCAGCATAGGCCGCGTCTAGCAATCTTGCGATCATATCATCGAGGTCTATTGACTTTAAGGAGGCTAGCTCCATCGGTGCTGGCGTTGTATCCTTCGAAGAAGACTCTGGCGCTCTTGGGATAGGCTGGTCTTTCTTTTGGAGGATTGATTGTTTTGGTTGTTGCTGGGCGGTTGACGGAGGACGCACTCCACTGGGGGGTGCCTCTGAGACTTGGTCTACTTCGCCCGAACGCTTCGCTTGATCGACGGCGTTATGGCCATGTCCCAAAGAGTGGGATTGTGTGGGCGAAGGTGGGCGTTGAGGATCGTCATCCCCAGCTCGTGAACCATCGAGCTCATCGGCACTTAAATCCTGTTTCAATGAAGAGGAAGAGCCGCGGTGTGACTTTCTGCTAGACTTTCCGCTAGTGACAGAAGCTGTGTCTGATCTATCAGGACCGCTGCTTTGCCCAGAATCTTGGAGGTCGGTGGTAGAAGCTCGCGGGCTTGCTATCTTTCCAGGAATCTTACTCCTGATAGAATTTCTGAAAGAGCGGGAGGATTCTTTCGTGTCGCTTTTGCTGAACGAGGGGTAGTTCGCCCTGTCTATTGGTGTGGCCATACCTTCCTCTCCGCCCTTCTTGTCTCCTTTCGAGGGTTGGTTGCCCATAGTGACTCAGATAAGGGAAGTATGATATCCTACGACGGTATTGACTAACAGATACGAAGTTATGTGGAGCGATAACAATGTTGGGATGTGCAGTCGCAGAAAGTGCGAAGCTAGGCGGCTCAAGGAAGAATCGACAGTGCTTGTGAATGGTAGTATGAGGAAGGAATTCTCGTGAACAGTTGTTCGAAAATGGCAGGGATGTCCGATATAGTAGAGACGTGTTATGGTGGCCTGTATAGTCGTGATAGAAACGATAGGAAGCAAGCCTCACCGGTGGCGGTGGTTATCGTGGCGCATGGACAGTCCAGGAAGGACTTTCGGGAGGGAGGATAGGCAGAGGGAAATGGTTCTCGCCTTACTTGAGCCAGATCGTAGACTTCCTCGGGTTTTGCTTAATTGTAGTTACTGTTCAGTGGCTCGAGACTGAAGATGCTGCAGTGGCAGGCGTTTGACAGGTGTTGAGAAGTCTGCGGGGAGCTTGACTGCGCAACGCAGAAGCTGTCATAAATGAAGTAATGAGCTTCGAGGATATGGTCGCACAGAGGGTACTCTGAGAGTTTGGGGGGCAACTGCGCGCGGTAGAATTTGGGCTTGTCGATGGTGAATCGTGAGCGATGATGAAGTGGGAGACGGCGGTGGACGGTACGTACTTCGTGGGGCACGTAGCTTACGATAGGATGTAAAGAGGTAAGCGGAAAGAACGCTGGGATGGGAAGCGGAAGTAAAAGTGAAAGCAGAGAATGGCTGGTATACCACTTGAGAGAATGAGCAAGACTTTGGCTTCGGATTGTGAAGAAGCTTTGAGAGGATAGGATCTTCTGGGTGGAGAGAACTGGATGGGCAGGCCGCAGAAGAGGATGCGAACGCCCAGGATTTACTTGGCACGCAGCGGCAAGGCCTGGGCTGTTTGGCAGCAGCGAACGGGGCTGCAGGCTGCCTCTTAGGCGGCTACCACGCTACACTTTTTGCTTATACGCCACGCAGTGGTGGCATGGGGCGGGCATAGAGCGCGTGAATAGCCCCGTTGTCAGTGCGTCCTGCATCTCTCCGCCGCTGCTGCTCTTAAGTAGCTCCCTTTCTCCCTCTCCCTCTTGCTCCCACTTTCTCTCTCTCTCTCTATATATATATGTTCATCTTTCTTTCCGGGCTCGCCCTATCATCCGGTTATTCAGCTATGCTGTCAGCATATCTTACTATCCTATTGATTACCCAGTCGTGCTATCGAGGTTGAATTACTAGACACCTCGCTTGCTGACTGTGCATGAAGATCCTCTGTCACGCCGTATTATCACACCAACGCGAGCTTGCTGAAGTCAGCGGCAGGTTCGCCAACTAGAGGGTCGATTAGCCAGACAGCTCAGCAGACTACGCCGAATCGACTTGTCTTTTATCGTCGTCCACCTGACTGGTTATCTATTCACTTGAATCCATGCATCTTTGCCCAGCTTCTGTGCTCTCGGCACGTCGGTCTTGGCTGTCTCCGTACACCAGGTCGTCGGAATGTTCGATAAGCCGTCTCGGCCATTTACTACTGTCGATCAATACACTTTGTTGAGCGTTTATGGTGTTCCGGTGATGGCACGCGCGTATGCAATTTAATGACACTCGCTTTTTCAGCTGTGTGCAGTCTCTGGTAAGAGCGTAGCCAACATTAGCCTCATCTCTAGTGCCTCACAACCAGCTTCTAAAGTACTATTAATCCTTTTGTATTGGTTCAATCGATATTCGGACATACAAAAAGCTGTACTATCTTTAGGGACAGTCGACAGCTCCGGCCAATTAAGAACCTCTCCACGTCCGAGCGCATATGTAGGTGCGTTGCCTAGACGGGAAAGTGGAACGTGTCAAGTGTATGTGACTAGAAGGACGAACAGGGGGAGAGATGTGGTATTTTTGAATAATTATACCGTTCACCGGTCGACTGACGTCGACCACTTTACCAATGCTTTGACATAGCGCTGAGGAGATAAGGCTATATCTATGCACGCACCCCTGCCGGAGACCTGCAACTTTCTTATCTTTGGACGATATCTGCACGACTTTAGGAAGCCAGATACAAAACCTGTTTAGACCTCCTCTTGTGGCAAATCGCTGTTGTATATGTGTAGCGGGAGGAGGAAGTCCAAGGCTATCATGAATTGTAATCGTGTACGAGGCGCTCTAAGCTGCCTGCATTGTCCTGGCATTAGCAGGCATGTCGTATTCAGATACGTTAATGTACGGTCTTATGTTTTCTTTTTCTTACATAGTCACTGAAACATCAAGGCGTGCTATGTACTGCCTTACAGTGCAAACACGCGGTTTTCCTCAACATTCTCACAGCCACGAGCCGAGATTAACATGAATGGCCTTCTTGTTGGTATAAGAATCGAGTCCTGCTTCCCCAAGCTCACGTCCTATCCCGGACTGCTTTACGCCGCCAAATGGTACTCGAAAGTCAGAGTCGTTGCTCGAATTGATCCATACCATGCCGGCCTCGATATTCCGTGCTACTCGATGAGCCTTGACAATGTCCTTTGTGAACACTGCACTACCTAGACCATACGTGGTATCATTCGCTATAGCAACAGCCTCTTCTTCCGTCTCGAATGAGCTGATGACCACAAATGGTCCGAACACCTCTTCTCTGAATATCTTCATAGTATTTTTGACATCAGTGAAGACGGTGGGAGAGATGAAGAAGCCTTTGCCGTTTACATTCTTGTAAGCCTCCCCACCTGTGGCAAGCGTTGCGCCTTCAGATTTTCCAGTCTCAATGTAGGACAGTACCCGGTCGAACTGTGCTTTGGTAACTTGAGGACCTTGGAAAGTGCTATCTTCGAAGGGGTCTCCGACCTTGCTGGTATTCACCACATGGTCCTTGAAGGCTTTGATGAACGAATCGTACACTCCATCCTGAACCAATATTCGCGATGTTGCTGTGCATATTTGCCCCTGATTCGACATGATGCCGATATGACTCCACTTTACAGCCTGATCCAGATCCGCGTCATCAAAGACCAGAAGAGGAGACTTACCCCCTGTCTCTAGAGTTATGTTCTTCAAATTCACGGCAGCCATTTTCATGATTTCTCGACCAGTATTGGTGCTACCAGTAAAGGCGATCTTGTCGACATCCAAGTGGCTAGCTAGCGCTGCTCCAGCCGACTTACCATAGCCATTAAGAATATTGACAACCCCGGGAGGAAACCCGGCTTCCTTAATGAGATTTGCAAGGTACAATATGCTCAGAGGTGTCTGCTCGGCAGCCTTTAGGACGACGGTGTTTCCAGAAGCAAGAGCTGGGCCAAGTTTCCAGGCTGCCATGGCCTATGCTCCTCTTAGACATATCACCAGTACGTGGAACTCTATTCACTTACAAGCGGATAATTCCATGGAATGATCTGGCCACACACGCCGATTGGCTCTCTAATGGTGTATGCGAGCTTCGCAGGGGTAGTCTCGATGACTTGTCCGTGTAATTTGTCGGCATATCCAGCATAGTAATTTAGTGCACCGGTGACCTCTGCTAAGTCCTCGTTAAGTGATGCGCTGTATGGCTTGCCGTTGTCCCAGGTCTCTATGGCTGCCAGGGTTTCTTTTTCTCTTTCGATTATGGTGGCAAGCTTGTGCATCAGCTTTCCTCGCTCTGTGCCGCCGATGTCTCTCCATGATGGGTCTTTGAAAGCCTTACGAGCTGCAGCTACGGCTATGTCAACGTCTTCGGGTCCTGCTGCTTCTACCGTTGCAATTTCGGTCTCGTCTGTTGGGTTTATGGATGTGATCTTTTCGCCTGACTTGGCGGCGTGCCATTCATTACCGATGAACAAGCCGATGGGCTGGGTGTATGAGACTCCATTGGGTGTTTTAAGCTGTACTGTGAGTTGTGGCATGCTGCAAAAACGACGAAAGTTCAAGATGGGACTTATACAGGAGGGGAAAAGTTGGAGCAGGCCTCTCGTCGAGTGAGGGGAAGGAAAAAGGGTTTTATACAGAGTACATCCTGAAAGCTTCGAAGCCCGCACACCACCGTACATGTTTCTGTTCAAAGACCTAAGCCGACTACTGCTGGTTCGAGACAACCGGCATATTACAGCTGAATGTAAGGGTGGAGAGCATGCTCCAGAGCTCGCCAAAGATAAGATCTAGTTGTGGATATTCATTCGTCGGACAGGACAGCTGTTTCCGGCTAATCTAGTGCGGGGCTATCATAATCATGGTTGAACTGGTAAAGAGCCCTCGGAAGAAACCATTGATGCGACGCTGCTGTATCGCAGGTGTTACAGTTGCGTGTCTAGTATTAGTAGTCATCTAATGTATGCCAGCTACAGCTATGTAGAAACATTTATCCTGGCCCCGCTAACTGTGTTCGGCAACGCCATCCATGATTGAATCAATCTTAGGTAGAACCAGACTCGTTCAAGCGTGCCTGTCTTCACTACTATTATTCTATCCGAGGAAGAAAGCCCGGGTCGGATGCATTCTCCCTCGCCATAGGCAGCCTCAATCGCCCGGTCATGAGCTATCAGACATGGTTATCGGGTTAGCCGAATAAGGCTCCGGATTCAAGATGCAGGTGTTAGCGCCGTTGATAGCTCAGATGCCCGGTTGATCTTTTGATCGTAGGACGATTCTGAGGTTAGCGCTTTCTAAACTTGGTCATGTAGTTTGTGTCCCGAGCAATACCTGAACCATATCGTGCATCACTTTCTTGACAAGGTCGGCATAGAGGGCGCGCTACCAAGAGTACCGGTCAGAGAGAATGGCAAAATCTGGATCAGGTCCATCATCTTCCTCGCATGTATGCCTGGCTCGTGTTCAGCTATACTGGCTCTCCTCTGTTGTTGTTCTTGTAGCATATCGCTTCCCCGCCTATCTTCAGTCTGCACCCCCTGCATCTTGTCTTCTTTGGCTTCAGTCACCTTGCCATCCTCCAAGCTATCTTCGAAGTGGTCTTCATCTTCGTCCCCATTCTCATCCTCAGTTTCGCCCTCGTCTTCACTCTCGTCCACGCCAATTAGGCCCAGCTGCGTCCTCGCAATCTTATTACTTTTTACGGGAGCCCAGTTCCAAAGTTCACGTAGCTGTACGTTATCGAGGTTTTCATCCGACACCGAATTGGTGGTATTTGTGATATCAGAGAACCAATCTTCGACAGGATTATCCAGCTTTTTCCGCAACATAGTATACAACAAGTCTCGCTGCGCAGAGGCTGGGAAGTTTGGAAGCGTATGAACATGCGCGGACTGAAGAAAGTCTATATTTGACTCCTTGGACTCGTTGGAATCCGCGTTTTTGGACCGTACGGAGCTGGCCATGATCGTCTGGATCGTCTGGAGGTTCCGAGCGATATCATTGATCGAAGATTGCACAACAGGCCTGACTTTGTTAGCTGTGACATATGCCTTAACTTAGGCCTCATGCGATATACCATGGCGGTAGGGAGTCTTGATCCGTGCCGTATTGCAATTTCATGATCATGGTATGTGAAGCTCCGCACAAGGTATGAAGCTGGGCGCGAAGCTGTTCTAATACTCTGACTTCATCAGGAGCATGCTGTTGTTCCATGTTAAGGGCTGGCATGTCGAGGCTCTAGAAGTGAAAATGTTCCAAGTGGATAATTTGCCAGCTTGCGCGAGAATGGCTATTATCCACCATGTTAGGATCCCGCTGATGTCTGGCAAGTTTAGGCGAAGCTAGGTGATACCGCGGAGTTTGCTTACAAACACCGATGATCGATTACTTTCGACCCGACGTAGGTCAATAATCCATTCCTTGGATATAATTTTTGACTGAATTGAGAACTTTGCCTCAATCACTACATACACGTCTCTAGTGCACACTCCGCGCATACTGCTTGTGTTCAAGTCGTCTCCAAACTTCATACTGCTAGCAACTAACACCAAATTCTAGCGAAGATTACCGTACAGTTTTCTCCCGATTCTATGATGTCTGAAGAGTCTTGCGTCATCCTCACAGTCATACATCATGGCAAGCCTCATGCATACTCGTTCCCCAGCAATGCGACACTCATAGACCTCTCTGACCGAATTCACGAAGAGCTCGGGATACCTCAGTCTCATCAAAAACTACTAGTGCCGAAACTTGGCCTCCAGCGCGTTCCGTTCAAAGACCCTTCATTACCACTCCGCTCTCTTGTGAACCGAAAAATCACATTACTCGCTCCTACGCATGAGGAGCTCTCAAGACTGGCAGCATCAATCTCAGAGGCGACGAGACCTCGAAAGGCCTCCCCGATATCTTCTGCAAAGCCCGTTCGAACGCGTGATTGGCAACGTGTAAGGGAGGATGCCGAGTACACTTTCCACACTCTCCGTCCTCTCCCACAATTTCCACATCCCGAACGGTCGCTTGCATTTTTGGAGCGTTTGCGCGATGACCCTGGGATTCGAGCGGCAATGCGCAACCACAAGTTCTCTGTTCCTTTGCTCACGGAGATGGATCCAGCGGCACACACGTCTGCGTCGCATGAAGGGGTGTCACGGACACTGGGCTTGAACAGAAATAAAGGCGAAGTGATAGAATTGAGGCTACGTACTGATGCGATGGACGGTTATAGGGACTATAAGACAATCCGTAACACACTTTGCCATGAGCTTGCTCACAACGTCCATGGACCGCATGACCAGAAGTTCTGGAAGCTATGCAGGGAGATAGAAAAGGAGGTCAGCAAAGCAGACTGGAAGAGTGGTGGTCAAGCACTTACGAACGATGCCTTCTACGAACCCGAGCCAGGCTCAAGCGAGGATCATATTGACGAAGGTGGTTGGGCGGGCGGTGAATTTGTGCTTGGCCGAGGGGAGGAGAAAGACAGTAACGTTGATGTCGAGACAGGACAAATGAGCCGACGAGAGGTTATTGCGAGAGCAGCAGAAGCTCGGTTTAAGAAAGGAAAGCAGGTAGATCAGGACCAGAATAAGTCTGGTGAGCAATAAGCAAATATCTGTCTACCAATATCACCATCGCGAACTAAATATATCATAATGGCCATTCACTATTTGATAATGACTTTAGAATCACCGATCTCGCGCGATGCTATCGACCTTAGTTTCATGGCATTACAACTCTCTGCTTATTAGTCTTCCTGTGATGATACCTAGTTATGTAATTTTGGAGCTGGAGGGCTTGGCGCCCTTAGCTAGCCGCGGCCGTTGCTTTCCGCGATCAATTGGAGTTTGCAAATATCGCTTAATTTTTCTGGTTATCATAGTGGCAATAATATGATGACAATTTCGTAATGGTAAAATATACCCTAGCTTTTCTCCTCTCGCTTGACTTCGAATCTCCGCGACATTCCTTCAATAACCTGCCCTGAATCCAATGCGTGAGGTTCGTACAATATGTCTCAGGCCTCGCCGGACGCAACACATGTAGCCCAGTCGGTGGAGTCTACGAATAAGGCACGATCTACGTCCGGCCAAAAAGAGTTTCAGCGGGCGTACAAGGCTTGCATTCCATGTCGAAAACGGAAGGCCAAATGTGATGTTCCAGATGCTGGCCCACCGTGTCAACGGTGTCGCAGGGAGTTAAGAGAATGTATTTTCAGTGACGAGAGGTCCTGGACGAAAAAACGCAAACGGGATGAAATAAATGAAGAAGTGACGGACGCGGCAAACAGGGAATCAGATGATATTACAGGCGTGCGGTTTCATCTCAGCCCAGAAATCCATGATTCTCACACCGGGACCGCAACAGTATCTCGACCTGCAGCATCTGCACGAATCAACGAGGATGCTACTTCCTTTAGGAAATCAGTCATGAGAACTGTTGTGTCCAACAGTAAAGATGCCCTTGACATTTTATTTCAGGCGGCAGAACACCCAAATAGTCGTACGGACGAAGGTCAGTCAGAGGACGAGACCTCTGCCACCAATGTGCAGACCACTACATATCAGACTCCTACTGCGAGTCTTTCTACCTTTCCCTTCACACATTCATTGGTAACAACGCGGTCCAGCCCCGAAGTTCTGAAGACCTGGAATGCTTGTCGTTTCGTCCGCATGGGTCTCTTCTCAGCAGAAGAGGCTTTGACCTATGTAGAGCTGTTCTTCAGACACATGCACCCGCTATCGCCCATTTTGACCGACTTCTACGCAAATCATGAAAATCATCCCATTCTAGTCACAGAGGAACCCGTTCTCTGCACCACTATCTTGATGATTTCCTCTCGCTACAACGTACTCGAGGGCTCAGGAGGTGCATCGAGGAGCTATTTCATCCATCACAGGCTCTGGGAGCATCTGCAACATCTGCTTATGAAAATCACTCTGGGTCAAGAAAAAGGCAAGTATCCACGGACTAGGAATGTCGGCTCTATCGAAGCTCTACTTCTTATCGTGGAATGGCACCCTCGTATCTTACACTTCCCGCCTGCTATCGACGGGTGGGATGCTGATCTTGTACCCCCGGAGCTCGATACTAACGTTGTAGAACCTACACCTAAGGTACCCTGCGAAGACCTTGCTGCCTCCAATAAATGGCTTCATGACGTCATTGAGTCTGTCAGACGATCGGATCGAATGTCATGGATGCTTCTTGGGACAGCACTCACTCTAGCTCACGAGCGTGGGGTGTTTGATGATGAGAAGAAGCTTGCAATAGGGAAAGACCAGCCTCAAGCATATACAGAAAGAACAACAACTCGATTCCTGCGAACGAAGAAACTGCTCTATGTGTACACAGAACAGTTATCGTCCCGTCTTGGACACACCTCAATGGTGCCACAAGGCCTGAACCAAACTGTGCAGGGTCGCCGGTCAGGGGCTTCTAAAAGTGGCGATGAATGGCAGGCTTTCATGACAGCCTGGATCGATCTAACGAAATTACTCAAATCGGTTTCGGACATGTTTTTCCCATCTCCAGTCTATACAAAACAGATTCTGAGCAATGGGAAATATATTTCACTATTGGAACACTTTCAGCCATTATTGGACCAGTGGAGATCCAAGCATTTGGAAAACCAAAGTATGTTAAGCAGGGATCATATACAGCATCTTATGATTCTAATACTGTTCAGCTTTCAGTCATTGCTTTTTGGAGACCCTCAACATTGAATTCCAATACGTCAAGGTCTATATGAACTCACTTGGGATGCAAGCTGTTGTAGAGCGCACAATGACAGAAGCTGAGTCAGGCTCTGCACAAGCCGATGCATCTGACTACGAATTCGTCCAAGAGGTAGTAGATGGTAGTTGCGAGATTCTAGAGCGAATCATAAGTCTCGCCGAATCAGGTTCATTACGCTATGCTCCAGTCAGAGTCTTCCTACGGATCACGTCCAGTTCTATCTTCCTCATAAAGGGGCTCAGTTTAGGCGTGTGGAACACGAAACTCCAGAGCAGTCTGGGTGTTATAAGTCGAGCCATCCAGAGTATGCGTGCAAGTTCTCTCGATGATATGCATCTGGCGTCACGATACGCCACGCTACTTGAGTTGCACCTCACAAGACTCCGACGCAGCTTCAAGGTGTCGTCTCGTCCTCCCAAATTTTACAGTCGCCCACAATCAGCGGAAAGGACAGTCAACAATGACTGGAATACAACACAGACAGACGATGATATGGGCGTGGTTCAAATACCGTCCATGCAGCCGGATCTGACGGACATGACTTTGAGGGACGACTGGCTGACTTTGCCTTTTGATACCAATATACCGCCGTTCAGCCTTGACGGCCTGCAGTCATTTCCAAGACTTGATGACGGCACGTTGGATTTCATTTGGAACTTCCCTACTTAATGGAATTTGACAAAGGTTGGCATTGTCCTCCGAAGAACAACAAATAACGGGATGTCTAGAAGAGCGATTTTTGTCGGCTACACAGCCCTGGCAATCTCCCTCAATAGACTTCTGACTCACAATTCACAGTAGCATATATTAGTCCGGAAGCTTAAACTGGAACTCGATTCAATCATTCAGGTCTTCTTTACGCAATTATTGTCCGAGGCCATAGTCGTACAGGTCCGTACTTACTATCCCAGGCCTCCTGGAATGGATGATGTGCGCAAGAACATGTGTCTGTGTCCATATGACATGTCAAGGTATTAGGTTCCCAAGATCACTTGCCTTCGACCGTTTCTACTTCACTGTTCAGGAAATTTTTGGCAAGCACAACGTGGACAGTCAATCAGCATTTGCGGCTGATACACCCTAAAAAGAGCAGATTTCAACAGTGTCATGAACAATATTGTCAAAGAAGCCCTTGATGATACAGTGAACGCTACAGGTTCCCACTAACTTCCATAGATTATGTCTAAGGGACATGGTTCTAGTGGTGTATATGCAGCCGGCATAAGTGGAAGCTTGTAGTGTCGACGATGGATGAGATCGTGTTGTAGACATAGGAAAAGGGGCTTACTCAGGAGGGAGGAGGATTCATGCCTTTGCTTGCAATGTAGCACCGCCTTTACGAGTATTGTCATCTATCTCCAGATTATCACATACCTCAGGTTCTTATGTCGTTGAGTATGATGGTCACATTTACCCTATATATAGGACTCGATCCGTCTGGGGTGCAACACTCAGTCCTCTCGTGTTGGATACGCTCTAGTCAGGATTACTACAGTGCCCTCACGTCCTATCTCACTAGCATTGACAGCAAGCCGTCGCATAGACTTCAACAGCTGTGATGGCATAGATCGCTCTATTTGGTCGAGCATAGGACTATCCGAATTTCGGTGATTGCCCAAAAGAAATCTGCTCATGCACACTCGTGAGATGAAAGCTCGAATTCAATCCAACTTAAGCAGTCTAAAACTCTTTTATGTACCTCATAACTACTAACTTCAAGATCGCAGTAAGACAAGTGTGGACCTAGTGGACAGATAGCTTAGCTGATTATACATCACACGTTTCCTCTGAGCTAATTTCCCGTCGCAGACTTCTGTGTCTAATTAATATTGTAAACTTTGACCTATCTATGACAGAGGAGTGTCTGTTGACCATAAGAAATCAGTAAGGCTTCCCTTAGTAGTGTGTTTACCTCTAATGCGAAGATTTGCATAAGTGAAATCACTGGCGTGTGACGAAAAGCAATGTTGAAGAATGTAACAGCGGCAATTTGCTTTGATCATTGACTTGACTTAAAAATAGGGTCCAACAGCACCTCACTCACGTCAACAACTACTACCTCGCTGCTATCGCCTTTGAGTTGCACCTTGTACACTTACTCACCTCGGTCTAAGACCTAACCTTGTCGGTATTCTTCATTGTTTGGGTTTGATGTAAGATTGAACTTATCAGGTCTATCGAAACGCTACTTGTCAGCTTTTTACGTTGTTCAGAACCAACTACATCAGCTTGTATAGCATCGTCTGACATGAGTGAGTCAGGTAATGCTATTGGCATTGCGGGTACGTATACGAAGTTCGCGACCAACCGGGAAAACTGACCATCTCTACAGAAATCAGCAGAGATGCAAGCAATGAAACTTGCCAGACCCACCGGACTCAACTCAGAGAACTCCAAGCAAAGTTCGCAGAACTAGAACAGAGATTCCACGATCGGTCCCGCGATATTCGTCTCCGCGATGAAGCTATTAGATACCTATACGATTCTGTCGCGGCTATTCAAGCCGTCTATCTTGAAGAATGCGTGGGTATAGTCAATTCTATCCAGGCAGCTTGCAACGCAAATCGACGTGTCCTGGCCGAAAACCAACGCATTGAGAGGATCTATGAAGAACAGTCATTAGAGATCGTTCACTTCCAAGAACTTGAAGTGCACTTAAGAAATATCATACAAGAAAAGCAGAATGAGGTATCGGGACTCGAAGAAAAGATCTGCAACTTGAACCGCGAGAATGCAACTCTGTACCATGCATCAATGGCGCCAATAGAGAAAGACATCGAAAACAGCCTCAGTACCAAGGATAGTCCAGATACAAACAGGAACAGCGACAGTCGCCGCTGCGAGCTCGCACATCTGGCCCTAGCGAGCAGTCCTTTTCAGTCTATAGGTGACGACCCGACCGTGCCTGCAGCAACTCTTCAGGATGAAATAGAAATCACGGATCAGGAAACGTCCCAGAAACCAGACACAACAGTGACAGGCAATAGACAGACTGATGAGCAGCGCCGTCATCGCCGCCATCGCCGCCGAGCTATCTACATGCCGCGGATACCCTCAGGAGAAATAGCAGTGGCCGCCAATGCAGGCTCTGAAGCCAGCTTTCTGAACTTAACGTTGAACCACACATCGATCTCGACAAGTCCGGTCGCAGCAAATGATACAAAGTCTGATTCCCCGACTCATATTCAGGAGTCGAGCTCGAATTACACTCGGTGTACCCCTGTGAATCTGTCAGAGGCTCAAACTGTGGGCCAGCCGCGTGAACCCACTAGCATGAGTTATCGCATAAGACAGAGGCTGAGCCGACTTCGACGACACTGACAGCATACTAATGGGTGTACTGTTCTATCTGGCAGGATGTGAAATATCAGAGTGGATGTAGGTGTCCTAGACGAGGCTGGAGACCATTCCAAAAGATTGACAGCAGCTTTATGGTGGTATACGTCATTGTATATCCTTCAAATTCCGTGTGTAGTGTCTTGCGTCTACACTGTCACTGCTCTTCTTTTGCTAGTTTATTGATCAAACAAAAGTATATCAAGACTTAGTTGACTGAGGCCATCTTCTCTATGATTATTGTGTGTGTCATTTGCGATCACAACCTACGTTACTTCATTTTACGTGCTGTCTCGCAATTCGCAGTTACGTGAACGCACCTCCACTAGCACTGAGCACCGCAATTATTCTCTAGGACCACTTCATGTCATTTCAGAACCATAGGTCCAACGACATAGCCTAATACCCATCCTCGATAGTTATGTGTCCACTGCATACTGTTCGTATCCCATCGGAAACATGCGTCCAGGTATCAAATCTGCCAAGCAGTCACCATGAATCATACCATACTAGTTCTTCCTAGCAGTCTAGCTGAGTGTTTCTATCGGATATTTCGCTCACCCTCTCTGCAAAGCTCTTGATCGACGCGTACGAAGATATATTTTTAGTTATATGAGTTGCAACCTGCGCAATCTCGATGGATCTGTCACTACTCTGTTTAAGAATACCAGATCCCAACCTCCTACCAGACTGGGCACGGAAGCTTGAGAGTTCGATCTGCGAACCTGAGAAACAATACCAGCCTTAGAGATAGAACTGATATGACTCATCATAAAAGATTCAGGTTACGGGAGGAAGACGAGGTAATATAATCACGAGTCGAAGGGCTTTGAAAGTGTTATTTATCGCTCAAGAATGAGTACCGGAAGTCGAAGGAGGAAATTATGCTGTGTATTGAACGGCTTAGGAATGTGGATAAACCATAAGTGGCACTGAAAGACGGACCAAGAGGCAAAAACAAGAATGGCGGAAAGTTATGTAATATCGATAGAAGAGACTGAACTGTACGTGAAGGCATATCAACGACTTTTTAACCAGTGTGCTCTGGAAGCGGCGGAAAGCACATGAATGCTACAGCCCCCATCAAAGTAGTATATAGAAGAGTGTCCAGAAACATCCACAATGAATCTATCTCCCACAAAAAGTTGTCTCTGGTGGAAGAGCAGGACTAGCATTCATATCAGTTTCGCTTGGGAGGAATTCACTAAAGTCGTTGACTCGTTGGATAGATGAATCAACTCAAACAAAGTTTAGAATCACCTAAACGACATACAGACCTGCTAGGGGGTTCTAGAAGCCGGTAAAGCCGTTAAATTGGGCCTGTGGCAATGTCTCTGCGTTGTCAAATTTTCTCGTTGCCGTCATCCTTACTAGTCACACCATCTCTGAGCTTTTCACCAGCCGTAAGACAGTTTTAGTCGTCATCTTTCCAATAACTTCTTCCAAATTTCCAATACACAGCTGCTACCATTGTTAGACTACAACAGAATGGCAGCCGGTTCGACTGAAGATGGTTTACCCTTGAGCGTCCTCGATGTCAATGCTCCACCCTTGTCATCCGATATTTCACTCTACAGTTGGAACTGGCATGCAGACCCCGAATACGAGCTCATTGGTAAAAGAATCCGCTACCGCCAGTTCGTGGGCCCAACTCTTAGATCTGGATCAGGACGTGGGCTACTTCCAGGATATAGCAACTCAAGCAAAGACCGAGTGCGTCGGGTCGGCATCAGTAAAGCAGTAGAAATCTCACCTTTACCACAAGATAATGGTGTTTCAGCATACGAAGCAGATCTCAAAGGCTATGAGACCTATGGTACTCCAGATTCGTCCTTCGATCGTAAATACGTATCGGAACGTGACCAGATAGGTGAGTGTTATACATATTGTAACAGCATTGGCATGGACCACAAATTGCCATTGGATTCTGTTTCACCCCAAGCTGATCATATTTGGACAAGTGACGAAAACAATGGATTTCGAGACACCGAAAGCCCCCTTGAGCACTTGCTCGGATGGATACCCACGTTATCAGGACGCCTCGCAAGAAGACACCAACATAGCATCGAAGAAGTTGCCTGTCTTCTCGCCTCCATGTCACCAGTTCCCATTCACCCCGGCTGGACTGCCGGAGAAATAAAATCGCTCCAAGCTCTTCGGATCTACCAGCAAATGCTCTCGACTGAACTATTGACTCTTGGGTCCAGGCAGTGCCAGAGTGGATGAATTTGAATAAAAAGGTATTGAAGGAAAAAAAAAATTGACAAAGCTGGCGAACAAGACGGAAGAGCTATGCTAAAGCAGACCGAGACACAAGGACCGAATGAGAATCGAATGTCTGGACGTGTGAGCAGGTCACTATATGGGATATGTTGGCTAGAGCAATCAAGTAAAACTCAATAGCATGGATTGTTAGATGGTACAGAACCTCACTATCGTGTAGCTATCAATGTTATACTCTTTGTCATGTTAGACCTTTCGTGCGTAGCTTATATCGAAGAGAACTGATGCGATCTTGGTTAGTAGCATAAGAAGAGCCACAAAGTCGATAGCTCTGCTTGTTTCAATCCAGAATATAACGAAAACCCCTTCCTTAATATGTATATATCAAGTTGATGATCCTAATTACATGAGGTTTGTCCCCATTAGGGGCGCAGATCCTTCACCCTACCAGGAGACCTTGGGTTAGAAGGAAAGTCTTGACGACGGGGGCTATCACCAATACTAAAAAAACCTACTGGTCTTTTATATAGTATCTCAGTATGCGTCGCTAGGCCCGTCCTTGGTTCTCTTTTTGATGACTCGAATTTTGAGCTTGGAGATCCGCTTTACGTTCGAATGATGTTCTCAACGTACGTACATTCGTGTTTATCAGTCCATAGCACATCAGTACACTATGCTTTCAATATCGATATAATTCTGTTATTTGATCCTATGAGAGTATCATATCTTCCGTCGTACGCCCCAATGGAAGCTGCCTGTCGTTCTTATGCCACCATGATCTTGACTGTCTTCAGCGTAGAAACCCTCTCTATCGCTATTGCCCCCTGGGTTTCACACTTCTGTACCTCGAGATAAACTTCTACACTTTCTTTGAAATCCACACCTTCTTTACGAAGCCCTTCCTGATCCTTATATTGTCCTCCTTCGTCTTCCTAATCATTTTTGCTGAAGCCATAACATTATACTCGAATTCCTCAGTCAGGCCATTGAGGCGGAACATATGAGCTTCGAATCTTCTCTTCATCTGCTCAGTCATTGCGTGCACTGTCTTTGGCTCGTCGTCGAGCAGCTTTGCGTATGTCCAGCTGTCGAAAATGCTGCCGATCGAGTGCATTATGACACCGACGACAAATGATGGAAAGACAAGGTATTCGAAGAGTAAAACCTCCATATGAGGAACCGTAAATCTCATCTGATGAATGTGGTGGATCATGTAGTGGTTGTACATGTAGTGGTAGCTGCGGACAAGGACGAAGAGGACGAGTATGCGGAACAGGAAAGCGCAGCTCATGTATATGCCGTAGAGGCAGAACCACTTTGGAAAGCTACGGTGAGTCTTCGAGTCTTGATGAGCGGTAGCTTCGTATTTGAGCTTTTCGACATCCTCGAGGATTTGTTGGTGTCGTCGACGGATGAAGCGCGCACGCTGCATTTGCTTGGACATATGAGATGGCTGAGAAGAAGACCTTGAAGATATTTCGAACCTTTGGCTGGAGGGTGGTATGGCTGAAAGATGATGATGGCTTCAGGATCACAAGAGCGTGGATGTATGAGGTTGATGATGAAAAGCTTCTCTTGAGCATGGCCGATCCATTGGAGACAGCAGTCGCTTATGAGACCACGAAATTAGGCTAGAGTGACATAAAGAGAAACACGTACACAATGGTTTGCATCAGCCCCCACGTAGTTATTGCTACACAAAGCTATGCTCGCATATATTCTTACAACACTGACGGATTTGCTTCGAAGGGGTTTGTCATAGCAGGGGAATACTCTACCTGTGTGAATGACCAAATGAAGTTTCAGGGGATTTTTGTGAAACGAAGTCCGGAAGTAAGCCGTGTTATGGAGAATGTACACTACTGTAGTAGAGCTTCATCTACAACACCTAAGACAGAGTCGTACTGGTACAGGTGCGGTAGTAAGTATCGTGGGCTTAGTTTTAATAATGCCATTATTTCCGCCAAGCGATTGTTTACATCTGGAGTTCTGGATTTGTGTCTAGAATCGAAAACACCGTTGAAGACTTTATAAGAATGAAGGTTATGTCACCCGCGTTAATCTAGAAGAACAACAGGAGTAAACATGGAACGGAAATAGCTGGTTATAACAGTAATATAGAAACGTGATGTTGATTTATGACACGAGCTTCACGTTACACTAATGCAAAATGACAGAACAAGGTCAGGAATGACTGACTCAGGAGTCATGTCCCAAGTCCTCAGATAGTCACTAACCGTCAATGGTAGAAGATTGAGACACCATCTAATGTAGCCCAAGAATGAACGTATTGTTGCGTCAAGAAATCATTGATTCGTAACAGGGTCTGGAGTATAGCATAGTTCGATGCCGTTTCACCGGAAGAGATCAGATGAAATGCCCGATTGTGTATGACTGGATACCATACACTTTGATCTATCAGCTATGCCAGGAACAAAACCAGTAGGTATCAAGCTACTCTTCTTGGTCCGTAGGTAGTCATGGGACGGACGAGGACGCCGAACCTGGGTCAATGGAAAACCAGCCCAAATGCATGACGATGCGATCCATATTTCGGTTGTCTAGAAAACAAACGCTAAGCGCATGTGACAAAAGGTCTGTTTAGTGAAGAACACGCGAATGCAAGAGACTGATGGCCATCAAAGTTGCGAAAGCTCGGTAAAGAAATTCGTTTCGTATGGGATAGGGAGGTTGAAAAAGTGGTGATTAAGAGTCCCAACCAGAAGACAAGGCTACCCGAAGATGATCAGATAAGAGATCTGGAATCGATTGGACCCGTAGTAAGCCGAAGTGCGGTCCATCGGTATAGTCCGCTTGCGAGATGGCTTGTAGCTTGTCACCATTTCTAGGGGAGTGGCAGGGCCTTGAGAAGATCCGCCACAAGACTTCGAAGCTTTTGATCTGCTTCGCAATAGCTGATGGACTGGTTGAGCCTCTGTCAGACATCTAGAATCCATTCGTGCTGGAACAATTCCATAGAAACTCCGGGATTCACCATCCGGAGCTGAGGAGTCTATAGAAGCGACTCAAATGTGAAGAACTCCAGTCACCAGACAACACGGATGGTACACTGAACAATGCAAGTACCCGAGATGAATGATGATTGGCGACCGGTGCGGCGAAGAGGATCCTGATCCGTTCTCCTGAACAGCTCTTAGGTTAGCTCGAAGGTCATCCTATCCTTCACTGGCGGACTTTGTTTCGTCTTTGCGCTCATGACCAAAGATAATTTTCTCGATGATATTGTCGCCCTCTTGAATTGAATAACAACGCACCACATCGCCGTTTGACTTAGTAGATGGGCCGGCTGGCAGATGCATCCAACACGAGCTTTTGAGGAAGGATTTTATCTTTGAATCATTCTGCTCGGGACTTGGCACTGCCCACGCCGTGGATCCATTGATGGCAATTGTTCCATGCTTGAAAACATCACTTTCTTGTGGCCGGGAGTGAGAAGTCGATAATCGTTGTGACTTTGCCGACGTCCCAGACTGTGGCGAGATATTCAAGAGATGACAACCCAAAGACTCGTGTCCTGGTTCACATCGCCATTGTTTGATATACGCGGCTACAAAGAACTTCATGCAAGCTGCTGCCGCTACCGGACCACCTGGAAGGCCAAAAAACGCTATGAACTGGTCGCCATTTGATGGCTGCGGGGAAAGCATTCTGCAGCTGGAGATGATAGGTAATCGAGGTATCGTAGCAAATAAGGTTGGACTGCCAGGCTGTACTGCAATTTTGCTGAATAGAACTTCAGCGCCGCAGGCCTCGATGGCCGAGCGAACGTTATCAAATCGTCCCTCCGAAGTGCCCCCAGTAGTTATCAAGATATCGAATCTTGATCTATTGGCCGACGTGACGGCTTGCTTGATGGCCTCTTCTTCGTCATCGATAATTCCCAAAAATTCAGCATCGATTCCGAGCTCTTCAAGGGCAGATATGATGTACGGGCCATTCGCATCAGGGACTCGATCTCGCCTCTGCTCAATATCTATCCTAGACTCGAGCTCTTTCCCTGTGGACCATACCCCGACCCGTGGTATCTTCTTCACTGCGACAGTCTGAACTCCCAGAGACGCGAGTGCCAATATATGCTGCGACGTAACTTTCATGCCACTCCTAAGAACTTCGTCTTCCAAGTGGAAGTCATCATCCGCGAGCCGTCGATGAGCATTATGCAATACAGGCCTCCTGATCTGGATTTGCTTGCATCCGTGTATCTTTCCTGGAAGCTCAATAGTATCCTCAAAAGGGACACAAGCATCAAAGTCCATATTGGTCGAAGCTTTTGGGAATCTTGCACCTGTCGTGATTTCAACACATGGTATGGCACCGTTCAGGCGGACTCCAGGCACCGTCATTGGGTTGTCTCCAGCAGCTTGCGTGCCATAGACGAAGAAAGTGATTGGTGCTACATTCCTGGCCTCGGAAGTCAAAGCTGAACAAACGGCATAGCCGTTTGTAGCAGCACAATCGAACGAGGGAGTGTGCGTTACAGCTTCATAACAGTGGCTGGCGACGCGTCCCACAGCTTTCTCGAGAGCCACAAGTTCACTCGGGTCCGGTAAGGTCTCCCGTTGTATCTCTGCTTGCTGTAGTATAACGTTAAGGGCTTCTTGGTAGGAGACAGTCATGACTAAAGAAGAAGACTGCCGCAACTACAGAAGGTCAACATAGCCGTGCTACAGCGCTGTGTGCAGACTAGATGATATTGATGGACTGCATGCGTCGGGTGCTGCATCTTGTGGCTCTAGGATGTAATGCTGTCAGCGGCAATCATGACAGTGGTCACTTGGTTAGCCCTTCAAGGATGCCGTGAGGATGACGTAGTTGTTTACCTACGTTCCCATTGTAGAACGACCACCACCAGTAATAAAACACGCTACGCGTTATGAGGGATGGCGTCCACAGTGGGCGTTATGCGAAATAAAAGATTCATACGTGACGGGCCCGGCCAGGATCTGTGCTCGTATTGTTTGTATGCTTTTCGGCTTGGAATGCCAAGTATGGGTGGGATAAATGATAAGGAGCATGAGTACTGTTTTACGGAGCGACGATTTTAGCACGGAACCCGAATCTTTTTGCTACTGGACATTAGCACATATACCGACTATGCCTTGAGCAGCCTCTACGAACGACGACAAATACTCCAACCCAATGCTACATATGCTGGAAATGAATAATGTTTCCCTCTACACAAGATTGCCTCTCAGCTCTTGCTCTCTTTCGATAGCCTCGAACAGCGACTTGAAGTTACCAGCACCAAACCCAGAAAAGTTATTTCTCTGGATGATCTCAATGAAGACTGTAGGACGATCCATCAGGTGCTTCGTGAACAGCTGAAGGAGGTATCCACCCTCGTCGAAGTCTATGAGAATGTCGAGGCTCTTGAGAGTCTCGAAATCTTCATTCAGCGTTAACCCAGCTCTCTTCAAGCGCATCTTCATCGAATCATAATACGTTTCCGGAACTTTGATAAACTCCATGCCGCGAGCCTTCAGGTTCGTGATAGCATCGATGATATTATCCGTTCTCAATGCGATATGCTGGACACCAGCACCACCATAGAAGTCGACATACTCCTCAATCTGGCTCTGCTTCTTACCCTTCGCTGGCTCGTTGATGGGCATCTTTACCATATCATTTTCGCTCGACATGACAATAGATTTGAGTGCACTGTATTCGGTGCAGATGTCTTTGTCATCAACTGACCAGAATCGATGGAAGCCAAGTACATTTTCGTAATAGTCGCACACATCCTCCATCTCGTCCCAGTCCTGATTTCCAACGCAATGGTCGATTGCGTCGAGCCCTACTTTTGGAAGAAACTTTGATAAAGGATCCTTTACTGTTTCTGAGCGGTATCCAGGAAGAAAAACCCCGGAGTATGTCGACTTTTCAATTAGTGTGTGAGTGGTGTCGCCATACGTCTGTATCGTGGCGGTTTTGAGGCTACCGAAAGAGTCGGAGAGTAACTTGGGCTCTGATATAACTTTCGCGCCATTTTTGAGAGCAGCTGAGAAGATGACATCTAGGTTGTCCACTTCGAAGGCAACGTCTACGACAGCATTAATTATCACTCTGGTACGTCTTCGTCATTGGCTGACCTTTCACAGCGTCCCCGTGTCTCTCTTGGTGCGCATGGATATCCTTCAATAGTGTTTGCTCTTCTGGGCCGAAACGATCGATTTGCTCCATACATCGCAGCGGCGATGTCAGGACAAATGTTACGGATCCATTCCGAATAACATGTGAAGCAGTAGCTCTTGAACCAGTCTCGAGTCCTTTGTACGCAACTCGCTCGAACCCCATACGCGAGACATAGTATGCAGCCGCTTGCTTAGCATTTCCCACGTACCAATGCACATGATGGTAACCTTTGTAGCTGTCGATACTGGGTACCAGTTGAGCAGCTTGTGTTGATGGCGAGGAAGGTGGTGATAGGGCAATTGGTGCCATGATGAATATGTCACTTCGAAGCAGGTACCTAAGTATACTGACCTTGGACGTTGCAGAGATCGAAGAATCGCACAGCCCTGTATAGCACCTATATACCAAAACACTTCTCCCACCTCCGTTCCATGGTCACCTGCCCTTGCGGGGGCATTACAGGCGGAGACAAGGCTCTTCGGGATCGCTTGCATATATCTTGTTCTCCACCTTATAAGACCGTGGAATACCGAAGTGATTCGTTCATGGGATTTGATGTTGGCGGATATCTCAGGTCACAGCATTTGCCGTTACTAAAATAAGCCAGTATTATCTGGGTGTTTCCCCCACTCAGTCTGTGGTACTTATTCTACACACGTCAAATTTGGCATAGGCGGAAATCACAGGACCGCGGCTCTCATCGGCTCACCGTGCCACACCTTAACAACTCCCTCCCGCTCCGAACCGTGTATTCCATCGCGTTTTACACCACTGCTCTCGAACCAACACGCGAATCGGACTTGTCAGCCAGGGATCATGATTCCCTCCGCTAAGTTTCAGTGTCTGCTTACCTGCATATCTACAATAGAGCTCTCAAGTCCGCCATGACTGTCACCGGAACGCAGTGATCACTCTCTCCAATACCACATCGATCACCATGATGCCCTCAATCGACCTCACATCCAATGACGCCCGCGTCCTCACAGCCCTATTTGACCCCGAATCCTCACCAAACTCAACCCCCAAAACAGACGCCTCCCTTCCTCCCTACCCATCCATCGCCTCTTCCACCCTCTCCACTCTGCGCGCCCTCGAAGCAAGCGCAATCCGGCCGCTGAACGTCCCTCACCCTTCTGCACACGCGATACAAACCGCAATATCTGCCCTTACCGACATCATAAACCAGGAACCGACATATGCCTCTGCATACGCGAACCGCGCACAAGCCCGACGTCTCGCGCTCTGCGACCCCTTGTTCGCCCATGAGAACGCAACAGAGGTGGAGGCGCTCTTCGCAGACCTGGACGCGTGTATAACACATGCTTCGCCTGCGTCTCCTATATCGCCAGTGTCGCCGCACCAAGTCCGGCTGCTCGCGGCAGCACATACACACCGGGGATACCTTCTTATGAAAGCGGCGACAGCGGCGCAGGAAAGTGCCCTGCTCGTTGGGCCGGTGCGTGCGCGGACGAAGGACGAGTTGGAAGAGCAGGCCAGCAGGGAATTCTTTCTCGGGGGCAGATATGGAGATCGCACGGCGAGAGAGATGAGTGTGCGGACAAATCCGTATGCGAAGATGTGCGGAGCGATTGTGAAGGAGGCAATGAAGAAAGAGCGGGAGGAGTTCATGGGGTTAAACCAAGGGATGCATTAGGGAGCGCATATGAAGATACTGTGGCATTGAATGGCATTGAATCGCGTTGAAGGCACACAAAAAAGATTGCATCCCGCGAGAAAAGGTTACGAGAATGCTCACCTACGCTGTCTCTCGCCCTGTACCCGCCTTGTACCTATCAAGCGCCCGTTTCCGACATGTTGCATGGTCCACAATCATCTTCGGGTATCCACCCTTCCTTGCCGTATCCGCCGCTCCTCTGCCATATGGATCATGGATCGCCTTCCCTTTAACGTGCTTGAGCTCCTCGACCCACTTTCGAATATAATCACCTTCAGGATCAAACTTCTCGCTCTGTGTAATCGGATTAAATATGCGGAAGTATGGTTGAGGGTCCACACCTGTCGACGCTGAAAAGCCCCAGCCGCCGTTATTAGACGCAAAGTCTGCGTCTACCAAACCAAGCATGAAATGCTTTTCGCCTAGTCGCCAGTCAAGCAGTAAATCTTTGGCTAGGAAGGATGCGACGACCATTCGGCAGCGGTTATGCATGTAGCCAGTGGTCTTCATCTGACGCATTGCTGCATCCACTGTATCATTGTCAGTATTTGCCCTGAATTCAGGACCTCAAACTTCTTACCCAGTGGGTATCCCGTTTTACCCTCAGTCCATGCCTTGAAATGTTTATCGTTATACTCCCACTCCACATTCGTATACTCATATTTGAATGGCTTGAACATGCAGATATATGGCCAATGGGCCAGCACATGCTTGTAGAAGTCGCGCCATGCTACCTCCGATATCCATGTTTTTGCACCTTCACTCCCTCCATCGAGCTTCTTGCTGCTATTTGCATCGCGCGCAGCCCGTACGCTCGTCCGTGCAGCAAGTGTTCCCACGCTATGGTGCACGCTGACGACCGCCGTGCCATTCGCAGACGGAATATTACGCGCATCCTTGTAATTTCTTATTTTCTCAGCGAGGAAACGCTGTAGGCGGTCCAGCGCCTCATGTTCCCCAGCGGGCCAGAGGTGCTCGAAGCGTTTCTGATCGTTCGGTTCGAGCCGTTTGTTCGCTGGCGCGTCTGGAATTGGCACGTCGAAGAGCTTGGGAAACTTCTTGCGCGCTGAGGGAGGGTTTGATGACGGCCTTGGATGTTCATCAAGAAGTTCGGGATGCGCGTGGATGTGAGCGACCCAGGAACGGTACCATGGAGTGTATACCGCGTACTGCTTACCTGTTCCTGTTTGAAGACTACCGGGCGCGACGATGACATCGTCATGTACAGGACACACAGCAATGCCCTTTTCGAGACCTCGCCGGATGAGCATGGTCTCTCGCCGCAGCTCATCAACCTCATATTCAATATTGCAAAATAAGTGTTTCGCGCCCCATTCATCTGCTAATTCGAGAATCCTCTTCGGCGCGTCTTTCCTCTTTTCTACCGTCTCCACATATAATGGCACGTCTAACTCTGCTAAATCTTTCTGCAGCACCTTCAGTGTCCTTAACTCAAAGTCTACCCTAGCTGACCCTGTGAAATGTGCCTCGTAGTCCTGCGGACTGACCACAAACATACATATCAGGGGCACTTTAGCCTCGCGTGCTTTCGCCGCAGCCAAGCTCAGTCCCTTGTTGTCCTTTGTTCTCAAGTCCCGCTTATACCAATGTATCACACTCCTGCCAACAGCAATTTTATCCCGCTCTGCCTTTGTATCTTTGATGGCGTTTTCAAGGAGTGCGATCGGTCGAGGGATCTCATTGTTGTTGTACTGCGCGCATCGCTCATTTGACATTTCGGCCGGGTAGTATTTGCGCTGAACAATACCGGAGCGCTCTTCCGGACGCGTGTGGTCGAATTTAGAGCCCTCCGCATTGCCTGTACCAGGACTCCGTTCGTGGCCATTGGTGAAAGCCTTGGGTGCAGGTTGCGAGTTCTTCGAGCGTTTATTTGAGCTCTCGCCAGCAGCATCGGAGTAGCCAATTGAGGCGTTCGCTTTGCGTTTCGGTGCCATTGTGGCCTTGCTGGAATGCAATAAACGAGAGGCAAGCTTATACAGCGGTTGGTGTGGCGCGTACGTGATATCAAGTCTACGTGGTTGCTTTATACAAAGATGCTTGCGGATGCGACATGCGAACTTGATGGGTAATTGCATTAAGAGGTGCTGACCTGTTCAGATGTGATAGCACGACCGTGTCCGAGAGAATGCTGAAACTCAAACATGGATATTTTCGATCTGCGGAGTGGTAGATCGGGGCTAGAGATCGATGACGCAGTTACCGAACAAGCTTCTTCACAAAAGGTTAGCACCCAACTCTTCATGGGCCAGCCGGGTATTATAGTATTGATGATAAATAGTACCTACCCCAATAGGAAATCTATCAACAAAGAAAAGATCCATCTATCCATTGTACTGATGTCTCTTGATGCCCGTAGAACCGCTATGCATGCTGTGATCATGGATATGGCGCTTCTACTCGATTTAGGTTTAGCTTCTAAGCCTCGCTGTGAGGCTGCGCCTCAGCTACAAATCCCAATTTCTAGCTTTGAGCACGACACCGATATCATATATCCAGCAATTTCTATGTTTTATACAAAAGTGCTGCGCAATAGCTCTCTCGATGGACGTGCAAGCGCTGAAATGTTCCAGTAAGACTCGAGTGAAATATTGGTCCACAGATTCGCCCAGTACGCAAGACGATTGGCTTGAAGATAATTCCCTGAGGGGAAAGCTGAAAGACATCGTGAGCTGCTTTATATGTATAAGTTATCACCCATTCTGATTGTATCATTCAGGCCTCCATCACAAGTTTGTTCAAATCAGGCGTGAGGAATGCAAAGCCGCAGATCGTATTAATGTACGAGACCACACTTTGCACTTCACCAATCTGACACAATTCTTGTACTGAGCACAAAGATCAGAACAACCACTGGAGACCCAAGAGATGACCAAGATAATCCATACCCTATGCAGATAGAGAAATCAACTCTGCAATGTCTCCTAGAGACATGCGACTTCCCGCCCTACCTACCTGAAGTCTGGAAAAGCGACCAATTCCACATGTCCCGCTACTTGCAATGTGACGATAGTGGCACCCCTGAAGCCCTATGTACTTCACACCACGAAACCGCAACTTTCCCCCAGTCTCACTGATATCTGCAGCAATCGTTCTACGCGCCCCTCGAAATAGCAAAATCATAAACCTCGCACTGCGAGTTCGCATCTCCGACCTCTCCGCCGCCGCCCTCCTCGCCACCGCCAAAGAAGAGACTAATTTTAGTATCCTCACCCGTTGGCACCGCCTCTCCGCTGCGCACCGCGCCCATCCCGCCGCCCTGCTGCAGCTTGTTTTCGAGCAGCGTGTCGACTCGTACTTGCAATGGCTCAACCATCTGCGCCGTGAAGTCATGGAGCTGGAAACAGCCACAGGCATGACAAGGCCTGGCTGGGGCCGGCCGCTGAGCGAGGCGCAGAAGACCTTTTTTGCGGACTGGCATAATCTGCTCCGGCAGCAGCATGCGGTAAGTGTGGAGCTGTGTCATTGTGAGACGGTGATGAGATATATGATCAAACTGGGGGAGTTTTGCAGTGCGACACTCTGTCAAATGGAGAAACTGCGTAGTGAGATTGGGGGTGTGGGTACGGAGAAGGCGAGCTATGCAGCGGTCAAAGGAAGGATAGAGTTCTATAAGGCGAAAATCGAATTTGCTAGGGACAAATTGGATGAGATGATGAAGCGGATCCAGGCACAAATACAAGTTGTACGTCGGGAAGTCAGGGTCCTTCAGCATTGTTACGCTAACACAGATGCAGTCATTCAGTCTTGTTGCTCAGAAGGATAGCGAAAGGAATCTGCTAGTAGCGTTGAACTCTGCAAAGGTAGCACAGCTGGCGGCTCGGGATAGTGAGACAATGAAATCAATCACTGTCATCACACTCATCTTTCTTCCCGCATCCCTAGTTACTGTAAGGTATCTGCTTCCCCTTGTACGCCTTGCTAACGTGTAATATTAGTCGATCTGGCAAGCTAACGTTTTCAACATCCAAGGAGATGCAAACTGGCGTGTATATACGGGGACATGTGTGGGCATAACGGGGATAGTACTTTTCATTTGGAACGCATATCGCTACATGAGGGCCAAGGTTCGAGCGAGAAGCGAGGCATTCGATGATTCAGACATTTTTTCAAAGGGGATGAACAAGGATCGAAACAGCATTCCGACGAGAGGTGAGCTATTTCTTGACTCTATATCCGTCTCGTATTATGGCAAACCATTAACATCTATCCACTTTTTTTATGTCATCCATATCCTTTTCTAAACAATCTACAGATCTAGAACATTTGTTCAAACCCTGATCAGCTTGCTTAAATAGTATAGTTTACATACATTTACCTGGTATCTAAGATCCTATCAAGTGTATCCAACCAAGGTTTTACCTTCAGATACATAATGAGACTATCGACATATATGCAGATCTATATGATTTAGCAGGAGTGACGAGTGATATTACTAAATGAATAGACTTATTAATATAGTATTCAAGTTAGATAGCCTAGTTCTGCGAACATCATCCGTTTCTTACGAAATACAGAGATATGTCTCACGACTCATGTGCCAGTACTATTTCCTTCCAACCCTAACGCTCTCTGGGGGCCCGAGATAGCTCTGTCGTACGCCACCAAGATTTATAACGATTTTCGTCAGAATTAATCCCGGCTCTAGCGCCCAGAACTTCAGCGTATGCTTCCCAGCCGTGATCGTATGATTGCTCGTACTGTTCCACGCCGCGTCCAACACTGCCGCTTCCCATCCCAACGGCGACGTCCCTCGCGGCCGATCTGTGATATACGCCACTGTCTTTGTCTCCTGGTCATCAATGCCAATGGCATACCTGAGCGGGCGCGAGGGAATTGTGTTGAGTGACTGTCCTAGAATGAGAGAGATGTTTGCGACGCGCGAGATGTTCGAGAAGGCGTAAAAGTCATACTCAAGGCTAGGCCCGGAGGTATTCTGTGATGGCGCGTTGTAGTCCGTGAGTGCTACTCCGGACAGTGTTTTGCCATAGTTCGGGATGGTGAAATATGATAGGGCATCAGAGGAGCCGGTCATGCGCGAGTAGTGCTCTGCTTCCATGGATATCGTGGCGTCGGACTCGACGAAGCCGGACGTGAAGTTTGCGGGAAGTTTCGTGTTATTGATGGGAAGATAAAGGATAGGCGCTTCGTATTGTGTTCCATAGTTTGTGGATGATGTTGCGTTAATACGTGCCATGGTCGAGCCTGTAGGGGCTCTAGTCCAGTCAACCGACACCCAGACTCTGATGTCGGATGGGTTGACGCTGGGGGAAATTTCACCGAACGACTGGGAGAATCTAATGTATGATGGGCCTTCAAGGGACCAAGTCGCATTAGTAGTGCCGGATGAGAAGATGTCGATCCATCTGTTTGGGCTATACGGGTCGATCGGCGGGAAAGTGAGACTGGCTCCGCCATTTCCATGATATTTATCGTCTCCTGGGACTGTTCCATTCTGGCCTTCAACAGCAAAGCCAAGATCTCCTGCCAATCCGCGCTCGCTAAGTTGAATATAATATAGCGAGGGCGTCGATTGCCTCATGGGCCCTTGCCTAGAGACTGTTAGCCAATTTAGAGTCCTGTAAGAGGTGTCATACCAGTAATTGTTGTAGAAGTGGGTTTGATCCATCATATGATTCCACTTCCCATCCAGGAGTTGATTATATTGTTGAGTAAGCTCATGATCGAAGTTCCATTGATCGAGGACGTGATTTGCTATCGAATTGGCACTTGTACGACCTTGCCATGTGTAGAGACGATTCTTCGCTGCACTAATATGGATATCGTAGACAGTGGCTCCTGCTAACACTGGGTGCAGAATCATCTCAAAGTAAGCTGGTCGGGCCTCCACGTCTAAGCGATCGCTAAGATCCTGTGCTTCAGCGCTGAGATCCTGCCATTGCCTGATGACAGTATTTGCCTCGTCATAGTTGATGATGCTATATATGCTAGAGTCCATGGACTCGTATTTGCGCTTACCAGCTAGGTTGGAATAAGTCATGATGACTTGAGCTACGTCGGCAGCAAGTTCAGAACCGAATTCTCGAGCCGCCCATTGTTCTGTCCACCAAGATGTGCTCTCAGGGGTACGATACTGCTCGATGTCATAAGCGAGATCGAAAAAGTGGCTTATCGGAATTTCCTTTGCACGTTAGAGAGAGCCATGTAGAACTTTCACATTTCACATACTAATGGTTTGATATCACCAACGTTGACGATCCATATTTCTCGAGCATCGCGCTCATATGCGAAATGCATCTGTTCCCAAGTCCTCTGGAGCTGGATGGTATTTATCCATTTATAGTTCCGTGGGTCGCCAACATAGTCGAAGTGCTGGTGGGAGAAGTCAGTGAGTTCTTTTCATGCTCGTAGACATATAGATTTATATACGTAGTAGACACCAGCCCCTCCAGACCGACCTGTTTCGTTACCAATGGGGAGACGGCGGATGTTACCCCAATTGTCGTCTACCCAAAGGAGAGTCACGTCATCCGGTGCACGAAGGCCATCGTAGTCGTAGTAGTCCTGGACTTCTTTATCTAGATTTATTTAGTCAAAAGAAGACAACTAATCGAATACTCACAAAGACACCACATTTGCGGCATTGAGCTCTCATTGCCATAAACGTCATTTAGAATTTTTCGTTGATTTTCAATGATGCTTTCCAATTGAGATATGGCATCATCTCCGTTCAAAGCTGTATCTGCATTGCCACGAGCTCCCATCGTGAAGAGACTTTCGTGCCCTTTTGCACGCTCCGCGCCATCCTGCATAAAAGAGTACATGGACGCATTATTCATGTTCCACTGCCACGGTCCTTTCATGAATGTTGTTTGTTCATTCGTTGCCCTCATCATTGGCTCTGTGTGGCTTGTGCCCATCACAATGCCGTATTCCTCGGCCAGAGGCTGACTGTCCAAGTCGTCAACATTGAACATGCTGCCCCACATAGCTGGCCATAGATAGTTCGCTCTGAGTCGTAGTAGGAGCTCAAAAACGTGAGAGTAGAAATCGGATCCAAAAGCAGAGCCATACTTGGACTTGGCATAGCGCTGATTCATCCAGCCGGTCAGGGCTGGTGCTTCGTCGTTGATGAAGAATCCGCGGTACTTTACGCTTGGAGACCCTTGCTCTTTAGTAGTCCGTAGAGCATAGATGCCATCGTGTTGCTGCCAGGGCACGTCTGCAAACCAGTACCACGGAGATATTCCGATCTGTTCAGAAACGTCGTAGAGGCCGAAGATTGTCCCACGACGATCAGCTCCTACACCTCGAAATAAGAAAACGTAGCTTAAATATAACAATGTTAGACCCAACTTACCTGCAATAACAAGTGCTTCATGAACTCCCGGCATTGGCGACGGGACAATGGTTGACACGAAAGCCTCCCATTGCCCCTGTATCTTGCTCACATTGACCATTCCAGATTCAATCATACTATCAATGGTTGGTGAGTTTCCAATGGTTCCAGCTATGATCATTCCCGCATTTAAGCCAATTGGAGTCCCGTGATCAGTCGAATTACTTCCGCCGATGAGACTCACGGTGCCATTTGTTCCGGTGACACGTCCAAAGTCTACAGCAAGGTCTTTGGCAGCTCTAATCACGCCGGGCCAGTCCGCTCCGTCAATCGCTATCTGCACGTACTCGTAGCGAGAAGCAAGCTTGATACTGTCACTAGTATCATCAAATGAAATAGTGGCATTCTGGCCTATGGCTAGCACTTTCTGCAAAGGCAGAAGCGCAGTAAACAACAACCACCGCATATCTGCTGAGTGGGAAAGGCGGTTTTGATACTCAGTGCTAATGGCCAGGATTTCATAGGACCTAGCGAGATACGGGACATAGATATATCAGCCATGTCACCTTGCGAATCTCCACATATAGCTCGGTTGAAGCGAATGAACCAGACGTGCATATGAAATTCTAAGTGGCATTGCTTGTACTATGGGCGCATGAGCGGCGAAAATCCCGGTTATATTTGATGGATAAATGACATGATATGGGGTTCCGCGAAGTCGACACTCTCTTTCTGTCTTGGTAGAAGACTGGCCAACCCGGTGTAATATGGAGCATCCCCGCTCGCACCAATGGCTTGGCCGGCATGAACCTAGTTGCATTTTCAACCGTGCCGTATGATCTACACCGAGCTCCTCGATAGGCTTGAGGCGATGACTTTATCCGTGGATGAAGCCTAGCGTTGTGAACCCTATGTAGCTTGAACTGCCTTGGCGTCAGTTTTGGACGAATGAAACAATTCTGCATAAATTCTTTGTGAGTGTTCAGCGAATTTGTATGGTGCACCGGAAGTTGATACAGTACAAAAAAGGTGAAGAGACCTGTCAGAATGTAATGGGTAGGGAGTAATTAACGCTAGGGAGGTAGTTGGTTAGGTCACCCAACACGCTCGAGCCAGCCCACGCCAAGATTTCTGTTCTCCACCGAAAACTATCATTCCCAAATTCTTTCGCTTACCCTCTTGCACTGGCATACTACTTTCACAACCATACCTCATGGCGCAGGGGGCAATCAAGAAAAAGGCAGTAGCATCCAAGAAGTATGCAATATGCCCTCTCTGCCCATTGTGAGCATATGACTGATCACCATCCAGGCCGGCCGCATTGGGTCCGAAGAGAGGAGGAAACCGCGTTATTGCACCCAAGAAGAGCAGCCTTATTAAGAAGCAGAAAATAGTCAAGGTCAGTAGAATATACATGATACTAGAGCACAACCCACTTACTTCTTATGCAGAAAAACTGTGGTGCTCTCACTGCTATGACCGAGAAAAGCTTGGCACAAAAGGCAGGCCATTTGGAACTTCTGGCTGGCGGGAAGAAAGATAAGAAAAAGGCGGAGGCCGAGAAGAAGACTAAGAAATGAGTGTGACAAGTCTGGGCATTCTAGGGGAAGACGCATCACGGTTCGAGCATACAGCGAATCACAATGCCTGAAGAGAGTTACGGCAGTCTCAGACTCAATGATTCTGGAAGCTCAATACGCCGATACGGAATGAAGGCTCCGACCAAGAATTGGCACCAATGTATCAAAGATATTATCATTTCGACGGCATCAGACAACACGGGCGGCCTCGCCTCCGCTTATATCGACGGCCGCGTCTTTTGCTTTGCCTCTGCCGATACCGCCTTCACCAACACCCATCCTCCTGGCCACATATCGCTGTGCTACTATCCCAACACTTAGGCCCAGAGTATCTTCAACCCACTCTGCTACCCATTCTCGAGGATCCACACCGCCCGTCTCGATGATTTCCAGGATTTCCGGAGGTAGTTCGTTCTCACCAGCAGGGGCATCCAGCCAGTCGGCCCACCGTTGAGGAAAGGTCTGTGATAGGGTGCGGAAGCTAATGCTATGAATAGGATCGTGTAGATAGATGGCAAAAGCAATCAACTCCTCCGCTTCCTTGGTCTCTAAAACACCTCCGTCTTTCTTCTCTTCGGCTGGTCCCGCAAATTGATCATCGGGGAGGTTGTACTTTACAGCTTGAATGGCGAGGAAGATATCGCTGCTCCGAACAGGATTGCTTTCACTGAGAACTTGAGTCGCCTGTTTAGCGGCTTCTTCGACACCTCCTCTTGCAGAGAAGAAGTCGTTAGCATATGACTCTGCGCCTACACGGGCTAGTTTAGTCCCTTCCACGACGCCCATGACTGCTCCCATATCGCGCTTCTCTTTCTGTCTCCACCATGGCCCATCTCTCCAGCCACTTGACCCTGACCCCATGTACCCCGCGTCGGATGCTCGACGTTGAGTGGACTCTGAGCCACGTTGAATAACCATGAGATCACCCCCTTCGACTTGTTGCATCACTCGGGCAAAGGTTTCGTAGATTAGAGGATCCAATGACGGATATCCAACAAGATCATGTGTGATGTGGATTTGAAGCCGCTCGTGGGAAGAAATAGGCGGCGCAATGGTGTGGAGGATGTTTGTGAAAGTTGGCAGTGCACGAGAACGAAGCTCGTCACCTAGTATAGTGAGCAATACATTTGTATACAATGATAATCTTGACTTGGCGTACCGAAGCCACGGAGGGCGCCCACGTTTCCTTTGACTTGTTCCGCCCATCTTTGAGCATCTTGGTTCTGCTGGAGGTCTTTATAAGTAGCCTCCGCCTGTTTCACAGCTGCAGACGCAGCCCCAAAGATCCCACCCCACCACCCACTGCCCGCTTGCTGCTGCGCGGGCTCTCGGGGAGCGGCAGCAGGAGCTCGCTTTTCGGACATGGAATCGTCGGTAGCCGGGGTGTAGCTTTGGTGATATGAGCGTGTACTCTCGCCAGATTTCCGCGGAGGATTGGGAACATGCGTCTTATCTTCACTTGTACGATTAGAACCACTTGATGCTGGTGTAGCTGCTCCTCCTTTCTTCGCAGTGGGCGCAGAAAGCTTTGGGGTGGTAGGCCGACTTGCAGGTCGACCTGACTTGGCAAGGCTCTCGAGTTCAGCAAGTGCATCATCATCATCATCATTGGTACTGGTAGGTTTAGGCTTGGTCCGTTTGACGGAGGTAGCCTTTGGGACTGGAGGTGCACCTGCAGTCTCCTCTATGCCAAGGTCGTCCAATTGCGCAAGAAGGTCGTCTCCAGTCGGTTGTTTCGCCATGACGAATGCTCCCAGAAGCTCACCCTTCGCAGATGACTAGAGGGTAGAAAGGAGAGTGAATATGCCAAGGGGAGTGTCGTGTGGAGCTACGATGCAAGTAGAAGCAGTGAATAGAGCAGAAACGTTTTATATGGAGAACGGGAGCATTGAAGCGGGCAACTGACGACCGCTACCTCGCAACAGCTAGACGAAAGGGGAAAGGGGGCTGTTACACGTGATGACGCTAGCTACTTTGAGCATAATGGACGGCTGGCGTTCCTATTCTTGGTCCACATGAATGGGATTTATTTGCCAGCTCTATACAGCGAAGACCTTAGAACAGACTTTGCTACTACCGCCTCTACATCCCTTCAGCTACACTTTTCCTCCACTTGAATACTACTTACAGCTTTGTAGCGGATTTGATTGTTTCCTCTTTCACGAAGCTCCAGACGGAGCCGGGTGATCGCGCAAGGATCAAAGTTGTGTTGCTACCATTCGCGCGCCTAACAACCGATCAAACTTCTTCCCAACGTCAACTCTGTTACTCGCAACTTCTACAGGCTTGCGAGAAAACTTTTTTCACTATCATAAAACAACTTTAAATACTCTTGTAGGCCCATCTGTATCTCCCGAATTCTTCGTGTCAGAATGCCTTTCACACGACGTAGCCGGGTTGAGCCTGGCTCGAAACCACCAACGCCAAATACCAAAGCAATTACCAATGGATCAAGTCCAGCTACAATATCAAGGAAGCTTCTTCGATCGGCTTCAAACCTCTCACCAACTCTGAGCACAACCACTCGGAAATCCAGCAGGCCGCGCAGAGCTCGTGCGATCGCTGACGGCACGAAAGTCACCTTCCGCGGTCTACCCGAGGACTTTCTATCAAACTTACTTATTGACTCACAATTGAAAAACGTCGCAAATGTTCCCGAGCTTGAGTCTCTTTCGAAAGTTGACGTAATAACTTCGCCTGTCAAGTCTTCGCCTGTGTCCACCAAGTCAAAGGAGCAAACCCTTCCAAATGAGATTGAGGATCAAACTTCGGAAGAATCTATGGTAGATTCTGAAAGTGAGAACTCTCCGGCCCCAAAATTTACCCCAAAAGGCTCGCGAGCAGGGCGCGTACGCGGCCGTGGTCGAGGTGGACGACCGCGTGGTCGTGGCAGAGGAGGCCGACAGCCACCAATTGAGCCACCACACCTTGAGCCACCAGCTCGAAGACGAGCATTCAGAGATGCAGCTCCTAAAAACTTGGCAGAGACTTCAGATGAAGGTGAATCTATGCCAGTAACGCCAGCAGAGGAGCCTCAAGGTCGCGAAATTAACGTCTCTACCGATAGGCCAGAAGCAGGCGTGGATGCTAACGATAAGTCGACTGTTTCCGCAACTATGCGCACAAATATCGAAAGTCATGATCGCGCTGAAGCCGACGAACCTGCGCAAAGCATTGAAAAACCAATTCCCAGGCACCCAAGAACTCTAACACGGGAAAACTCTGGCGCATCTTTGTCACATCAGGTTGCGACCCCTTCGGAAGTAGTGGAACCCATCGAAGAGACACTCATGGACATTGATCTTCCTGCTCCATTTATCGAGGATTACGAGATTCCTGATCGAAAGGACTGTGATGATATCGCTGATTTCATCATGAAGAGCCGCTATAAGCCAATGACTGATCCTCAAGCATTCATCAGTGCACTGACCAAGTACGAGCCTTCCAAGCGCTCAACAAGTGTTCTTTATGAGCTAGCCGAAAATGTTCAGCAGACACTCAAGGCCTGGCAAGACGAGTACTTGGCACTCGATGCACTCACTGCACCTGCGGCCAACCCACCAAAGAAAGTGGCTACTGGTGGGCGAATACCATATGACAAGGCAACTTGGGAAGATATGAGAGAAGCTGATCTCTACAATTATGCCTATGATTCTAGGAAGCCACCCGGAACACAAGATCCGATGGCACAGCGCATAGGCCGAGATGGCACTGGCGGCCGTGAGCTTAGACAACGGCGTGCTCGTGACGCCCTTGGCTCTACCCAAGTCAGCGAGGAGGACGAGGAGAACGAAAATGGTGTGGGAAAGCGGAAGCGACGTGCAGCCCAACGCTTTGAGGGTACTGCCACACCTGAATTCGGGGCTCGAGGGACCAGAAAGCGACTACTCGCGCAGGAAGCTGATGGGAACATGGAGGATGGAGGGGGCAAAAGGATCCGTACCACTGCCGCTCTTCTACCACAGCGCATAAGAGAGATGAGAGGCGAGAGCATAGCCAACAGCTCTACCGAAGGAGAAGATGGGTCACCTGAACCTCCGGGAGGCAAGCGAAGAGGTCGCCCTCCAGGAAGCAGGAATCTCCAAAGGCGACCTGATGCAGGAATTAAGAAGGGTCCACGAAAGGTGAACGAGACGAGTGAGACTGAAACTGGAGAGCCTATGTCTGGAGTCCGTTTCGTTACTGCCGCGCGTCCGCCTGTATCTCCAGCAGTTGAAGCCGCGACAATACCACAGCCCGACTTCAATATCGTTACTGGTAAGGTTCAAATATCACCTCAGACATTCGACGCAGATGGCAATCCAACACGGAGGAAACAACGGGCCAAGTCAGAGAAAAGAAGCGCGAGTATGACTGCGTGGTGGGCTGAACGTAAGGCTAGAGCTGCTCAACAAAAGGCGGATGAGATGGAGCACATGCAAAGGAACTTTTCACGTCTGCCTCAGTCTACAATACAGCACGACCCGAGACAACATCCAGTGCAAATGAATCAGCCTCTCCCACCACCCCCTCACGCCCACTATCCAGGCACGTCTGTACATCATGCGCCAGCTTTGGCACCGGCAGGACCTCACCCTGCCGCTGCGTATCCACTTACTGGTGGACCGCCCCAATTCATCCCTCACAACCCAGCACATCACCCTCAACATCCGTATCCCCAAGGACACCATCAACAACAGCCTCCACCTCCACGATCGGCTCATGGTCCGCCATCAGGCCACCACGATGCATACTTCGTGAGAGCAGGACCGGTTACAGGGCAGTATACGCTCAATCCAAACAAAATCAGTGGACCCCCCCAAGGCGTTCCCAGTCCGTATGGACCAATACCCCCTCCTCAAGGACACTTTCGTCCAGCATCAAGGGGCCATTAATTACAGAATAAGAACGACAGGCCTATCTCGACCGGTGTCACGAGGCGTATCGGCAACACAGGGGGTTTTATCTCAATCATTGTTTTTATCTCATGCATCAGCGTGGGGAAGCGCTGTATGTTCGAGCACATCCGCATAATCGCTAGGCGTTTATGACCCCTCGTAAAAGTGTACTATTGATCGCGATACCCTTACCCTTGCTTTCTCGTTTACTTGGATAATGGCGTCTGGAAAATATCTTGTGTTGTGTTATCTTGTACATTAGGCATTGCCGGCGTTGGTTTCTATCAAAAACCTGTATTAACTGTGTAGAAACATATCACAGTGATTCATCTAAACTGAAGAAACACCTTGATTCACCCATCAACATACCACACTTCGAATGTCTTCGGGCGATAAATATGACATTTTCTCTGCCCTTTTGCTCAAATGAGTGGAGTGCCCTACCTAAGTGCCAAGACCGTCTAACTGCAAACGGAGGTACTATTCTTCGAGCTCGACTTCATTCTTGAGCTCAACACCACTCATACGTGCCCTCCACACCTCTAACTCTCGACATGTCTGACGTTAATCGACCCCAAAACTCCACGGCCACCACTAGCAACTCCCTTGTCTCCGCCCTCGCGCGGCGCGAAGCCGCCTTCAAAGCTTCGGACCTCTCCTCCAAGCCCTCCGGCCACGAACGCCTCTCTATACCATTCGAAACCCGCATCATCCTCGGTACATGTGTGTCTTTTGGGACTGGGGCCTCGCTTGGTCTTCTCGACGGCTCGCACATGGCCGGCCTCGTCTTCCGCGCCGAAAACGCACACCGCCTCCCGACCACACACACGGGCTGGTACTTCTACCATAAGTCGAAGAACTACGCAATGATGATGGGTGGGTTGAAGGCTGGAGTACGGGGCGGGGTGCTGGTGGGCGCGTTCGGGGGTGCGTTTATGCTTCTGGAGGAGGCTGGTGATTGGATTCGGGGCACGCGCGATTTTGCGAATAGTGCGTTTGCGGGAACGGTGATTGCGACCGGGTACGCGGGTATAAAGGATTTGCCTAGGATGACGGCGTTGAGGACGGCGCGGATGGGGTTCGTGGTGGGTGCTGGGTATGGGGTTTTGCAGGATGCGTTGAGTTTGGCGAGAGGAAGGAGGGTTGGGTGGATTGACTTTCTGACGGGGAGGAGGGGGGATCGTATTGACGAAGATGATGCATATTGAAGAGAAGACTGGAAATTTATCAAGGTCACCCGAATGCTTCGGGCGTTAGGACAGGGCCACCAGGTGTTACCATCCCCGGGTGACATGGTCAGAGAAGATGGCTCACGGCCCGCCTTCGAACGGATTAAATGCTGGCGCCTGAGGCAGTGACAGTACGAGAAGTGCATTCACGAATACAAGGGGCGGCTGGTAGCTAAGGTACTACACGAAAGAGAAACATTGAACATATGGTAACTGATCCCGAGAAAGATAAGCAGGAGGACACATGAATTCGCTCAAAATGCTATTGGAATTGGGAAAAAGAGTCACCACAGACCACCCGACACTGCTGAGACTGCCTTCCACGCAATCATAGCTTTGACGTCTTCAGCCACTGCAGATTGACTGGTGAGACCGCACTTCCAGTCTCGAAGAAGCTCATGATGTTCTGCATGCCTAGCTTCTCGAAGCCGACGTGCGACTCCACTGAAGCGCCAGCTGTATGACAGAGCACTTCAACGTTGTCCATAGCCGCCAGCTTTGGGTTGACCAGCGGCTCATCGAAATGCACGTCAAGTCCAGCAGCATATAGGTGGCCACTCTGCAAGGCAGCCACCAACGCAGGCTCGTCAATCAGCTTTCCCCTCGCAATATTGATCAGGCGGGCGCCATGCTTCATCCTCGCGATATTCTGGGGACCCATCAGTTTATCACCGGCGAAGGGCGTGGCAACAAGCACACAATCCGCCTCTCCAAGCATATCGTCAAGATTCTCGAAGAACTTTGCGCCGACACTCTTCTCAATGTCTTCGGGCATTCGCCGTATATCATTGTATAGAATCTTCATCTCTAACGCTGCCGTGGCCTTCTGTGCGATTCTATATCCGATTCTTCCCAGTCCGATCACACCCAACGAAAAGCCGTTTGGATTATGTGTGACGGCTGCAATGTTCTGGTTGGCATCCTTGAACTGTTCCACGGAGCAACTACGTGCGGCGCGTGCGGACCAAGTGAATTTGCGAAAAGAAGACAGAATCAGCCAGATGGCGGCGTCTGCAACTGACTCGGTGCAGGCGGCAGCAGCATTACAGTACACAATGCCACGCTCAGCCAATGCACATGTATCCACCCAATCGAAGCCGGCGCCTGCAGAGGCATATATCTTGCAAGACCTGGGTAGCAGAGCGCTAAAGGAATGTTAAATGAAGCAGCTGTCGGAACATGGAATGTGTCCGTACATAAGTTCTTTGTCCCAATTGCCCATTTCGCCTCCCGTGTTCCAGAAGGGCCGGTACATGGCAACGAAATCGCCAAACTGGTGAGATTGCAGAGCAGCCTTGAAAGTGGCGCGGTCCATGCTATGGCTGCGCTTAATTGTGAATTTGGTGGAGAGCTGTCTGTATAGGTCATGATTCCATCGGATGTCGCCGCCGAGGTGTAGTAGAATAGGTTTCGTGGAAGACATTTTGGCAAAGAGTGCCACTGTATGCTCGACTCAAGCGCTAGTTGTAAGGTGGAGTGATATGAGGACGACTGTGAGGCTACTCAGAGATGGAAACAATGGGGTCCTTGTATACGCGACTTGCAGGGAGCGGCTTCCACCTCATGCAGGTCGTAGAGCAAGTCGGCATCTGCTGCATTTCCCCACAGTCTTCAGATGCCGTCCCAGTCTCGCGATATGCATGGGGCCTGTTGTGTTGGGAGTACGGCTGCCCACACAGCTCATTGGGTGAACTGAGGTGCATAAGCTTCCTGACATGCATATCTGCCAGCTCGCGATGATGACCTGACTGAATACTGCTTAAACTTGATAACTGTGATTCACTGGCGGTTGGAGCGTTTACCATGATGCGATTCGGAATGCATAATACACGGTAATAGTTATGCCCAGGAAGGATATCGTCGGCATTTAGGACCGAGGACTGTATTCAGCTATATCAGGCAACATCCGCCGAACATTACCTGAAGCAGATATTAGTTCTCCCGAGGTCGGGCAACAATGCTGACTAAGCTACACTAGCGTCCGTTGCTGCTTTTCTCAAGTCCGCACTTCGGCCTTCCTTCGCTTTTCTTTCTTCAGTTGATAAAGTTCACCCAGTCGAAATTTGACTCTCTGCCCCTATCCGTATGGGCTCTTAGTTGACAATTACTGGGGAGAAGAAACCCTTGAGCTTCCCAAGATCATCCGCCCCTCACCAAATGGGCTGCAGTTGACCCGTAAAGCCCGAACATCACTGCCACCTTAATCCAAGCCTTCACAATGTCTGTCTGAGCACTCGCTCGTAGAAGTCTCTATAGTTCTTCGAGTACACTACATCGATATGCCGTCGAAGATGAAAGCGAATGCGAAGCCGTTTCCCTTCTTCTCTCTTCCATCCGAACTGCGCATACGCATCTACGAGCTCGTCCTTTCCGTGCCTTCGCCTATCGACCTCACACCTACAAATTACCGCGAGATTGCACCGTTGCTGGGCGTCTTTCTTGTGAGTCGCCGCATGCACGCGGAGGCGTATCATGTGTTTTATGGCTGCAACACCTTTCGCCTGTTCCCCGTGAATGGCCGATTCTTTCATACCAAGAAGCCTCTCACAGTGCGGCTGGCGCCCAAATATCGTGCTGCGTTAACATCGCTCGATGTGCGTCTTGGGCCAGGCTTTACAAAACCGCCACGTTCGTGGGTCGTGAGTGCGCAACTAGGATTGAATGACATGGTGAATGTAAGATTGTTGAAGGTCTTTGTGGAGGTCGATCCGGCGAGCTCGGATATCTTTGAAGGGTTCCGCGTGAGCAAGGTTTTCTACACACAATTCTCAAGGGACCTGATCAAGGGTGTATTTGAGCAGGTCAAATCGATAGAGGATGTCGAGTTTGATGCGTTTGAGTCAGTTGCGCCAGACTGCCCATTGATGCAGGCACTACTAGAGGAGTGTCAAGCGGCGGGCAAAAAGGTTCTGTGGGGATCCCAGAGGGGATGGTTCACGACGGAGAGTGATCCGATACTACAGCTCGATCAGAGTATGTCGCTGCTCCACCTCGGAAATGAAAGTGTCGTTGTACACTGACAAAGCGTACGGTAGTCATTCCTTACTTGCGACAACATCCTGTCTCCAGACCAGACGACGATGTGTATGTAGTATACACAACGAGATTAGGCCAACTGTTGAGAGTACAAAGAGTCGAGAGGAGGGAACTTCGTGGGCTTGGTATTCAGCCTGTTACTATTCCATCGTGGATGTACATTCCATCCGTCTTAGGTCTCGCTCTGCTCCACTTCATTGATCGTAGCATTGCAACGATTTATGCTGGTATTGTAGGCCTATGTTTTCTGTACGATCATATACATTATCATTTGTGAAGCTGAATAGATAATCGACTACGAATTTTCTACTGTGCACTGTCGTATCAATAATCAGTCGATGGTTTGCTCCAACAGTTCCGTATACCGGTGGTGTGCCGATCAACCATCAACCAGCGTCCGGGACGAGCCGAAGCCCGCGGCGCGAATTGTTCGAACTCCGGTCACCGAGGGAATCTTTTCACAGTCTCGACCGAGCTCGGTCTCATGCCATACGGGCATGCCACATCCTCTCAGGTGTTCGCTATTGCTCAGGCAACTTTCAAACTTTAAGATACCGACGCGCAGTTATTCGAACGCCATGGGTCGCGATTATTCGGTATGAACAAATATCCTGTCCCTCGCAGTGGTTCGATCAATTGACCGTGACTAGGCTGCGGTCGAGGCGCTCAACACCCTCCAGTCGAACTTCGCGACCATATCAAAGATCCGGAAGTCTTCAAAGGATATGAATGCGCTCGCCATCCCAGAAATGATCGACTGGTGTCGTAAAGCTGGACATGAGGTGTGCGGCTCCCCCCACATCCCTTACTTGCATGGCCCCGCAATCTTCTTGCTAACGGGCTTGTAGCCTTCTGATTTCGACCGTTTGAACCCTATCCATGTCGCGGGAACCAAAGGCAAAGGCTCTACGAGTTCGTTCGTGTCCTCCATCCTCGCTCAATACCTGCCATCCGTACAGCAATCCGCCCCAATATTACGAAAGATCGGTCTATACACTTCCCCACATCTGCGGTTCGTACGCGAACGAATACAGCTGGACAACAAGCCAATAGATGAGGAGGCATTTGCGAAGTATTTCTTTGAAGTTTGGGATCAGCTCGACGCAGCAGCAAAAGATGGAAATACAGCAGAGTCAGGGCCCACTAAGCCCATGTACTTTCGGTACCTCACACTGATGGCGTTTCACGCATACCTTGAAGAAGGCGTCGATACCGCCATCATTGAATGTGGTATCGGCGGCGAGTATGACAGCACCAACATTCTTGTCAACCCGTCCGTCACTGCCATCACATCTCTCGGCATTGACCACACTCCGGTCCTGGGTCCGACTATCGAAGAGATTGCCTGGCATAAAGCCGGTATAATGAAGCCTTCTGCACCAGCATTCACTGCACCACAGCCTGCTGGTGCTCTCGAAGTTCTTTACAAACGCGCTGCCGAGAAGGGAGTTGCCCTCACCGTTGTTGAGCGCCACCCAGAACTCGAAAACATCACTCTCGGCCTCGACGGTGACTTCCAGAAAACCAACGCTAGTCTCGCCATTGCAGTTGCTGCGGCGCAATTACGCAAACTTGGCCTCACATCACTCCCCGACCCGGTCACGACACCCAATTTCCCCCTTCCAGCTGAGTTCCGCCGAGGCCTTGAAACTGTACATCTTGGCGGCCGCTGCGAGATTAAACACGATGGTAAGATCACATGGCACATCGACGGCGGACACACCCTCGACAGCATTGCATTCGCAGGGACGTGGTTTGGCGGTCACGTAGCACGGCGGCGCACACAGAAGCGTGTATTGGTCTTCAATCAGCAGACGTCGGACCGCAATGCGGAGGCCCTCGCACGCACTTTGCATGCGACGCTTTGTGATGCGTTGAAGACTGAAGCTGAATTGGGCACAAGTCCGTTTACACACGCAATTTTCTGCACGAATACGACATTCAAGACAGGATTCAGTGCAGATCTGACCAGTGTGGTGAATAGTGGTGCGGAGGTAGACAGTATGAGTGTGCAGAAGGCGTTGGCAGAGACGTGGCGGGAGATTGATCCAGTTGTGGACGTCAGTGTTTTGAGGACGATTGAAGAGGCTGTCGAGAAAGTACGAGAGATTGCGGGAGGGGAAGAGGAGGTCATGGCGCTGATCACAGGATCTTTACACCTTGTTGGCGGGGCTTTGGAGGTGTTGGAGACTGGGAACTAAGACCGGTAGGAGAGAATAAGGACATCATGGGCCGGGTGCTCCTCAACGAGTTGACGATGGGAGAAAAGTGTACCCGCAGACATTATAGATTCAACCAGGCTTCAATGCTACATTACGTAAGCGCTACGAGCAGAGCCGTAGGTCTCTGATTGGCTCTTCCAAGCCTAATCAGGAAAGTGTTTCCAAGTCGAGCGTTGGATAACGCTCATTTTCTTCTGCCCTGTCTTGAGTCTTGTTGCCTTAGGCAGAGAAAGAGGCCCTGTTTCCTAGCTGCCGGCTATTTCGACTGTCAACACACAAGACCCAATACTTCAGTCATCTGCTACTGGCCTGACTGCATTTCTTCAATTGCAACAAAACTCACTGCTGATAGTAACGTCCTGACACTCGGCCCTGCAAGCCTAGGACCGACATAGCCGATCATTGGGAGCATTTGACGCAGCGTCTCATATTGTCTGAGGTGCACCACAAACGTCACATATTACTTTGCAGTCTTGGGTTCCAGTAATGGAGGTACAAGACCTGCTGGTAAGTCTACTTTGAATCTGTTCGGGTTTTTACTGAATTTCAACAGATGAATGCTTATCTGTGCCGAGCTTCCTCCATTACTGCTAAGTGTGAGATGGCAATCATAGCCTGAACAGCTAGAGTGCTCATAGTTACTGCAGTGGTGGGACGTGTTGCGCCAGAGGTCTCATCCACTGCAGAATCGAAACTGTACAGACCCCTCAAAAGAACTAATATATGTATCAGGAACTGTTCTCAGACACCGTACCTCAAACATAACGATCATTACCACCGCCTTATGACACCAGAACTCTCATCGCTAAACGCTACCTTCCAGTTTCCGCATTTCTTCAGACTCCTTTCCAGATAGACGGTCCTGGTGCCGTGTAATTCATCAAGATTGGATAGTATATATCCAGCTGAATCGCCTTATCATCTGCCTTGTACGCCCCCGGAAACTTCACCATTGGGCCCGGTTTCCCGTCCCCAGTTCCCTCGACCTGAACCTGCACACAGCTAAGATAGAACTCTACCCCCCCTTGCTGTCCCGCATTATGCAGCGCAATCTGCTCTACGCGCAATAAATAGAACCCCGGCGGTGTCTTCGATGGCACTGTGACCGTCCAATTTGCTATCCGCGTCGGCGCCCAGTCACACGCATTCACGCCATCGCAGTCAGGACCTAAAGATGCAATCTTGAACCAGTCGCCGCTGCCGTCGTATGCGGTCAAGTTGGTACCAGTAGGTGCGGCGGAGAGATAGGCATTGAGAGGGCCGGCATGGTAGATTTCTTGGTCGAGCCCAACGATCAGCGCGGTGCCGGCGCGAATGGGGAGAATACGAGTAGAAGGGCCTGAAGCGAGGGTGCCGGTGTTGCAGCGGATGTCCGGGGTTGAGAGCGAAGACACTGGGTTACGCTCATTGGTATTGAGGCGGATGAACCTATAGGCAGGTGTGGCAGGGGATGTGAGAATTGTCTGGAACCTGTCTGGGACATTTAGTATAGGAGTCGTGAGAAGGGATTGGGGATCCTGGAGGGGACGTACAGTGGGCAAGAGTGTTTGGGAGAAGGGCAATGATGGCAACGAGATAGTTGGGCCTCATGGTCACACCGATGATATGGTTCTTGCTGCTGGCATAGCTTAATACACTGGGGACGTGGCTGGTTTATATCCGTCTCGGTACATGATGGAAAGTGTTGGCTGGTAGAGTGCTTTATACGGTCTTTACGGTCACAATCACACGCGGTTCGGACTGGAATTAACTCATAAGTTTATCGATTGAGCGAAGTCATAGTGTACCATTGATATATTCCCTGCATGATGCATTGGTCCGTCTGAAATGCATGATTAGGAGTGGTTGGTGTTTATACTCTAGAGTCTCAGTGGGGGACATGAACGCATGACAGACTGCTCAATCGCATGTATGTTAGCTTGAAGAAGCAAGGCTATAGATAGTATGTAGACGGCTGTGTTGTCTAGATATCTATGTGAATATGATTTTCACCATCTACCTGGAGTCCTCGTCTTAGCCAGCCACTGGGCCCCGCCAGCCGGAGCCCCGGCGGACTGAAATCGGCTCCAGGGCCGTTCAAGCCAGCATGGATGATCGACAGCACCAGAGCACCTTATTTGCTCATCAGGGTCTCTCAGAATCTCCTTCGCCCTCAACACCATCGTCGCATCGTAACTATCGCCATCATGAGAAAGCAAGTAACATCGAGTCTACGCAGGATGACGACGCAAGCCACCCCCCACCGAGATCGGGGGCTGCCTAAGCAATTCATAGTGCCCGAGCCCGCCTGATCCACTCCGATCTCCACTCTACCGATCCATCACGCGCGGTAACAGTGGCGCTATCGCGGCTATCCTGCCCCAATTGCTCAGTGCTCACCGGACAGCTGCAATTTTTGCCCAAACATCTTCCCCAACTCTCCTCGCTTGGCTTGGGTTGAACTCCGCGCTTGGTCTCTCTCTCGCGGAATCGGTATAATCAACACTTATACACCTGTCCGAGTCCGGGGGTGGGGCATCTTATGCAGATATGAAAACAAAAACTCCTCACAAACTGCCAACGGGGCAGCTGACGATACTGGGTGAGTCTCTTGATTTACCGAGCGTTCAAGAGCAGAACTGACCATCTGTCCAGCACTATGTCGCTTGTCAGAGCCCATTGCCATGACGTCCGTCTTCCCATACCTCCCAGAAATGATCGAGAGCTTCGGCGTACCCAAGAATGACATTGCGAAGTGGGCTGGATGGAGCAGCACTATCTTTTGTCTATGTCAAGCCTTTACCGCTATATTTTGGGGCCGGCTATCGGACCATTATGGTCGCAAGCCCATCATCTTGTTCGGACTAGCGAACACGGCGGCGACTGTTCTGCTATGGGGATTTTCAACGAATCTTACTATGGCCATGATTGCAAGGGCCCTGCAAGGCTTTATGTCTGGCAACGTCGGTATCATCAGAACTATGGTAGCAGAACTGTGTCCATGGAAGGTATGTGGCCCGAGCTTGAGGTGATCTTCAGGATCCTGATCGAACGCGTGTAGGAGCTTCAGCCGAGGGCATTTAGCATAATGCCTCTGGTATGGAACGTGGGCTCGGTCATTGGACCGGTGAGAAGAAGCCTCCATCCTTAGATTTCGGCTGACAGAAGGGGCAGGCATTTGGTGGTGTTCTGGTCAAGCAGTCACATCATGGTGATCTACTAGAGAGGTACCCATACGCGCTTCCGAACATATTTGCTGCAGCTCTATTTGCTGTAAGCATTACCATTGGGTTCTTGTTCCTTCATGTATGATGTCATGATCTTTTTCCAACCACTGGCATTAACAACTACAGGAAACTCTCGAGACTGCGAAAGACAAGCGTGATATTGGAAGAACATTAGGAGACGCGCTTCTCAAGGCTGTCAATCCGAGATCGTTCAACTCATGCTACCTACAGCCTCCAGAAGTATCTCGCGGAACTGAAGAAGAACCTCTTCTCCAATCCGCAAAATCCCCGACAGATGACGAAGAGACTGTCCTATGCGATAATTCCATACCTAACATGCAGAAAGAGGCGAATCCAAAGTGGAAAGAGGTGTTTAGATTGCAATCGACTTTTGCTCTCATGGCATACACTCTCCTAGCGATGCACGACTTCGCCTACCAGCAGCTTCTTCCAGTCTTCATGTATCACCCCTTTGATCCACGAGACTCATCTGATGCGAGTCAGCCCCTATTTCAGCACCTGCCGTTCCTTTTCAACCGCGGTTTCGGACTTTGTAAGTCCGTTCCTCTCCTCTATCATATATCAAATGCTTACCTGTCTACATAGCTCACACTCGCATCGGCGTCTTCTTCTCCATTGCTGGCGCCTTTTCTATGCTCGTTCAGTTCTTCATCTTCCCACCTATCACTAGCCACTTCGGCACCCTACGCACCTTCAAAACCTGCATCACAATATACCCCTTCATCTACCTTCTCACGCCCTACACCGTCCTCCTCCCAACCGAGCACACACGCCAAGCCGCCTTACTCCTCGCCGTTCTCCTCAAGCAGAGCGTCAGCGTCTTTATGTTTCCATGCTGTATCATCCTGCTGACTAACTCGGCGTGCAGCCTCAAGGTGTTGGGCACACTGAATGGTGTGGCAATGACTACAAGTGGGCTAGGTAGAGCGGCTGGGCCGGCGCTTGCGGGTAATTTGTTTACGGTAGGTGTGGAAATGGAGTGCGTATTGTTGCCGTATGCAGTGCTGGCAGCGGTGGCAGTATTAAGTCTCGTTCCGGCCTATTTTATGGCTGAGTGTAAGGGTTTTGGTAGCAGTGATGAGGAGGAGGAGGAAGCAGATGAGGAAGAACGAGAAGACGAGAGAGCGTGCTAAGTCGAGTCGACGAAGAATGAGAGCAACCTATGGTAAGTCCTGCTGATCGGGCAGAAGACTGCAGTAAAAGTTCATGGTTTCATACTAAGTGATTTGCGGCGGCATCTATGGCGTACATTCTTCTTCTAGGGGCACATCATTGTTGGTGCATTTAATGGAGTACAGTACGGCACATTCGCCAGGTATTTGTATGTTTCAATTTTCATCTCACACTCGTCACACCTTTCAAAGCTGTGTCGTCTCATTTCATTCAGAGCTCAATGTTTCTCAGGGTCTTCATTTCTATCTTTGCGTCCTTAGTACGTTCAGATACAGCGTTCCGGCATTGTGGTGTCCTCTATTCCGAATCATTCTTTAACGCTCTCAATGCGTGTTTAGTATCATCTATTATCGTCGAGTAAACTAGAATGTCAACCGTCCTTTGTCTTCTCAGTAGCGTTACGTCTTCATTACAATCCTTTTCGTTTCGTGTGAGGACTTGGCTTTTACTTAACGGCGACTCACTCTAAAATCATCACCCGGCATACGTTCATGTGAACGACAAAACAGTAAAAATGCCAAAAAGTCGAAAACCAAAGTAGCAGAAAAAAAAGCAAAAAGATCAAAACTACACCAGCGGGGAATTGATCCCCGGACGTTGTAGAAACCGGATGGTTTTTGTCCATTTAGGTGCAGAGGCAACCGCGTTCCTTATACCGCTGTGCCATCTGCCCTGAAATTCAGTTGCTTTAATACAATTATATAGGATTGGAGGAAGGACCGGGTGGCGATTGTTATTGTGATTATGAATCAGATTGTGTGGTGGATAGTGGGGTAAGGTGAACTGTTATAGGTGGGCGCTTGGGTTGGTCCTGGGTAAATTAGGGGGGTGGAGGAGTGCGAGTCCTGGTTCTCTCTCGTTCACTACCTGTCACACCCAGATATCGTAAGGCTATCGAAGTGGACGTTCAGAGGGCTTGTTCGTCTCACTTGGGTCTGTCCTGAGGTGTTGTCGGTCACTCATAAAGGGGTCTGGCCTGTATTGCACGCAAAATGATTCGTATGACTGGCTCCAGACCAGTCTCAGACTGTGATTGACGTCAGTCAGACACGGAGCTCTCGGTCTGAGGCTCACAATCAGTGGCCATATCTTGATTTCAGCTTGTATCTCACAAACTGTAGCAGCTCGACCGTGGTGTTTTGAGCAACTGAGTCGCGTCCGGGTTTCGTGTTAGTCAAGGATGAATTCTCGCCCACCACTTCCATCTCCGCGTTGGACCTCATCATACTCTGCAGTCAGTTATTTCACGTCCGGCCTCGTCACAGCGTTCAGCAAACACTCAAGTCATGCGTAGTTTCGAAGTCTGCAAGGTCAGTTTCGTCCTCTCACGATCCACGTCAATGATCTCAACACCACCGACCAGAGCTTTCACCATCTCGCAACCTCCTCGTCCTTCTGCCGAGGTCCAACTCCTCGCTACTAGATGAATAGCCATCACGGAATTTTGACGGGTTATATGGATGACAATAGTGCATAGCGCGGCTCTATAACGAGGCGAGTTGCCAAGTCTTCTCGTTGCGTACCGTTGGTGGATGCGAATGCGTCGCAGTGCCATGGCAGTATGCTTGCCTGTTTCCAAGTCTTTGGAAGTCATGTACTCGGATTGATCATCACGCCGATAATAAGAGATGGGACAGGTTATGAGGCGGTAGGATAAGAAGTGTGAAGAAGTCCTGCGTCTTGCGGTTACTATCGCTCAAGACGATATGGCATTGACGTGCCCTTCTCAGATAATCCATACTAGAAGCTGTTCTGGCTGGCAAGAAAGCCTCATGTGTGTAGACGGCTGCTACTGTGACAGAAGCTCTTCACATAGTAGGAGTGTCGTTCTTTTCGCGAATTCTCCTCTGGAGTTACGTCATGACTCGGAGGTTGTTTTCCGATCAAGCGTGTGTTGCGAGCTCCGATTGTGATGTACAATTGGGATATCATGGCTTCATCTATGATAGTATTCCTCGCATCCATGGATACTTGAAGCTGCCGCATTGCGCCAGCGTCGAGGCATGCATAGTGTATACTGGTCGGGAAAGAGCTGCCAGTGCTCAACCCTGTCATCGACAAGGGCTCTCCGCAGTTGTAAGAATGCGCCAAGGGGATATTCGTCATATATCGACCTTATAGCGACATCTCACTCGCCAGCCATATCACATGCATTTCTAGCGATGTATAATACTACATATAGTATCGAAACTACCCGCCGTGAGGCCATATGAGCTCTCTGTGTAGCGAGAGCCTCAGAGACGCTCACAGACACATCTCATCATGCCTATTCCACTAGAAGCGCAAACATACACAGATAGTCGAAAACGAATCGACGGCCCTACCAAATGGGCGCATAACGATGTAGCGACCCACAACCGTCTCAAGACACCTCTTCGCCTTACCGGCGCTCTGAAGGCACGATTCACAGACTTGACCCCTGCAATCGGACGCGAGTTTCATGAACTCAGTCTGCTTGATGTCTTGAATGCCTCCAATCGAGATGAAATCATCCAAGACATTGCCGTCACCGGTGCGCATCACGTGGCCTGAGAAAACTCCCTTCCCTACCAGAAGCTGATCCGAGACAGTATCCGAACGTGGCGTCGTCTTCTTCCGAAACCAATATATCACACCCACACAGATGAAAGCATTCGTCACTCATCTCAGCATCCTCGCTGGCTGCGTACATCCTCCCCTTCACCCACTCATATCTCCACAGCCCCCAATCTAACAGTCCCGCCGTAGCCAGAATCCTCCTCCCTCCACACTCATCCTCTCACCGAGCCCCCAGCCCCAAACTCCACATCCCACGATATCGGCACCATCTCCTCCGAGAAGCAGAAACGCGGCGGCGGCCTCACGCACCAGCTCTCCGACACAACCCGTCTTGCCTCCGCGGGCTGGCATTCCGACATTAGCTTCGAGCCCGTGCCGTCCGACTACGCCATGCTGCGCATGCATACGCTGCCGCCCACCGGCGGCGATACGCTATGGGCATCTGGCTATGATGTGTATGACCGGCTGTCCGCACCGATGCGGCTGATGTTTGAGCAAGGGGGTGCTGATGGCGGGCCGTTGAGGGCAAGGCATGATGGAGGTTGGTTGAGGGATGAGGCACGGCGGCTGGGGATCGCGGTGTGGGACTCAGAGAGGGGCAGTCCGGCGAATCGAGGGGGGGCGCTGAGTGCCGTGCATCCCGTGGTGCGGACGAATCCGGTCACCGGGTGGAGGAGTGTGTATGTCAATCGGGGCTTTACGACGAGGGTGGAGGGAGTGACGAGGGATGAGAGTGATTTGTTGTTGAAGTATCTGTTTGAGGTGCGTCTGGCTGGCTCTTTCAACTTGTACCTTGTGTCTCTCTAGGTTATTAGTAAGTATGTGCTGATGTGTCTGCAGCTGGTGACGCAGAACCACGACTTACAGGTAAGATATACATGGGGCGTCAATGATGTTGCGTTGTGGGACAATCGATCGACGTTCCATTGCGCGACGTACGATTATGACGAAGTGCGTACTGGGGACAGGGTTTGCTCATTGGGTGAGATGCCATATTTCTGTGCCGAGTCGAAGAGCAGAAGAGCGGCGTTGGCTGATACTAGCGATGTTGGGATAAAGGGAGCGGTCTAGGTAGGTCATGGTTTCTGTCTCCTCAGCGGCGAAGATCAGTATTTACTGTAGCGGAAAGTATAAGCTTGAACATGACTCTTGTGCTAGTATCCATTTCCTCGAGCTCTGGGGACCCAATCTCTTGCCATTTTTCACCACAGAAGCAGCATGTAATAGATTGTCCATTGCATATGTTGTTGAATCGTAGCCGGTTCTCAAGTTCATTCGGTCGCTTTGCCTACGGGAGAAACCAGGGTATAATGAGACTGGGATTATGCCCATCATCATTTCTGCAAGCCATCAGTGCATAGATTCATACAGCAGCCTTCTCTTGGATCAGACACATTGAGAGACTCCGAAAACTGTTGCTGTGTAGATTTGGTAATGTCCGAGTATTGACCTGGCGATAGTTGAGCCCTGCTGTATGACGTCTATCTGGGATGAAATGTCTGAAGAAACTGTTCAGGAAGGGATAATGGAGTTTGCAAGTTTTCCTAGTGTCAAGGTGTTCTTTGCGTGTTATGAACCGTAGTTCTCTAATTTCCAGTCTTTTCGGGCAGACTTTGACTCCTATGGAAAGTCGTCAGCAAGGAAGACTCTGGCTGTTTATTGGAAGCATTGAAGGGCTTTGGTAAGAGGAAAGGGGACAAAGTTGTGGTTTCTACAATGAGCTTGACGATGAATCACAAGAGAGACTCACTGTTGGTATGTCGAGGAGCGTTTATATCATCTTTTCAAGCGGTGCTGTAGTTGATTTTGTGGTAGTTGTTTGGATATGAGGTGGGTAAAAGGCACAGGTGATGCGGAAGAACAAAGGCAGCTTTGACGACCTGTTCCAAGCGACCAAACGGCAATGTGCTTTCTCACAAAGTAATTTCGGAATCGATACCAGGCAAAGAAGTTTAGTAAGGTATGAAAAGAAGGAACGACATCTTGTTCCATCATTGAGTTTCGCTGTAAGCATTCAGGCAACGAATACATGAATTTCTGAATATATGTTGGTGGCAGAAATCGTAAAACAACAATGTTCACCAATACTATTGCCATTATATGATCTTAAGAACCCGGTGACGTTCATGAGCCATTCTAAATCACCATAAATGCTTTGTTATACCCACGTCTTAGTCAAACCGCTGAAGGTCATGATTTCTTATTACTTCTGAAACTTTCCATGTACATAATGTCCATTGTCCAAGATAGAATCATACCAAATCGCAAAGAGACCATAGCGTGGCACTATTGGACCGTGAATGATACCGATAGTCGATCGTTTGAGAGGTGCTCGGATCTGACAGGACTGTGTGACACCAAGGGTGTATTCGTGAGGTAGTGCCTATAAACCTGCCCTCCAGTTCCTCGATTGTATGGCAACAGTGTGGTCACATTATAAGCTCTATCTCAGTCTCTATATGTACGATACCTTACTTTTCTACATATAGGTGCTCTCAAAAATGTCCGCAGAGCTTTTGCATGTGTATAGTTCTTTGTCATTACAAACTAGCTCGAGCAATGGTCAGAGCCCCAAATGTATCGCGACTTCCACCTCTTCTTTACTACTCGTTTCATATTGTTCTCCAGTAGGTCTAGGCTCACGTATGGCATCGGGTTCTTATCTGTCAATCTGTAGATTACATATATTAGCAAGGCATCTCCTAAACCTTTGATTCATATGAATCAGTAATAAAGTACATTGCATGGCTTGATTAAGGCGGTGCTGGCTGTACGAAAATAAGCCTATAAGCTTCTCATATTCGACTTCTTGACCCTTAGTTTCGACAATTTGTTGATCTCACCAAGAGAATTTTGTGTACTCAGTGCTTATATATTGCGATCAAGAATCCCAGTCTATAAGCTGTAGGTCCATAGATTTGGGAGTTTCTCTCAGCTCTTGTTCCCATTTCTGTGCCTGCAAGGTTGGAGTTATGTGTCGACTATGGTGTCGTCATTTCTCTCGATAGTATTGGAAATTTGGTTCAAGAGGGGAAGGAGGTTCGTGAGCAGGTTTTCGAGTAGTTCATGTATCTGTATGAAAATCTTTGTTGCCGTGAGTGTCCAGCATGAAACGAATGCTTACTCGAAAAATGAGACCCTTTTACATAGGAACTCTGAATATGAATATAGAAAGAGCCTTCTGGACCATGAAGATTCATCTTCGAGAAATGCTATGTCAGTGTTGTGTTCCAAGTATGACTTATTGAGACATCATCCAATATCAGCGATCGAAAGGAGCGCTTAGAATTATGTATGTGCAACTCGATGCCCTCTCTGGGCTTGTATAAGTGTAAGAAGCAGTCCATGAGCTATGTTGCCGGAACAAAGCCTTTCCTTCGCTTCATGCTGAATATTACCACGTACGAAGATGAGATTTTGTGTGAGTAGGTGGAAGTCGACAGTGTTACTGTCCGTCATGATGGGCTGTAACCATATAATTGTAGCATCTAGGGTTAACTTTAGCCCCGATATTAGTAGTATTGGAGACTGTATTTTTGTATCCGCTGGGAAGTTGCAGGCACCTTGGAGAATATCAAAGGAATAGCCGACATAGGAGCCTAGGATCTCCGTTTCGTATGCTATGAGCGCAAGATAAAGAAACATTGCATGGTAATTTGCAAACATAGTGTGTATTTAGTGAAGGAATATTGCGTCATCGAATTGGAAACAAGAAGCGCTGTGTACTTCTTTCAGGGGCACGGTCCATTCACGATTCGAAAACCCTTGTGAGGCACCAAGCCCCCCCCCTCTCAGATTAATTTCAGCGCAATATTAGTTATGTTAGTAGAACATTCTTTGTCTTAGGACAACTGGTCAATTTGAAACACTACAGAGAAGATTAGCATGGCCCCTGCACTAAGGATGACACGCTTAATCAAAGAGAGTAACACATTTTTTTGGCATTTTTTCTCCAAAGTTCAACTCCCGAGGAGGCTAACGAGTTTCTTTTGAGTCTGACCATGCAACTAATCACTTCACAGAGCTAGTTCTAGATATACTCTCTTTTGAAACACACGATAAAGATCTATATGCACTCTATGATAGTATATGTTACCTGAATATTTTCAATTTTGATGATATAGCTAGATAGGGGATTTGCAGAGAGTTGTAGGCAACTGGATGAGTACGATCGTGCTGAGGACCCTGCAAAAGTGCGAAGCTCAGGATCAGTCACAACGCTGAAGTGTTTACTCTGAGATCGCAGCTAACGACAGTGGGATTTCGCAGCGACTTCAGTATGTGGCATCGAATGCCGCTCCAGAGACTAAGCAGTCAAGATCATATATGGATTTTATCCCTGTAATGGACCTTTGCATTCGAGTCTCTGCCTTCATCACTGTTCGCCTTTGTCGCAGAAACCAAGAGAGACAACGCCGCCCTCCGACAATTCAACAACTTGAACGCCTTGACAGGACTTGCTTGATGGAAATCATATAATGGCCATATGTACGAGATATAGCAGACTGTTTAATCATGGTTTGGCTGAATATACGCCGTAGCTTTCCTTGCGCGTACATCTCCCCCAGCCTTTACTCTTCACATTCTGAAGCATTTATTACGCTCATTACCACTGGTATGGCTATCTTCTGTCCTTCCATGCCAAACTTCATCTTGTCTTTGACTACAAGCTAATCAGTACTTTCGAACAGACTCGCCATCGATAATCGTAAATGACTCCTTCAACAACTTCCCTTGAAGTCCCTCAAGCGACCTCTCAAGATACTTATGACACTGCAGGGAAGAGCTTCTATACTTGTACCTACCAATGTCATACCGTCTCCTTAGAGAACAGCGCCTGAACTTCAACACAGCGGTGCCGCGACCATCGGGTTCAAACACGCAAATTGGCATGAAATGCTAGGGGACTTCGGCTATCAAAGATTCTAAGAGCATTCCATTGAACAAACAATGGTCTAGCACTGACTTATATTATACGGACGCTGGCTCATGTCTACTTGATGTGTTAATGGCTATCAGTATATCGTCCCCTCCGCCGTCACATATTGTTTGTTCAATGCGCTACAAGCGACAGGTGGATTACTCAAGAGCCTCTCCATTAACGTATCAGCGAAATCAGAAAGATCAATATAGTCGCCCTAGACAAGATACCATGCACGAAGGCAGTTAGTGCCAACAGGAACGACATGATACTAGCATGCTCAAGAAACTACGCATAAGTCGCCTTCCTCCCTACGATACGCAATATCATATCTCACCAATCCACGAAAGCTCTAATGGAGATAGCAAGAATCATACGCTCCTAAGATCCGGCAATCCATAAAAGATAGTAGCTTTGGGCTCCTTCGATCTGGTAGTTGAGACAAACCGCTTGATAAAAACAATTGGCACCCATTATGAGTCTTCCAGGGTATGGAAGAAATGCGTACATTGGGCTTTCATGTCGAACCTCGAAGGCCTTGATATGGGTACATTTATGCATGGTTGTACTGGATACAGCAGAAAGGGCGTTTGAGGGGCTTGAAAATACCTACGTAGAGCGTTCTATACACAATCTAGTAAGTGTATATTAGAGGATTGATATGATTGTATAGTAGTACGAATTATGTAAGAGCGCTCATGAGATCCCTATCTGAATTGTTCCTATAAGTATACGGTTGGTCGTATGCCTATGTATGCTAGTTTGATGTATATGCTATTCGTCGTTTGCCTAGAACTTGACTCTCTTGGCATCCATTCGAATATCGCGCTATCTCTTCCCCACCCAAATCTACGTAAGACGGACATATTCTAGTATTTTATTATATACTCGTCGCTATATAAGGTCTAAATATATTTGTTAGATGCAATGTTATGTGTCTTGATCACGAGATGGCCGACTTTTCAGTAACCATCCGTTTCATAATAGCCCCGGGAGTGAATATAGCGCAGTACTTAGAATACACACGCCTATATATATATATGGGGGTGCTCGATATAGTCGTTCATCCAGATAGAGTACACCTTCCGTAAACGTAGTCGGATTCGGCAAAACAATCTTCCGCGAATCATCCAAGGCGCGGGGTGATACCAGAAGTGCTACTTTGACAACCATTTTACGTCCTCGCTCCGATATCAGAGTAGTTTCAAATGATGATTACCGAAAAGCTACCTTTATATTCGGCTCGGGACCTTTCCCCCCGCTACGAAGCATTCTCTGAGGAAGATGATGAGGATGGTAATCCAGTCTTTCTCTATTCATCTTTTGGCTACTTTTCCAATGAGTTCATTGCCTACTTTGGCCGATCTAATTCTCGAAAACGCGATTTGAACCAGGAAATCATTAGAGAAAGTTTACAACGTCTTCCAGACGAGGATGTGTACCCTATGGCTCCTTCAAATATTACAGTAGCCTTATCTCCGACTCCGATCAACGAGACGCTCTTCCTTAAAAGGCCAAAACTACACCTAGACTTCTTAGGTACAGGTCTATTACCAAAACTTATGTTACAGGAAGCTGAAACAATGGAGCTACTCCTACAAAACCCACATCCAAATATTATACGATATCATGGTTGTTTAATCAAACGTGGTCGTATCGTTGGCCTAGTCCTGGATCGCCTCCCGGATACACTCCAACACCGATTAGAGAAGAATACTCAGCACTTTAACGTTGAAAACTGTATACATAAAATAAGGTCCGCAATCTACCACCTTCACTCACTCGGACGAGCGCATAACGATCTTACACCAATGAATATTATGATTGATGAACGCGACGATCCTATCATTATTGATTACGGCTCTTGTCAGCCATTCGGGAATGAACTTATTACAGCGGGCACGCCAGGATGGATTGATGAAGAATTTACGATTTCGGCGCAAAAGCACGATCAAATTGCGTTGGAAAAGATCCAGCAATGGATGGAGAATCTTGTGAGAGCTGCATAAGACATAAGGATAGGGTAGAGAATATGACAATATGTCGAATCTGTCCGCTTCCAAATGAACCTCCCTCAGCCATCTTAAGCCCTCTTCAGCCATCTCGCGTATTATTTGCCTAGGAAGAGGCACTGGGTAAGAACGTGACAATATGTCTGATCTATTCGCTTCCAAATAACCCTCTTTAAGCCATCTCGCGTGTCGTCTGCCTAGGAAGAGGCATTGGGCGAGGGGTTTGTTGGTGGTACGTAGCTATCGGAATTTCTACAATCCCGTTTTTCGCAGTCCTTCTTCTCTCTTTGTCTCTGTACTCGATATCCGTTGGGAGCCCTTGCGCCAGGTGTAACCCTAATAGTTGTATGAAATACGCACCTTTATATTTAATTATTACATGCAATACAGAGTTAATTTCTAATATACTAACATGTTGGTGTGGATAAGTTTGTTCGGGCTAGAATCGAGTTTTGGATTCCTTCGTCCTCGTAGACCTCTATGATAGTAAAGTTAATAGAGAGGCAGGTTCTTACCCGGCGAGTCTAATAGCTTGATAGCTGTGAATCATCGAGTCTTTAAACGCAGACTGCGCCCCTTTCCCTTGGCATTTTACCAGCGCGTGACTCAAAGCTCAACTACCCGGCTAGGCATCCATCACTCTAAACTGATCTATATTCTAACCGCACTACCACTTAGAGGCTGCGACCTACAGTAGAAGGCCCCGTAGGAAAACCCTGTTCATTGCGGCGAGGAGATTAACGAGAATACATTCTTATATTATGTTAGTATCGTGAGTGGTAGAGTAACTAAAAATCGATAATCACCTGAACATTTCAATCGTTGAAGCGCTCTACTAGATCCACTAACCAAAATTTCTTCGTTTACTAGTTTCTGTCCCTGGGAGTAGTAAGTTCAGCTACCCAATAGACCATCATCCTTCTAAACTCTGCTAAAGCTTTCTCGTGTAACTCTTCGCAAGTACGAGTGTTATATACTGCCTTCGTGATAGATACATCTTGATGCTTCTTAGCATGACGTATGAATTCGCTTACCACACGTATCACTTTAAAATAACAAACACATACTTCTCCACAAAATATATCTACCACGAGTCAACGCAGTATATCAAAGAGCAACCCTAACGTACGTTGCTGAAAGTGATGCTTAAGATCTTAGAACTAGGGAACGTTATGGTTCGTGTACACCTGATTAAGGACAACGACGCACGTCGATTAATCTGCAAGGATTTGGTGCACCGTCAGATTTGCTTCTCTTATTATCTGAGCCAGTGGATTCACCACAGAACTATCTATGAAACTAGTATCGTAAGCTTGATCTATGTGAATTTTAAAGCGTTGTTACTTGCGAATCACAATGAACGCCATATCTTAGCAGAGAATCAAGATATATGCTATGTTAATATCCCGTTGTGGTTCAGATCAGGAGAATCTGAGACGCCAGGTATAGGGGCTTATTCATCTAGCGGTGTCTTGCTTCGTTTTCTAGTTGAATACTTAGTAAGGGAGAAGGGGATGGCAGAAACGTAGTGGGTAACGGATTAGATGAGACAGGTATACAAATGCATGAAATTGCTTTTTGGGATGGCGAGACTTTGTAATGGTTACTTGTTTGAGAGGTATGATTTCGCTTTTCTTTCAAATTACGTAGCTATATAGCCACCACGCCTATCCTGTACAGGCACCTCTCTACGGATTCTAATCATGACCTCTCCGAGACTCTAATGTCTACAACTCTACATTGCATAGGAGAACTTTCTATCCAAGCTCATTCATGCAATGCACACTTATCAACATCTAATCATCCCTTGCTTCCCCTTGTCCATCAACGCCGCAACCGCGCCAGAAGCGACCCGATTCCATCCGGTAAACCACTCAATAAATCCGGTACACCCAGCACATCCAACACATTACTGTCCGGCCTTGGCTGCGGCACGGTATGCAGCGTCTCCAACGGCACAGAGCCCTGCCTATCGCGCGGCGCCTCAGGCTGCGTGATCAGCACCGTGCGCGCTACACTCGGAGTTCCAGCCGCGTCGAGGACGAACAGGAAATAGTAGCCGGGGAGAGCGACGCCCGGATCCGCGGGGATAGTGATAGTTTGGGTGGTGGCTGCGGCGGACATGACGAAGGGGATACGACGCTGGTCGGTATTGACGGTGTGGGTTGATGTGCTGAGGCGCATAAGGGCGATGGTGGAGAAGGGCACGGAGGCGGATATGGTAAGGGCTGCGCCGCATGGGATTGTTGATGCGCTGAGAGAGGAGATTACGGGCCGGAGCCGGGCGGTGCCGTTGGCTTGGAGCAGGTACGGCGGGACGAAAATCTCGCCGTCGAAGTGGTTGGTGGCGCACGAACCGCAGAGACCGCCGCCGGCGTTGAGGACGGTGGCGTCTGGGAGCAGGAGGCTGATGGAATGGTATGTTCGAGGGATAGCCATGGGGTTGAGGGTCGTGAATGAGTTGTCTCGCGGGTCCCAGAGTTCAGGGGTGAGGATGGAGAAGCTGTCGGTAAATGGGTTGAGATAGGACTGGCCTCCGGTGATTAGAATGCTGCCGTCAGGGAGAGCGACGCCTGTTGCAAATCCTCTACGAAAAGCCATGGGGTTGATTGTTTGTACGTTAGGATTTTGATCGATTCCGTTGATTTGGATGAGGTGGGCATTGTTATGTGCTTCGGTGGCCTCATAGTTGACTGCTCCGCCTACAGTGAGAATCTGTCCCCTAGGCGCATCGTACATCACAGCTATCCCATTCATAGAATCGACATCGTCAGCACGGGTCCCAGCGTCGACGATTGACCCAGTGCCTTGGGCGTTGTACCAATGCATGTTCTTAGACGGTCCAGCTTGAAGTATAGATGTGTTGCTATAAGCAAACAGCCAGGCGTGATTGTCAGCTCGAACAACCCCTCCCTGATCTTGAGTCCACATGGGCTCGGTAGGGCATCCAGGGAGCCGTGTCCATGTATTGCTGGCTTCGAGCAGGTCAGTTGTGCTGTTGATGGACTATGTGCACTGGCTGGCTTACTAGTATCATACACTTCTCCATCCTTATGGGTATTCGCATTACCACTCCATGAACCACCCATTTCAAATATACGCCCATCAGACAATGTCGTTTGAGACTGGTATCCACGCGGAATTTTCATGTCCTGTCCACGAAGCCAATCATTGGACACGGGATCAAATATCGACGTTCTCGGAGCGTCATTACCACCTGTGACGATGATACGACCGGTTGAGTCAAGCGAGGTTCCTGGACAGAACATGTCATGGTCAGTGTTTGCAACATCTTCTTGAGTCATCTCGTCATTCTACCACCATGTATCAATAAAGCTAAAGTTTCGTAATGCTGTGGGTGTGACGTACCGTAGGATTCCAAATGGCAACTTGCGTTCGGCCATGGGTATCTCCAACGAATTGGTCTTGGCTGAATGCGCTCCAGATCATGATTTCACCACTATCATACAGGTTACCCCCTGCAGCTGGGACCAATGGAAAATCAACAGTGTGAGTCCACAAGCCTTTGGTTGGGTCGGGAGCCTCGTATACGTCAAGACTGTCGCCATTCATCAAGTTGATCTCTCCGGCACTGGTCCAGGGCCCCCGATTTCCAGCTTCGGACAATGCAGTAAGACGGACATATCGCGCAGTCACGGGCTGAAAAGTTGCCGCCTTCTCGACGTAGTCATCAGGCCAACTACCCTCCGCAACCTGATTCCAATTCTGGTTGTCGTTACTCGTCTCGATACGGTATTGCCCGATCCTGCCATTCTCAGGAGAGTTATCCTCGACCTCTATCCTGCGTGGACCGTAGCTGAGACCGCTGACCGTAGTTGCAGCACCCTGATCGATGGTGAAGAAATGCGGATGCGCAGGAGCCCTCGTTGTATATTGGGTGTGCCACCAAGTATGCAAGTCTAGATCCGTCGCCTTATCAGCTTGACATTGATGCGCAATGGTCTCTTCGCTATCAGCAGACACTCGCCATCCGGACCGATCCAAGTACGGATCTGGGACTCTGTGAACGTTGATTTCGGCAATACTTGCCCATTGGTTCCCAACATTCTGAGCCTCAGTGATAGCAGTCAAGCGCAAGTAGCCTGCTGGGCGTCCGAGAAAAGTTGTATACTTTGTGTCTTTCATATTCCTCCAAGTCCCAAGGGCGACAGGGGTATTCCAGTTGCTGCCATCGTTGCTGACTTCGATGATATGCTGTCCAATGTTGCCATTATTGGAACTATCCTGTCGCGGTACGTAACTTATCCCGTTGACGAGATAGACATTCTGCATATCAATGGTAAATCTGTGTGGTAAAGGAGCATCCGGCTGGCCGGCCACGTAATTCGAATGCCATATTGTGTTTGGGTTACTGTCCCCATTATTAAATGATATAACCAGAGTGCTAAACTTACCCGTCTATAGCATTCTCAGGCCCATTTCCGGCATGCGAACTGTCTGCAGAGACTGTCCAGCCGCTGCGATCAATGACCAGGCCCAATGATAAAGCCGACTTGACTAAAAACAAACAAAGTAGGGCTATTGAATACAACATCTTCCAAAAGAAATATTAGACTTAGCGAATGTTATCTGTAGTAACAGTGAGGCAGTGATTTTGAAAGATGTAAGTGGGCTGAAAGGGGTGTTTATTAGGAATGAGCATCATGAAGGATCCTGAGTCGATGCATTTAGCGATGAACAGAAGCGGTTCTGTAGCCTGAATCGATACTATCCCTGCAAGGCTGTCAGCCTCCAAAAGTTTGGTCTGCATGAATTGTCTGGCCACAATCCGATCTGGTTCGCCGATTGCAAACGCATAATAAGCATGATTGGGCCCGTGCACTGTTCACTCTGCTATAAAGATGAACATCCCTTGGCGGCTGACTTCGCTAGTAAACCTCACCTGTTAGTATTTACGAACCAGACACATGGCAAATTGGACTCTTCTCTCGTATTTCCATGAATCCTACCATAAATGGAATTATATGGCTTTTCATTTTGCCCATGATATTAGCCCCGCATATGCATCACGGCAACGGTGTTCAGGCAACGAGGCAATATATAACGGCTGATATGATCATCCGCTCGGAACTAAAAGAGTGATAGAGACCTACCCATGCAAACTAGGGTGCAGTTGATTGGATGATCATCCATGACGAAGCCACGACACGATGTCAGCGAGCTATTAGTAACTGAGGGATGCTTCTGCGCCACGGGCTTGGGAACGGAGTAATTGCGCCTCCATTTGTAGGATACTGTCAATCCTCATTTACCGTTACGCGTTTCCATTCCGAGAGGAATATCGCCTGGGTGATAAGTTATATACGAACGTTAGGCGCGGCTGAAGTCAAGCCTAGGCGTATGGTATCGCGACGCATTGAGTATCAGAATTACAATTGCGCCTGCTTACCATAAGAAGGCAATGATGTTGGTCCATGGCCTCCGGTGGCGTTGTGAATCAGCGTGTCATCTGGAGCCGCCCCATGTTGTAAAGTGTCATTTGCACATGATCTTTCCGTGCATTCTCGTTTGGCTGTCAATAGTACCAATGCGACCTGCCCTGTGATGATAAGCATGTCACAGCAACCAATAGATAAGGCCCCCTGTTGTGAGAAAGAGAGCTGGGATGAGAAAGTCGATGGGTCATTATTATCGGTTGATATCCATGGTTGACGTTTTCCAGCTCCGGGATTGAAACCTTTTGTGGCCCACGCATTGTCCCACGACGATGCTGTATATTGGATGGTGACTCCTAACCAGGATCAACATATGACATTTTGATATTTCCAATTTAAGGGAGTTGATTGTGGGCTTTGTGAACGAACTTTCTCAGTATCACGCTCGTGAATACTGTTACGGACACACCGGTCCAACGTGGTCAGCTTTCTGCAGTCTATCGTACAGCCGTATAATCCATGATAATGCCGTTCGCCTGACGTAGGAAACTGTCAGGCTCACGAGCTTGGCCGGACGAGGTGCAAGGATATCAATGCTAGGAACTGCAACACGTGGTTACGGCGCGAACGATGATCGTGCTCAGGCTCCATTATACTTTCGCGGTATGTAGCTTCTCCAGGACATAATCCCGGTACTATCTGTAAGGCTGATCAAGGCAGCTCGCATTGGACGCTCCACCGCAATAGGTACAAGACGGGCGGCATAATATCTCCTTCACTGCCAACCTGGCGTTCTTTCGAGTCACGCCCTCACCGAAGCCATACCCGTTCCTCGTGCAGTACACCTTCCAGTATAGAATCAGAGATGCCATATAGCGTCCGTTGTAGTAACAAGATGGGTGTGCCGAACGCCGATATCACGCTGCCTCTGGACCTACACCCCAACCACTTGAGCCCGGTGAAGGGAGCAGTTTAGAGCGCCGGAAACAAAGGACAGCTCATCGGGTACACGCTAGGCTTTCATCATCTAGAATGGTTGTTAGCAATTTGCAGCCGGTCAGGATGGATGTTGGTGAGACGCACTTGGGTTAAACTGGAAGGATAAAGAAGAAAAACCGAGAGAGCCACGGCGACGCGAATTACATTTGTGCTGTGACGCTAGCGTCAATCTCGTTTAGCGCAGTCACGTGCCGACGTGTTTTCACTATCGCGACTTTCTCGCTCGTTGTCTTCCGGTATTCATCGACAAGTGGCCATGTCTCGTCATGTGACGCCGAAGCATTCGTACATCGCGATTTCTCGCTTCTTCCAGTCCGGTAGTGTTCACAGTATACACCTGAGTCACCGGCTGCAGAGCTCAACTCTTAGACTAAAGTCAAGATGCGGCTACTATTCCACAAATGGGAACGACGAGCAGAAAGCCACCGCGACGCTCGCATCTCTGGAGGCATTCAAGAAATCACGTATGAAAATGACGAGTCGTCTTCTTTCTTACCACTAATCACGCTCAGTCGCAATTCCCCCAGCAACACATGACATCAAGAGTCTACAACAGCTTTCAAAGGATGCCATCAAGAGCCAAATCTGTGTCCATGGATACATAGGCTCCCGCCAAAAGCTGTCCAAGAAATTGTCCTTCCTGCAGTTACAAAGTATAGACCTCAAGTACAATCTCCAGGTTATTTCTTTCGGGCAACATGCCGAGGCACTTGCCAATATCCGTGACAACTCGCCGGTTGCCATCAAAGGCACCCTCAAGGAACGCCAGGCCCCCAAATCCGAAACCTTAGCAGGACTAGAAGTCATAAAGCCGTTCGAGCTCGAACTTGAGGAAATAGTTCTTCTCAATGACTTCCCCAAGGATCTCATCGCGCAGGAAGAAACAAACTTCGCGCCAGAGCAACGCCATCTGCAGATGCGAACAGGCAAATCACTCCGTGACGCATTGGAATTTCGTTCAAAACTATTGCAGCATTGTAGGAGCCACTTTCATCAAAAGGAGTTCATGGAGGTCGAGACGCCCTTGTTGTTCAAGTCGACCCCTGAGGGCGCACGCGAATTTTTGGTCCCTACGCGCAAGAAAGGACTGGCCTATGCGCTGCCGCAGAGCCCCCAGCAGTACAAGCAGATATTGATGGCCAGTGGGATCCCGAGATATTTCCAGATCGCGAAATGCTTCAGGGATGAGGACCTCCGGGCAGACCGGCAACCCGAATTCACGCAGGTGAGCTACCCACAACAGTCGATGGATGTTCTTTAACGGATTGATTGTAGCTTGATCTAGAGATGTCCTTTGTAACAGGCGAAGACATAATGAATATCATCGAGGACCTATTCCGGGACCTTGCCGCTTGCGGTCTCTGGAAAGACCTCCAGCACGAGAACCTCGAAGGCAAATTCCCACGCCTGACCTACGAAGAAGCAATGGCCCAGTATGGCTCCGACAAGCCCGATCTCAGACGCGGCATGAAGGTACGCCCATTTACTCCCTCTCCAACACCGCTTTCCTAATCCCTCCCCACTAGATCCACCGCGTCGAACACCTCCTTCCCGCCGATCTCATCAGTAAAATCTCCCCCCTTTCAAACCCAATCGTCGAAGCCATGAGCCTCGCCATCTCGCCGTCCGCCCGTGAAACCCACGCCTTCGCATCCGCCTTCATGTCCTCCTCAGCCGCAGCCCCATTCCTCTCAAACCCGGCCGGCCAACCGGGCATCTTCGTCCTCGACCCACGCAAGCCGCTCCAAGGCCTCTCTGCACTCGGCTTCGAAGCCGCCGAGGTTCTCGCCAGCGACCTCGAACTAGATGACGAGGGTACGCTACTCGTGCTGCAAGCGCGCCCGCGCGCCCCGTTCGCCGGCGGGTTCACCCCGCTCGGCAACTTGCGACTGGCGCTGCACAAGGCTGCTGTGGCTGCTGGCTGTATGCCGGCGCCAACAGGTGTCAAGGTGTGCTGGGTCACCGACTTTCCGCTGTTTTTGGCGGTTGCGAGTAACGGCGGCGATGGCGAGCCCGGGCAGGGCGGGGCGGCAGGGATCTGTGCGACACACCACCCGTTCACAGCGCCGAAGAGCGCAGCGGATGTGGAAAAGCTAATTGCTGAGCCGCTATCCGTGCGGGCAGAGCATTATGATATAGTGGTGAATGGGGTAGAGCTAGGCGGGGGCAGTCGGCGAATCCACGATGCGGAAATGCAGGAGGTAGTGCTGCGGGATGTGCTACAGATGAGCGATGCGTCGGTCGGGCATTTTCAGCATTTGTTGGATGTGCTGCGGGCCGGGTGTCCGCCACATGCGGGGATTGCCCTGGGACTGGACCGACTGGTCGCCGTGATGCTGGGCAAGGAGTCGGTGCGAGATGTGATTGCGTTTCCGAAGAGTGGGAAGGGCGAGGATTTGTTGGTCAAGTCGCCGAGTGTGATGACGGAGAGTCAGTTGGCGACGTATCATTTGAAGCATAGCGAGGCATGAGGGTGCTTGTAATATTATGCTTGTATTATAGTGTCTTCCGAAAGCCTATGCTCTGTTCAACATACTGTTCCTATAGCTCGGCTGATAGGTTTGTAATGCCCATAGTCTTGATACACATCATTCATGGCTCCAAGTGTTCCAGACTGCGACTCTTCATACCCTTACACAGCTCTCTATGCACTAGTACTGGCCCCTGGTCTTGGAGTTGTCGTCGAATGTCCTCTTTCACAGAAACCAATCACACGTTCCTTCCTATTCTCTCAATCGAGCGTCCACTCGAATCTCGTCTCACGAGATCTTCGCGTTGGAGAAATCCATTTCCGGATGCTCGGCCTGGAACTTCTTCAAGATGTCCATCTTCTTCTGCTCGTCACTGCTCGGCAGCCCAGCCTCCTTCTGCCGCTGATCGAACATCATTTTCTCAACCATGCCGCGCGTCTCGCCGTCCAGATCGCTCAACTTGCTGTTCTCGGGCGTGATCTTGCTGGTGTCGATCTTGGGCGCGGACTTGACAACGTGCGGCCACCACTCCATTTGGTTGACTTTGTCCAGGTGAACCTCGATGGTCTTGCCAGCGGACGCAGTTTCGAGGGTCCAGGTAGATTCGTCGACATGGATAGGGGAGAACAGGTCGTCCTGGCACATGATAGTCAGTACAGGCATAAAAGCGCCCTCCGTGTGGGGCCTATCCAGGACTTACCTCAATGATTGGCGGCTGGCCCTTGATACCGACTACAAGCTTCGTCTTGCTGAGCTGCACGTTCAAGTCGCGGCCCTTGAGTGTTGCGGGGACTTCGACGGTGACGTCTACGTCTTTGATCGTCTGGGTCCATTTGTAGGGCAGGGTAGCCTGCTCGGCGGCCTCTTTCGCCTTGAGCTCGGCGTCGGCCTTTGCGCGTTCTGAGGGCGTGGGAGAAGCCGGTCGGTCGGACATTGTTGTGAAGTCTGGCTCTATATGTTGTGCTTCAAGCTGCGTGGTGGAGTAGAGTTTTGGGAGGAATTTATGGCGGGGATACTGCGGCGGAAGCTTGGCCTAGTGTGGCGGTAGAAGTAATCGAGACCGGCTATAAATAGGCAGCTAAACCATGGGAGAATCTACAGTGTACCATGTCTCAGATCAGTCAACCTGGGTAATAATACCAGATAAAGATCTGACACTGGTCGTAAGCGTGTGAATTGTATATATAATTTAGATTCAAGGTCACGTTAATGAATATAAACACCACCTGATTAGACAACAGTGCGACCTCGCACCAGAAAACTTCTTCCCTCCTTCCTATTTACTGACTCAAGTCAACTATTTACCTAATCAGGACAGTGGAAACTCCTGAACATCGTCAGTAAGGCACACTTTAAGTTGACGCGACACAACAGCATCAACAACATCATCCGTCTTGGGCTATTTGATATCCTTTCGGCTCTAGACAACTCTTCGTCTTCATTCTCTCATTCATGATTCTCTCCTCGTGTCCTCGGACCTTCTAGCCCCGGACCTTTTCCTGAAAGTGGCTACCAACTAATTATTAGAACTAATCTAATACCGCCGTCGTCCAAGTCACGCGAGCTCGCAACCCCATAGTTTCGTGTTCTCCTTCTCACCCTGATTGCTACGTTGCAAGTTGTCGACTCTTGATCTCTGGTGTAATAGCAACATTCAAAGCATTGAGATGGTCTATTTCGGAGGCTTCTACGTCGTCTTGGTGGTCTTCATCGCCGCCTCCGTCGTCCTGTCACGATTGATTAGTCGTATGAACACGACGCCGCCGGAGATCTTGCCATTGTCGCCGAATCGCGTGACGCGTAAAGAAATCCTCGAGGCCTATGAAAGGGTTAAGAAGAGCCCTATCGATGTCCGCAAGTTCATTCCACCAGCGACGGGAAGGCGGTATATTATAGTCGGCGGAAGTGGTAAGCATGCACGATGGTCCTCTCCCGGGTACATGTCGCTCATTCAACGTCAGGTCTTGTCGGTGGCTGGATCGCGCAGCATCTTCTTATGCGCGGGGAAAAGCCGGCAGCCATTCGAATCGTTGATGTTAAGCCCAACATAAGACCTGATGTCAAGGACCGCGTGGCTTTTATCAAGACCGACATTACTGATGCTGCTGCTGTGAAGAGCGCTTTTAGCTCTCCTTGGCCGTCGGATATCGCGGGTCAGCCATTGACCGTCTTCCACAGCGCCGCCATCATCAATTCTTTCGAGCGTGCCGAGGACCTGATGGGCCCTGTGTTCAAGGTCAATGTGAATGGAACAGCAAATGTAATAGAGGCTGCCAAGGAGGCCAAAGCCAGTATCCTCATTTCAACATCATCAAGCTCGATTGCCCTCGTCAACGCCGAATACTTTGCGGAGCCGTTCGCCAGGTGGCCCAAGAATCTCATTCAGGTTATAGACAATGCCGATCCGCCCAAGCCAGTCTCCGAGATGAAGCATTATGAGTATTGTGGTAATTATGCCAAATCCAAGCATCTTGGCGAGACCTTGGTATTACAAGCCGATAACAAGTCTGGAGGCTTCAGGACAGGATCCATCAGACCCGGTCATGCCATTTATGGGCATGGCGTAGAAGATAATTCCAGCGTTACTTGGCAATATCTCAACCGTGCAGGAGCTCCAAGGTATAAGGTCCCTGTCGTGTGAGATTGAGTCGCTAAATTGTCTTAGCTGGATCACCAACTACGTCCAAAATCTCGTCAACGCACAGAATGTCTCGATTGCACACTTGCTTTTCGAGTTCAAGCTCGTTGATCCGTCACCAAAGAAAGATCTAGGCGGTCGGGCATACTGCGTGGTGGATCCCAAGGGACCCATTGTCTACGTCGACCTCTACCAGATGCTCACAACGCTCTCAAAGACGCCAATTAACTTTCCGTACGTCCCGGCGTTTCCAATGCTCTGTGTCGCGCACCTTGTGGAGGTATATGCCACCATCCAACGCCGATATGCGACGTTCCTACCTCCACTCAGTGGTGACATCAAGAACTTACAGCCTGCGCTCTTCCAGATGTGCACCAAGCACATTGCGTTCAATGACAAGGCCGCGAGAGAGGATCTGGGGTACAAGGGTCCGATCGCGTCGATTGACGGTATCGCAGAGGATGTCTATGTGTGGAACCGAAACTTCGAGGCAAAAAGTGCGGCGGAAAAGAAGCAGGCAACGCAGAACATAGAGGAGGCCAAGCCGGTAGTCCCAGTCCCGTTGCCTACCGTCCGGTAGATTGTGCGATCGGTGCGCGCCGATTGGGCCTTATAGATGCTATTATCATAGACATTCTCGATAGAGTATACATTGCGGCATGTTTGATATGCTCTACAACGAGCCCATGTACACACCACTGCGTCGTGATGCAGCAGCGGGCTGAGTATTGTAAGATTTGCGTATTGCGCCGTGCTAGACTTAACAGGTTCATCAGTCCTTACAAGTCGTATATTACTCCAACAAGTAAGTCCCAGCACACACCAGTTTCGTTCGCATCCAGAAAAAGGGGTATATATGTCTGTAGACCACCACAAACTGACACACAGCCCAACTCGAAACAACCACCATCTACCGCCTAAAATACCGCAACTCAACAGGGCGCAATACCATATACGCCGTCGCTGCAAACGCAAAGCCAAGCTCGAATCCAACATCGCCTCCATACGGCGCCTCGCCAGCATGCAGTGCTACCGGCCCCACGAACCATACCTGCGACATCCCCAACACCATGCCGGCAATGCCGCACCCAAACGCACCGATGGCCGCTAATCCTGGTGGCAGCCTCTCCGGGCAATCATAGCACGTAACGTCATACCCAGCAAAGCCGCGCCTGAATACGAAATGCTCGACCAGTGCGACAGCCTCATAGATAGCAAGCCAGTAGCCGATGAAGTTCATAAAGTTCTCCAGCACGGTCTCGAAGTGGGTGTAGCCGGGGATTGCGATGGCGATGTAGACCGCGGAGCCGGCGACGGTCCAGACGTAGCGCGGCACGGCCTGTGTGCGGCGGCTGAGGACCTGCACGGTGAGCCCGATGCTGTAGATATTTGGGCAGTTGTTTGCGACGATGGACAGGGCGAGCATGACGAGGCAGAAGCGGCCGAAGGTACCGAGCGGGAGCAGGACGGCGGACGAGTAGCCTGTTGCGTAGGCGTTTGGCGAGATGTTCAGGGATGTGGCGGTCATGATTGCGACGCCGAGCGTTTCGGTGAAGAGCAAGGGGACGATGAGGCCGAGCCATGTGGCGAGGAAGAGGGCGGGTTTGGAGCGAGCCGCTGAATGATAGACAGTATAATCAGCCGACACAGAACTCCACCCGGTGCTAAATCCGAATACGACGGATCCGAACGATAACACGCCGCCGAGTTCGCTGGTGCCGACGGCCATGGGGAGGTTTACGAAGTCGCCGGAGCGCGCGAAGACGCCTAGCACGATGAGGAAGACGACGAATGTGGGGATCCACGACCAGAACTCGTAGGCGTGCACGATCTTGTAGCCGAAGACGGTGATGGCGAGGGTGAGCAGTGCGATGATCACGATGCCGGCCCAACCGGGCACGGAGGTGTTGACGGAGTGGAGCAGTTGTGCGCCGACGATGGCGTTCACGGACGACCAGCCAATACAGGCGAGCACGTTGAAGACGGCGATGAGCTTGACGCCATACCAGCCGAACCAGAAGCGCGACAGCACCATCTGGCGCAGGCCAAAGTGCGGGCCGAAGGTCGAGAAGAAGCACACGGGCAGGGTGCCGAGCAGGTTGAAGAAGAGCACGACGAGGATGGCGTCAACGAAGCCTAGGTAGAACAGCGACTTGCCTAGCACGCCGATAGCGAACGAGGATACCACCATGTTTGCGGATAGCCACTGTTGGGATTGTCAGTCTTTCCGTCGTCGTTACTTGCGCACACATGGCAGTGTGGATGCATGTTATGAAGTGGTACGGTGTAGTGTGGTACGGGCTCGGGGGATGTCGAAATCAGCATTAACGTACCATTGTCCCAGCGTTTAGGAGACCGTATTTATCATCCGTCCGCTCGTCCTCGGGCACGCGCTCGATGCCACGTTGCTCGACATTGAAGCGGCCGGCGAAGCGCTGTAGCCTTGCATACACAGAGTTGCCATACTCGAAGCTCTCACCAGGCACAGCACCTGTGTTGTCGGCAAACGAAGTTGTCGTGTGCCTGGCGGTTGCCGTCGGGGTGGTATCATTGTCACCAGCTTTGACGGGCTGCTTCTCCAGATCCGAACTGCTGTCGTTGTACGTCATGGTAGACCGACGAGCGCCTCAGGGGAGGTTATCTTGTTGAAGGCTATTGGTTGGGAGATGTGATTGTGATTGTGGATGTCGATACAGCCCTACAATGCATAAAAATGGAAGAAACAGCGACCCAGGTAGGACATATAATCATTTGGAAAGAACCCGACACGAGGACAGAAGATCCGGACATGGCAGGACGAATAATGGCCATCAATGATAAGGCCTTAACCCATGGCCGCACCATAGTCTAGTGGAGGATGGAAATGGCCGTTTGGCTAGACCAAAGTCCTTCTACGTAGCATTTAGTAGGAGGGGACGGGAAGTTCTGCTACTACTGCAGGGAGTGTTAGAGGGCCGCGTGGAACGGAAGACGGAGGGCGGAGGACGGCAGATGGGAGGAGTAATAGGAGATGTGAAAGCGGGCCCGGCCGTGGACTCGATCCTTTTGTCTTCTTTTCCTTCTACACTGTGCGTCACGCCCCGTTGCTTTGATGATAAAACTGCTCGGCCGTCATTTGGGGCGGAAGTGGTCGTCTTTTTATTGTGGGGAAGTGGGGTGTCTTTTCTTGCCTTGTGTATGTGTTTGTTGTCATTTATGATAAAGGGATGAGTGCTGATTGGCTGTGAACAGAAAGGGCTGAACGGTGCGGGCCTGCCCAGACCCGCTTCTGCCGTCACCGCCACATTCAACGCCACATATACTGTATGATGTTCATCATAGCTCTGTCTATACAATTCGCTTACTACGCACCGCTTTATGTCGCGACTACGGAACTCTCGCTTCTAAAGTTCCACTTCGCTCTAGGAGACGTCTTATCTTACTAAACCAATAGTCTAAACAGACTGTCTTGACTCCTGAGGAAGTTGAAACTTGAGGACCTGTCTACGCAGCTCAAAAACCACGAAGATAGCCCCAGGTCGCGCGTTACACTTGGATCTATCGCGCATGGCATTCGTCAAGATCTGCGTCATTGTCAGCATTCCTAGCCGGCGACGCTATTCTCGTCCTATGTAGTGTCTACTGTCGGACCCGGCCGACATGCCCACGACACCACACGCCTCTCACGATGCTTGCGCTCGGCTCGTTTCAAGGCGCATCGTATTCTAGATACAGCCTGGAAACTCGATGTGGCTAAATTTCTTATTGCTATAAGAGATAATATGACTACTGCGATCGATAATCAGGGAGACATGGTCTTTTGCCGACACCCCGCTGCCGACATAAGTCAGCCTGCTCTGCGCCTGGCGACAATACGCAGCACTCAATCATCATTTTGCAACAGAATACATGTTGAAAAGTATGATACTCGGCCGGCATCCGATCACCGCCGTGTGCTCTACTGCCTACTGACGCTTTAGCCCGCATTCGCTGGACTTGCGGTTGCTATGAACGGTGCTAGCCAACCACTATCAACATGCACCGGGGACCTTCTTCATGCCTGGAGAATTCTGGCCGGACATTCTTGCTAAAGTCTTCGTGTTCGAAATATTGTGACGCCGACATCGCTCTTATAGATGATTTCGTACGAGTATCTTGCTCTCTAAGTTTGAGAACTGGGATCCTTACTCCTATTGAGCTCTATCTGATGGTACTGCATAGCGTCTGCGACAACAGGTGAGTTCTATCAGCTCTACGGCTTGGCTCATAGGGGCTCGGGAAACGCAATAGGATGTGTTCAGCATTGCTAGAAATGCTCAAGAGCAGATGGCTGCCTTGGGGTATCAGTATCTGCGGCAAAGAGGCAAGAGATAACAGGACAATCGTAACGCTGCTGTCTCCGACAGCCCTAACCACAATCAGTAATTCCATATATGATTTGAGGATAGCGTCTGCGTCGAGAGCTAGTCAAACAATATCTCCTTGAGGCACCGTGGTGCTACACACTCCTCTGTGTCCATTGAAGCGGCAACGGTATGAAGAAAATTTTCCTTATGAAGTATCGATATACCATTAAGAGTATGGATCGACTGAACGGTAGGTCCGATTCAACGAAGGTTCGACAATGCATGTCACTGTCCGGTCTAAAAGGTATCAGGCCACCGTAAAAGCACGCTTTGCATTCCGATCATCCACTGTTTCGAACCACATTTGTTTTCTCCTCTTTGCCATTTCGCAGATGGATAACTTGGACTACTCGTCTTCGAAGTCCGAGCGCTACGCTTCACGTCTTCACACTAACCCAGTTTCATCTCATTGTTCCATTCAAGGTTGTCACCATGTTCTAATCGGCCCTTTTAAAGATCATACACTCCAGTATCAAGAAGCAAGAGTCACCAGTACATCGTTACAGGTCTGAGGAAGACGCTAATCGGTCACGCCACGACATCTACCGAGCCTCTGAAACAATTGCCCCACACCCGGGCGAAGATCTCGAAAACATTCTGGAAGTCTGTCAGTACTTGTCTCTACTGTGCCTCAGTGCATGCTTTATGGTCGTATGCGTCTAATGACGCTCAGTTTCAGGCCCTGGCGTTTGTTTACTCTTGGCAGCAGCGGTTCATCGATGGCGACTGTCATTGTGCCTCAGGTCATGCTACGATTGAAGCTGGTCACTTCGTCTCCCTTTGTGGAGATGGAGAGAAGTGGAAGAAGATACGCCCGAGCAATGATTCAAATTTTCAAGGCCAGTGCGCCTTTTAAGTAATGGTAAGTGAGAACCAGGCTGTCTACAGGTATATAAATCTCTTCAGAAAGGACACATTCTTACCTTTCGCTATACGCAATCACCACACTTTCCATCTAATCGTCATTGTTTTTCCTGTGTGCTGGTCACGCGGTTCGCTCACTTAATTCGACCTTTTCAATCAGATCTTAGTTGCAAGTCTGTCTGTCTATCTTGCATCAGCACCAACATGAAGCTCCTTACTGTCGTTCCCCTTTTCCTCACCCTCTCCTCCGCCCTCACTATTGGTCTTCGCGATGGAAGTGCCGCTCTTAAGGCTCGTCATGACGAAGAGAACGCTATAAACAGCAATGCTGCAGGAAGCGATGCAGGAAACGCCAATGCTATGTATAGCGAGACAGGAAATGGCAATACTGCGGACAGCCCTAATGTTGGAAACGGCAATGCTATGTACGGCAAAGCTGCGGACGACAATAATGCTGGTAACGGCAATGTTGCAAACGGTAATTCTGGAAATGGGAATGCTATGTACGGCAACGCTGGTAATGCTAATATTGCAAACGGCAATGCTGGAAATGGGAATGCTATGTACGGCAATGCTGGTACTGGTAATGTTGCAAACACCAACACTGGAAATGGCAATGCTATGTACGGCAATGCTGGTAACAGCAACATTGGGAACACCAACACTGGAAATGGCAATGCTATGTACGGCAATGCTGGTAACAGCAACATTGCAAACACCAACACTGGAAATGGCAATGCCATGTACGGCAATGCTGGTAACAGCAACGTTGCAAACACCAACACTAACAATGGCAATATCAATGCTGGTAACGCCAATACTATGTATGGCAAAGGTGGAAACGCCAATACTGGATATACCAATGCCGGGAAAGTCAATGCTGGAAAAGCCGATGCTGGGCAAGTCAACACTGGAAACGCCAACGCTATGTATGGCAATACCGCAGGAACTGCCAACAATACCAACACGACCGCTGCGATGAACGCCGAATGTGCGCAGCCCACCGCAGGAGCCAATGTCAGCACTGTACATGCTAGGAATCTGGCCACTCGTAGCACTGACGTGTTAGTCGGAAACCTGATAGAAAGGGCGCTAGCAACGGCTTTCTCGAGCGTGGTCAAGTTTTTCACGGGTTCAGGATAGTGTGAAACCCCCAAGGAAAAGGAGCACAGAATGCCGCTTCTTTGTGCCTCAGGGGTGAGAAGGATATGAACTTGTGGGATGAGAAAGATATGGACTTGTGGGATGGATGTAAGTGGTTGTATCGACTAGCTGGGCGAGAAGATACTATATACCGAATTATCTACTAGGAGTTGGAGATCCTTGTATATGAGACAGTAGTGGTGTAGCATTGATATCAGGGTGGTGTAGCTATAAATTAAACTTCTTTAAGACATGCACTACTCAATCATCCTCCATCTTTTTCTGCCGATTCCATGAACCGAGAAATGGAAGGCCGTCTGTGCTCGTATCAGCTGTGCCTCCGTGCACTCACGCTTTATAATCATAACGGTCTTAGACCGCTGCGTTGTCATCGCGCCCCAGGTTATGTTGCGATCGAGCTGGAGGGTGGTCACTTCGTCGTCTCGGTAATTGATAGACGCGGACCAACAATGTTTCAAGTATACAAGGCCAGTGTGCCTTCCAAGTTCTACCCCATGATTAGTGAGGACAAGTCTACGGGTATATAAATCCCTCCAGACACTCTACATGTTGAGCTACTTTCGCCGCACGCATTCACCGCGCCTCCCATTCAACCACTATCATCCTTCTCCCGTCCTGGTCCCGGGTTTCGCTCTCTTACTTCGACTCCTCTCTTACTTCGACTCCTCTCTTACTTCGACTCCTCTCTTACTTCGACTCCTCTCTTACTTCGAC